CTCTTATAAGTCACACACCTAATGCCATAAGCCATAAGATCGCACGTGGAGAATAACGTTAGCATATGTGACGAGTTCACGCCTGTCAGCCTCAGTATTTTGAATATTATTCCGTCATCACGAGAATCCGTCACATTTAGCTTCCCTTAAACTAAACATACACTAGCTTGATGAGACTAGTAAATGAGTAGAGCTTCAAGAAAAAGCCAAGTTTGACTCTATTTTTCCTGGCTTGCAGACAACTAAATCGGGCGAACTGCAGGAACATCAATCTGGAGATGGAAGAAAAAGAAAGCGCGAGAAAGCGGTGGACGACGCAATCGCTTCACCTACCTATCGCAAGAATGGAATAGACTGAATCTCAAAACGGTCTTAGAGCTGTGTATGAACTGGGGGGTTAGCATCGAATAGTAAAGTACATACATCGTAGTGCTGGTTAAGGCTGGGCAATAGTTATTGTGCTAGGTACTTGCTGACTGGCTAGACTGGCCAGCCTCCTTTTTCAACTAAGGACCGTCTTAATGCCGGCATCCCCAGAATGGTAACATCCTTTAGCTAGACTGCTGTACTACCATCCTCATTACGACTTCGCATCTGCAGGACAAGAGACTTATCTTCTGCATGTCTTTGTCTATGAGGAGATTTTTTTTTTCTGACTCGTCTGGTCCGTCGAATATCGGACTATGTATGGAGAAGGAGGATGATGATTCTAGATGGTTTGCCAAGTAAAATTTTCTGTCGGTCTTTGGCCGAATGCAGTCGATTTTCAGGAGCGCGTAGTCGCGATGGCTTGCTTTATTGGTAGTACAACATGACGTCTAGATTTTAATGCGTAGCATCGCAACCCGTGCTTTCAAAGGCATTCATACCTTAAAGCAGTTCGGACTTGGGTATTCTAGCAGCTAGCTGTAGCCAGTAAACCAATAATGTTATTGTTGCAGTGTATATGTGTAATTGGTAATTTTATAGATTGATGATGTCTTGAGGTATCATTTTCGTATCAGAGGTTTCAACTCGGTAGCATACCTAGGTATTGATGTTTAGTGTTGGTTTTTGATCTTCAAGAAAATAAAATGTTCTTATCATTACCTAGGTATCTCATTGAAGTACCTTCGTACCTTATCAATTAATCGATGGCGCTATCTGCGGTTGTTCCGCTTGGAATGTGAATAAAATTTGTAGGAACTTCTAAGCTAATATGCACAGACCACCCGTCAGAAGCTTCTATTTTACTATGGTTATCTGCACCCTTACGTCGTTGAACCACACCATTACCAAAATAGAAATCTTGAAAAATATGGGGAATGTCCCTTCCAAATCGACTCTTTCTTCTGAGGATCTCCCCTTTACGACCCCTCCCCCTCTCATTCTCCTCTTTCAGTTCTTTCAGACCATTCTTTTTTGTCACCCCTCCCCCCACCTTGGCTTCACCCTCCGCCCTCCTTGCCCTCCCGCTACCCTTTACTATCCTTTTACTACCCTCCCACATACGAGAAAATCGATCAACTGACCAGTAGCGAAAGACACCGATCCATTTCTCTCTAACCCCCAACCCATACCCGATACTGTATTGGATGGAACATTACCTTGACGGCCCTTGACGGCCAAACGGATGACCTGCCTTGACTGGCTTACTTTTCTTTTCTTTTTTTTCCCTTCCTTCCCACGCCCAGCATCGCCCTGCCTTGCCTCGCAGCCTGGCGCTTCGAAATTCCAGACATTGTCGCATATTCGTCTCTTTCTCTCCCGCATCTATCATACGCATACGCTAATTCGACGCTCACCGCCTCGTTCGCCGTCCCCCATCTCTAGGGAATCCTCGAACAAATTTTCTTCCGCAGCTTGCACTTGCAGCACTCCGCGTTTCGTTGTGTGCCAGCCACTGCATAATTCAGTTACCTTCGCTATCCATCCTTCCGTAACCCGACGGGAGTTAGATGCACACAATCTCACACAATCTAGACGAAAGGACCGTGTCGATCTTGTTTCCTCTTCGTTCGTCTATCTACCTACTCTTTCCCCCCTTCGCCGTGCCGTTGCAGATATATTCTATCTTGCGGTGAAGATGCTCTGAAATCCTTTGCTTGCTTGCTTATTGGTTGCAGGGAAAATCTGTAATGCAGACAGGGAGACAGGGTTGCTTCAGAGCAAAATGAATATCACCTTGCTTGCGCATCCCTGTCACATCGATAGGCGATAGTCGGTCCAATCCCTTCGTACATATCGGCTAATGAGGCAAGCCGCAAATGCCCACGAACAAAAAGTGAGGGGTGAATGAACAAGGATTCCACAACCTGGGTCTTAACCTCGATCGCGTGGGGAATCATCTAGCCACTCACAAACTAGCACTACATGCACGGCTGACGACATTCATGGATCTGTTTGGCAGCCTCGACTAGATTTCATTGCCTTAGTTGGCAGAGACACAGAACCCATGTGGTGTTATGGAAGCACAGCTTCATGGCCGATGAGTTGTGATACAATATGCAGAAAGAACTATACTGAGCGAAAATCTTTCTTTTTCGAGCGCCAAGAGTTCTAGACAATTTTCTCCTAGTGAACGCGCTCGTCTCAAAGCTAGCTACAGACGTTTGCCATGAGGAATATTTCCTTGTTATATCTCAAGACAAGCAAGCCTAGCTTGCAATGTCAAGTATATGAGGCTTTTGGCTTGACGCCTCTTATTTGTGGCCGAATTGTTTCATATAAGTATAAGGATGAGTATCCTTACATGAATTTTCTTTCCTCTACAAGCAACGCGTCGATCTGATATAAGACCAATATTATGTACCGAAGTGGCGTTCTGAAAATGCCTATCGGTCGTTGGACAATTGGTGGTTATCTTCTGCCGGTAAGTCACCGAATTGGATCCTTGTACAACAACTCCTGAAATTTCTGCACCCGACTTTTTTTTTTCCTTTTTAGTTTCCTTTTTCTCTCGCTGTAAGTTGCCGTCCCGTCAGGACCAAGTTGGTCGTGATAGGGCCGACCTACAGGAATGTACGACTTTTCCACCTATCGAGAATGCTAGATTGCTAGATAGGATTGACGACCTGGATATCTCGGCTTCTTGTAACGCCTCATGGCATAATCCACGCCAACCAGTTTAAGATACTGTCGCATGATTCTCTGCAGTATCCTGGTATCACAAAACTCCGTGGAGTTCGTCGGCCCCTGCCTTACCAGGGTACACTTCAACAGCCAATTGATAGAAGACTAGTTGAAGTTCCCTACGTTGACGAACTCTTAGCCTTCTTGGCATCTTCAGTATCACAAGCGTTTATGTATAGAAACATCTCGATGACAAACGTCACTCATATTATGTCCTACCCCAGGTAGACGCAGTTCTCAGGCCACTTGAGCATCGTTGCGGTGCCCTTCGTCGGCTTTTTGTACACGTGCCCTTTAAGGCAGTCGACAGCAGCGACTTCGCCCTGGTTCTCGGGTAACCGATGTATGCTATTGTTAGGATAATTGTCGAATGGGATTTCGACTGGTTCACGACATTGGTTACCTCTGAAACCCGTGCGTATATGCAAGCACTTTGTGTTACGTGCGGTGGGGTTCAATGGTTATCCGGCTTGTGTTGAGGCTCACCAGTCAGAATTATCCCATATCACTGCAGTCTAGATTCAACGGAGTTCGGTTGATGAGAGAGACATGTCATCTTGCGTGCTTACGTATCCCGTATATTATTCCGAATAGAACCATCCCATTGACCGCCAATGCAACGACTCGGCCTTCCCGCCGCAATGGGATCGTGATCGGATTCGGACCCGATTCCGTGGGCGGAGCACGTTACGTGCATGACTAGAGCGCCTTTGCCTTGGGGGTCCTGCCCCTTACGGCACTAGGCCGCGCGGTTGAGAATTCTACTATCGGCTCCGGGGTTGGTGTACTAGCCGATGGATAATCTTTAGGATGGTGCTGTATTTATTTAATGGCATGCTTCCGCCGACGTCGTCATTGTCCCGTCATTAACTAACTTATTTAGTACCTACCATCTACCCAGACAATGAAATGAGGATTTAAACCTTGCCGTTTCGTTCCGTTTCGTTTTGGCATTCGGCCCGGTTCAACATGTTTGTCCGAGATTTGTTTGCCGCAGCGGTTGAGAGACTTGCGTTGCTGAGTAAACACATGTAGTGCCGGGAAGGGAGAAGCATTTCTACTTTTCTTTTCTCAGGGAGAGACAGGTGGCAGACTATGCATGTGTGGTGACGTATTTTCAGCTGTTGTTTATGGGTTTTTGTCTGCTGGACATGGGATTTTGGAATGTGGAATGTGGGAAATGGAAATTAGGTGAGAGATAAGATACGCACCGGCTTAGCGCCGCAGGGGGTGATGAGGGTGGTTCAGGGTCTTAGCCGACTTGCAGAATTGTCTAACTGGTTGGGGTCTACGGTTTCGAAGCGTGGGTTGAAAGGAATCGTATGATATTGGGTGGAGGGGCATGTAAGGGAGATGGGATACCGCGATGGTGGAATCGGTGTGGGATGGGTCTTAGTCAGGCTTTTGACGGCGTGGTCAGGGATTATTAAGGGTTGAGGGAGAGCGTGGGGTTTATGGCCGGTGAGGGCTTTGGGTGGATGGGAGGTTGTTGGTTATCTGTTTTAAGGGTTGATGGATTTTGCTGATGTTATCCTTTGGAGGTGAGGTTTTTATTATTTCAAGGCCATTTTAAACAACCACATGGTTAATGTAGACTCGCCGTGAAACTCAGAATGTAGAATGATTATTGGAATAATCATTTGTATGTGAAAACTACCAACGAAAGGATTTCCCGGGTGATTGAGAGTGGCTGGGGAAAGGTAGGAAGACGGATAAGGTGCCAAAGCCATGAAGCCTCCGAATGCTTATAGAAAAATGTGGTCTAGCTATTAGAACAATTGAAACTGCTGCTATGAATCTGGGATATCCAAAGCACTGGGATTTATCCCATCTCCTCGAGAAACACGATTCTATTATCCGCCTAGTCAAAAACCACCCTCATGCAATATCTAAGAAGTAACTTCCGTAAGAGCCTTTTTCTCCTTCTCTTTCTCCGGCTCGACCATCTTCTTATACTCAATCCAATCATCACTCCTCGGGAATGGCCCCTCGGGCACATCCTCCATGCCTAAGAACTTACACAGAGGCACCCACCCATCTCCGGGCTTGAACTCAAGGAACTTCCTCCCTATCCCCCTCTCCCTCTCAGCATTTACTAATTCACGCACTAACTCATTATGCGCGCGATACGCCGCTATCCCGTACTTAGGTAAATCATTATCCCAGCAATACCCATGATACTTCTCTGACAACGGCGCCATAGGCGATGGGTCCGGATGAGGTCGATGTATATGCGCGTGCCAGAGCGTGGTTTCCATCGATGTAAGCCATGCCTCTTCCGAGTGCCGGACGGAGAGAATGACGCTAGCTTCAGGATACGCGGATAGGAGCTCCGCGGGGAAGATAGCTGCTGGATAGTCAGCTAGAGCCTGCAGTCGTCAGTAACGGATAACGCTGTTGTGAGAGTAAGGAGTATACCTCGTAGGACCCGAGTATCTGGTCAAATTTAGCTCGGTCGAAGGGCTCGCCGCGTCCTTCGAATTTAGCTTCAAGGGCTTCGATCCATAGCGCTTGGTGTCGGTTCTTGCCGACCTCGCGCATGTGGTATACGGGTGCGATTCCGAGACGTTCGAGGGCATCGGCAAGAGCTGAATTAGAGTTCTTGGTCGTTAGTCTAGTCGACTTCGTATGAAAATTATAAGGGGTAAGGGGGATGGGTGTGTGAGCACACATTGAGTCCCCGTGCGGGGCATGCCTAGGATGAGGACTTTCATCTTATGGCTGATTGAATTGAAAATGAGGTGAGATGAGGGTTAGGAGTTATTTTTGGTTATATACCAAGTATCTTGCGGCTTTATATACATGTTAATCTGAATGAGGCCTTTTTTCTACACATAATCTGTCTTCATGAGAATGAAGTTCACCCAAATCGATTTTCTCCGGTCTTCACTCCGGGATCATCCGAGTTGCCTCTTCTCTTGCCTATCCTGGATTTGGTGGCTCTAATTAATATCAAATAACGTGGAATTGCTCAAGATTTACGCCTTCTCGAGTCTTGATGTCGTTATTCGATTAGTCAATTGGCCCGCGTAACCTCATTAAGGATGATATTTTGAAGAGAGGTGATCGCGATCTCAACGCAAGTAGTAGTACATTCAAAATCGATGAGTAGGCTCAATTGCATAATGCTTATTTGCGTATTCATGGCCTCCCACCACCTTGGCGACTAGAGAGCAGGTGCTTTATACCAGGATCTTCCTCGATCCTCGCAATCCTATCCAAAGCTCGCCCTTCTTCTAGCGCATACGCGGATGTGATATCCAGCTTGAATTTTTCCCCATCGATTTCAATAGGCGCAAACCCTTCTCCAGTTAGGCCGCGGCGGAAACTTTTGAAAAGCATTCCGAATGCTTGTCCTACATGTCGGAATGGTGCAGTCATCAAGTGGTTCATCTCGTATTCGCGCTCCTCCTTCCGTCTGACCTCTTCCTCTTGCTTCATTCGCATCTTGTCATATTCCGTGGGAGCTGGCTTGCGGTTATACATGGGCGCCTTCATAACAATTGTATTAGGGTCCGCTTCGAAGCGGCGCAAAGGCAAGAATGGAAAGGGTAAGTTACGCCGCGCTTCAATTTGGAGCCGGACTGGTATATCTGTTGACGAAATCTCCTTCGCACCCGAAGTTGGTGTCTTGCCCTTTGCTAACCTTGCCGGTAATATCTTTATAGAACGTATAGATCCAGCAGGCATTAAAGCGAATCTAGTTCCGAAAGCCATCATTGCCATAGTCATCGCGCCGAATGCGACTGGAACAAGCACGTGAACCTCTGGCGGACAGTGGAGTACATTCGCATAATAATTGATGATAGCACTCCCAGCACAACATAGACCAGTCATATAACTTGAGAACAGGAATATCCTATGAGGTGCAGCCTCGTATAGAGTGACCGGGGAGGATTTATTTGCGAGTCGTTGTGCATAACTCATGCGAAGAATTTGTGCATTCTTGAATGGAGATGCAGCTGGCGCTTTGGGAGTCGCCGGGGCACTTTTAGAAGGTTTTTTCTGTTTTGCTGGTATAGGTTTCGTTTTAGCTATCGCAAATGTCCTGCGGCCTATTTGTGTGAATGTTGGCTGAAGCCACCGCGAGACAACAGCCGTTTGGTTGGTCCGGAGTGAAAAGATATGACGGGAACAACCCCGACATATTGATATAGGCGTCGTCATCGGGTTTTATGAGTCTAGATGAGACTATATTGACCATCTATACATTGGGTACGAGTGAAAACCCCTTTCTACTCATAACGCAGGTGAATTGTTTATATGGGCTTGAATAGTTTAATAATTTAGTTGTAGAGTGTTAGTGAAGCTTCAAGCTGACTTTGATAGAATTGCTTATCGATAAAATGTCATATTTAGGTCCCTGGGTGCACGGGAAGTGGGTCTTAAACTTAATCTTGAAATTACATATGTACCTACGTAATGTAAGTCCGGGACGGAACGCGGCGAAACTTTATAGCGTGGAGTCCCTTAAATTTCCGATAATATTCGGTTGAGGCCGGAGGATCCCCAACAAGCAGGACCGGGTTCAATTCATAAGCTCTAAATTTGGAAATCTCACCTTTGACGAGAGAAAAAAAGAGAGCACAGCACACACTGCTCAATTGAGGCTCAAGTTTTCTCCCTCAAGAAAAGAGAAAACAATGGCATCTTTTGTGACTGCTACACGCATATCAGCCCGGCTTGTAAGCCGACGGGTCGCTCAAGATGCCACAACTCGAGGTATTTATATCCATTGGAAGCTCTTGAATGTATTATCCAGCTAATGCTAAGCGCGCAGGCTTCCGCACGTCAGCGGCCTCGTTCGCCGCCCAAAACTTCACCATGCCCGCCCTCTCACCGACAATGACCGAAGGAAATATCGCGAGTTGGAAGATCAAGGAGGGCGATTCATTTTCCGCCGGCGATGTTCTGCTCGAGATCGAAACGGACAAGGCGACCATGGATGTTGAAGCGCAAGATGACGGGGTCCTTATGAAGATCATGCAAGGGGACGGTAGTAAGAATGTCCAAGTTGGCGTGCGAATTGGTGTTGTTGCCGAGTCCGGAGACGACATTAGCCAATTGGAAATTCCCGCCAATGAACAACCCGCACAGAAGGAGGCTAAGAAGGAGGAATCGGCGTCGCAACAAGAAAGCCAAAGCGCCGCACCCGAGAAGAAGGCCAGCGGACCCAAGAGAACTGGAGGAAAGGCCCCTCCGCAAAAATACCCCCTCTACCCATCAGTGGAGCACCTAATCAAGGAGCACAAGCTTGATGAGTCTGCGATTAGCGAGATGACGCCCACTGGCCCTAACGGACGGTTACTTAAGGGCGATGTTCTCGCATATCTCGGCACCGTATCGCCGAACAGGCCAGAAGAGATTAAGGCACGATTCGACCACATTTCCCACCTCGACCTCTCCAATATCAAGATCGCCGCTCCGAAAGAGGCACCAAAGAAGGCAGAAAAGGCACCGACAGTCCCCATTCCAGAGGATCTAGTAGTCTCGTTACCTATTTCTTTGGCGACAGTGATCGAAGTACAGAAGAAGGTCGAGGATACACTTGACACTTTCATACCCCTGTCAACTTTCGTCGCAAGAGCCACCGAATTAGCTAATGACGAATTACCCTTACCATCGAACTACAACCCTACTGCCGACGAGCTATTTAATCAAGTCCTAGGACTAGATAAGGCCGGTCCGACGGGATCGCGCGGCTATTACCTTCCTCAAATCGCTGCCGTTCCCTCGCCCTCATTCACCGGTGTTGCCCCTAAGCCTAAGACCAAGGTCGACATCATTGATTTCCTAGCGGGTTCAACTAAGAAATCAGCACCACGAGTTCAAAGACCCGGCCCTCACTCCGGAATCTCTACCGGTTCCAACATATTCAGCCTCACTGTACCAAAATCTGAGGAAAAGAGAGCCAAGGCATTCCTACAAAGAGTCAAGACAGTACTGGAGTCCGAGCCGGGTAGACTTGTTTTATGAAAAAATTCAGAATTCGAAGCAAGCAAAAAAGTGATTGTAACTATAGAGCCTGTACTGTTGAAAAGGAAGCACTGATAGACTATATAATTAAGAGCAACTGGTTATCTACTATACCTTGGACAATATACCATTTGCACATATCGCAGCGTTTATGACTAGCATGACATTTTATAACAGTCCTATAACGATATACCTGGACAGATACCATGCCGCTCCGTATATACTTGCCACCGCGCAGTGACTTCCAAAAGACCCCGCAGCCTCACCAGCGCTCCTAATAGCACCAGTACATGCATCCAGTTGTGGCTTTGGCCGACTAAATCGAAAGTGCCCGGGAACCAGCGCTCAGGCACTCGAGCCGCATACACGGCAGCGCCAGCAAAATTAATAACTGCGAGACCGAGAAACGATCGCGGGCCCATAGTCTCCTCCAGCTCCTCCCATCCAGACCGAGTAAGTCCATGGGCTACTGGCGCGAATAGGCTTGCGCCGAGGAAGCAGTACATAAGGAAACGCGTCGTGCGATAAGCTGGCGTGCGGAAAGCGGGGCGGAGGGTGAATACTGCGCAACCTGCCGCGGTACAGGTCAAGGCGGTAAAATAGGCATTTCGGGGGAACGGGGTGCAGTAGAAGGCGAAATATGTACCAGAGACGCCTGTCCCCCACATTACTAGTACGATGCCTAAGTGATCAAGTTCATTGCCGAGTTTGTAACGGTGCGCTGTGGTCGGAGAAGGTGTGAAAGAAAGTTGATAGAACGAAGCAAGTTGCCACGCTGAGGTTGTAAATGCTGAGCGCGATGATATCGGGTGTTTGGAAGGGTGCTTGGGGGGTTGCTATGAGCCCGACGTAGTGATACAGGACCTTTGCGAAGAACAGAGCCCCGAGGAGATGGGACCATATGTTTGCTGGCTTTGACGTTAGATCCAACTATTATGATGTAGTGGAGTAAGCCTCGTACTTGTCTCATTGTGGACTGCGAAGATACTCTTGAGCGACTTCAAGTGAGAAAAAGAAGCTCGCCTACAATAAGATATAAGTCTATGTTTCTCATATAAGGACCACACTTCTGTTCTCACCGGTAACTTGTCAAGATGAACTCATTGTCCCTATAATCTAGGTAAGTCAATGTGAATATTGTGAAGGTGGTACAGTATCTACCTTTGCCAAGGCACTGTGGTTGGTCAGTATAACATACAAGGCGAATCGAGGAGATAGAGGTTGCTACTTGCGTATATCTTTCCAGCTCAAAAGACCAGGCTGGTTTGTTACCCCAGATTTTGAAGTCATCGCTGTCGGAGTATCTGTCTATCATAGAAAATAATGAGTTTATTATCAAGGCCAATTTCTTCGGAAATTGAAAATCGATATTTGTCGGTACAGAAGTTGTGGGAGCCTTCCTTTCACACCACGAGGAAGAAACGAGTCGGCTGGTGTTACAGGGGCATTTCCCGTCGGCCTCGGTGACCATTCCCGGGCCGTGAGGCGTCATATCGCTTCCTATAGCAGTTAGCACAGCGGTTACCGGTGAATGTGATTGGTCATTTGCGCAGGAGCAGATGTTGTACGCCAACAAGCACCTAACCATCCAATAGGAAACATCACAATCAAAAAAGAGGCGTTGGTGATGACCTCCAAAAATCGAACATTTGCTTTTTTCTAATATTGCGTTATCGCTGTGGCGGACCTGCATAAGGCTTCGAAACGGTATAACCAATGCCTCCCAGTTACATCCAGACATTCCAGATAGATCCCTTCTCAACAGCGCTTAAGATGTTTTGTGTAAGTTGCTTATATGAGTTGCAAGTGCAACGCTCTTTGGTCCGATCTTGGGATTTGATGTCATCTCCTTCGGATAGTTTCAATTGAATGTAAATTTGCACTTTATGGCCCCTGAGATAATGCGAGCTTGTCTTGCTACTACCTTCTTTCTTTTCCTTGCGCACTGCCGGGCCGATTTTGACATTACTACGAATTTGACCGCGGATACAATTCCAAATGGCACTCAGCTCGTTGGCTATGTCCAAGATCCCGATGGCAGAGGGACTACTACGCTAGTTATATCCTGTTTGTTGACTTTAGTTCTCTGTGTCTGGTCAGCTCTTCATCTCAACGTTCCAAGGCGACAGCAATCCAGAATACAGAACTTTTGGCTTAACCTTCGTTGGGTTGTCGCTGAGATATATGCCCCGGAGCTCGCCGTCTTCACAGCATGGAGGCAATGGTGCTCAGCCCGGCTACTACAGCAACTTGTCGAGCAATCTCTTGAAGATCCCAAGCCAAGCTCACTGGCTACGAAGTGCTCCGAACAATGGACGATGTCCCATAGCTTCTTTGCGTGCACTGGAGGTTTTGCTTTCGAACTTGCACCCTTGGAGAGTGAATTACTAAACCCAGATGACCTCATAGTAGATAGACCCCGAAGACTAACTCTCACTGCGAGGGGAGTAGCACTTCTCGCTAGATGTGGCCACCTACCGTCAATTCGAAGGGAAGAGATCGAGGATAAGAGTAAGGCAAACGACCTGGCCAAGGCGACGGTAATAATCCAAGCCGTGTGGATGCTTATCCAAGTAGTTGGACGTCTTGCATCAAAACTTCCAGTAACGCCTCTGGAGGTGAATACTGTAGCTCATGTGTAGGCACCTAGCTCATCTTCAGTTTCGCATACGCTAACCTATTCATAGGCTCTGCGCTTTTATGATGTATCTGTTTTGGTGGAATAAGCCGCTACTCCCAAACGAGCCCATTATTCTTGACGCAGATGAATTAGGACCTCTTGCGGCTTTCATGTACTCAAGTAGCGAGATGAGTGGATATGTCAATCCTCAACAAGTCAAGTCTCAGACCATTATCAAAACATTATTCGCTCACCTCAATCTATACTCCAAGGCTCCCGAGTTCGAGACTATCTGCCTGCAACCGACAACCCCAGAGGCAGGAGTCAAACCCTATGCCCTGTCAACATCGACCCCTCTAGACTCCAATCCCGACATAGAGCTCCTCCCTTTCCTTCAAGATCCGAAGACTTCCTTTTCCCGAGCTCCCCAAATATGCATCTCCGAACTCCAAGCGCGCCGCGAAAAAGAACAAGGCACGGCATTCTTTGAGAGGCGTCCAAGAATCATTAGTGAGCGAGCAGATAGCACACAGCCATCCATGGGGGATACCATAAGGTGGACATTGATAAAGGAAGCTCTCCAAAGCTTCCCCATACTATGCGACGACCGTATTTTAATGTCGCATTATGTGGATGGTAACCCATGTATCCACTTCAAGACCGAGTAACTCGTAGTAGATCATGTGCAGAACTGGCCATCAAATGACCTTCTGCGCAACGTCGACAGCCTCGTCGTTGGTATGGTCCTCTGGTTAGCGAATCTATGTTATGGCGGTATCCACGCTGTAGGCTGGAATGAGCATTTCCCTACTACTGCTGAGTCCTGGCTCTGGCGCGCCTCGGCTCTCTACATTGGCTTCTGTGGCGGATTATGGGTGGCCTTAAATCTCATGGTCGCGAAGATACCCACCCTGAATGAGTTCTGGGAGCACTGGATGGATGGGAAGAAGACTTGGTGGCAGAACCTTGGGTTGGGCATTGTGGTGTTTTTGTGCGGGTTCAGTCTGGTATTGGCTCGTATGTTCATTGTAGTCGAAGCTATTATTAGTATTAGAGAGTTGCCGGCCGCGGCGTATCAAACTCCTGAGTGGACGGATTTGTTTCCGCATTTTTGAATATGAACATAATTAGAAAGACTTGGATTGGTATACTACGTTACTGAAGGATGATTTCGGTAAGTGATTTCCAAGTCCCTAGTGTTAACAGCCCCTCCAATAGTTCGTTGTTCAGATCTACACAGCTAATCTACGATGAATACCGAGGTATAAAGTGTTTAATTAGAGGCTCTTGAATTTCAGGTGTGGATATCTATCTCATTCGCCGCATCATTCAATGCCGATACCTTAACGTCGACCCCTATTCGAGTACGTCGGACATAGAAACGGTCACTTGAAATTAGTTGTTCTTGTACTGTTACGTAAACTCTTTGTTTCATCTGTCCAGTCGGTATAGACTGGCTTGAATCTAGACCTCTATTACTCTAGTGTGCCGACCTATCTGATCAACATTTCGAATACATCACATCTATCAGCATAGGACACCACTTAGGATTTATTGAGAAAATTACATCATTTTATACATGATTATCTCTTATATTAGTAAACAAAAATCATCTACACTCACATAGACACTGATCCATACCTAACAAATCTTCCCTCCCACTTGATCAGAACCTTCTAGCCAAAACATCAACAAGTCCAATTGTCCCTCCTATCATCAATACGGCACCATCACTTGACACCATGATGTAAAAGTACATCGCTAGGAGAAGTATCGAGATAATTACTCCTTTTGGGGAAAGATATGACGTCCCATCAAGATTAGCGTCGTTAAGGGTCCACGGATCTACGATCGGCCTACCGGATGATTAGATCGTAAAACCACTTGACCAAGATCTGACCCCTTTTCGCATGGACTTCGTGGGGTATATGTTATGCTTGAGATCGAAGTATGGAGAGGAGTGACGTTCGGTTAGTAAGATGCCCCTATGATTGAGGAGGGGGGAGGATTGTGTACCTAGGTAACTATTCGATCTATTGGCATCTCATATTATATCACATCTGAATTACAAGTTATGAGCACGCTAAATATATGTAGTATTTGCTGAATTTTAGTTTATTTTATTTGATTGTGCGTGATCATCGTGTAAAGTCACTAATCCCTACGCAATTGATCATTTACCTAGGTAGACAAAGTAGCCGAAGCGAGCTAACAAGAACAATAACAAAATAATGAGAAGCTATTATTAGTCCTGAAAATAGCAATTTAAATAGGAGACCCTTACTATAAGGCCTGAAGCAGTCACCTTCCCATTTAGGGGATATTTCCAGAATATTACTACGGAACTTCCGCTCAAGCCCTGTAAACCTAGGGTTTTTAAAAACCATAACAATTGTTTCCTATTGCGTCTATTTTCAAGGGCCATTGTCTACTTGAGCTATATCTACTAGAGTTACTCACATTGCTATAGTAGTGATCTACCTCTACCCCTATCCATAGGCTATTGGGTCATTACGTACGCCTCTAAATACGTAGGGCACTGATCAATCGTATGAGACTATGTGGACTCTAACCACTTAATTCCTACCGTGTCGCCGGCTCTGAAGCTTGCTTGGCTGATAATATCGGGGGGTAGCAGAGCACTGTTCGGTCTCCTGAATGCTCACCTCATGGGTTGACTCCGCTCGGGCCCGGACTGCCTCAAAATCGGATCACTAATAACGGAGTAAAAACGCCCACATCCAAGACTAAAAAAATAGCTCAAAAATATCAAAAAAACGTACAACACCAAGGATTCGCCGGTCGTCACCGACCCGACTACTAGTTCGGCAGTAACTGGTTTATCTAAGGGAGAGCGGACGGGATCCCGAGTTTTCCAGATCTTATGGTCGTACGTAATAGTTTCCTGTGCAACTGTTAGCTATATGCTATGCCCTAGTCTGTGAAAGACTTGCGAGTTAAGCCCACCGCGTAGTCCCTGCCCCACTTCAGTATTAATTCGACCCACTTGCTCTCTAAAATGGTTGACTAGAATCTTATCCGTGAATACCGGCGACATCCTGTTGAGGGGCTATATGCCTTGTCACTGAGGTGAATTCTGGTTGTTTCGGTAGTAGATATCCCGCTTGTCATAGACGAACACTTTAAAGTACACTTGCATAAGGGTCGTCCTGAGGGAAGTATGATTCTGCGGGTTATAAGAAAATGTAATCAATTATTAAATCCTTGCTACCTACCCGTCGGGATTAAATAAAGAGCAAGTGTCGTCATCGCCGTGGGAGGTTCGATGAAGGAACCCACCTTATTGGTGACACCCGCACGCGACATTTATGTCACGCATGACAAGACGGAAGGAAGTGGATTTTCGATAGCCGAAATTGCTTCGTATCTGTGAGTATTTATTTAGTTTTCGGTGGACATGGGGACTACGGGGTGGCATTCACTGTAGAGTACAGATATTGGTTCCCCTTGACCGCATGTGGGTTGAGTCCTCAGGGACAGATATTGACATGGAAAACCATCTCGGCAACACTGCAAAATAAATTGATGTCGTTGTTATGATGGCATGCTCAAAATCGGGGGAATGGGGACATTAAAATGAGTTCCATGATACCCGGTCAGCCGGCAAACCGGACCTCGGTTGGATGCCGACTTCGCGAGATTTACGATTCGGTTTGCTTCGCGGATAAGTTATTTGTGGCTCTTGAGTTGAGTAATTGATTAGTAACTTGTTGCTTCTGTCCAACACACCTTTGCCTTGTCTACTGTATGCAGTGAATTCCTAGAAGGTTGCTTCATTAAAAAGCTGACGTCAATATGGCATTTCTTGGATTGGAGGCGTCTACATCGAATGGATGTCCAGTGATGGTACTGACCACCAACCGCAACAACACATCCAATCAGAAATACCATTGCAAACCAGCGATGGTTACCTGCGTAAAGCTGCAACTTCTTGCGTCTGATCCTTGATCATGTGACTTGATCGTGAGAGGGGTGGTCGAGTAGCCATAGGGCTACAACAACCTTGAGAAGGCGTGGTGCTGTCAATCGTTTGGGAGTTTACTTGCGGCATCCATGCATCGCACGTTGCCTGAGGTCTGCATTGGGGGCCAAGCTGGTTGCGAGGGTGGGTTATAGGACAAGCAGCTCTTCTCGCTTGTACCTAGGTAATTATGCGCTCTCCCTTGGTAACGATATACGGTATGTAGCTTGTAGCGTCCTGAGAATAGATTCGGCGCCCGAGAAGGCGGCTGATTAAATCCTGGTTAGCTATAAGCGGTTAAGAGGGCAAATGAGAGAGTAAAGCTGGAATCTCCAGGGGTGTTGGTTCGGAGGTCCCTTTGGGTAGGTATGGTAGGGGTGAAATGCGAGAGCTGAAAGACTGGTACGACCCAAAAGGCCGACCTACCCATGTTTTCTTACTAAAGGGTCCGAATCGCCGACCTTAATGTATAGAGGTTCCTTTTCGTTGAACGAGCCTCGCTAACAATAGTGAGGAGACGAGTTGGAGCTTCGTTAAATTTCAATAATCGCTTATTTTTCTGCATTTGCTACAGGAATCTGTCATTTCCTGCCCACCTGCTTAGATGAGTACCGGCGTAATTGGTCCCTGAGTGCATGCACGAATCGTCCGAAAGCTGGTCATACCCTCCTGGGGAATTTGACACTGCAGCGTGGTGGTAGTCGATGCTGTTGCCGGCTTGGGAAGGAGGAACAAAAAGGGATTCTTACGCAAGAATCGATTGGCATCACCAAAGTGCCGTACGGGTGTTGTCCTTGGCAGTTTGAAGTTTAGCCAAACCATCAAATCTGGGGAAAAATCATACCTCCGCCAGCTATACAGTAACGTTGCGTACATATGATAGAAGCCGTGAAGTTTCTTTGAAGCGTGGGATCTCATGAGGAGAGATGATAGATGATAGCAGTTAAACGAGACGCCAGTGGAGTAGATCAAACAAATCGTGGGTGGGTGTTTTCTTGGGTGCTGTGTGGGAGAGATAAAAGCGGTGCCGTGCTTGGTGCTTGGTAGCTTGGTGCTTGGTGCTTCAACTCGTCCGCGTGAGACGGTATGCCGCCTTTAGAACCCCTCGTAACGAACTCCCGGCCAGTTGGTATATAAACTCTAAGGCATGTGTTGCTTCTATCAAAATAGCCGCTAAGTAGAACGTCTAGAAAGTTTAACAAGCTAGTAGCCTGTAAGAAAAGACATCTAAAGACGGATAGAAAGTAAGTGGAAGACGCGGCGACGCGTGTCTGAAGTATACCCACCATGGGCCACCACCAACACCTCGAGGTCCTTTAGTATTCAATTCACTGGCCAATCTTGTCGCCGGGACCCGCCAAAGAAGTACGGGAAGCCATATGTGCATTTGTATGATTTGTATGGAGCGATCCAGACAAACCATGAAGAGGGAGGGTCTTAGGTTAGGCATCGCGGTGGTGCCACTGTCATACGTAGGGTTGGAGTACAAATCGGACTTTGTAGGAGGGTAAAGAGTGTATCATGACTAAATATGTACGTATATGGAGGTTCAGACTCGAGCGTATTGGGGGAGTTCGGCTGCCTGGTGTTGCAACGGCAAAGGCAAAATTAAGAGAAAGGAAATTGGGCAATATATAAAGTCTGGGGAGAGAGAGGGAAAAAGTTGGAGTTGTTTAATAAATTGGGTGATGATGCCGAGTTTGATATTGAAAGCGTTTACGACGTACATGTAGATGTTTAAGGTAGAGATGTATCCCACAAGACACGAGATATAGGTAAGGTACAAACTCCACGTACCAATTGGTATGTACATGGTGGGACAAATTGAATGGATTGAACTTTAGCTTACCTAGCACCTACAGATACAGTTGAGTTGAGACTTACAGGCAGGCACACATAAATGTACAAGGTAAGAGGTACCCTTCTTTCGCATATCCAATTATGTATGTCCCTAGCGCTTTCTTTTGCTTGCACAGCCTCAATTCTGCCAATTAGATCCTCATAATCTGAAACCCCACTGCTCACCTGCCTTGCCTGCCCAGAATTTCCCTTCCCCTTAGGTCTTGATTACGACCCTCAAGCCCCTAGTTTCCTAGTAGTTTCTTATTCCCCCTAGCAACTTCAGGCCTTTAGCAGACCTAATCAGACCTTAATTCCCTGAAACTTTGGGTAGTTGGCACCTATTAGCACCAATTGCATCGACGGAAGTACCTAAGTATTCGGCCTACTGAACCTTTTTTTCCCCTTCTGCGTTTTATTCGTTTTCTGCTTTTTCTGTACGTCCAATCCCAATTGACGCCCAGCAGCACTTGCCTGCTTGCTTCCCATTTCCCACTGTATCATAGTACGCATCCGCTCCACTTTACAAGGACTGACAATTATAGCGAGTCTTTGATTGACCCGGATTCTTCTGACGTTTCCATCGGCCTTGACCCTTTTCACCTCTTCCCTCTTCATTTTTTTTTTCTCTTGCCCAGAGACCCCGCGACAACGGCGAAGCATTCCGCGCATATCCTTTTCTCAACGACGATAACAGTTTCTCCCTCTTTTATTTTTTTTCTGCGGTCGTGCACGAAATTTTACAGTGACCCGCGAAAGAAGTAGAGAAGTGACAAGACATCTTTTACAGTAGTTCTCGTTTTCTAGTTTGAGACGATCCGGTTCGCCCGCATTGTTTTGAAACCCGAAGTCAAGACACTTATCTGTTTGTTGGCTCTGTCGCCATCCACTTTACCGTGACCGCCGTACTCTGACAACCGCCTGACAGCCCGCACCTTGGTGATTGCTGCGCGCTTTGTGTCATTGTAACAACAGAAGAAGAACAACCGGCGTACAGTCCATTACCACGACTCCTCTCGAGAATTCCCCGATTGTAACAGACGACACCTCTTTCCCATCTCTCTTCTCCCTATTCTTTCTTCCAATCCGCCACCCCTCACACATCTTCTATCGTATCGTACGCATACGCATTGCATCGTATCTGCTATTACAGGCGAATTATTCGAGTCCTTTGATTCCTAACAACAGGACCCATTTACGACAAAACAATACCGATAGATTGAATTACGATTCGTTCCTTTTTTCTTTCGCACGAGCGACACAAGGCCGATTCAAAACCACGCATCCTTCCCATTTGCATTCTTGCTACCGATCGATTTCGATTTATTTTTATACGAAGCTATCACCAGAATTGATCTGTCGCAGTCCTCGTAAAGGCGCACGCACAACAATCTGGAGACGAAGCACTCTCGGCTTTTTTATCGAGACTGCAAAAAAATTTTAATGCCACAGTAAAGGGAATCGCCACTAGATCCTCTGTGCCTGAATTTAGCAGCGAGACTTGAGCTTCTTTTAGAAAGCTCCATCACTAGCTGGGATCACTTCATCGTGGGTTTTTTCCGTTCTCTTGTCTCCCTTTTTTTGGGGTCGCTGGTCTTGATAATCCACCGGCCGCCCCTCTTCCCCACTCCCCTTGTCGTCACCTCAGCTTTAAATCCCATCCGGTCTACTACTACTCTCCCTCGAGACCAAGATCTTCTTCCCCCATCGGCCCCAAATTCCTCGTCACAAGTCCCTCTTCCTCTTTGTCCTACCCTACATACATCCTATTAAAAATGTCTTAATGTCTTATCTGCTAACATTGCGAGCTGCATCTAGGCCTAAGAAGTGCATCATTCTCTGATATCGGGCTCCACCCTATTTCCCCAGATCCCGGTCCTCTACAACCCTAGGGCCCTGATCTCACACATCTCGAGTTTCGCGGGCCAACCCACCTGGCAGGTCAGGAACCCAAGATGGCGGATCAACACGACGTTGATTTAGACTCTATCATCGACCGCCTCCTGGAGGTGCGTGGCAGCAGACCTGGCAAGCAGGTCCAACTTTTGGAAACCGAGATCCGATATCTCTGCACAAAGGCTAGGGAGATCTTCATCAGCCAGCCAATCTTACTGGAGCTAGAAGCTCCTATCAAGGTACGTAAATGGTTGATATATATAATCGGTCCACATTTGAAAGCGAGTCAGTCCACTGATGGTTCCATGATTTTTCTCTTAGATCTGCGGTGATATTCACGGACAATACTACGATCTCCTACGCCTTTTCGAATACGGCGGCTTCCCTCCTGAGGCGAATTACCTCTTCCTAGGTGACTACGTAGATCGTGGCAAGCAGTCTCTGGAGACCATCTGCCTTCTCCTCGCCTACAAGATCAAGTACCCCGAGAACTTCTTCATCCTAAGGGGTAACCACGAGTGTGCTTCTATCAACCGTATCTACGGTTTCTACGACGAGTGCAAGCGCCGCTATAACATCAAGCTATGGAAGACATTCACAGATTGCTTCAACTGTCTACCAATTGCTGCGATCATTGACGAGAAGATCTTTACGATGCATGGTGGTCTTAGTCCTGATCTCAACTCGATGGAGCAGATTCGACGAGTGATGCGACCAACAGACGTGAGTCATCCCTGCTCCTTAGCTAGTAAACGTTTTTTGTACCGCCATTATAGGCTTGGATTGCTACTGACATGATTCGTCCTAGATACCGGATTGCGGTCTTCTTTGCGACCTGTTATGGTCTGACCCTGACAAGGATATCACCGGCTGGAGCGAGAACGATCGTGGCGTATCCTTTACTTTTGGTCCTGACGTTGTTTCCCGATTCTTGCAAAAGCACGACATGGATTTGATTTGCCGAGCCCACCAGGTCGTTGAAGACGGGTACGAATTCTTTTCTAAGCGCCAATTAGTTACCCTATTCAGCGCGCCCAACTACTGCGGAGAGTTCGACAATGCTGGAGCTATGATGAGTGTCGACGAGAGTCTATTATGTTCCTTCCAGGTTTGTCCCCTATCCAATTTATCAACAAAGTATTATGACAATAGCTAATGATATTGCTACATCAGATTCTCAAGCCTGCTGAGAAGAAACAAAAGTACGTCCATGGCGGCCTCGGAGGCAGCGGTTTCGCATCTCCAAGAAAGCAATCCAAGTCCTAAAGCAAGAGTATTCATACGAACTTCCTCGTCTTTCTAGGTTCGGCCGCCGATAAGTTGCTCCCTACGCACTACACCCGTACTTGAGTCACGATGTTTGCCCCTCGATCAACGATCCCACTTTGGCATATTACCGCCGCTTTCAGTTGTGACGACCACACACACATACACCTCCGACCGGAACGGCCGTTTTGATAATGCTATCTCGAGTACAAATATAATGACCCACCGCCTCCGCAAAAACACACGCACTCGGTTTCTCGGAACCATACTTGAACTCGGAACGAACGAGGGGGAGAGAGACGAAAGTTGATGGTGAAGGGGGAGAATTGCTGTTATTACACGAGAAAAGAAATAAAATCAGGTTTTCATTTGGAATGGTCTCCATGAGTGATCTCAGTTCACTCGCCTCAGTCTGGCCATGGTGACGAAAGGGGGGAAAGAGTCTAGACAGTTAATTTTGTTTCCCCGAGACGTGAAATTTACGAATTCATGCAACGATCTTGCTTCACGGCTTCTATATATTATTCTTACGTTAAGTTCCCTTGTGAAGTGATATACTATCCTTGGTTATGATATATGGCATTGGTACTAATTTGGTATTCTTGACGCTGATTAGGTATATCCATGTGGTTTGAAGAGATGCATGGAGGCGTTGTACGATGGGAAAGTAGATTGATAGCTCTAGATTGCCATTGTATCTTTTTCTAGATATCATGTTCCCCGTAATTTACCAATGTTCATAAATGCGCTACTGGCTTCATAAATGGTGCCCTCTATTTGATAAAGAATGCCTGCTGTGTAACTTAGTAGATTCCTCGGGACACACCCCCAAGCCCCTCTATACTTGCTAGACAGGAGCTTCATATCCTAGATATATCTGGCGAGCTGACCTGTACTTTCCTCCTGGGTTTAGTGGTAACTGCAGTAGCCTTTATACAATACCCAGATATACAGCTCCTTATTCTACTGTTCACATTACTTCATAGTAGGACTAGAGATTCAGTAGCATAGGCAAATTACTTGCAGTCCTCACACTCATCCTGCGTCGCTTTATTCGTCCCCGCGCTCTCGGTCCCCGGTTTACACGCCGGTCCACCGATGTTCGCCTCGGGATGTGTATTCAAACCTAACGTATTCTCCTCTCCGGCTTTCGATAGCACGGGTTTTTGCGTATCCGTATTCTGTGCCTCATTCTTTGCCTTTCCGTAGTCCTTATCCACGTGTCCCAGGTTCCGCCCCGGCTCAATCGTATCGCGAACCCGTCGTTTCAACTCTTTCGTCTCGGGGAAGCCGCCGTCGGTTTTGCGGTTCCAGAGTATGCGCTGTTGGATTGTGGGTGTGGGAGAGGTGGAAGAGGGGTCCCGTGGTTGGGATTCGGGGGGTGGGGTGGGTGATGTGAAGAATATCTCGACGATGAATGTTCCCCCTGTGGAGGGCTGGAGGGCGACTTCGCCGAGGGAGGTCGAGAAGGTGGAGAGGAGCTCTTGCGCGAACTAGGAGGTAGGTTGTTAGTTATGCTATCTACTAGCTATATCGTCTTGGATAGGGTGAGAAGAGGTAAGGTCAGGTAAAGGGCCGGAGCTAGGCGAGAGGTAGGTAACGATAAGATATGGCGGTGTTCGTGGGGTTGTCGTTTTTTACACCCCGGGGGCTGATGTGATATGTCACTGGGACAGGGTCTTTGCTTTGATCCTGGTAGTGACGGTGTGGGATGGATAGGGATATGAAAGGGACGAGGGGAGAAGTAGGTTTGTGCCAGATTTGTCGTCGTCTGAGGCAGGCTAGAACTTACGTATGCGGCTCTCAACATCCATTTACACTGCGTACAAAACCGGATGGTCACACGAGGAAGCGGATATGGGGAGTCTGGGGATGCATGACCCGAAGTTTTAGTCTCGGTCTCGGCCATTATCTCGAGGCAATGTAAGAGCAATAGCTTCAATTAGTGGTTTTCGTATATACACCGCGTCGTATATCGTATAGTCTAGAGTCGTCGGTATGTCTGATCCTGAAATTGATGCTTTTTGGATCGTTGCTACACTGCGCATGTGTAGATTGTAGATTACATGGGAAAAGTAAACTAAACGTGGGGTGCTATGGCTATGACGATGATAGAAAAGGTACATTGGTATACAAATCGGTCGGTTCGGTAAGCTAAGATAAGGCCAAGGTCAACTGAAGCTTAGGTCTATTGCCGCTACTATGTGTACCTATAGCTTGCTTTTTGGGGCTGTCAAGCTCGCGACCACCTGAACGCTTAACGCTTAACGGCTTCTAGTAAGGGGTTCCGTACAGTGAACCGCTCGGGTAACAACGCTGATTGGGTAACACTTTCCAACGCAATGGTTCAAGTGAACTTCACGTTTGGCACTTGCCTGTTTAGAGTATATAACCTGTATTAATCCTATAAACTTTCAAAAACTTTTTTTTTTTTTTTTTCGAAGAAACAGATAAAGGTATTTCTTACCATCTTATAACCTCCATTGTATCGGAATCAATATGGGTCGAGAAACTACCGCGCTCCTAGATAATCGTAGATTTGAATCGAGAAGGATGCGGATGCGTATGTTACATCAACGCCTTGTGTCCTCGGAACCGAATCAGTTATATATTTTACCGCTTGATGCGGCACGCTAGATCCGTAAAGATTTGCGTGCAGATTTTAGCACCCAGACTTTTAGAGACACTGTCGCGAACCGCCCCAGGGCAGGTCAGCAGCAGACTGTCAGACCGCTACTTTATCTGCAGGATAAGTTGGAGACCATGAACATATCATGCGGAGTGGGTAAGGTTCCAACGGGAGGGGAATCCTATCGTGATAGGTAGCCTTTTTCCTCGAACCCACGATCTACAACTAGGATTATGGAGAAAGGACCCTTTCCCTCGGGACTTGAACTTCCCTTCACCGTTAAACGTTAGATCTAGATAATATCGCGAAGGGCTAAGGTCAAAGAGAGGAGCCTCAAGCATGCGGCACGTAGGTAACATGTACATAACTTTATGATACAACTTTTTAAGTTGATTGATGGTAATAAAGACCTATTGAAGATAGGCTAAGTATGTCATAACAAGGAAATATTGTCATTCATCGAGTACCGATAGAGTCGACAAAGGAAAAGCAGAACAATACAGTCATGAACGAACAAATATTACATGTTGATGAGCTTCTTCCCTGGACTCCCTTTTCTTCCCCCCTATGATGGACTGCCCGTCCACCTTGCAACCTAAACATAGGAGTATTGAGGTATGTCGGTTGATGATGAATTATCGTAACACGGCCGATAGATATCGAGCCTCGGGTATTGTAGTAGTAAGTAGTAATAGCAGCAGCAGCAGTGGCAGTAGTAATAGTAGCTTTTTGGTTTTTCGCCTCCTTTCCCATCTCCCTTTTATCTTTTTTCCCTTTCGAGACCCATCTTCTCAGCAATGCGTAAGCAATTCAACTGTGCGCAAGACCTTCAATTATGATGGACAGAGCCAAAGGGCCCCTTCACCGCCGAGACAAGGCTCCCAAGCCTATAATCCTGATCTCGTCGCGATGTGATTCTCGCGGAACACGTCGTCGTATTCGCCATATGTTATACGCGTCTCTAGTCGGTCTTGTTCGCTTGTGGTGTCCCGCTCTACATGACCAAGCAGCATCCACCATTTTGCGGAGGCGCGTATGGATCCTCTCCTCGTGGAACGGCTCCCCATACTGACGGTACCATGTAATCTCTCGTGCTATTACAATACGCGATGATACTGCATTAAATGTTAATACGAAATGATCCCATCGCCGATTACTTCCTGTTTGCTTTTTTCTCACCTCCTAGATGCCTGCGACACGGGAATTCGTTCTCTCTCCAAGTCTTCTCGCAGCCTGCTGTTCAGCTCGGTCAATCGTCGCAGCTTCAGATCGGCCATGGATTGCTTGTTTTTCTTGATTTGCGACGGGTCGCCAACGTCTCGGGAGGTGTATTGAGGCATCTTGATGGCGGTGATGGAAGAAGAGATGGAATCCGTCCTGGGTCGGGGTTCTAGTCCTAAAGCTTGTGGCTGTGTGACTGGGCCACTTGCAGCGCCTCCCGAAGTCCGAGAATCGTAAATCTCTATTGAAGACATGGCCCAAGTCAGTAAAAACAGCTGCGGCTAAGAGGCATGTCTCATTGCCGATTGAATTTTCTTTCCTGTCGGAGTGGGTGGAATTGCTATCTTGTTCGCGTCTCGCGGGTCCATAGCCCCCTATCGGAAGGGAGGGAGGAATGCAAGGAGGGAGCTAGCCAATTTCCAATTCGTCCGTATCGGAATCGGGGGTTTTCAATCGAGACAAGTTTGACAACAAGTAGTAGAAGGGCGAGCGTTACTTACACAAGAATACCAAAAGGCGACGTCAAGAACAAAGGAATACACACTAAAGAAGTTGAAAGGGGCGACGAAGAGAGCGCAACGTCAGGACGTGGATGGTGGATTCGTCGAAGCGAAAAAAAGACGTGAAGGAAAGACTATGGGAAGAGCTGGGGGAACAAAGAAAGAGTTGGCTGGCCCCTAAGATTGGTACCCGTAAGGAGTACAGAAGCACGGAAAGTACAGAAGTACCTACCTAGGTATAAAAGAAGGGAACCTAGCTACATATGGGAGTAGCAACACTAACAAAAGTCCTACCTGACTCGTTCATTGGTCAGGAGCGCTTGAATATGGGGCTCTTCCGCATGCTGGGAAATTGGGTCCCGTTTTGAGGGATAGTTCGCTAAAGGGAATAATTTTGGGGCACGGACTACTCCCTTCTGGGTAAGAAATGGAGTATCTGCCCTCGCTTGATGGCACTTCCCTTTACTTCCCTCTACCAGAATTATACCAAACTTTACTGCAAAGGCACTGTACCTACCTAGACTGCTAGGCAATCTGCATAGTACTACTTAAACCTTACCTAGCAGCTCTCTAGGTGCTCTTAATAATCCCAGGTATCGTACCAGGTATTCTTCATTAACGGCGGGGCTTTATTTTAAATTCCGCGGCGTACTTAGGTATGATTCCCATATCATTGGTAACTCGGACGGCGAAGAAATATTTCTTCATCTCAACATCTCTGCGTAATCATTCACTTCAATGTCAGATAATATTTTAATAATATTTTTTTCTTTCCACAATGATATTAGGTATTATGCATAGAAGTATTGGAAAGATGTCATCATTGGTAAGTCAGCAGCAACCAATTGGTTGGGTCCATCAGTAATTCCTCGAATCGCAGACTCGTAAACTTAGACTCGCATACCATTTCTGACGTGGGTAAGGCTTCCAAGGTCCCATCGTATAATGTTATCACGTAGACCATTCAAGACATAAGACAGATGGGAAAGAAAGCGGAGATTTTTATCATTTTGACAGGACGCACTGACGTGAGAGTTCTCGAGTTTCCGCCCAAGTGATTAACAAGGCTTTGATATAGAATCTACCTTGGTATTTTACTCAAGATTCCCACCGAAACTCTGCTGATCAGGCTGTGCGCGTCAGTTTGCATGGATGGATATCCATCAAAAAAGGTGTGTACAATACATGACGTGGCCATCAGAGTTGACCGCATGTGATAGGAATAAGGGAAGTACAAATAAATGTTTGGGAGTATATCAAATTCAACATTTGAATATTATTAGGGTTACAAGTACGATCCCATATGTATATAATAGTATAACACCAAGTATGCACCTACCAAAGCTGCTAAATTGAGAGACCCAAGTGGAATCACGATGGATGTTCTTCAGGGCTAATAATGAAAGCAACATTGAAGGTGAGAAAAGTACTTACCTGCCCAAGGTGGTAGTGGACAAGCAGAGACACAAGATTAGGTAGATCCACACGCTATGTAATCACTTGAAATTGACTTTTTTGTTAGTTTGCTACGTGGACCGTGCGTTTATCGGAGGTAACGGACTTATTTGATCGTTAGTGGTGGTACTTCGGTACTTCAGGCAGACCCTTCAGTGTTTGTCGAAATCATGTGACTGCGAAAATTAGCCCGTGCCCCTCGCCTTCCTAAACCCACAGAAGTGGCACAAATCCAAAATCTTCATCGTCAGACTTCCTTCGCGGGTTTTTTCGTTTTTACCAACGTCACCCGGCAGCATCAATCTCCCCCTGATATCTTTACATCTAGGGGATTGCCAAGATGCCGCCTCCTCCGCATCAGAAGCCTGAGAATGTTCTCAAGCGCGCGCAGGAGCTCATCGGTGTCAACCAGGCTCCTGCCGCCTTGAACCTTTTACACGATCACATCACTTCTAAGCGTTCGCGAAATGTCCCCATCGTCTCTTTGGAGCCTGTGATGCTCCTCTTGGTTGAGCTATCTGTCGAACAGAAAAAGGGCAAGCTCGCCAAGGATGCGCTTTATTCCTACAAAAATATTGCCCAAAACACCAACATCAGCACTATTGAACTTGTTCTTAAGAAGTTCATCGAGTTGGCCGCCGAAAAGGTCACAGAGGCACAAAAGAAGGCAGACGAAGTTCAATCAAGCATCGAGGCTACTGCAACCTCCAGCATCGATGATCTAGAAGCCAGTGAGACTCCTGAGTCCATCCTGCTGGCCACAGTCTCGGGTGAACAATCAAGAGACCGTACCGAGCGTGCCGTAGTCACACCATGGCTCAAGTTCCTCTGGGAGGCTTACCGAACCGTTCTCGATATTTTACGAAACAATGCAAGACTCGAAATCCTCTACCAGAGCACCGCCACCCAGGCCTTCGACTTTTGTCTAAAGTACCAGAGAAAGACTGAGTTCCGACGTCTCTGCGAACTTCTACGAAACCATGTTCAGACCGCCGCCAAATACTCGAGCCAGATGCACGCCATCAACCTGAACGACCCCGATACGTTGCAACGACATCTCGAAACTCGTTTTCAGCAACTAAACGTCGCCGTAGAACTTGAACTATGGCAAGAGGCGTTCCGAAGTGTCGAAGATATCCACACTCTCCTAAACCTTAGCAAGCGACCTCCCAAGAACGTCATGATGGCCAACTACTACGAGAAACTTACTCGAATCTTCCTTGTCGGCGAGAACTACCTCTTCCATGCTGCTGCTTGGTCCCGATACTACAGCCTCCTTCGACAATCCGCGGCTCTTGTAGCAACCGGTCAGACCAAGAAAGCCGACAACCCATCCGCCACAGAGGCAGACCTCCAAAAGGCCGCTTCCTTCGTCCTCCTATCGGCCCTCTCTATTCCTGTCATTAGCACCTCCCGATCGCGAGGTGCAATGGTCGACTTTGATGAGGCTAAGAAGAACAAGAATTCGCGTCTTACACACCTCCTTGGCATGTCTACTGCTCCCACCCGTGCTGGCTTGTTCCGAGATGCTCTCTCTAAGTCACTTCTGAAGCGCGCCCGCACAGAGATTCGGGATCTTTACAACATTCTTGAGGTTGACTTCCATCCTCTATCCATCTGCCAAAAGATATCCCCCATTTTGTCCCAAATCGGTGCGGACTCCGAAATGGAAAAGTACATCTTGCCTCTCCAACAAGTCATCTTGACTCGACTCTTCCAACAATTGTCTCAAGTATACGAGTCCGTTGACCTAGCATTCGTAGAGAGTCTTGCCAAGTTCCCGGATCCCTTCCAGATTACTCGTGGAACCATAGAGAAGTTCATCATGAATGGTAACAAGAAGGGCGATCTCTCCATCCGCATGGATCATGCCACCGGTATTCTCAACTTTGACAAAGATGTTTTTGCCTCATCTAAGGCTGTCCATGCCGGCTCGGCAGCTGGCTCTGCCGAAAGCCCGGTCGGATCCGTACAGCGTCTCCAGAGCACTCCTTCGGAGATTGTTCGCTCGCAGCTTAGCCGACTTACGAGTACTCTGTACACCACCTGCTTCTATATTGACCCGTCTCTACGACAGCGTCAAATACAGGCTAGGCAGGAAGCCCTAGCCAGGGCCAAGTCTGGTGCTGAGCAAGAACATCTCGATACTCTAGCTCGCAAGAGTATTATCCAGAAGCGTAAGGAAGAGGCCTCTGAACTGCAAGCAAAGAGAGAAAAGGAGAAGGCGAGACAGAAGCGTCTTCAAGAACAAGCACTGGCAGAAGCTGAGGAACGACGATTAGCTCAGGAGCAGAAGGAACGTGAAGAGAAGCGCCTCAAAGATGAGAGAGATCGTGTTCGCAAGGAAGAACTTAAGAAGCAGATCGCCGATCTTAAAATCGGCCCGAATGCTATCGACATTGATCTCGAGAATTTGGACGAGTACGACAGCAACCGTCTTCGTGCTATGAAGCTCGCTCAACTCGAGCGTGAGAAGAATGACATCAATGAGAAACTCCGTATCACAGGAAAGCGCATTGATCACCTTGAGCGTGCTTTCAGGAAAGAGGAAGCCAAGAAGCTCCCCGAGGACTACGCCAAACAGCGTGAGCGTGATTTAGCTGCATACGAAGCTACGAAGGCGGAGACACTCAAGGAGTCGAAGGAGAAGCACAAGGAGAGTGTTGAGCTAAAGCACCGTCTAAGCAAGCTGATGCCATACTACGAGTCATTCAGGAAGTCTCTACACGACCGTCGTCGTGATGAGTTTGAGAAACGCCAACGTGATGCTGAGAGGGAGCTAGAGAAGCAGATCACCACTCGTAAGAAGGAATACCGCGAGCGTAAGCTCCGGGAGAAGCGAGAACGGGAAGAAAAGGAGAGAGCTCTCCGAGAGGCAGAGGAGCGCGCCGAAAGGGAGAAGCAAGAGGCGGAGAAACGCGCTGAGGAGAGTCGCCTGGAGAAGGCTAGACTTAAGGAAAAACGAGAAAAGGAACGCCAAGAGCAGTTGGAGAAGGCCGCTTTCCAGGCCAGAAGAGAAGAAGAGGCAATGGCCAGGAAACAAGCTGAGAAAGAAAGAGAGCGTATGCCTCCCCCCCGACGCGAACCCGTTGCTATGGATCGGACGGCTTCCAATGACCGACCTTCCGGTGCTCCACGTCTCCCTCTCGCTGGAACCAAACCTTCCTGGCGTGAGCGTGAAGCGTCTAAGAACGCTGCTACTGCTGGCCCCGCTGGCAGCAATGGACCAAGTCGCACTAGCACCCCTATGGAGCGCACGGATTCCAACGAGCGTCCCTCCGCGGGACCACCCCGGCTTAACCTTGCAGGAAACAAGCCTTCGTGGCGCGAGCGTGAGGCGGCTAAAAAGGCTGGCGGCGACTCTAGTGCTCCACCTGCCCCCAGGGGGAGAGAGAGGGAAAGGGAGAGGGACAGTGCACCTCCGGCTCAAGCCGCACAAGCTCCCACCGAGACTCTAAAGCCTTCTGGTGCTCCTGGAAAATGGGTCCCCCATCATCTCCGTGAGAAGCAAGGTTAAAAAGGTGGCATTGAGAGGCATCGAAGGACGGCGTTACGGGGGTTTGGGTTTAGTATGTGACTCGCTTGTACCTTAGGTTCACGAAGAGAAATAAACTGCCTTCATAATTTTGCCAATACAGCCGGTGTCACATAGCGAGCCCATCTGTGTTTTCTGCGGTTCATTTGCTTTGGTGAGATGCGGTCAATTCACGTATTGTACTATTAAGTGCCTGAGAATCTAAGGTACACACGAGATAGTCGCAATAGAAACATGCATGATTTTTGCCGAAAGTATTTATTCACCATCGTTCCACTAGATTAGTATCCCGAGGTAAGAAGCAATCTCCGTAGCGATCGCCACCGACGTCACTATACAACTATTTACATCCATTCTCGGAAGAAAATAACTAGGGTATATGTTCAGCGGTTCTCCACTGGGAAGACATCGTAATGGTGTTAGCTCGCCCAAATACAACGCGCCAACAAAAGGCCCTCAACGCCCTGCCTCTCAACCTGAGCACTCAAAGGTCCTATGGCTCATTCGTACTCCCTTAAGAGTACCCTTTTCAATACCCTTGATAGTGTATCAAATAAATCGTGATATATACGTGTCGTAAGATATCCCAGATACCTAAAAAGGTATTTCTTTCATCGTCTTTCGAAGACTCAAAATGGTCGCTTGCTTCATAATTTTTTTCATTATCGTTCGTATGTATATACGTACATCGTCACCTCCACGGAGTTTGAGGTAACACCGGACTTTCCACCTCGCGCGGATACGGATTGGCGCTCAATTCTACCGGTTCCTCCTGCGTCGGCATCTCTTTTATGGGATCGAGTTCGCCTAGTGCCTTGTAATCGGTCGGCATTTCACTGACGGGTGTGCTGTCTAATTGGGATTTCGGTAGGCCGTCTAGTTCGCCTTTGGGTCTGGCCGTTGTTGTGCTGCTTGGTGTGCTAACGTCTCCTCCACCCCCACTCCCGCCGGTGGTGGTGTTTGTGGTGCCTTCTTCTTGTCGACCGGGCTCTTGCGACGCTTCTTCTTTCTTGCGATGTGAGTACCCTTTTCCTAACCGGAAGGCGAGGAAAAATAGTCCGCCTGTTATGGCGATTACGGCGACGCCGCCTCCGACCGCTATTCCTGCTATCGCGCCCCGACTTAGATCATTCCCGCCGCTGTTACTTCCGCCCTGTTCTGAAGCGCTTTGCTGTGACTCGCTTGTTGGCGTGTTGGTTGCTGGTGGTGCGGTTGTTGCGATGCTGCTGCTTGTTGCTGCTACGCTCATGCCTGTTGGGTTCGTGGCGCCTGGCCAGCCTGATGAAGGGTACCATGTTCCTTCTGATGGCGTGACGCCTACATCTGTGCAGTATTGGGTGAATGCTGATCTTAGGGATACTAGATGGGTGTTTCGTTTTAGTTTCTACAAACTTCTTATGCTGTTACGAATTGATAAGCGTCAAGGTACATACGAGCAATTTGCTCCGTGGAATTCCCAAAACACGTTCCTTGCGCACAAGACAGCGAACCGAAGCCCACACGCCGCATATTCGTGCAAAGACATTGGCTATCCGTCGGCCCGGCACAGGCGCTATCGGCTGAGCTTTGAATGCATGATTGTGCGCATTCCGGCATGTATGTTGTTAAATTCGCGGCGGGATTCGCGAGTGTGAGCCCTATCAGCGCCAAGATGGGCAGGAGTATTCGTAGAGTCGTCATTGTGTGCTACTACTACAATTTTTCTTTCTTTCTTTCTAGAACGAAAGGCGCTGTGCTCTGTAGCACCAAGGTGTTAGAGAGGGCCACATACGTATGTAGGCAACGCGACGGAGAAATAGTATAGGTTGGGAGGTAAAGATTTAAAGTGGGATGGGACAGCCTACATACATAAATTGGTGGCGACGACGAGCACACACACACACACACACACATACACCCCGGAGGGATCAAATAGCAACGCGGGAGCAACCCTATACGGACGGCAGATCATGACCTGACACAATCGAAACCGTCGAAAGGGGAAAGAGGGCTTTTGTGTAAGCCCTGCGTAAGGTACCCTAAAAAGGCGGCAGCCGAATAGCGGCTGGGAGGTGTTCGTGGGAAATCTTCCTGTTGGCCATCACCGGCTAGGGCATTGGGGGGCGAAGGATCCATGAGAATTGCGACCAGTCATTTTTGAACTACCTAATCAGGGGAACCATGAGGGTTATCAATGTGGTCGTAGCCTTTCGATAGGTACCGGTCCAGAAAAATTCTTCAGTGGGCAAGCGAGGTTTCTTTCTCTCTCTTGGAGTGGTAGTAGAACGCCGCAGAGCGTCGGATCCGACAGAACGCTGGGATAAATGTTCCGTTGTTTCGACTGGCTCGGCTAGCACATCCTATCATGATATTGAATGGACAGTTAATATAGAGCCTGCCGCTTTTTTTCTTCATGTTCCCAGGGTAGCAACGGGGGGCCTGCAAGGAGGCGGGGTCCGCAGCGGTACTATTTGAGATCCTGCGAACAAGGCACCGTGTGGTGGTATTTTCGCTATATACGCTTGGGCTTGGCACATTGCTAATCTGCACCATCGGTCCCGGGATGTATTCCATCCTGGAATCGTACATGGGTATTGGTTTTTCAACGACTACACCTCGCTTGTTTGAGAGGCGACCTTCACGGCAGTGTTTAAAAGTCGACCCCAAGCCCGTCAATGTTACGTCGATATGAAAAATCATATTTCGAGTCATGTTAAAAGGGAATACGATGTGTCGCAGTGGCCATACTGGAGGGCACAGTCTGTTTCAACTTTGGATATAGCACATGTTCTTCAAAGCTAAGTCACCACTTCCTAAGGATTCGCCATGGCTTACTAAGGTAGTATATCCCAGGTAATTGCAGTACCCGGTGGATCGAAACATATAAGAGCTAATGTAAGCAAATCCAGCGCCGGCTCTATTATTCACGTATTCGCCGGTGACTAGGGAGCGAGCAAGAATATATAACACCATGAGATATGACGACATACTTCACGAATGCCCATCTAATGGTAAAACGAGTTCCTATTACTTGGAGTTGTTGCTCGATTCGGTATTGTATCGAATTCCCTTTTCACTGCGCACGCGAGTACGTGGATGGGACGTGCGGACATTCGCCAGTTCTCTATTCGGTGGTAGACTCTAATAACCTTATTTTCTGAATAGTAATTGTTGCATGCATAGGTCTGTAGTTGGTTCCCATACCTATTGAAGTTGTTGCTTCGTAATGTGAGTTCTGATCGACGAGGACCCGAGTCGTGATGACTCCTTTCCACGAATGTATGACAATGGCAGTGACGGGCGTATCTGTAAGAGCCGTACAGAGTCAAACCTCCAACTCAGCTTCAGATCTCATGGCATGCCAATGTATTAAATCATGCTTCAACCGGAGAACTGGAACCTCTCTTGCAATATCATACGCCCTTCTCAACGATCAACTCGGAATTGATATCGCGAAGTATAATACACGAGACTCGAGTTATTCTATACTACACCATGCCTTTAAAAGATGCTCTTCTCGGGTTTAAAATCCAACGCGAGCTGAGGCTACTTCCACCTCATAGCGTTATCATGCTTTACACGACATATAAAGGTCAGTGTTATATCATATTCCCTTCTTACCAGTCGGCACACGGAAGTATACCTAGATAGGAATGCACCTTAGAGGCTATCCATTTTGCTCCCGTCAGCATGTCGGGTAAATGGGGAGGCGACGAGTAGAAAAGGGTCTAGGGATCAGTAGCTAACTTCGAAAACCACATTTAGGAGAATGGTGCAACGGAGTACTAGGCAAGAGGTTTCGAGAGGCCCTGCCGGCGGCCTACGACTGCTTCCAGGATATTTGCACAGTGCATAACGCACAAATGAATCCCGATAACATGGTAGACCGTCTTGCCGGAACATGTCACCTTAGTATAGTACCTACGTCCAATCTGAGTATATATCACCGTTATTCCCCGACACTGACCTCTTCTACTCCCTATAGTCCCTCCACAGCCTGGAGACGGCAGCAACAGTCGACTGCCGCCTCTCTACGTCGCCTGCATATTCGTCAGCCCTAAAGACGGGCCGCGATGCGAAATCACGAACAGTGGTCCACGAAACAAACCAGCCGAGTCCCTGAGACAAATCGGATTCGGTCTTGCCCAGATGAAGGATCTTCTGGACCAAGAGGCAGCAGCCGGCCGTACGAATTGGTCAAGCTCGGGCCGGAATATGCTGGTCTACGCCGAGGGCCCTAATAGCACTGACTTCGATGTGCAAAGTGCACAGGTAAGCAGTATGATCCGTCACAGGTTTATAGATGGGCCTTGGGAGGGAACTTGGTGGAAAACTGGCCGGGTTCCTGGATGGTGAAGAGGGGGGATGTGAAGGAGTAAGTGCCTTGCGAGTTATCATGTAAGGACTTGGACTTGTGATTTGAAAAGTCCTGGAATGGCGGAATTTCGCATTGTGCTCTCATGAAGCCACGCCGGTTGGAATAGATACCTTAATCAAAGCCGGCCTATGGAACTTGACCTCGGAGTAGCTGGAATGCCGATACTTTATAATATAAAATTTATTACTTGAAAAAGGTATCCCTTTACAGAAGAGTGGTCGTTGAGAAATAAAAAAGGGGGCTATCCCCCTAACGCATATATGTAGGTAGTTAGGTAGCCTCGGTAAGTAAAAATAGGGGGTTGGCGATAATGGGGTTAGGGCATTAGGGCACGAAACAGATTCGACCTACCGGCAGCTAAACGAAGACTAAATGGAGTCTAAAAAGAAGAAACAACACGCTAGTGCTGTTACTAAATCGTGGCCAAACAAATACAATATCGTATTTGTTCATATATGTGCCTCCACCCCGGATCGAACGAGGGATCTTTGCATATTCTTGCAATTATTACCGTCATAGTATAACTTACAAGTGCAACGCGTTACCACTACGCCATAGAGGCTTCATCTTGCTCAGCTTGAATTCTCTCGAGCCCACGTGATACTCATGGTTGGCTTTGTGCTTGCCTAAGGTACATTATACATCCTTCCTGTCGACCAATCCGATAAGGTTAAGATGGAAATTGACCGTTGCCTCGAACTGGTTACTCGAAAGGCTAAGTGACGCGATTAGTTGATTTCCCAACTACATATTTGTACAAATCTCTCCCACTTCGATGCTCGTACTTCTTATCATCCCCCCCACATACATCCTCTTTTCTTATAGACGGGATCAATATCCAGCCAGCTTACTACGACTTTTTCTAGTATCGTTAGTGTAACAAACTCATGCCCTCTCATCATGAAATGAAATGAGGCTGTCGAAAAAAGAACATACGGTGATCCTATCGGAGTTGCTTGAGGAAAGAAATTACCGAAAGGACGCCACCGAATCTCGAAATAACGTCATAAATGACGGCGCGGAAACCCGGGTGCTGTTTTTTAGACCTCGACTCAGACTCGTGCATTTCTGCAAGTGATAGAATTATAATTGAGGCTTCACGACATGGTGGCCTGCGAGTCAATTATAATATAATATCATATGCAGGCTGCTGAACTAATTCCCTTCCCTCATCTTATTGGCTACTCACGTAGGCATCAGCAGGAATTGCCTTCCCGCCACAGGACATTTTGGATGCAAAGGGCCGTTCGCGGACTTGTGAGGTAATCTTCACTGCGCCTGTGCGTCGACAAGGCGGACTTCCCAATCTAAAGCACAGACGGCCACCCGGAATATGTATCTCTGTCGGTGCATCACTAATAAAGGTAGGATGAAAACAGCAGGCTTTGTTGTCCACTAATAGATTTAGCTCTCAAATATTCAATATACCACCCGGAGAGGCTCGTCATAGAGTGGTCGGTCCGTGGTCATCGTCCCACCATCAATGCTGCATTCAATACCGCTGAACGCCACGCTTTCGGTAAAAACAAGGCTGTGCGATGTTCCATCACATCTAGGTCGCCCTAATGGGAGCCATATGTATGACCTACCCCCTCCCTGCTGCTTGTAGCCAATCTAAAAGTTGGGAGAGTAGCAAGCTTCATGCAAGACTGCGTTGTTCTGCTGCAGCCTGCAGGCGGGCGACGATGGAGACCAATAAAACCAATACCGTCTATGTGCCGTGACGCACGAGAATATTAGGTCCATGCAGACTGCTCATGAGGCTTTCTCGCCCGTCTACCATTTGCTATCCTCTTCCGGATCGGGACGGGCTCTAAGTGTTACCGACTTAACCAATATTTAGAAGGTGTCTCCTCTCCCCAGGACCCAGATAGCTTGCTGCCATTGATACCCGGGGCAGATCAGGGCCAGTCCTAACCGGAAACCAGCATTATCTCCTGACCCTCCCCGTCACCAACTTGCAAAAAGCTAGTTGCGGGTTCGCCGACTTTGAGAGAAGATGGCCGAGATTTACTGTGCTTGCATCATTTCCAATTTAGAGGGAAAGTGGCTTGTTCGTCCTCTGGTACAATTTGAGACTGAATTGAGTACGAGCTTGGAAGTACTCGATAGACGTACTCGACGGCTTGAGGCTCATGTTCACGTCGCGCCACCTCCCCCTCTATTGGAAACTTCCTGGGACTCTTTAACATGGCGTGTGTGCCGGTTATCACGTATGTCGGCCGGACTCATGCTTAGGCAAGCACCGCCTTTAAGCAGCGCAGCAACTATGCCGCTCATGATGAGCGCTATCTCGAGCATCGGCCCTCAGAGTCAGCTCGCCTGGCCCGGAAGAGAAGGCATGGAGGACAAAGAACTTTTACGCCTGGCTGCACAATGGCTATGGTGCTTCGCTGGCCAGCGTGGTTTCGAGATCAAGAACCCATCTTATGAATTCGAGAATGTCTGCTCATTGGCACTGGACCTGTCGCTCGAGGCTGAGCCAACCTACCCGGGCCGACCACGCCTCGGAGTACATCGACCCCAGACACTCCCGCCTGGGGTGCGAGTCATCCCAGCTCCCCCGCCGCGGAGATCAACCTGCTGCCATTGTTGCACTCGTCGTAATTGTAACGGCAGCTCAAGACGCGATTCGAGTGTGAGCTCAGACGGAAGCTCTATTAGGCGAAGGAAGCCATCTCTTTACGGATGGGTTAAGAAACTCGCCTTCTGGCGCAGGAATCGGATTGATGATGATTCGTCATCGACGTCAAGCACTTTGGCCGATGATTGAACGGGGAGGGGCGGCTTAATCCGGTGATGGAACGGTGTGTACTTTGTTATTACATGTCGGTGCTCGTGTGCTTTCTTGGGTCGGGGCAGTGGTCCGGGGGAATAAAAATGCAGCTTATACCTAGGCGATAACTATACGTCTCATTCAGCAACGAATTACGACTAACGCGTTATGGAGAGCTGACTGCTTCACATGTAGTGTATGTACAGTGCATGCGATTATCGGCCGATAATTGATGATGACATGTCTATATAATCAGCAATTGTACACGCTCTTGTATCTACCGGACGAATCATCGGATGTTGTATGCATCAAGACCTACAGATCTGAGACACGGTACTATGAGCACATCTCACGTAAGCTGACGGCATTGGCAAAGACAAATCCTTGTCTCTACTATTATGACCCAAACAGGAGTTTTCTTGCTTGCTGCTATACGCAAGATAGGCTGTATGTATGCACTTGAGCTCGTCAAAACTTTCGGAGTTAGCGTTAAGGTTTTCTTGTAGTTATGTTAAAGCCTTTTATCGGAAATTGGCTGAGCTCAGCATGTAGCAACCTGTATGTTTGTTCTCTATCAAATTTGTAGGCTGAAATTAGGTACGGAGAAAACGAGCTTGTTCTCAACAGGTACCAAGTTGTACCTATGCAGAATATGTAGGTATTTCTCAACGAACGCAAGACTATGTCTCTCTCGTAATATACCCAGACGCCTTCATGCCCATGCTATGCTATACTAAATCGCTCCCCGTTTTTTGCTTGTGCTTCTTTATACAAATATAGGTAAGTAGGTGGTTCCTGTTATCCGATCGTCCCGTCGCTCTTAATATCATTATGTGTAAGTATATCTTGTAAGTGTAGGTAAGCAAATGTGTAAGTCAGTGCAATGTATTACTCCCCCGAACTCGAAAATCATCAAAGTTCAAACCATTAGGTAGCCATTATCACCTCCCTCCAACCCGGAACCCACTCTCCGGACTCCTAGCACCACCCACACTCCGCGTGTCATGGTACACGACCTCGGCGGGTAACTCTACGGGAGGAACGGGTGACCTCGCGCCGTCGGATCCGAGCTCGGATCGGTTTTGCAGTAACGGTTCGCCCGAGAGGTGTTTATAGCTATGCGCGCTTTTTAACGGGCTGTTGTCGTAGTAATTTCTATGATTCTGGCTTTGATCCGCGGGCAGTTCTTTCCATTTGTCTTGCTGTTGTTCGGGGGGTAGCTCCGCGAAGCCGAATTGTCCGTTGTGCTGTGCGTATTCGGGTGCTGGGGAGGTGGGATACCCGTTTAAGGTGCTGCCGCCTACGGTTGGGTTTCGGCTGCCGTCGTTGTTGTTGTTTTGGTATAGTTCTACGTCGGGATGGCTCGGGTTTGACGGGTATTGTGAACGGCGGCGTTTACGGCGTTGCGAGTACATCCATACGAACCAGCCGAGTAGACCTAGGGCTATGGCGCCGAAAACTATGCCTACGCCTAGGCCGATCTTGCCACCCTTCGATATGCCATTCCCGTCGGAGTCGTCATCGTCCGTAGATCCGGGTCCTTTCGTCGGGGCCGGTGAGCCGGTTGTTGTGGCCGTGGCGGCGTTCGCTTGTGACATGAAAGCTTCTTTCGATACGGCGATAGTGACACCTGTCCCGGCACAGTTGTTCTTCATGGTGTCGTACACGGCGCTTAAATCGTTCGGACTGTTCTTCGATACGCATGTCGCCGTGTCATAGATGAAGTTACCCTGGTTCGAACACAGACATTGGTTCATTTCCTTCCCCGTGTTTCCCGAGCATTTGCTCTGATCCGCCGAATCGCTGAGACATTGTTGTGAGCCCTGCGGATACGCTGAGAAGTCGTTCTTCAACGCGACGGTAGCCGGGAGTTGTGTGACGAGGCCGATGAGCAGCGGCAGCGACGCCGAGGCCCTCATTTTGGGCGACTTGCTTGCGTGGCTTGCTCTTATCTCTTTACGTTGTATTGCGATATGCTGTGCTACACTACCTAACACTTTGCCCTCCTCTGCTCTCGGAGTATTGATTTGGCGTTGGCTTGGCACGGCACTCGCTCACAACCGATCGGATCGTGGACTAGCTCGGGTCTCGATGAGATACAACTATAGACATCCGAGTTCGACGATCACATTTACGTTTATTCGTGTTCGGCAGCGAGATGTGATTTGCTCTTCGAAGTGGGACTGGTAGGCTTGTCTATACAGTCCACGAGCAAAACAGAAAAGAAAAAAAAAGGAGAGAAAGTGAAATTAACCTACTCCCCTACAAGACGGGTAGGTACGTTATGTAATTTGCTTTTTGTTTTCAGCCCGACGGAGTTCCCATCCAATGATACCCATGATATCACGACATGGTCAAAGACCATCGTGCCCCGAATTAGAAGGATCTGCTGGGCGGTAAGCATTTAGGTAGCCCTTGAATTTTCATTATTTTCTACATATTATGGGCTTACACCACCGGACTACCTAGTTTACGTGTGGACGGGATGTATCAGATTGACAGCAGCACAGTACCATATCAAGTAAAATGGGAATGGAACCCCGTCGTAAAGGGGGACCGGCGATCAGCACCAGCACGCCCCTGAGGCTGGTCTACTGGTCTAGCTCTAGTCGTATTCGAGAAATCCGGTTCCATGGCGGCATAGGGTGGAGCAGAGAATTGGGAAGGAGGCTGTGCGATCAGCTCTCCGGGTCTGGCACGCGATCCTCGTCCATTCGTTCATCGATACGATAGAAACCTTAGCGTCGTGGGTTCCTTGGCTCAAGCAAGCCAATTTACCCTTCTTAAGTTCTTCCGACTAGCATTTCCACTGTACTATGCAGCTATGTAACCTCCCCTTGTGCGTACCTAGGTAATTCGGCAGTGGAAAGAAGAAATTGTCCGATTCTCGCTCTTGATTGGTGGGTACTCACGACGCGATGGATATCTAACCCATAATATATGGTCCGTGATGATCAACATGTAAAAGAAAGAAAAAAAGTAAATATCAAACACGTGTATGTGCAGCACCAAATTTCTGCTTCAAAATACTCCATTTTGCCTTGCAAAAAGAACAAACAACTCCGCCGCCACAATGTTCAAACCACCTAATGTACACACCATTATAGCTCATCTTCTAAATCAAGAAACATTTTCTTTTTTTCCCTTTCTCTTCATCTATCTATCTACCTAGTAGGATTCCTCCGGATCGAGGCTTAACACGTGCGAGTGCGACGCCTCCACCCCTAGGGCTGTCCATAGTGAGTTGCGATTCGCTGCGACTTGCAGAAGGATTTGAACTCGCCAACTCGCTTAAAGAAAAAGCAATTAAAGTAGTATGTATCGTCCTAGTTGTGGCGAATGCGATCTCGTCCCACTTCTAATTGGGTGAGGTAAGATTCCTATCTGACGTTTGCCGTATCAGCATGGGTGACATAGCTCGTGTGCACGTCTCGTTAGAGTATATTATACCCTATGAAGACCTGTTCATTGCTTGAAATGGTATTAAGCATAGGAGGCCTATCCTATGAAATATCTCGTTGCCTGGGTATCCAGGTATCGAATGATTCCAGAATAATGCTCCACTGAACTGTACCGAGAACGGACTCTGAGTACTATGCTTCATTTCGACTTTAAATGGTGACATGTTGACAGGGAATTATGAAGATCTTCTCATAGGCGAGGAGTATAAAGAGTTAAGCACCTTTGTGACCCAACTACTTCAGTGAGTATTGTGAAATTGTCTCTTTATTTCGGGTAATACATTCAAACGCAAACGCAGATGCCGAGCAGACCAACCACCCTTGAGTAACATGTCCTGTTACAAACGCACAGCTACCTCACTAAATCATGCCTAATGCTTCGAATCATGAAAGTGTATAATATTGCATCGAGGAGTATCTAATCGTAACCCGCATTTCAGTCCGCCAACTCTTTGCCTTCCTCCTAGCAATTGGCCTCGCAAAATAGGAACGTGTACGCCCCACATCAGATTGATGAATCAAATCCTTGGAGCTGGGATCCAAGGTGAGGGTGGAAGCTTCTTTCGCACCACCCGGCCAGCCAATTCGACAGCCATAAACTCCCATCCGTGAAGCCAGATGACAATACGTGAGTATTCGCCTGTTAATTTTTTTTTTCTCAAGCCACCCTCTTCAATTCCGTGACAACAAAAAAGAGCCCGTAAGCACGAGCATGAGAACCGTCCGGTTAGAGGTTATAGATGAAACCGACATCGCGGAAACTGATACCTTTGGTATCGTATAGGGGACAAGGAAAATGCTATGAAGGTATGATGTGTAAATGTGTGTATTGTGACTTTTCATTGGTAGATCCAACATTAGAAAGTCAGTGACCTCCCGAGTCATCCCCGTTGATCCCATTAACGGGAAGTCTTTCCGGTGATTCTTGGGCACTCTTGATGCCGTTGACCTGGGTTGTTCTTGGTGACTCAGTGGAGGGAGATGTATTTTCCCCGGCGTAGTCTAAAGGCTCGTTTGAGACCATACTTCGAGGCGTCAAGTGTGCCCCATTAAGCACAGCTTGCTTTTGCTGGTCGGTTAGGAGATAGCTAAGTCCTTGTTCGACACACAGACGGGCGTAATCTGGCTCGTCGGGTGCGACAGCAACAAGTCCGCCTCTCCGAGGAATTCGTTGCTCTGGAAATGGGCTTTTGCTAGGCTGATATTGCTTCGGCCGGTCTTCGCCCACTAATTCACCATTCACGTAGTACTTGTATCTCGGCGCAAAAGGCCCACGGCTCTCGGCATCGGGATCTTGTTTCCACTTTGCCGGAGCGCTCCACGTAGTAAGAGCAGACTCGTGTTCTGGAAGTTCGCAATAGCAAATGGAGAGCCTGACATTGCGAAGATGAGGAATGGTGGGAACAATGTAGAGGAAGTCGGATTCCTTTAGAAAGTTAGCGTCGCCTATAATTTTTCAACAAGGGGAGGAATCGGGCGAAATTACCTTGACAAAGAACATGTCCGTCTCGAAGAAACACTTGGCTGCTTCACCACGGAGCTGCTCAAGCTTTCTGTAACCGACTGTTCGAGGATCCCCTCCATAGTAATTAGGTAATTGTTCTCCTAGGTGATAGAGTTTTCCTTCCGTAAGAGCGTATCTCTCTTGTTCGAGGCGCCAGATAACTCTCTTTGCTAAATTCGATACTGGGATACGTTCCCAACCAGCATCTAGAAATTGATAAGTCACGATTCATGGGTTTGTGGGTGCATTTTCGTGAACTCACATCTTGATAAGGAAGTATCCTTCTCACCCAAAAGCAAAGCAACCTGTGTATTGAGCAACCATTGTTCGCGCCCGTTCGGCTTACCAGTTGCTGATGAGTTAATTGTATCATATCTGACGCCTTGCGCCTTAGCAAAAAGTTCAGCTATCTCCCTTTGCTTCGGGTCTACGCAGCCATCAAGCCAACGTAATAAGGGTGGCAACTTGGCGAGACGAAGGCGCTCCATCTCTTCCTGGCGGATTCGTTGCTGTTCGGCACGTTTTCGTTCTCGCTCTTTTTGCTCTTCCTCTTCTCGTAAGCGTCGGGCCTCCTCAGCGGCTTCTCGTTCGCGACGGATTCTTGCTTCTTCCTCTCGTCGTTTACGCTCTTCCTCTTCCTTGCGCTTCCTCTCCTCTTCTCGCAATTTCCTTTCTTGTTCTTCCTTCCGCTTTCGCTCCTCCTCTAGGCGGGCCTTTTCTTCCTCTTCTTTGCGCTTCTTCTCTTCTTGCTCGAGACGAATTCGCTCTTCTTCTTGGCGTTTCTTCTCGGCTTCCTGCCGTTTTGCTTCTGCTTCTGCTTCTGCCTCTCGCTTCTTTCTCTCTGCTTCTTGTTGTCGTTCAGCCTCCTTTTTCCTAGCCTCCTCTCTCTTGACTTCTTCTTTCTTGGCCTCTTCAGCAGCAGCAGCTGCTGCTGTTGCTGTTGCTGCGTCTGCCTCAGCTTGTCGGCGTTTTGCTTCCTTGCGTTCGCGCTCAACTTTTGTATCACTGTCTTCGACGGAATGTGATTGAGGGGCATCGCGCATCTCAACATCAACATCCTCAGAGGCAACGGTGATGCTAGCTTTCTCTATAGGACTTGCTTTATCTAATTCTCTACGGTCGCGATGGGCCTTTTTGACTTTGGAGACTTCTTTGCGATCGGAATCCAAAGTCCGCTGTCGCTGCTTCGTAGAATCGCGTGACGGATCTCGTTTTGGTTGGCGGTTTTCAGGTGATGAATTTTGTAATTGGCGTCTCTCTTTGCTGTCTAGGTCTAGCTTCCTTCTTTTCACAGGAGCTTCACTGTCGTCCTTGTCGCCATGTCCGTGGTGAGGCGGGGTAACGCTAGCACGGTGCCTCTTCCCAGGGTTTTCACCTATTGATACCCTATCATTAGACTCATCTCGTTTTATGGCTTTAGTCCGATCGTGATATTTTTCAGAAAGTCGATCGGCCCGTTTCTCTATTGAGTCTTCATTTCTCGCGTCCGCCCGGTCAGCAGTGGAATTAGTAGATGCCAAACTGGCACGCCGCTGCTTTTCTTGGCGTCCTTTCAAATCCTTGCCCGAAATGAGTTTCCGCCTTGGTTTCACGGTTTCGGTATCAGAGTTAGTAGCAACATCAGGATCAACCAACTTCGACTTTGTCGGTTGTGACTTAGACACTGCAGGAGAAACCTCGCGGTCTGAAGCAACAGTGCTTGAAACTCGCTCTTCTTTCTTTGGTCGGCCCGGACCACGCTTTGGAGAAGTTTGGTCATCATGATTTCCAAAAGAAAGCGAACGGCGTTTTTCTTTGGGGCTACCAGAAGCTTTAGTAGGGCCAACCTTCTTTTTAGGCTCGGTGTCTCGAGATGGGCTGGATGGGCGACGTTTCGGCTGTCGAGTGGCGTCTAAGTTAGATTCGGCGCGATTAGCGCGTCGTGTTTCCTGGTCAATCTCACGGTCCCGCCTAGCTGGGGAGGGCTTCGTCTTAGAACCTTTCGTGCCTTTCTTATGTTCGTCGTAAGCGTTCTTCAACAGGTGCTCCTCCTCCTTCCACATAGGCCCTTCGCGTTGTCGAGCTATTTCATAATATGTTTGGCCCTTGAATCGTCGTGTTGGGTCGAAGTTAGATGCATTCAACAAGAGTTTAATGACTTCGATATTCTCCCCACCGATAGCAGCTAACATTGGCGTTCCATATTCGGTTTGGAGACTTGGAACAGGCCGAGGATCAGGATTTGCACCACCCAAAGCTAAAAGAAGCTCCACGACAAAGCTATGACCGCCACGGGCCGCATTGACCAAAGCCTCAGGGTCGTCACACCGTTCCTTAACTTGCAAGACACGAGTTACCGTCTCATTGTCTCCTCGAGCTGCAGCTTGTCGGAGAGTCTTGTCGTCAAGATTCATGTACAGCAGATGATTGCTTGTCTTGGTCGATCGGACAGCACCGCCACGACGTTGTTGGGCAGCTAATGAGCTGCTGCCCGGTGCCGTTGGCGAACGACGGGGGCTTTCCGGCCCGTGAGAAGAGAGTGTATCCGGTACATCATGAAGCTGGTGGTCTTCGGAAGTTCGCCGTAATTCGCCCACTTTCTCCTTCGCCTCTCTTAACACAGCCCTAATTTCCTCAGCATTATCCAAGTCATCGGGAACTTTTTCGAGCGGCTCATGTCCTTCGGCGTCCGCCTTACGAGGATTTACGCCGGCTTTCAATAATAACTTCACGACGCCTAAATGGCCATTTTCCACAGCATCCAGAAGCGGGGTTTCCTTGTCACTATTCCGACAGTCCAGGTTGCACCCCGCCTCGATCAGAAGCTGGACAATTGACTCGTGGCCATTTAGCGACGCAACCTGTAAAGGTGTGTTACCGGCATAATCAGCAAAATTCAAATCCTCGGGTCGTTCCAGTAACCGTTTCCTTGCAGTTTCATATTCGCCTTTTGCACAAGCTTTGGCGAGGAGAGTTTGGCCGTGATTATCCACGTGTTTTTTGTGTTGTGGCATCCTTGCAGGCGATACTGTTGACTCTCCGGTGATGGGAGTAGCGATACTTCTGAGTTTCGAGCTCCGGGGATGTGGGCTTCCACTGGCAGAAGAGTCATCGGAATGGTAGTCGGTAGATTGGAGAGGGGCAGGTACACGTCTTTTCTTCGTACTAAAACCATTTGAGGATTGGGATGGAAGTTGGGTCGAAAGACTACGACGGTGAATACGGCTATGAGGCGAAAGTGATCGATTTCGAGAAGCAAACGGCTTATCATGAGGGTGCCGTCCAGACGAAGATTTCGAGTCCCTCTCTCTCACACCAGCCGAGTTGTCAAGGCCTGTATCAGAAATTCGCGGTCGACGAACTTTGCGCGACTCACGTTCGTCGTCAGATTCAGCTTTGGCCTTTCGTTTACCAGATAATAACCTTTCCATAGACTTGGGTTTAGTTTTGGAAGGGTCTTTGGAAGTTTTTACATTGGACGATTCTGAGCCTGATTCCGAAGGGGCATCACCAGATCTGCGACGTCGATGAGCATGTTCGTGGCTATTGCGACGATGGGGAGGTGGAGAGGCAGGAGCGGAACTGAGCCCACTTGAGGCATCCTTATTTCGTGGCTGTTTTTCTTTCCCGAACGGTCGCTTCTTCCTTTCTAAAGATGAAACCGCGTCTTCGGAAGGGACACCATTACGATCTCCATCTCTATCATGTTTAGAGTGTTTCCTAGGAGGCGGCAAGACATCGTCAATTTCGCCGTCACTTTTGTCTTCGTGCTTAATCACCTTCCGGGGCTTCGAGGGAGAGACGTTATCCTTCCCAGGTAGGACGATGGTCTCGGCGTCCGAGTTCTGATCAGCACCGTCTTCGTCCTGCGCACTAGGCAGCGACGTCGTAGGTCGCGCATCTTTAGATATGGAAGAGGATCTAGCGGTTAGAGAAGGTTTAAGGTTGTTGGTCGTGATGCTATTCGCTGTCACCGTCGGTTTGGGCTCATCAGACTCAGCAACTCCCCGCTTTGGAGAAGCGGCCTGTTTCGTGTTTGCGGACTCGACAGCATTCTGCGCATCCATAGCATTCAATTCATATACCGAGATACAATACAGTACACCATCATGGCCACTCGTGGGTGGACTAAAAGGAAAAGAATCGTACCGTAAGGCTGTTTAAGGGACCTGTCTTTTGGCGAATACGGAGGCTACTCTACACTGGTACGAGTACGAGTAAGATAGGGTCGGTCGCGGGTCGAACAGCTTAAGGAGCGGATGAGAAAAGAGACTTCGGACGGCCTTGTGTGAACTGGAGAAGCCGGGACACTAAAAAAACGGGATTGAATGAAAAGTTGGTATGTTTGCTAGTATATCGCAAATGAAGAGAGAATGTCGCAGATAATGACCATGATCGGGATTGCGAATAAAAATTCGGTGTAGGGAAATTATTTGCAGAATTGCAGACTGGCAGAATTGAATCGAATGACACAAATTGGAAGGATGCAGCTGGAAAGTAAAGCAGTTAAGGGAAAATAGGACTAGCTTTACTTTAGCGATAATAACAATAATAATGGAGTAGTAGCAGTGGACAGTAACAAGAGCAGTTAGCAGCAGCAGGTGGTAGATAGGCAGATAACCAAGGCAGGCAGGCAGGGCAGGGCAAAGGCAAAGCGCATAACGAAGGGAAACGGCACCTGGGCATATACACACACACAACACAACGCGCATACAATGTTGAAAAGAAGACTGGGTCGCTCTCTCACTGGGCAAGCACGAGCAAGGAAGCCCAGGCCAGACTGCCTTGACTAAAGGAAAAGAAAGTGCAGGCAGGTGAATGGATACAAGATGTACGTAAATACATCATGTAGGCTATGTACATAAAAGGACTAGCGTAGCATGTTAGTGTGGTGGCACTAGGACTGTTTTCCTTGTGTAGCCATTGAAGATCAATTTCAAAGATCAGTCTAACGCGAAAGGTCGGCATCTGATTGGTTGACGACTTGGATACGGATGGGTCGGGTGGCCGGTATTTCCGCAAATTTGCAGAATAAGTCCTGGATCCTCGCCCCCCGACAACGGCGACCCCTGCTTGCTTTCCTATGAGTGGTCCTCTTGCCAGTTTTGCTCAATCTCATAGGTCTTCCTGCTCGTTTCCGCCCCTCATTCCCCATTTCTTTCCAGGCTTTTCCTCCTTAGACCAGCTTGGACTTGTCTGAAAATTTCTCTCTTAACAGGGCTCCATTATTAATTGTCCCTCATAAACATGCACATCTCCTTCTTAACCCGACCTAGGCCATCAGCCTGACGAGTCTGACCACACACTCTCTCCTTTTTAAAACGGACTGCTTCTGCTTGACCCTCCTTACTGATAAGCCATCCCGCGCTGATCGGCTTCGAGAGGCCCATCAATTCTTTTTCCCTATCTATCTCAAACGAGCTCGGCGTCGTTGATACGCAAGCCAGGTCTTGCATTTTGTTTTCCGAATAACAAAAATACAGCAAAACATTACCCGTAGCCAGACCTTGTCTCGTTTTTGACGGACAAACTAAATAAACTACATATTAATATTTCTCAGCTGAAATTCTGGGCTTTTTTTAGGCACCTCTACACTAACGCCTAATCTACCAAATTTCTAGGCGGTCTTACAGGTTACCCAAGACCCAAAAATCCGATATCCACCATAATTCTCTCGCAGTTAATTATCATGGCCGACAAATCGATAGCTACGGATTCCGCCAACCTTGCACTTCCTAAATCTCTTGAACAAGTCCGAATTACATCTTTACCACCAGAGGCATACTACATCTCGGACTTTATTACGCAAGAGGAAGAGGAAACGATTCTAGGTAAAGTGCGGTTACATCCACTGTCAAGATGATGCTTCTTTTCAGTTGTTAACCTGACTTTTCCCATAGATAGCATCCGCTCCGAAACCCCGCTGGAAGCAGTTGACACATCGACGACTACAAACTTGGCCTTCCGACCTCGTAAATGACAAGTTGATGGATGCACCCTTGCCAACTTGGTTAAATGACCCGATCGTGCCGCGTTTGAAGTCATTCCACATCTCGCCGGATAACAACTCCGATATCTTTTCCGACAGCCCTCATCAGAGACCGAATCATGTTCTAATCAATGGTATGTGTCGAAATATGTCCGCGCCGATATTCGATGTATTCTCGTCCTCTCAGCCGCACTACCTTTCCCCGTCATTGCTTACTATGTGCACCCACCCCGGAATGTAACGTTTTTAGAATGAATGGGTTTCATACCATTGCATAAGTTAATGTATATCCAGAATACCCTCCTGGAATCGGCATAATGCCTCACAAGGTAAGCTAGTAGATTTGTTGAGGTCGCTGTGATGAACCGCTTATTCCGAATTAGGACGGAGCTGCCTATCATCCTGTTGTGTGTACTGTGAGCCTAGGTGCTAGTCTCTGTCTCAACATATATAAGCCTAAGGATGACGGAACTCTGGAACCCGAGCCAGCTTGGAGAATTCTACAAGAACCCCGAAGCCTACTCATTACAACGTCCGCTTTGTACCATGACTTCCTTCATGGTATCGCAGATGTTACAGAGGATATTGAACTTTCTGGAAGTACAATCACCAACTGGGATCTCCTTCGATCGCCCGATGAATTCGCAAATGGTTGTAACGTACGGAAGATCCGAACCAGCTTGACCTATCGAGACGTAATGAAGGTATCCAAGTTAGGAGGCAAGCTCGGTTTATTCCAGAAAAAGTGATAAGGCGTCGAATGAATTTGGCTTCAGAATATACCAGGAATCATTGCCCATTTCCCCTGCACCTTTTCGCGGCCGAATTTCTCGCCATACCACTTCTTAGTCCCCTTGGCGGTAACACCAAGGTTCACCGCAACAAACAACACAGCACAAACCAGCGTCCTGTTGTACAGTTGATCCTTCGGTGCTGCTACTAGTGCTAATGATGCATATAAGACGCATTCGCACGTGTAATGCGGGCACACTAAGTATCGGAAGAGTCCGTCCTCTGGTAATGAATATTTCTTCAATCGAGCCAGATACCTATGGCATCTATACTGCATAACCCATGAGGATAAGAATATGAGAACACCGAGGATCACGTTAAGTGATGGCATTTCAATACTCAAGGACCTCCTACCTGAGGATTGAATCGAGCCTATATGATTACACTTTAGAAAACCGAGAACCAAGGCTCCGTCATAGTACTTACCTGAACCCTCTAGCCAAATGGAAATATTCGTGCAGAAGTAAAATGCCATCCCTAGCAGCCAGTGAATGATCCACATCTTGGAAGACGAGGACCTCATAACGGCCACGTATTCGTAGAGACGTCTACCCCCTTGCAGACTCATAAGAACCCACGCGAGAATGACCTGATTGATAGACATTGGCGTCTTCTCGCTAGGTGCCTGATTCCTAACGATGAACTCGAGGGCCGATCCATGGTATAGGAATTGAAGCATCCAGAAGGCAGAGCATGATAGTGAGAGGAGGTAGAAGTGCATGAACCAGGAGTGAGGAACTTTGCCGACGGAGGTCACCCAACTAATGATTCTAACGAGAGGTCCATTGCTAGCTTGCTTTCCTTCTTCGCCATTTGCGTTTAAGCTTCGGGCACCGTACCCGGTAAGCAAGCTTTGTATGGACTCGGGAGTTGCCGCGATGGCGAGCACGGTGGCGGCAGCAAGGACGTAGAAGAGTTGGCAGTATGCGGCTGGGCTTACGTGGGCGGCATACGAAGCCAGATCCGATAGTAGCATGCTGGATGTAAGGGAGACTAAGCTCACCGTCTTGAGGTTTCGTGGATAGGATGGGGAAAAGACATGTGAAGGTGAGATGGTTTTCGTGGGAACGTTTTTAGTCTGGTCGGTTAGATGCAAATATGGGTTATGCAGTTATCCGGGTGAATAAGTTCCAGGGGCAGATACCCAAAGTCAGTCCATGAACATGCATTTCTTTTTCAATTTTCCTCGTACTCACATGATATATCTTAGTTCTCTTAGATACCTAGGTAGCCATTCATCTCGGGCATAGAATGTATTCATCATGGTGGCGGGAGTTAAAAGCACGGGAGCTTGCAGTTCTCCCGTAAAGTCCCTGGAAGACAAACAGGCAACGACTAATATAAGAAATCAATTTGTAGGCCATGTTTCATTGTACACGTATACGGGATCACTGTCTTGTTTGCTGTCCCTTGGTCACCTATCAACTATTAAGGAGTCCAAGTCTTACCTTATTGGTATCACCCTCCCTAAGTGAAAGGTGTGTTGAGGTGTCTGGGTAGCAAACACACCAATGCATGTGATAGAACCCCTACTCTCAAGTTTCATGACTTACGGTTGAGTATATAAGGATATGTAATAGAAATATGGTATAAGTCATGAGGCTGGTCACATTTATTCTCCCCTTTAGATTCAGGGGCTCTCTTATATATACGAGATGTGCTGGCTCACCTCTTATTTATTAGCGCCTCTTGAATTCTGCAGTACTTGAACTCGTAAAGGCTCATTGCTATATAACATTAAACATTTCCTAAACCAGTGCTAGGAGAGCTTCACGCTTTGTGATCGTTTTGGGCATGTAGTCAGAGCCACTCTCCTAGATACCGCCTAGAAAGCGCGAAAAGCGAGTTAGCCCCTCACTATGAAGACTCGAATGTGGAAGTTACTACCTAGGAATACAATTCTACGGGCTTAATTATCAAGTCTGAGGCTTGGAACGCCTCTTCACTTTAACTTTTACACACAGGGGTACAATCGCCAAAAGTATGGATGGAGTTTACCGCCAACTAGGAGTAGTTGGTATCGAACTAATCACAATTTATTATCGCAACATTTCATTCTCTAGATGTCCCAAGGGGACTCTCAATTTGCTACCCAGGCTCCATGAAAGCGTTGTTAAATACGCCGTATTCTCATCAGGAGGTTCATCACGAATAGAGGTACACCATCCACACGAAAGCGTATAGTAGAAACTGTAGACCGCACCTATATGTCGCTCACAGGTCGTCTCCTTATGGTTGTTACTTTTAATCTGGCACCGAACATGCCCCTATCTGTACCAGAAACCTTGGTAAAAATATATCTTCGATTTTGTTACCTCAGCTGCATAGGTATTTTTTCTCGAAAGACTTGGCATATTCGAGAAATGACAGAGGAAGATGAGACGATAGACACTTATGCCAGAATTTGACTCCTCTTCCTTAGATGTTTCTACCCCTAAGTCACTAAAGCTAAGTTACTTCATTTCAATCATTCTAGCGCCATTGCTCGTACATAAGAGATAGAATCGTACACCGGGCTGTGAGCTTATAATATGAGCCTCATTGAGTACACATAAAAACTATATTGTTATACTTCAGTATTGCTTGTAGGGTGGTCATATCACTTGGGGTATGCTAGTGTGACTAAGGCTTAGAAATTACTGACAATGAGGCTGTTTGACTTGATCGATACTAGACATCTTCCGCGCATTATTTAAAGGCATCGTTTAAACTATGACTTATAACTTCTGTATAATATATCATCCATCAGGTTGTGGTTGATGCCGGGATTCTTCTATAAAGGGATACACTCAAATCACTCGGGCTAGTAGATCAAGGACATACTCAATCCATTACACATATAGAGGGAACTACAGTACGTACGAATATCCGCCTATGATCGTACTAACTACGTATTTCTTAGGCACGTAGTCAGGATAACTCTGCCGACAAACAGAATCTTGATATTCAGATATCCAGTCATTGATTTACCATCGTAACGAATGTTTGTATTTATCAAATAGACCCACTAATCGGAAAAGCCTCGGCCAACGGTGACATCACTGTATGAAAAAGGGTACTAGAATATTCAAATTTGCCCCACTAAATTGTGAGCGATAGAAATTCTTAAAGGAAACGACTTCGTTCAAGATCAAACACAATATTCCCCGAAATTAGGAAGGAAAAACATATAGAGGAAATAACTATCATTCTATTGAATCCGTCAAAATGTCGACGACGGTTGAGAAGGTAGGCCATGTAACCTCGTACTGATGACTGAAGCGCTAACATGTTCGTAGATTAAAGAAATTGAGTCCGAGGTAAGCCGGCTTGGCCCCCTTCAGAATGTGTATGGATCTGTACCAGATATACTAAATTTTATGCTTGATAGATGGCTCGGACTCAAAAGAACAAGGCGACGTCGTTTCATCTGGGTCAGCTGAAGGCAAAGTTGGCGAAATTGAAGCGCGAACTCCTAACCCCTTCGTCAAGCGGCGGCGGTGGTGGAGGCGCTGGATTCGACGTTGCCAGGACCGGTGTTGCTAGTGTTGGTTTCATCGGCTTTCCATCCGTGGGAAAGAGTACTCTGATGAGTCGATTGACTGGTCAACACTCCGAGGCAGCGGCGTATGAGTTCACCACTCTAACATCCGTGCCTGGCCAGGTCATGTACAATGGTAAGCTATTCACAACCTCCCCTTGCCACCCCCACCTACTCGGGGTCTCTTTATATGGCCTATGTACTTTATTGCGTGGCAGGTGAAGTCTCTGACGTCCAGTGGTACAGGAGCGCCATTACAAATGATTGATCTCCCAGGTATCATCGAGGGAGCCAAGGATGGCAGAGGCCGTGGTCGTCAGGTGATCGCTGTCGCTAAAACTTGCCATTTGATCTTCATCGTCTTAGACGTGAACAAACCCCTGACAGACAAGCGCGTTATCGAAACGGAACTGGAGGGATTCGGTATTCGTATTAACAAAGAACCGCCCAATATCACCTTCAAGAAGAAGGACAAGGGTGGCCTTAACATTACCAGTACCGTACCCCTAACTCACATTGACCATGACGAAATCAGGGCCGTCATGTCCGAATATCGTATCAACTCAGCAGATATTGCGATTCGCTGTGACGCTACTGTTGATGATCTGATCGACATCCTGGAAGCCAAGAGCCGCAGCTATATTCCAGTCATTTACGTTCTCAACAAGATCGACGCCATCAGTATCGAAGAACTGGATCTCTTGTACCGAATTCCCAACGCCGTGCCCATCAGCTCTGAGCATGGGTGGAACGTCGACGAACTAATGGAGGCTATGTACGTCTTTCTCACTCGAATCCCCCCAATCGAGATACTAAATGCAATTAGCTCACACATGGCTAATCTCCTTTTTTATGCAGGTGGGACAAGCTAAAATTGGTCCGGGTTTACACGAAGCCAAAAGGGAAGATGCCGGACTATTCAGCACCTGTCGTGCTTCGTTCCACCAGGTGTACAATCGAAGACTTTGTAAGTACCTCGCGTCGGTAACTTCTGACCGGTACCCTCTGCTGACCAATAAATCACAAGTGCAACGCAATCCACCGGAGCATTGTAGAGCAGTTCAAAACTGCAGTGGTCTATGGAAAGTCTGTCAAGCACCAACCCCAACGCGTGGGGCTCGCCCACGAGTTGGCCGATGAAGATATAGGTAGGTCATTTTTATTCGTCGGCCCCTTAGTCGTCTTACATTTATTTTGGATTGCTAATCTCGACCATGTTAAAGTCACCATTGTCAAGAGATGAGTGGTTGAAATATTGAAAAAAGGGGTCGAATCAAGGTCCCTTGACGCACCTTCGACCCACAATGATGAAGGGCGTTGAAATTCGTTGGCTCCCTTGCTCTCGCGTGCACCTCCGAGCTCGCGATTTCTATATAGCACGATGAATGGATAATGAGTGAATGAATGAATGGCACCTAAAAAGCATTCTTTCATCTTACGATGCTGTCGGGCAGCTTCAGGAACAGGGGCATAACGGATGTCTGCATATTTGCGGATCAAGGGACAGGCCGCAGCCGACGCCGCGGGCGCACCAGTAACGGAAAGTATTTGTTTGCTTTTTTTTCTGGAAGGGGGCCCGATCATGCAAAGAATGGTACAGTAGTGTGGGCAATTTTGCATGCGCGAGGATCTGTTCATACCAGACGCAGGTCCAGGCCTACGAAAGGGTGGCAGCTGGGTTCCCAATTTCGAGAATTGCTATAATATTCCCTTTTTGCGGGGGAATCCCACGATGTGTATGCATAGATACCTACTACTACCTCACAGGTAGTAGGTCATTACATGGTACGTACGTCAGATAAGCAAGCCGCATTTTTATTTTTTTTAAATCCAGAAATTGCCTGAGCGCACTCCGCATACTCCAGAAGACCCAAGCCTGCAACTCGTCCTCCCACCACCTACCACCTGCATAACCGAACGGGTCTCTGTTTCTGCGACCAATGTCTCCGACGAGGCGTGGGGATGCATAAGCGGTGCCTTACCTATCTTCTTTGGAGGAGGCCGTTTAAGGCACGCATTCTTTTCTTGCAGCCCGGGGCGGGCGAACACGCACCACGTACCTACCGCATACATACATAGACGATAGACATCCACCCATCCACCACGCAATTCTCAGCCATCCACACCCATACCCACATCACCCACTCACTCTCACACTCACTCACCACGCTGGACATCTGTTTATGTACGTGTTCTTGGGTATACCTACTACATCTAAGAGTATATATGTATATACGTATGTGAGAATGTGAGTTTTTTGCGCCACAAATGATGAAAGTCCAAACAATTTATTGTCGGTCGCTGTCTTGGCCTTCGCCTTTCTGGTATCGTTGCACCTTAACAGTCGGAGTATTTTGGACCAGTCAAAGACCGAGTATAGCAAATTATCCACTCTCCCAAAGTGGCCGAACGGCAAATTGGTACCTATCTTTCCAACCTTTCACAGCGCTCCTCTAGCCGCCCAAGGTACATCTGACAGCGCCTTCGTGGAGAAAAGTTCTCGATCGTCTCTCTTGTAAAATTTTGGGGGTCATTATTTCATTATTGGGGCTCTAGACGGATACTACCTGGGTACTGTCCCTGTTTCCCTAAACCCAACCTAACTCCTGTCGCTCTCTGTTTCTCCTCTTACTCTGACTCCAACGAAATAACTAGATAGCGTCCCTTTTTTTTGAGATTATCGAATTTCTTGGTTCATTATTCATCTACCTCATGGCCTAGCCATGCGAGACCATGCGAGACAACCTTGCCACCACCCATTACCATTACCAGTACCACTGTTCATTGTTTTTTTTTATTATTATTATTACCATTACTACTACCACACAACAATACGCACATACACACACCCCGAAAGCTTTTTTGTATCTAGCTGACATCTGAACATGGAATTTCCGATGACAAATAACGCCATCTCCTGGGCTTCTCTCCTTGTAACCCATGTTTGCGATTCCAGTAGGCAGTTCAACGCGATTAGGATGTTACCGTACACACACACTTACATCTACGGTTGTTACTGTAACCTCTTGGTAAATAGGTAATTGCCGGGGCTTTTTCTTCCCTTTCATTTGGATTTAGCAGCCTCATTTTTTGGTTTGTTATCTGGGGCAGCTGTGGTAGCCTTGAACCAAACCCTGCTTTTTGCGATCAACTACCTACTTTGTTTTTTCTTTCTCCAAGTGCCTGGCTGCAATGCAAGGCGACAATTACGGGGCAAGTCTATGTCGCGTACCGGTATATGTCTCCAACGTGGCGTTCGCGATCGCATCGCGGATAACTAACTAAATTGCTATGAACCTTGCAAAGCTAAGCTCGATGTAGACTTCTGCCGTTGCTGGCTGCTGATAATAATGCAAATGGCGTCAACTGTCTGTGTGTTGTGCTGTATTGGTGATGTGCGGTGCTGCGTGTGTTGTGCTTCTTCGAACAACTAACCTACCTACCTACCTAACTAATTGTATGTATTTCCCGTTCTTAAATCTGAGATTGCATCTGGTCATTTCTTCGGCAGTACACAACGGCACCTTTCCCGATTAGAAATTATTAATATTATATGACGGATGACGAGGCTTAAATTTCGTAACGTGAACATGTTAGGTGGTATGGATTAGGGATGTATATCTTTCCAAGGGTTGTATATAGGTACTTTATGCTTGTTTTATCACTCACTAATGTCACTAATGCTGCTCGGGGTTGACCATGGGATTCGTACCGTTCCGCACATCGCACGCATCGCTCCCGCGCTGTCAACTAACACCGAGTAGGAGGAGGAGGAGGTTTGCTCCTGGGCGTATGTACTGAAGTAGTTTCGTAAGTCGTATGAGAGAAAAAGGAAGTGAGATTATAGCTAAGGTACTTAACCAATGGTCTATCTTTACGAGGAAAAGTAATCGGCGGCATGACGTTACTTCGATCGCTAGGCAGTGCGCATGGGTTATCTAACTCCGCAGCCGCATCGTCGGCAGCATACCGCTAGGGCCAACGGGGTCCCATGGACGATCAATCTCACGCGGCTTTAAGGAGCATCTTAATGTAAAGCCTAGCTAGGTCATGTATATGTATAGAGGTATATATGAAATCATATATGGGAGGAGTAATCGACTTTGGACTGCAATTATGGTCCCTCAGGGCAGCATGAGAGGGGGGACCAGGGGGTCGCTGAGCCTTGCATGAAGCAGAAGAGCAACTACAAGAGTACCTGGATAGGTGGACGGGTGGATAGGATAGGTACCTAAGTAGATACCTAGGTGCCTGTAGGTAGGTATAGAACTAGGTCTGTAGGCATGTAATAAAAAGCTGCACAGACGCCTCGTGCAAGCTTTTTTGTACAGTTACTGTCACACAAATCTCGGCCTTGTGGGCAACAACTGGTGCTTTTCCTCGCAGCGCTAAGCTCGAACGAGAGCCCTTGCTTTCTAGGATTCAAGCCTCCTCGAGAAGTTAGGCATGGATAGTCCAGGATAGAGATAGATGCTGACCAACTGGAAGATAGCCCGGCGCACGGAAAAGAAATCGCTTGGACCTCCTGATCATTTATGCCCAATCGCCCAACGGACCTCGGTGAAGGCCTCGCGTCTGACCCGGAAATTATGTCCAATGGTCATTCCAGCCTGCACTTCGCGGGCATGCCGTTGGTCGCTCTATCTTTCTGAGAACCAAGACGGTGGAATATTCAGACCTATCTACGCTCTCGCTTTGGAGTTTTGTTGGTTACCTAGATGTTTGTATCGTTGCTTTGCTTGACGCCGAGCCGCTGAAGAACAACATCAACAAAATTCTTGAACGGGTAGAGTTCGTTTCCCACGGCGACAAATGCGGTAATATGGAGATTGCAGTTTTGCCCGGTTTCCTTTTTTTTTCTTCTTTTCTGCGTGCAATTTTTATTTTGTATGCAAGCTGTATCTCACTCACCGGCAGAGCGATGTTGGACGTATGGTTAGATAAATCTCACCGAAAGGCGAGTAAAGTAAGTCATAGAATCATGTTGGTCACAGAATATCTTCCCGACGGTTCGGGGTTTAGATGCTACACGAGCTTGCTTGCCGCGACAGCTTGATAGAACAACCCTCACTTCGGCAAGTGGTACGGGAACACGTTTAGACGAGGTGTCTTGAGAAGGAGAATAAGAGAGACAGAGGGGAGCGAAGCGATGTTCCCCATCGCATTGCTGGTAAATTGTCATGAGACCATTAGATATTCCAAGAGCCTGCCGGAAACAATGCGTTATTTCATGCTCGGACCCGCGCGTGTTGTAGCGCTTTATATTGGATCTATATGTGTAATGTAATAGCCCTCCGAGAGAGGGGAAGATCGTGTAAGTAGGCAGTGTCAGTAGTGTTAGTGGGCGAAATATGTCGAATGAGGTAAAGAGGCCGTTGAAACGTAGATATCTGAACCCTGGTTTGCATGACATCGATCTTTTATGGCCTGCCATGATCTTCCCACGCGCCCACGCGCCCACGATGTTGAGGCTTCCGCTTCCGGCATTGAATGGTTCTCAACCGATGAATTATAGGCATGGGAACTGGGGGAAGGGAAGCAAAACGAAGGTCACGACACCCAACCGGCAGGGCAGCAGGGTCGAGGAAAAAACTCACAGACCTTAGATGGGGGGCTTCCCACTTTCTCCCCCTTCCGTTGCTCATCGGTCTTGGACCTTGGGGGGGGGGGGGGGGGACAGGGGCCCCCGTATGCCGCTCATCTCAATTTGACCTGGTCAAAGTTGTCTCACAAGACGGAGATAATGGGCATTACGCACTATGTATAATGATGTATAAGGTATGTATGTATATGTGTGGTTGTAAGAAGTCGCAAAATGACCTCGTTCGGCTCGGCGACCACAATGAAAAGGCTCAATACCCCCTCCTTTGTCATCATATGGTCCGATTATGGCCGAATTGGCAAATCCAGACGAGCTGCCTTGTCGGGGGGTGGAAAAGCCCCCCTCGCGCGAGACAACGCCCGCTTCTTTTATTTTTCAGGATCACTACCGTAAACGGGTAGGCGAAGGAGTGCCCAGGTGAGCTTCGAGCGGATCTGAAAAAGGTGAATGGAAAGTGGAGGGGGGAAATAATATGGTATCGTCATCTAAGTAATACGCGTTCTCTGTACCCGGAACGGTTGGTGACTGGATATGTTTCTAAACTGGATTTCAGAGGTGAGGGGCTTACTTCAAGCTGTGTTCGAAGTTTTCTCGAGCTCTGGAGATCTGGCTCGCTAGCAGACCCTGCATGTTCGTCAAATAAAATCGCAAGGACAACCTATTTTATGACGATCCGTCTAGAGACGGAAACGGTGGCAGAGAGTGGCCCATGTTTGCCCTATGAGAAGGCGATACGGTCCGTTTCTTAAATGGGGCAGATAAACCATGGTACCCTGCTGAAAGTCCCTGCTAGTCAGCCCGTCAACGAGTCCGCTAACACCAAAAAGAACTCAGTGGAGAAGAGAGCGAACGAAGCCAAGCTCTTCGAAATACCTCATTCAACGTCTTTCATTCGAAGTTGCGGCACAGGGGACTCGTACATAGCGTACATAGTAGAGACTCGTAGGGACTTGCTGACTTCCAAGACTTTTCGGTCGACTTAAGCCTGCAATCCTTCCCGCCGAAGTTACCTGCGTAAGTATCGCGACGGCTCATCCGGTCTTTGGTTCCTAATATTGTGTCAACCCGGTTTTAGTTTAAACCCATTCATCTCATCATTCAACTATCGTGAGCCAAGCCTAAATAAAGATGGTCCCCGTAACAGGGTTATCTCATCTATTCGCTATGGTTGCGTCTCGATCTTCTTATATTATATTATTTATTATTTATTAATATCCCGTCGTCCCTTTTTTTAAGGAGGGTGTGACACTATTGAATAATATGTAGGTACATAGTACACTACCTAGGTAGGTAACTAACTTAGTTACTTAACTAATGAGAGCAAGCTGACAAGATAGAAAGAGAGAGGTGAGTGAGAAGAGAAAGAGGAGAAACAGAGGAAGGATTTAGCTATGTAAGAAGCCTATGTAAAAGCGCGCCGCTCCTTGGCCCAGCTTTTTCCCATGTGGGGTTTATTCCAGGACTCCCATAAATCACCTAATAAGAAATAGGCAGGATTTGCTATCGCTTCTCTTGTTAATGTATTCATAATCCATATCCATAACCCCATCATCTTTTTTTTTTTTCATTTTGATGATCCCCATGCCCTTAGTTCCACCTCGGGAGCATCCAGTTACCCGCATTTTAGTCAGATTCGGTTGACCTGACAAGCCAGATCGGCTGGCCCCTCGTTGCTGATTTTCTCCTCTTTCTCTCTTTCGCCGACGCCGCGAGAGAAGCGCTTGCGTTCTAAGAGGACGAGAGAAGAGAGAAAGAGAGACACATATACACGCACATATACATATGCCTACATACACTAAAAACCACTAGACAGGAACATGGCGAGCAGCCACCCCCCGAACCGGGAGGGTTGGGTCTGATCGAGAAAAAGCCACATGTGTTTCGTGTTGTAAAATTATTATTATGTTATTATCAGAGGAGCTTGAGTGTGTGCTGAAGAAGTCTTTTCTTTGGATTCTCTCGCATTTCATTCGGCTTGTCTCATGTTATTGCTACGTTCAACGTGTACGGCTTGCCGAATGCCCCGGGGGGCGCTTTCAGTTGCTTTTTGCGGCCCTTGTCGATTTCCCCCGTCCTGATGGGCATGGCTTGTAGTCTATTCCCAGGATAACTCTCCAGTTGTGGTTTCTCTGACAAGTTAAAAAAGCACGGTAGCATCGGTAGCATCGTGGTCCTCTCCACACACCTTGAAGATTCGACCCCGGCTAGCTAGCCCTCTCTAGACGCACATCCATGGGCCTAACCACATTAATTCATCTGTACCTTTGAGTAAAGACCCTCGTCCTGTCAGACCTGTCATACCACATTCTTATCCCTCGAGGGTTACCACACACACCCCCCTCCCCTTCTAGGTATCTTGTTATTCAGGGCCCCCGGACTCGACGGGCAAAGTCTACAACATCCCTGTTACTGCATACAGACTTACATATGTATCTATCTATGTACGGTCCTCCACATGTTTCTGTCTAGCATCTAGCCCTACCTTTCGCCGTGCATCTTTGATATTCCTATCTTGAAAAGCCATAGCTATGAGACTGCATTGCGGCGTCTTCTATTAGGAGAGCCAAACCTTCAATCGAAGGTTGAGCTGGTGAAATCGAAAGAAAAAGAAAAAGCAGCTTTATTTATTGGTTTTTCCTAGTTGATTCTGTTTGCTACGTCGTCCCCCCCCTACTCAATACTACTGCTACGTACCTTTGTCAACCCTTCGGCCGTTTCCATTTACACCAACTGTATAAGCCAATCTCTCTCCCGCTTTTTGCTCCTCGATGCACGTTAAGGGAACGGGAAAGAGAGACAACTCAGGGGAAAAATAGAGAATAGGGAAACGAGAACAAGTCGGGAGACGTGGCCTCGTTGAAGAAGGGTGTAAAGAGTTGGGTTTAACTTGGTAGCAACGGTAGGCCCCCAAGGTGATTGTTGGTTGGTTCTTCCAAAAGTCGACCGTCTATTGTTGCGCATGGAAATACGACAACACCATACAACTAGCTACCTCACTCGAGATTTGCGCTTCCACGTCCATTCTCATTTCGGGAGACTTGCCGGTCAACCTTTTGCCAGACCGCCAGCCAACTTATTGCTGCAGCTCCCAACAGCGCACGAAGGACAAGTGAACTATACACACCACAGGCCACGGCACACCTGCCCCCATAAAGGACCAATTGGTTGACTGAAATCCTGAATATGCATGCCGTCTCCCGCCCGTAAAAGTCGAGTTGCCAGAAATCCCGTTCCCGGTTGATCAACGCAGTCGCCAGCGCCAATCCTACCATTCTAACGGACTCGGTGCTGCAGAGTCGTTGCAAACCTCACATCTCGCGGAAACAGCATACAACACTGGGTAGTCTATATCGTGACAGTCAGTCAATGCGGGCCATAGCCGACGGATCATACCAACTCTCCAGTATAGGCGGCTCATTTGGAACGCTAGCCATGCACAATACAATAATCGGCTCAACTGGTATAGACCAGGATAACCATCTCGCTCATGATAATTCGTATCCGAACGAACAGTGGGTCGACATAAACAACGCCTATACCCATATGGCCATGAGTTACGGCGGGGACTACTATGCTCCGCCGGTAACTCATGGATTACCTTCAGAATCTATCGGCATGGCTCCGCCTCCTGTTCCGCATCAGATGCATAGCCATTCGCACAACAACTATGCGAGTCAACTTCCGCATCCATTGATAATACCAACACAGCAACCCTCGCAGGTGCAGTGGCCAAGTCTTCGGACGAACCCGTCTCAGAACTATTCACAACCACCTGTACCAATTCCCCCGGCCTCAGCTCCTTTGAGACAACAGCCGAGGCTGCCAACGATCAACACGTCGCAGCCCAGAAAGACGCTTACGGACGAAGACCGTCGAAACATGTGTTTATTTCACGAAGACAATCCTCATGCTAAACAGACGGAAATCGGACAAAAATTTGGAGTAGAGCGAAGGTAAAGTCGAAAGGTGTTGATGCGAATCTCGGTTGCTAACGTTCTCGTGACAGTACTGTATCGAAGGTGCTGCGAAGGAAGGAATTATACCTCAATCTGGACAGTCAGGGTGGCTCTCCTGTGAAAAAATCAAAAGGGAAATCCCCGCCAGACATTGAGCGGGCTCTAGCAAACTGGGTAAGGGGCCAGCAAAAGAAGGGAGTTGTAGTCAGCGACACTCAGATGGAAGAGAAGGCGAGGGTGTTCTGTACTGGTTCTGACAGTCCCCTCAAAACCATCACAGCCTCTTGGATCGAGAAGTTCAAGCAGAAGCACAATATCGGCCCTGGGAAATTAATTCGTAGAGCATCGGAGACTGCGATTCCTGACAATGCTCGACTTGACACTGGCTCACCGCTATTATCTACCACGCAAACACCAGGAGGTATTTCGCCGGCATCGCCAACCAACCAAACGGCTTCACCACAACCTTCCTCAGCGATCGAGAAATCCGCGAGTAGAGAATCACTTTCTACTAATTTTATGGATTTTGAGTCCAACGGGTACCGACACCCTCACTCCCAAAGCTCAACTTCGCTCTCCAGTGCTGTTACGGACCCACCAAGTTCCACGTTTTCTGCGGGTGCCTTCAGTCCGACTTCGCAATTCAACTTCTCTCCAGACCCGAACTCTGGAATGTTTACCGATAGGAACCAGCAGATACCAGGAAACCCTAACTTCCAACGACCGCGGAGTCAGACGGTACCGGACTTGGGAAACCTCGAGTACATCAACCAGTCGCAGTCCAGCGAGCCGTTGACCCCAAAATACAGCCAATCTGGAACGGCGCCCTCCTCAGCCCTCGAGTCTCCAACTCACGAGATGTCCGCCCCGCCTTTCGGAGGCCTTGATTCGGCGATTTCACCCCCCACCCAGCTCCACCATGTAAGCAGTAATAGCAGCCTGACCGGCCGATCAAGTTGCTCGGGGACAGCACCGATCCCCGTTACGACAATGGGCTCTTCGCCGAGTTCTCCCACGCAGGAGGATGCTAGACGGGCCGCGGACACGCTTCTGGGGTTCATGCAACGATTCGAAGGCTCCGGCTTGGTCGACCAACATGACTTCATTACGGTTATGAAACTGACTGAGAAACTGAGGCTACAGTTACCACTGCCACACGGGGGGCCACAGGCCAACTCGGCCATCCAGGGGCTTGGTGGTCTGTCTAGGATACCGGAAGGTGATACCGAGATGACTACGGGTGTCTCGCCTCTAGTTAAGAGCGAGACTATGATGAGTGTATGACCACTTGAATCCGTTCATTTTACAGGACGTCCCGGTACAGTTATGGATTTAGACAACTAAGTCCTTCGTTCTACGGCTTCGAGTGTTTCGCCTCCTAAATCAGGAATAAAGAAACGATGGCATCCAAAATAGACCGCTAGATTCTTCGCGTCAAAGGTTTGGGAAGACATCTGGAGTTTAACGAGTTATACTATACCCCCCTTAACTCCAGGTCAGCTAAGAACAAGTCTCACGACAAGCCGCGAGAACCGAGGATAGCAGTAACATATAACCCATAACTCGAACTGATACGGAACGGCCAACATCAACAGGAACAAGGACAAGGAAAAATTGATAATAACAGAAAAAGATTTTAAAAAATATCAAACAAACCACCAAACGAAACTACCGAGCGAAGTAATTATATACACTATATTCTCACGAAGCCTCATATTTATACATATACCCCGCCGCCCCGCCGCGCGCCCCTTAAGCGATTGATTATACCCGAAATTCGAGCAATCGAGCCCCCCGCCATCGACGAAGGAGTAAAGGAAAGGATGGGATTTTAGGAGGAAAGAGTAGGAAACTGATTTTAGCTTCTTCTTCACCTCGAAAGTGGAAAGCTATTTTGATACTATCACCATATTGTCTGTCAAAATCTATCTGTCCCGTCCATCGGCAACAAGACTTTTGTCCCGCTCACGCGAAAATTATATCTGTCTGTCTATCGACAATATCGGAACGGATCCGCGAAATTCTGGAGAAAAATATATCCCAATTTTTTGGCTTTTCTTTTCTTTTCTATTTCTTACCTTTTCCTCGTTTAGCTTTCCTCTTTTTTAGTTCTTGGTTTCTAAAAAGATTCCCCCATCGTATATATTTTTGTGTATGTATGTGTGTTCTGTGTTTGTTGTTTCTGTACTAGCGTTCCGATGAGCCCTTCGCTATGTTGGATGGGGAATTTGGGAAAAGGGTATAGCAAAGAGATGGAAAAGACGGCCAAACAAGCAATACCACCTACACACTCGTTACAGCCAGACAGACAAATGATTTGGGCAGGGAAGACAGGACTATCCTGTTTGTCCGCGGAGGAATGGCAATTGGAAGGGTGGAGTGGGAAACCGGGGGGAAACGAAGGCGTGAAGGTGTTTGGTGATCGGGGTTTGGGGAGTATTCAAGTGGAAAGGGGAGTCCTTGTTTTGGTTTTCTTTCTTGGTTCATTGGTTGATTTGATTATTGATTGTTTCTCTTTTTGATTACATCTCTACATAGCAGCAGCACTACCAGGCGTTCATCCGGGAATTCGGTTTTTCTTCTCTCTAGGTAAACCTGACATTAATTGAATTGGCACTGCTCTCGTTCTCCTCTTTAGGCATCCGTCATCTATCCACGTCCATTCATCTTCCTCCAATCCCGAATTCCCTACCTACCCCCTAGAAGAAAGTAACGGCATCAAGGGGCGCACCGTTTACACTAGGAGAAGGTACCTAGTAAACTTACTACTCTTCTTTCAGGGCTGTCTGTCTCAGTCTCATCGAGATGCCGGGGCGAGGAAGAAGTCGGAAGACGTAGCGAGCCTAGTCTAGCAGGCCGTCGTCTTCAAGCTCGCAATGAACACCCTCCGGGGGACAATTAGGTTACACTCCGTAAGGAAAAGGGGGGGGCCTGGTTTCTGTTCCGGCCGTGCCAATTGTCCCAAAACTATGACCGAGACTTATTTATTTTTGGAATAATTCAACTGGCGTCTACTAGTACCCTATACCTAAGTGGTTCTTTCACAAGCTAAAATCACTAATAATACGTAGCAGATTAGGTAGTATGTAGAGTAGTAGTTAGAGTAACACATACCTAAAGTAATAAACATCGAAACGGGAGATCTGGGCGTGGGCGGCTCTGTTGTTACTCCTCTCTCGGAGTGTCTTGTCCCTCGGCTGCTCCCCCGTCAGTTCTCTCCTGCTGCAGCTTTCTGTTGGCAAAAAACAAAACTGATGTTGCATTGCATGAAGAGGGTGCGCTCGATCTGGACAGGGCGGTGCATGAAACTCTGAAACTTTTTAAATTTTCTTCATGTCTGTTCTAACAACAGGTACGTACGTACATAGTAGTTACATGGCGGTATATGTTGGTTGGGTATCAATCATTAACATTACTTATTTTATTTACGAGAAGAAACCGAATGTCCGGCCCCTCCTTTAACTTAGCCTCTCCTCCCACAGTTCGATGACCCCCTTCTCGGCTAGTTCGGGCATGAGGCGCACTAAAACGAGCTCTAGAATCCCGTATATCAGATGCTTATTACAATAGGGATCTGAGAAGATGTCGAGAATGCCGGTTTCGATCTCGGATAATATTCTGTTCTGTTCCTCGTCCTCTTCTCCTTCGTCACACATGTCAGCCCGATTGTCGCCACCGGCCTCGGTCGGCCGCACACCGGTGTCTCCAAATTGCCGCTTTGAACTTTCTGGGGTCAACGTTGCATAATGGTCTCTAACAGATTTGCCCCCATCGGTAAGCCGCACGCGTGCAACTTCCTCTCCAGTGTCACTGGCATTATGTGCTGTGTTATTACTACTGGCCTTAAACGGTCCGGACCGCCAGCTCGTACTCTTTCGAGCGATAGTCGATCTGGCAGGCCACGGCCAGGTACTGCTACCATAATAAAGCCTGCCCACCCTCTTCGGAACAAGCGCCAAAAGCGCGCTAGCGCATCTGCGACGCAGGGCCGCCAGCTGCGCGTCAGATGAAGGAGGGATCAAGCTAGGAGCGCCTGGGGCGTTATTAGGGAAGACGACACCTCGCACTGCTCGAAGGAGCGGGGGTAGACGGGCAGGATCGAGGATATTGGCGTGGATATGATGTGAAAGAAGTCTGTGCGAGATCAGTATAGAGCGAAACCATGTAGTAGAGAACATTAATAGAAGCTTCTAAGGAAAGGTATTGTAGGGGACGTGGGGGCTCGGTAGTACATGTGTTACCAGATGCGGGATGGTTCGAGGGGGAATTAGGGTACGAATAGGGTACGCGATGTTGCAATGGAGTGCTAAGACGCGGAATTCAAAAAGAGTGAGATTTCCCTAGGCTGCTAGGGCAGACAATCTGATCCCCTCTGTAAAACCCTTGCTGCGCGACCATGGCTTCATGACAAAGGTACTGATGACGAATTGCAACCACACTTTAGAGATGATTGATAATGCAGAAGCCTACTACGCATGACTTGTATCAAATGGGCAAGAGATGTGAGGCTTCAAGGGATTATGGAGCTTTGCCTGGGGGAGAGAGCTCGTGCAGGGGAGCTATAAGCTGCATAAGCCCTGAGAGGGGGCTACATCCCTGGTCTTTTCTGTTCCTATCCGATCGGGGAAGGAGTGCGACGATGGCGGTCCTTTTGGCGCAAAATTGCGAGGCCGAGCTCTAATAGACTGAGATCGATTGACTTTGGACGGAACGGGCCAAGGTGGTGTATGATACCTGCACAACCCGGCACCAGGGTAGTTCGACAGCCACAGTGTCGCGCTCGGAAAGGTTTCAAGACACCCCGGTCTAAGCTACGCAAGATAGGGCCACCCTTGGACGATCGAATCTGACTTGTATCTAAAGCTGAACCATAGTCGTCGTCATCGTTGTTTATTTCCACCGTCAAACCAAATTTGTGTATATTGCAATATGGTCACTAGCCATGAGCAATACGAGAAAGGGCTAGCATTGAGATAGAATAGTTAGAGGTTGATTAGGAAAGCTACCAGGCTTGGAGAAAAGGATCCGCCGTAAAAGTTCCTAGCCTAACAACGCGCGTCGGAGGCATGGCCGTGCGTGCGGGAACGGTAGAGGTGGGTCCTAGCCGTACAAAGCGAAAGTGAAAATGGTTCGTGGCGTCGTACTAAGGTCGACGGACTGACTCTGAAGATCCTTGGTCTATGGACGGGAATCCCTGCAAGTTCCAAAGTTGGGCGCGTAAATAAGGCTCGCGGATGGCTAGTTAGGCCTGGCAGACTCAGCCCCGCGCCGTTTATCGTGCAATCGGATGAAGGATATCGAGGTTTACCCGGTCATTGGTCGTTCAAAAAGGATGACCCCTGGCATAATAAAGTATCTCTATGGGGGCTCCCTGGCGATTATCGGACTTTGGGGTGGTTCCCTGTTTATCCGGTCGCGACGTGAGAGGGTTGGGGACTTGGTTGCACAGTACCTCCCTCTACTAAGAGGTTGGTCTTTACTGAAAAGGGCCTGGGCTTAGACTTGGGTATGGGTGCCTTCGTTTTGGTTGATCTGCCAAGCCGATTTCCGAACGTCTATGGAAATTAATATTGTGATGGGGGACGAAATGGTCGTCATGCACACTTGCGAGACGAGACGTTTCTGAATTATGAATGGACCAAACTCAGATCCAGTGACCTGAAGCGCATGCGAGGTGACGAGATAGGTGCTTCTGGGATGGAGGGTGAAAAGGAGATTGATTCGCCTACCTATCGATCATCCCGTCAAGCCCTCCCAAGTTTCCCGGACCTCTCAGAGCTCCCCATTGCGCCATGGACAGAGCTCCGCTCATCCATGGCATGCGGGCGTCTATTTCGAGTAGATTCCCAACGCAAGACCATATTTTGAAGTCGGCGATGGGAACCTTGACTGGTTGCGAATGAGCCTCGAGATTTGTTGGAGGATGATAGTGTGACTCTTCTGGATCACCATGAGACGATGGATTAACCTTGCGGGTCAATATAGGGGTACACCTCGCAGGGAGTGTTCGTGATAGCATTATGGTGCCAATAATGAAACGTATCGAGTTCACTATAACGAAACCCCACTGTATCGCGGACCAGAATGCCTGTTGGATATACAAGCTATGCTTCTCCGTAATTGACGGACTTATGCCGGTGCCTGGCCCTAGCTTGATGCTCGGTTCAGTGTTCTCAGGCCCAGAACCCTCCGATGAACTTCTTGTACGCACGAATCTCGTTAGTATAATCAGGCCTTCCCATATAAGCCATGGCTCCGAAATTTTATTGGCAACAAGGTTACCAATGATAAGTTCTGAGAATAATTGTCCAACCAGCGTCGTCAAGCACTCATTTTCGAGATCCTCGGTTGGAAGTAAAACAGCTAGAACGCCTTGCACTAAAAGTTGGCGGTATGCACTTTCATTGTCTGCTTGAACCTGTATACCACCATGTCCAGACTTAGGAACTGGTGACAAGGCCGGTAGCGGCCAGAGTGAATGGTAGATCTCGCGTGGATTGGCCTCGACTGGTGGCCGTGCCAGTGAGTTCTTTGCAGTCCGATACGCTAGAATATATTGTCAGCGATGAGAAATCAAGGCCGAACTTGATTTTGATTTTTGATAGTCGGGTAAGCTAGAGAATGGGCATGTGGCCAACCTCGAATATGTGCATCTAGCAAGTCCGGAAGCTCATCAAACAATAGACTCTCAAGATCCACCTTCCGCAGCCTCTGCTCCAATGCGCGGGTGCAATGAGCGATGATCTGTACGATTTCGGCGACAAAAGTCTCGTCCGGTGTGATCTTGTTGTACCAATTTTGGACAAACTCCTTGATGATGACGGCTATGAGGGCATATAGTTGAAGATCCACATCGTTTCGACTAGTAAGAGGTGGCAGGAGGTCTTGAATGGGTGGAGTCGTATTCCTTTCCCTATCGGTCAGGTGCTGGGCACATAGTGCTCGGCGTATGAAGGCTGCAGTGGCCTTGTCGGATAGGAAGTCAGACGATACAGGACGAGTGGACCGGCGAGGCGCTGAGGAGGGTGGAGTCGCACGGGGCGAATTCGATGTCTTGCTGCCAGTAGAGGAAACGGACTCTGGATTGGTGCTCGATGTCGCTGGCGCCTTTAGACTAGTCGGGACCGTACTACCTTTAGGCGGGATGGGGCCCGCTGGTGTTGCTGTCATGCCCGTTCGAAGGATGGTAGTAAGGGAATGTTCATCAGATTATCGTCATGACATTTGCTATTTGGCGGTGAAGAAGTGTCTTGTCTTCTTTTTTTAGTGGTATTGGGTTATTGTGGTAAAAAGGAGCGAAGTTTCCGAGGTTACGAGGTTGTAAAGTAGGTTGGTTTAATGTTTAACCATTAACGTTTGGTTATGGCGCTAATCTCGTTGCCGTTTGCTGCTGCAGGAACATTTCTCTGCGGCGGCGACTTCCCCTTGTACGTCTTTACACTAGAAGGGATGCTGCAGCTGCAGTCCGTTACAACTGCTTGCAGTTTATGCCACCTGGCCTAGAATGACGTTGCTAGCCTATTAGATCCATGGATTTAAACTACAGCGGAGCGCTCCGCTGCCGAAGCACAGGCCATTACAGACTTCAGTTTAAGGTATCATCGCTTTTTAACTTGCATGTATACAAGGATGGCCATGCTTTGTTTTTAGAACATCATTGAGCCTCATATAGAGCACGTATTATAGAGATATATAAGAGAATAGGGGGTTTTGATCATGTCCCTATTTTTTTTTTCCATTGCTGGGAAGTTCTCTATAAGAAAATTCTTGGAAAACGTAGCTGGAACTGAGAGATCTCGTCGCATCGTTTAATTGGAGTTTGAGATGGCTATTTTCCTTGGATTATTTTATACATAGTTAAGGCCTTCTAATTTCGCATCCAACTAGCCATGTGAATGATAACTGTACATTTCTGTTCTATTCAGTTTTTTTGGTTGTCGCCTCATACCTGCGATGTTTGTTAATATTAGGTACTTGATCGATCGAACATGGGGGAATCATTATGAGAAATACATACCTCTTGCCTCGGAAAGCCCATACACCCCAATTACCACAACTGACATCTTGCGGGTCAAGGTCATTCAGATCCCAACGTAAACTCCTAAAGGTGTTCTCGCCGGGTTCCATGAGCATATCAAACTCGCTACCGCAAGTTTTCTTCACCCACTCGATGTCCCTGTCCATGTCATACTGTGTATAACCAGTCACTATAATCGGGGCTTTTGTTTCTAGGAGTAGTGGTACCGTTTCTGACCACTCGTGGGAACTAGCCGGATGGCCTAATCCTGGGTGGAACATGACGAAACAGTCAAAATAGGGATCGTATGGATAAAACTGGCCGGTTTTATGAAGTGTATGATAGTAGTCCACAATCGTGCTAATCTTCATCGTCGGCCAAACTCGATCTTCCACTATGGCACCAAATGGATTAGATGGAGTTCGGGGTGGTAATGGGAATTCGTCGTCTCGATTGGTCATGCTTTCAGGTCCAATGAAGATGAGGTGGAACTTCCCTCGAGGGAAGAGATGAGCTAGTTGTACCCAGACGTTTCGAGGAAGAGACGACTCAGCACGAGCGCCGAGTATGAATATCCTCACAGGAGGCGCTTCAGGTCGTAGGCCTTTGATTCCCTCTCCACCACCAGTTTTGGGCGGATGCAAGGTATATCGCAGGGCACTTAAACTCTTCAAGCCTTCGGGCGTAAGCCTGCCACCTTTCCTGATATTGTATGGACTGAGCTCGTGAAGAATACTGCCTACCGTAATGGGATAGGTTAATAGTCTTGTGACTTGTCGCATGCTTCTGTCATCATTGATAGCTTCGAATTGCCTCGTATAGAGGAAAGTATCCCAATTTGTCATATTAACAGCAGCTTCTTCCATCTGCGGCCCCGCATACTCGAATTCGGGAAAAAACCTCCCCGATCGAAGATCATGGTCGTCTTCATTGATCTGCCGTAGAGTGTCACAAATCTGTAGATGCGCCTCGTAATCCTCGGCCCAATGTTTCTCACTACAATAGACAGGAATTCCACAATCCGGACATTCAAAGTCTACGTGGACAGGCGCTTTGGATCCGGAACTGGCCTCACTTGGTGGGGCGTCGGTATTTGTTGGTATTCGTGTGGGTCGATGGTCGGGATGCGGACAATATGCATGTTGCCGTATATAAGCAGCGCGACGCCGTATTTCGGGAATGGGCGAATTGGTAAAGGAGTGAAATAAATCGTCGGGGCGAAGAACGGGTGGCCTGGAGCGGTTCTCGTATGACGCAGCCGATCCTAGAGTAACTGAATCGTCATCGGTTGTCTTCGGCTGTTGGCCGAATAGAGATATGGACCTCGATAGTTTGCCACTGGGTTTTGTAGCGGGCGCAGGTCGTTTTGTATGTATTCCCTGGCTAGATGCGCCGCTTCTTTGCAACGATCGTGAAGAGGTAGCTTTACTGAATGACCTTGTTACGGCTGGGCGAGAAGCATTGACTGAGGAGAGTCTTAGGCACGACCGGCAAGTATTAGAACCCGCTAGGCGCATTGAGGGTTCCATTATAGAGGCTCTCTAATTGACCATCCATGCGACGGTGGTTGTAAATTTTGCGACTGGGATAGCTCCAAAGCTTCCGTAGAAATTCTCAAAATTGGGAACATTGAATCAAATTTAGAGAAGGTACATTACAGCTATGCCCCACATACGTAGATGTACCTAGGTACATGGCACTCCGAACATGAGATATCGGAATGAATATTGATCCTACGCCGAGCCCCGCCAGAGCTTCGATTGGCAATCCAAGTTCTTGGTACCTCCAATCAAAGTTCTTCATCTCAATTGGAGCTCCATCAATTTTCATAAAACTTTAGAAGCTTCTCTGATAAACATCACCGTTTTTCACATCCAGCCTCGCCGTATAAATACAACAACGCCGACAAAGCAAAAGAGATTGAGAGGCTAGAAGAGTCGCGCAGGCTTCCTGCGCATCCGCTGCGAAGATGGCGACTACTTCAAATATGTTTCTTTACTCCCTCACAATCCAACCTCCTACTACAATAAACCAAGCTATGCTTGGCCAATTTTCTGGTACCAAGGAACAGCAAATCATCACGGCCTCGGGCTCGCGACTCACATTACTCCGTCCGGAACCGTCCCAAGGGAAAGTAATTACCCTTCTGGCACATGATGTCTTCGGCATCATAAGGTCTATTGCCTCTTTTCGACTTGCTGGAAGTAATAAGGGTAAGTTCTACACTCTCCATACTTGTGAAGCTTCACTTAGTGATTTTGAAGCTCCGTTCGCAGAATCACTCCCGCAGCCGCCTTGATACACGGTGCGATCTTTCATTGTCAATGAAAAATGGTATCTTAGAACTTCACTAACATTCGTGTCTATAGATTATGTTATACTTGCCACCGACTCGGGACGCATCGCGATAATCGAGTATATACCACAGCAGAATCGATTCAAACAACAGAAGCTTGAAACATTCGGAAAATCAGGAGTCCGCCGTGTTGTTCCAGGACAATACCTTGCTTGCGATCCCAAGGGCCGCGCTTGTCTCATTGCGTCAATTGAGAAAAATAAGTTGGTTTACGTTCTGAACCGAAATGCACAAGCAGAACTTACTATTTCCTCGCCATTAGAGGCACATAAGCCGGGCACCATTGTGCTTTCTATGGTTTCTTTGGATGTCGGCTATGCGAACCCAGTATTTGCGGCGCTGGAGGTCGATTACTCCGAGTCCGATCAGGACCCGTCAGGTCAAGCTCTCGCAGAGGTCGAGACACAACTTGTCTACTATGAACTGGACCTCGGGCTGAACCATGTTGTCAGAAAATGGCATGAACCAGTCGATCCCACTGCATCAATATTATTCCAAGTTCCTGGTGGCAACGATGGACCTAGTGGTGTTCTGGTTTGTGGCGAGGAGAACATCACGTATAGGCATTCCAACCAAGAAGCCTTTAGAGTACCGATACCGAGACGAAAAGGTGCAACTGAAGATCCGCAACGAAAAAGATCGATCGTTTCTGGTGTCATGCACAAACTCAAAGGAAATGCCGGGGCTTTCTTTTTCCTCTTACAGACCGAGGACGGTGATCTTTTTAAAGTCACCATTGACATGGCTGAGGATGAGGACGGAAATGCCACTGGAGAAGTGCGCAGGCTCAAAATTAAATACTTCGATACAGTTCCAGTATCCACAAGCCTTTGCATCCTAAAAAGCGGTTTTTTGTTTGTAGCGAGCGAATTTGGTAATCATCATTTCTATCAGTTCGAGAAGCTAGGCGACGATGACGATGAGCTGGAGTTTACTAGCGACGATTTCCCCACAGATCCGCATGCGTCGTATAACCCTGCTTATTTCTACCCAAGACCGGCAGAGAATTTGAGTCTGGTCGAGAGTATCGATTCTATGAATCCTTTGGTCGATTGTAAGGTAGCGAACTTGACTGGCGATGACGCACCGCAGATCTATTCAATTTGCGGTAACGGGGCGCGAAGTACATTCAGGACGTTAAAACACGGCCTCGAAGTCAATGAGATCGTGGCCTCGGAGCTTCCGGGTGTCCCATCAGCAGTTTGGACCACCAAACTTAATCGATCTGATCAATACGATGCCTACATCATTCTCTCCTTCAGCAATGGTACTCTGGTGCTTAGTATTGGCGAGACTGTTGAAGAGGTAACCGACACTGGCTTCCTCTCATCGGTTCCAACACTCGCCGTCCAACAACTTGGCGACGATGGGCTGATCCAAGTCCACCCCAAGGGTATCCGTCATATCGTTAGAGGAAGAGTCAACGAGTGGGAAGCGCCGCAGCACAGATCAATCGTTGCTGCTTCAACCAATGAGCGTCAGGTTGCGGTCGCTCTAAGCTCAGGCGAAATTGTCTATTTTGAGATGGCTGACGACGGGTCATTGGCGGAGTACGATGAAAAGAAAGAAATGTTCGGAACCGTCACTTGTCTGAGCTTGGGCGAAGTCCCTGAAGGTCGCTTACGAAGCTCGTTCCTGGCCGTTGGATGCGACGACTGCACTGTCCGAATTCTAAGCCTGGATCTCGAGTCCACGCTCGAGAGTAAGTCAGTACAGGCTTTAACCGCTGCGCCGTCTGCACTATCGATAATGGCGATGGAAGACTCTTCGTTTGGCGGATCTACTTTATATCTTCACATTGGTCTGCATTCCGGTGTCTATTTACGGACAGTTCTCGATGAGATAACCGGAGAACTTACTGACACTCGTCAAAAGTTCCTTGGACCTAAGGCCGTGCGACTTTTCCAGACCTCGGTTGAAGGTCGTACTTGTGTATTGGCTCTGAGCTCGAGGACGTGGCTGGGCTATGCAGATCCAATCACAAAGGGATTTATGATGACCCCTCTTGACTACACCGATCTTGAATGGGGTTGGAATTTCAGCAGTGAACAATGTGAAGAAGGTATGGTGGGAATCGAGGGTCAGAATCTGAAGTAAGTCATCTCTATCTTTTTCCCCGCAAATTGAAGAATGATGAAAAACTGGGATCCGATGCCTCGGCTATGAGGTTTTTAATACTTGTATACCAATTGTTCCTACTGAACTTCTAATATTTCTCTTCTATATATGAGACTCTTGGAAGCGACAAGCTGCTAACGACAACAGAATTTTCTCCATCGACAGGTTAGGGGATACCCTATTACAACAATCAATACCCCTCACATACACTCCGAGACGCCTTGCTAAGCATCCCGACCAACCTTACTTCTATACCATTGAGTCCGATAACAATACACTTCCGCCCGAATTACGTGCTCAGCTTCTAGCTGACCCCGGCGTCGTTAACGGTGACGCTGCCGTACTACCACCTGAGGAGTTCGGATATCCTAGAGGCCGTGGTCGATGGGCGTCTTGTATCAGCGTCGTTGATCCACTAGTTGAGAAACGAGTGCTGCAAACATTAGAACTCACCGAGAATGAGGCTGCGGTCAGTATGGTCACTGTTTCATTCGCAAGCCAAGATAATGAGACTTTCTTGGTTGTGGGTACCGGAAAAGATATGATCCCCAGTCCTCGTCAAGCGAGCGCGGGATATATACATGTCTACCGGTTCCGCGATAACGGCAGGGAAATCGAGTTCATCCATAAGACCAAGGTGGAAGAACCTCCAATGGCATTGGTTCAATTTCAAGGTCGTCTACTTGCAGGAATCGGCAAAACTCTACGTGCCTATGACCTCGGATTGCGACAACTTCTCCGAAAGTCGCAAGCTGAGGTCGCGCCCCAACTCATCGTCTCGTTACAAACTCAAGGTAGTCGCATCGTCGTTGGTGACGTGCAGCAAGGTGTCACCTATGTCGTGTATAAATACGAGAGCAATAAGTTAATTCCGTTTGCTGATGACACAATACCTCGCTGGACAAATTGCACGGCGATGGTGGACTACGAATCGGTTGCTGGTGGCGATAAATTCGGAAATGTCTGGATCGTGCGATGTCCCCAGAAAGCAAGTGAGGAAGCTGACGAGGATGGGACCGGGGCACATTTACAACATGCCAGAGAATATTTGCATGGCTCCAATCACCGTGTTAGTCTTATGGCGCACTTCTTTACGCAGGACGTTCCAACCAGCATCAGTAAGACAAATCTTGTGGTGGGTGGTCAAGACGTTCTTCTCTGGAGCGGTATACAAGGTACCATTGGTGTCTTCATCCCATTCCTCAGCCGAGAGGATGCGGATTTCTTCCAGAGTCTCGAGTCGCATATGAGAACCGAAGACCCACCTCTCGCCGGAAGAGATCATTTAATCTATAGGGGTTATTATGCTCCCGTTAAAGGTGTCATCGATGGTGATCTATGTGAACGGTTCACATTGCTCCCGAGCGATAAGAAACAGATGATCGCGGGTGAGTTGGATCGTTCGGTCCGAGAAATTGAGAGGAAAATATCGGTGAGTGAAGTATTTTTGAACCCTTAAATTGACATTGTGACTAATGTTGAGTAGGATGTACGAACTCGGTCAGCATTTTAAAGGGGTATCGTAATGGCGCCTGGAGTAAAATGGAGTTACGTCGTGTCTGAAGGAGTTTTGAGCATAGCCATGCACGGCCAGTTCATTGAATGGTCAGTTGGTGTGGATACCCAATGCAATTATCAGTCGTTCTAAAAGTACATCTCAGATGCGAAATTGTGTACATGTCATGACTGCCTATCCAGGTGTCTTTACAATCCAGTGACGCCAGGAACCCCGGGCCTTACCCAGTACCCAGATTCATACACATTCCTGTCACCTCCGTCCCCTCCAATACGCATTATTATTTGCACGCCCCGCAACCCCTTTACCTCTTCTTGCCGCCTCGACTGGGTGGGCGCGCTCCCACTCTTCGTCTGCGAAGAAGGCCTCCGTCGCTAATTGGAGGTCATATCCAGCCTGTTCTAGGTATAAAACTGCGACGTCATATTCGTGAACCTTGCATGCTACTTGCCACCGCCGGATCTTGGATTTACGCGCTTCTTCCTCTTCGCCCTCGATTGGTCGCGGCGAGAGACTTACACCTCCCTTGTAGTATTCTCCTGGTATTATGACGGTCCGCCGTCCTAAAATCAAGTGGTCACTTGTGATATTATTTGCGCGTCTAAGCGCGGATGCAGGAACGCCGTAGCGAAGCGATAAGGAGGGTATCGTGTCGTGCGCGTGATCGAGGAAGTGTAGTGTATCTTCCGCTGGCTCAGGCGAATCTAGAGGGACGGATTTTTCGTCCAGCGGGTCGGGGGCTTTTATGGTTGTGGAGGGTGTGTACGGCGGCGGCGCTGCTGATAAGGCTCTGGAGGAGCCGGTTGCGACCGAAGATTCGTAGGAGGGAGGATCTCGTAGACCTGGTGGGAGCGTGGTATCTGTCGTCGATATCTGGCAGTAGGGACAGTAGGTATTGAAACGAGGATTCGTCTGATGCGATACTTGATTAGTCTATCAATGACTACTTATATACATTCAAATAGATCTAAAGAATCTACGCACATTGCAACAATTACCACATATTATCCGCCGACAACATTCTAGCTGGCGATCTAGAGGTGGCTTTTCTGATTCACTATAGCGAGGAACATCGCAGAGGAGTGTCGCACATGTACAACAGGACTCGACCGAGAGCGGTGCCTTCGGTTTCGACACTGTCATGCTTGGGGAATCAGAGAAGGATACAGGGTGCAGGGGAATAACAATACAGTATTGATAATGAGGGTATATTCTTTTTTTTCTGATTTTTTATTCTAAGTATAGTTTAATCAGCATGAAAAGTGTAATAGGAGACCACTGCGATACCTAGGTACAGGTGACTGAAGGTGGCGTGCGCCTCTCGCTCATGACGTCTATTGTTATCGATAAGGGAAAGTTAGGGGGTTAGAGCTAACGTACTTAGGGCTAGCGTTCACTTAAAACCGAGAAATCCGGGGCTTAGCTATAGGTACCTAGGCAGCTAAGGGGCACGCCGAAGCGCTGCTGGATCACCTTCACGTTTCTGATGTCAGCGGTAAACGCTCTCTCTACCCTCTACTCTTCCTTAAGACGTCCACCATACGAAAGGAATAAGGCTGCCTTGCCACGAACCAGATTTGCAATAACTTCTCCTTTCTTTGGAAGCTTAGTACAATAATGTCTGGAAGTCTTAAGACTACGAGAATTAAATAGCAACACGAGCTATTGCAACGCAATTGACTTTCAAACAGCGCGTCGCCGACTTTCGAAGCTGAATCACATCTACCTCTAACGAACGAATTGATAACGCACGTCACGAAAACCACCAACGAGTGATTGTACAATCTAATAATATCCTATATTTATCCTTTACGAATCTATTTGTACCTTAAACATCTATAACTTAATGCTATAATACCACCGATCCTCAACCCACCGTACGAAGCCCCTGTACGCAAAAATGGCTTCACCTTCTACCCCGGCGTTACCTACGTCGACATTTCCTCCAGCCAAACACCCAAGTCCCGCGATTCCAGTGTTCCTCCGTGAAGCAGGGCTCGACTCTCCCTCGTTCCGATCTTCTGCCTTATACTTCTCCGAACAAGTAGATGCTATCGAGCGGTGGCTGGACGGCTACGTAAAGACAACAGCCAAATTAACCCACGACTTCCTTGCTCTGGAAGAAACCGTCCACGCCTACCTGAACAAGATCATACCACCGCCCAATGTCAACGCCGTCGATAATGACTACGCTGCACTGGCACTTAAGAGGTTCAGTGAGGGGTCAAGGGAATGGTGGATGCAAATCTTGAGCGCCACTAGGAAGGTAGACACATTGTCGGTCGATCCGATACGAAACTTCCTCCAAGGTGACCTACGGAACTTCAAGGAGGCTAGAAAGACATTAGAACAGACACAGAAGGCATTCGATACAACGCTAGCCCGATATGTAGGCCAGTCGAAGACCAAGGAACCATCGTCTTTGCGAGAAGATGCATTCAATGTGTACGAGACTCGGAAGGCGTACCTGAAGGCGTCAATGGACTTCTGTTTCTTTGCGCCTCAATTCCGCCTCAACTTGGATAAGTTATTGGTGCGAGTATCTAGTGATCTGTGGAGGGAGATGAAGAGATCTCGAGATGCCGCGGGAAGTTTTGGGAAATACGGTCATGAAATGGATCGAGTTAGGGGATGGTCGAAGGAGATGGAGCTATCAGAACCTACCTTTAAGCGTGAGCTGCAATTGGCACGGCGCGATATTGGAGAGAGCACGTTAGCCGCCTTCAAACCATCTCGTGAGATCGATGACTATAGTGCATCGACTGTTCCATTCTTAGGATCTAGGGGTCCTCTCAATGTTTCCACATCTGGGCAAGCTGCTGTGATCATGGAGAAGCAAGGATGGCTATTCTTACGAACAATTACTGGAAAGCCGTCTAGAACCAATTGGATACGACGATGGTACTACTGCCGAGATGGTATCTTTGGTTGGCTCGTCAATGGCCCCCAGGGAGTTTTACAAGGTGATGAAATCGGTGTGCTTCTCTGCAATGCGAAACCCGCCGTTGGAGAAGAACGCCGATTTTGTTTTGAAGTCAAGACCAAGAACCAGACATTGTTGCTGCAAGCTGAAACGCAAGCTCAGTTGATGGAATGGCTAGAGGTCTTCGAAGTCGCCAAGAAGAGAGCATTTGAAGCCAGCGTTAGTAGGGACAATTCGTCTCTACCGGGTGGTGTCGATCCGGCTTTCTCTATCACCCCGCCCTCTCTCCCCGAATTCTCTGCCAAGGTACTCGATGCGCAACTGGATGATGGTGCAAATCCTGAGCGGACTGCGACTCTACCTGTCCCTGGGCCCGAAGTTGGTTTGGTGCCTAGACCTAGTTTCGATCTCACAACAGCGCCTCCCAAGCGCTCGGTTACGTCTCTCGCTCGTGAAGAGGGGGAGAGTGGACGAGAACATGCGGCGAGGATTATGCAGAAACTCGATCTCCACCGAAAAGCTACCTTTATTTCGGGCGTCGATGCGGGCACGTCAGCACCTCCGACGGGTGGTATTGCTAGCCTCATATCCGCCAGTCATGGTCTACTACCAGGTTATCCAGCCGCAGTTACTAAACAGCAGCAACAACAAAGTACTCCAGTATTGCCTGGACCAGAATCACAACCCGGCAGTCTCGCACCTCCTACTCTAGCAAAGCCACCAGCAACGACCAACCTTAGTAAGACGGCCGTTATCTACAGTAGTGACAGAGTCTTCAGCGCGAATGCTTTGCAAGCTTTGCCGACCGCGATCATGGCCAACTATTGGGGTAGCAACACATGGGGCCAGGAGAACTCTTCCAAGACCAACCGATCTGACATAGACAACGACGATCCATTTGGGCCTAATTCGCCCTCCATCAAGATGACTACACTCGGTGACGAAGAACTCAAAAGCCCGACCTCTCTACATAAAAAGGCTATTAGTATGGATGCCAAGATAAATCATCCGAAGATAGTTCAGCCTGGTCCAGAGAAACCGCCAGCTGAAACATTCCCGCCCGATTACCCCATAGAGCTTAGGACGAATTCAGCGCAATTCCGATTACTTTTCCCAAGCGTGCCGCTGGATGAGAAACTTGTCCTAGTCTTCCGAGCTGCTTGGACTAGCACTTCGGACCCTGACAACGAAGTGGCCCCAATGGCGGGTAACGGGCGAATATACGTGACGCCAGATAATATGTACTTCTACGGTCACCAAATGGGTCTTGTCGTGACATATACTATTAGTCTCGACACTATCTCGGAAGTGACGGCTGCGCCAGGCAGAGATTGCGATTTCATTTTCCTGCATTTGAACCAACAAGCAGATGGCAATGGATATACCCGAATAACAATCAAGACTTTCCTTGAAGATCTCGATTTATTGCATGCGCGTCTGAATCTTTTAGTGGACGACTTACAAGCTGAAGAACCGATGGACGTATCCGAACTTATCCGCGCCCTGCTCAACCTAGAAAAAGAGGAAATTGACAGGAGAAGCCCTAGCATGGATAGTTGGGAAGAAATATCAGAGCACACCCCTATGGACGATGGTACGGCGGCGGGTAGAGCAGTTAGCCCTAGGCCGCATAGCGACTACAAGTCACGAAACAGGGGTTTCCGAAAACCTCTCCCGAAGTTTCAACTTCCTTCTAATCCAGTGATCTACGAACCCGAAGATATGCAACGGAAGGTTGCGGAGCGAAACTTCGAAATCAGTGCGAAAGCATGCTTCCATGTGTTGTTCGGAGATAAGAGCTTCGTCTTCCCTAAGCTTTATTTCGAGCGCAGGGCTCAGCATATTGCGCAGGGTCCGTGGGTGCTGAATGAAGCGGGGCTCATGCACAGGCAGTTCCGTTTCAGTGTTAATTACACTACCAGACTAGGGCGAAAGAGAGCTGAAGAAGTTCTTGATGAACAAACGGTGGAGTTGTTCAGTGACCACGTTACGTACGTTGTTACTCACGTCAAGACGCCTTGGCATCTACCTCATGCGCATGGCTTCAAGTTGATAACTAAGATCGTCATCACTCATGTCGCTAAATCGAAGTGCAAGTTAGCTATCTTCACAAAAGTAGCATGGTCTAAACCACCGGCACTTGCCAAGAACATTGTCGAGAAGCAGGCCCTTGACGACGCGGGTCGGGATGCTGAAGAGCTCGCCGAGGTTGCGACGGACCAGGTGCGAAAGCTTGGCCATCACAGCCGTACGAAGAGAGCGATCCAGGTCTATGGAAATGTTGGACTGCAGACACAGGTTGTGGTTTTCACGCCAGCCGAAGCAGATGCGGCGAAGAAGGCGCAGATTGATCCGCGTACGCTGAGCCAGATGCTATTAGAAACCATTCGGTCGTTTGCCGATAGTGTCGCGTCCTCGCTCATGATGTGGACGTTCGCCGCCATCAAGAAACTCTGGGACGTGGTCACGGCGCAGCGCCTCATCCTGGCCCTCCTTGGGTTCAGTGTGCTCACAAATATCATCATATCGTCGCAGGGCACCTCGACGTGGTGGACCGAACGCCGCGCTGCTAGCTTTATGAACCGTGTCGGGGTAACACCGAACATAGTGATGAGCAAGGCTATCTATATCGCGGACCTGGACGAGGCCGCGCGCAGCTCCTACTCGTTCGGCGCAGATGTGGACGAGTCGTGGCCGCGGGATAGCTATTGCTACGCTACCTTCAAGACTATAGCAAATAGCACCGAGGCACTAGATGCACCGGCCGAACAGGCGGGTGCGGCTATGCTTTCGCGTGAAGGGGCGAGAAGTCGTGCTACGGCAAGGCGCCTGAGGCAGACGAGGCAGAGACTTGGCGCGTATAGGCATGATCTTCTAGTAGCGATGCGCACAGTCAACCGCGTAGAAAGGGAGGCGCTTCGCGCCGAGTGGGAGAATTGGCTATTAGACGAAAACCGCAGATGTGAACAAGTTACTACGGCACTACTTGCGCCGTCAAGAGGTGGTGAGAATGATGTTAGTGATGAAGAGGCAGCGCAAAAAGTGCTTAGGAGTGAGAAAAATAAGCACTGGAAGAGTGAAAAGAAAGACGATAAAGAGGCGAAGGAGAAGGAGGAAAATAGACGCCGCAACTTACAGGCGTGGCATGATGAATATTGTGGTAGTTGTAGGGATGATCGCGAGGCCCTGTTTAGGGAGCGCGAGAGGGAGAGTTTGAGTCAGATGGCTTTTTGATGAAAGAATGTCGGCTGGGTGCTTAGCCGGGTGCGTATCCGATCCGGGTACCTACAGATCTCAAACGGCAAGACGATAGAAAGAAAAGGAAACCGGACGTATAAGATATGAGGACGCGCGTTATACATTAGGTACATACTCTATGGACTTACTATAAGTCCGGTGGCTGGCTTCTCGCGAAGTGAGGGGATGAGGTGTGGTTGTACACAGATAGGCAGTAGAAGGGAAAAGAAGGAAAGGGAAAGGAACAAAAGTTGTACCATACCATATACAATTCTGTATCTATTACGAGGCCAGGAAAGAAGCATTAAGTATATTGTTTAACTTATGTAGGGTGGTAGATATTGGGGTGGAAACACGTATGAATACCCAGGGTTTGAATTTGAATTAAAGAATACCAAGTACTAAACAGAGGAGACGGTGGTGCCATTGTCTGCTATTTTAAGGTGAAGTGTACCTACATGTCTTTAGTAGCGGCTCGCTAATCTATAACAAAATCTTCTACGAGTATATATAGATGTGCTCTAGAATGGTCTTTTTCTTATTTTATACTATAAGTAAGATATTAGATATTTTATAGACTTCGGGAGCTATCTTATTCAGGTAGGTGGTTCTACCCGGCATCCTTTCCGCATCGTGACTTTAATTACCTAGGTACCTAGGTATATAAAGTTGTATTGGAACCACAAGTAACTACCCCAGTTTTGCCCGTGTCAAACGACGGTTGAAGCAACTAACACAACTCAATTGAGTTAGACAATCCCGGGAACAAAAAGCTAAACCGTATTTAAAAATGGTATAACAACCTAGAAGTTAATAATATCGCTATTGATGAAGGAATCAGGGGTCGAGGCGGGCTAGACTAGAGAAGTGACGTCAAGGATCTTGGGGGCTGAGTATGCCTACTTACACCGATAGCAGCCCCCAAACAAGGTCCCTAAAGAAAAAAGAGGACTCCAATCTTCATCATCACATACATCACTTACAACTATACCCACATTACTCAGCTCCAGTTTACCTAATTCCGGAGACAGCATCTTTTTGGTTACTTGTTACTATTATTGTTAATTAATATCATCGTATCTACTTAGAAGCGTTTTTTGCACGCAGAATGGAATTTCCTAATAACCAAACCTCACGGTCGTTTGTGTGTTCCTAAGTAATTAATTCATCGACCGTTTGCTACTACTTACAACCCCACATACGCGTGTGCTCTACAACATTCACTTTTACCAAACCACCAACCTACGAATAGTATTATTAGAGGACACATATTACGGAATAATCAGAAAAGAAGGGATTTACAATGAAAAACGCCCACGAGGCTTTCAAAGCCTTAGGTTCTGTCAATTGGGAGGATGTAGCACAGGACCAACTCGACACCCTCCTTAAAGATGTCTTCAGCGACGCTCAATGCATAGTCGACTCTATACCCATATCCGCGTCCTCTTCCCAGAAAGCTGGCAAGTTACGCTCGGCGACCGATGTAAATCTTCCTTCGTTACCGAATAGAACGGGTATATCCGACCGAGCGGCGCATCTGAGGAAAGAATGGAAGGAAATCAAGCTTAACCCTCGTGACAACCCATTGGGGTTGGATATCTATAGATTGGGGGCTAAAGATGGGAAGGGGGCTTGGTTTGCGAGACGGAGTGTCCATGAGGGCTTGACGTTTGAGAAATGGAAGCTGGGTATGGAGAAGGAGCTTGATGAGAGCATGAAAGTCCAGGGGAAACCTGGTGATGGGAGTATTAGGGGTATCGGTGCCGACAAGAAGGTTGTGAACCAGACTGTTGAGGGCACCGGTAGGTTGCAAGGTGAGTTCATATCCTTCTATCATTTGGGTGCTACTGTCTAGAGCAACAGAGCTAATGAGTTTCGTTAGTCTACCAGCTATCAGCACAATTCCCAGGACCAGTAGCACCTCGAGACTTCATCGCTCTGGTACTAAGCTCCGAGTCGGCGATCGATGCTCCTGGCGCGCCCAGACACTTCATGCTTATATCAAAGCCATGTGTTCATCCAGAATGTCCGCCACGACAAGGCTACGTCCGGGGTCAGTACGAATCCGTCGAGCTTATCCGCGAGATTAAAGTCGAGAAGCCCTTACGGAAAACCCGATCGTCAGTAGACCTAACCAACGAAGAAGCCGCAGCATCAGTGCGAAGTTCCGCCCAGAATATTAGTAGGGAAGCTACTATTCGCTCAGCTCGGCAAGCAACTGACGCCGCATTGCCGACAAAAGACGAAGACGGAAGAAAACGAGGCAGAACTATTGGCGCTATGGATGCCATAGACGAACAAGATGATGAGGACTACGAGACGATGGTTGAGTGGCTAATGGTTACGCGAAGTGACCCTGGTGGTAGTGTGCCACGGTTCTTGGTGGAGAAGGGCACGCCTCCTGGTATTGCTGGTGACGCTGAGAAGTTTCTCAAGTGGATCTCTGCCAAGTCTATTGATGATTTTACTGAGTCTGACGGCGAAGAGACGAAACAACTTAAACAAGAGGCATCTCAAGCTGAGAAAGCCCCCGTCGAGAAAACAGTCCCGACCAAAACTACATCAAATCATACCAGTGTTCCACGTGCTTCTCAGCCATCAACCACCGAAGGCCACGAGGAAGCCCCAGAAGAACCTAACCCTACCGGATTTTATGGCATGATAGCAAATGCCCTAAACTCTGCAGCTTCGGTAGCAGCATCTCGTATTCCCAACCCCTTTGGGCCCGTACCCGAAGGCGAGGAAGACTCATCAGATCTATCCTCCGAGGAAGATGACACCTCATCAATTCACAGCTTCCATAGTATAGAAAACGACAACATCGACGAAAATGACGCCACATCCGCTAAACCAGCCGAAAGCTCAACCACACAACTGACCCCCTCCGTCACAAACGGCGCGGAATCAACCCGTTCCACCGATTCCCTCGCCGCGAAATCCACAACCACGTCGACGCAACACGAGAAAGAACTCCGGAAACTAGAAGACCGTAAGCGGAAAGCTGAAGAAAAATTACGTGTAGCGCAAGAGAAAGCACTTGCGAAGCGTGGTGTTAATAACGATGAAGAGCAACGCGAGGAAGCGGCCGTGCGTAAGTTACGCGAGAAACATGACCGCGAAGTTACGCGCCAGCGTGAGAAGTACGAACGTGAACTTAAGAAACTCGAGGCTAAACGCGCAGGTGAAGCGCGGAAAGCTGAGGAGAAAAGGAGGAAAACGCTGGAGAAAGAGGATAAGGCGAATTTGGCGATGGAGTTGGATAAAGTACGTGCGGAGAGGGATATTGCGAGGAAACAGATGGAGATGCTTAAGGAGCAGGTTGGGGAGTTGCAAGCGCAGAATACGATGTTAGTTGCGAGATTAGGCAGGGAGGGGGTGGGCGTTGGGGTTGGGGTTGGTGCGGAGAGTGAAGGGGAGAATGGTGGGAGTAGTGCTGGGGGGAGTGAGAAAGGCGGGAGGCCGAGGAGGGGTGGGAGTATTGGACCGGGGATTAAGAGGGCTATGACGGATGGGTTGCCTAAGGGGGGTGTTGTTTGGGGATGAAGTGAAAAGTCTGAGAAGTATTTGTACACAATGGTGAGATATTACTCGGGGTTTGGATTTACATTCGCGACGTAGCGAGCGAGCGCATCGACTGGTCGCCTGGTTGGATTCTACACTTTGGTTATCTACCTATCCGCCAGCATAAGGCGACGATGAACTAATGACTATATAAGACCTTGGACATGTATTTCGATCTGGTTGGCTTTAGTGTATTCCTATCTAAAGCGGTGTCCTCTACGTAAGCAGCGGTTTATCAATGTATCATCAGCACAAAAAAGGGTCGAAATCGGCAAAATGTTGGGGCATTAATATGAGATCATATATGAGTCAAATTAAATAACAGCGAGCCACCTACATGAACACATCGCTATTCCTCCTTAAACTTTTAACCACCATTCCCTAACCTCCTTTTATAGACCAATCAATCCCTCACACATCCCAAGTAACAACCCATGAATCCCAACCCTCCGTCCCTCGTCCCTGAACTGACGCATCTCATCCAGTATATCCTTGCTCCCACTATTACCCGTCGCCACAAGCGCAGCTGCGCTTATCAAAATTCTTGCGCAGATAGCAAAGACTTCCGGTTTCGACGTCCAGCCTAGTGGACCGTATCTTGCTTCGGAGCCCACGAGACGCGATATAGTTATGAGACCAGCGAGTGTCCATTCGTGTAAAGTGGATTCTGGCTCCGAGAATGATGGTGAAGGTGGAAGCGACTCAAAGACGTCGCGCCACCGCCGAGTCTCGCGAACTTCGTCTATATACAAGTTTTGTTCTTCAATAACAAACAACGAGTCGTCAAAGCGCATCGCTTCTTTTAGCTGGACCTCGGCTGGAATCCAGTTCTCCAGAAAAGAAATGGCGTTACTATAGTTTGAAGGAGGGATGTGTTCTATCATGCGACACGCGACGTGTGCTCTGAACTCATCGGCAGTGCTGTAGTGTATTGCTAGCCACTGAAGTAGACGTTGCCCAGCTTCGACGGAAACGAGATGTTGATTTGATAGTATGGGAGCAGCCGCCGACGCAGCCGTGGCGCGGACCTCGTCATCATCGTCATTTATGGCGTCGTAGAGTGCTAGAAGCCATGGTAAGTGCTGTGGGTCGCTAGCTGCGGTGGTGAATTCGTTGGTTGTGTTTGTTGAGAACGAGCGCATAGCACAAACAGCCGCCATCCGGGTGTCAAATGTCTAAAAGGATAATTGTTAGTATCATATGCACATAAGTGATTTTGATTTGACTTACCCTTTCTGCCATACCAGCATCACTCATCATCGCTCCCCAGGATCTTACCCACGACTCTTGTTCATCTTGGGCTTTCCCATCGGAGCGCAGGATGATAATTGCCAATAGCGGGCCGCTTACACGAATGATTGCGTCTGATAAGCTTGGGTTCATCGTTTTTGCGTGAAGGTCTGCCCAAAGCCGCACTAGAATCTCGTATTCAGGAAGGCAACTCAGTCCTTCATCCGACTTATCTAACAGAGCCTTGTCTATAAGTGTTGCGATATTTTCTAATGCGATCGCTCGCGGCTCTGGTGTGTCGGTTTCAAAGCATACTTGTACATATGCGTTGATGAGATTCCTTCGGGCTTCATAAGACTGCGGTAAGTCTTCATTGGACATATTCTCTAACATGGAGCAGGCGACGTTGACGTTGGCGTCATTCTTTAAGAATGCTGTCAGAGTTGACCCTAACGTGTTATTCGTATCTGTACTTGATCCCTGCAGAGCCTGCTGAATGACGACTTGTCCAAGCCTGACTTCGAGTAATGCTGTAGGTGCCTTACTCTTGTCGTAATCAGCAGCGAGTTCAAAAGACCAGGATCGCAGAAGGGTAGAAACACTAGAGGTGTCATCTACTCCTGGGGTTTCCATCTTGCGGTTCAGTTCGGCTAAGAAGCTGATAACTTCGATATATACCGCCTTCACTTCCGAACATGTGTTAATGCAGCTATTTGTCGAAGGTAGTTCAATGAGTAAATCGTATGCGACGCGAACATTAGAATCTATAATCCATTAGCTATAGGTTTGTAATAAAATTATACAACGTAAGTCCTTACCGGAAAGCTGGTCGGGCATTACTTCAGCAAGCCTTTCAATCAAAGCCTTTATCGTGAGGAGCACTCCATGCAGCTTATTTGCGGATGCACCAGAGCTAGCTAGAAGAGTTGTGATGGATTCAAGCCAACTCGCCTTCAGGAGGAAAGAACACAAGGTGCGAGCAGCGATATCTCGTACGTGCCAGATGTGGCTCCCTAGATACCAGGCAATAATGTCGTAGAGCTTATCGCGAAATTCCTCGGGTGGCCCGGCACGACGTATAATGTCGAGCGCTGGGAATACAGATTCGGCCGTTTGCGACCCTATTAAAACTCCACTTGAATTTTGCCCCATTTCAAGAAGGCTCACAAGAAGTGCCGGCAAAGCCTTGAACTTGTGGTAGGAGATTTTGACGGTTCGCCCATCCCAACCTGCCTCAATTGACAACTTACTCTCGCTAGTCCCGAAAAGACAATCGATTAAGCTTCTCAGGAGTAACAGACCACAGTTTCGGATTGCCCATCTGCAGGTGTTAGTTCATGAGAAATTATATGCGACTTTAAAGACTTACACTTCAGATTTGAGACTGTTTGCGGCGAGTTGAAGGCAGTCAGTGAGATATGACTCGGCTCTTTTGCTTAGGTACGAGCTCTTAAAAATATCCTTGGTACAATTCAGAGCATGTACCTGGGGTAAGTTTGACCCATCAGTTTGAGATACCAGCGCTGGTCGGCGGCCAATATCTTGTAGAGTATGAATGACATCTTCAAATGAGGGATGATCCGCGTTGGATGAAAGTATGCCTACGATGAGCGCAGGGATACCCGCCGATCTTCGAGTCGTCGATGTTTGCGTATGAATACAAGTCAGTGCCCCCTATTTATAACTTAGTATAAGGTACCTCATATAAAGTTAGAGTGCCAATTTTTATTACCTGATACCACTCGTCTAATAGACTAGAATCGTTGTTCGAATGGCCTGGAAAATATTTTACCAGCTGACAACAGGCAGTAAAAGTCTGAGAAACAGTGGTGAACGCTCCTCGATGTCGCAAATTTGATAACTCGTCAAATGTCAATCTTCCGATTTGCTCGAAATTCCGCCTTGAAGGAGCTAGAAGTTTTTGGTCAAGGTTATTACGAGCATTGCTTGCAATAGTACGCATCAAATTACTGCAGCTTGTTTAGCAGCTAGTTCTCCGTAGGTACGACTTAGTATCTTACCTTGATTCATGGATCGCTCGGAAACTGTAACTAAGCAAGTCTTTGGTGTCGAGTCCTTCAACCTCTTCAAGCTCTTCGGGTAGGTGACCTTCGGGGGAGTCATCACATAACACATGACGTACAGTCTGCCATATTCTTTGGCAACTCGTGATGGCACGATCTTGCAGTTCCGCCAAGACCTTCATGTCTTCTTCAGAGAACTTGGTGTCCGACAGCGAACCCCATATATAGCTATTACCATTAGCAACCTCATCCTCCCAACATAATTATACTTTTTAGTAAACTTACCGAAGCGATGCAAAATCCCCATGTACCGGCGCTTCAAGCACTGCGGCAGCAAGGTCCTTCTCAGCTGCAGTGATTCTAGCTTCAAGACTCGATAGCATTTCAAGCGGGATCCTTATTTGATCCTTTGCGCCTATACTCCAGTGACATAAAAGTTCAGATGATCGAGCAGCGCCATCTGAATGGTCTGCACGCGCGGTCCTTCGGGCCAGTTCATGCGCCCTGGAACCAAAGCTCTGGAGTTCTTCGAGAAGCGTCCCTCCCCGTCCGGACATCTGTAAGGGTAGCTCCAAGTCCTCATCCTTAGATGACAACGACATTACCAGCAAAGCAGCAGTGTCTCTCACGTCATCAAAAGGATCCATGATGAGGTCTAGAATGGAGCGGAGCCATGTAGAGTCAGCGAGCAAGCCCCTTAGATTGGAAGAGCTAGTAACGCCATTTCCAAATTGACCAGGCTTGACAATGAAGACCATTGCCTTCAATGCGGTGATATGTCGTTGATAGGACGTAGTAGGCGCTAATTCGCCTTTAAGAAAGCCTACATACCACGAAACGAAGTCCTCGTGCAGACGTAAGGTGTCGCGTAAGTCTCCCGCAACGTATGACTGGTTTTTCTTAACCTTCGTAGCTGGCTTGGTGGTCGTTTTGTTCGATCCGGTTTTATCGGCCTTCTTCGAGAGTTTTTCATCTTCTCGACGCAACGACTCTACAGTACTCTGGATTCGCTTGATCATATTCTTCGAGTGTCCTAGGATATCATAACGCATCATCGGGTCGGAGTCTTCGTGAAATGATGGTAGGTGTTTCTTAAGAAGCTCTAGGGCTTCTGCCGTGTATGGTTTTGTTGTGGAAGGCGATGCTATGAGGATAGACACAGCAGAAGACCGCGCTTCGCGAGATTCATGACATAGGACACTCTCAAGCACGTCCGCCCTAAGTTGAGAAGCCGAGTCATCATTGTCTAGACCTGTGTTAGGTTTGGTAAATCTTCTCATAGTCGCCTGGGCGCTTAGATGGCGCCAGTAACTTACCACTTCCAGGTTCTCCCACCACTCCGACTTTCTTCCCTGCTTCGAGCATTCCAAGCCATAGCATCGAATTAAGGTCCCAACTACTACTATCATTGCTAGTGAGTTTTTGCAGCGAAGAGAGGTGACGAAGATATGCTAGAGAGGCAGTTTGATCAGTCTTGAATAATGGAACAAAGATGTAGCGTTTGATTGATTCAAGATAGTCGACATTCATTTGCAAACCATTATATATAAATTTATGCCAATTCTCGGGTCGATGCCGGATGTCCTCGTCTGTGGACCAAGAACTGGTGAATATTGTGACGAGAAACTTTCCTGCCACATTACATACATAATGTAGCTCCATCCAAGTGAAAATCTTGGCAATGAAAGTATCCCAGAGGATGCTCTCGTCTGAGGGTAGGTTGTGAATTCTCCTGTAGATTTCTAATATCTCGTATGGAGATACTAGTTTCTTCTGGATAAAATAGTCTAGAGAAACCATAGCGGACTTTATTGACGGCCGAGATGACTGTTCCGTAATCGTAGATACGGTAATATTGAGGATAGTTTCCTTGACAGACGCGCCAACCTCTGGCGTAGGATTTTTAGATATGAAATATGTGAGAAAATCAACAACAAGTTTCATAGATCTATGCGGATCCTGTTCATTCCATTCCATGAAGAAATCGAAGAGTCTCAAGGCAGTACTTTCTGCAAAGGCAAAGGTTCGCAGCGCGAGATTGGTAGACTTGGAGCATTGCTCAACGAAGCCGTACAACTTTACACAAGCGTTTCCGGAAGATTGCTTCGGTTTCGCGGCGCTCACGAGGAGCTCTTCGAACATGGCTTTCCTAGGAAATCCACGTAAATATATGACCAGCCTCGTCGAGTCAATTCGGACTCACCATAGCTGTGATTCCTCGGGCTGTTCCTCAAGCCACGAAACAGCAACTCTAGGATTAAAGTCTGTCTCGCTGACTTTAGCAAGTACTGAGGACTCCATTTTGACCTTGGGGAACTATCATAGGTGATCTCAAATACTTTTTCAAGACACCTTCGCCCCAAGGTACTTCACTTCCAGGATTGGATATATCATTGGGTAGGAGGGGAAGACGGCGTGGGTGTCCGATTGGTTAGTCTCCCAACCAAAATATCATTTTTATGAATTAAAAGATCCAGGACCGTCACCGGGTTAGAGAAGACTTATATGACGAGTATTATAATTATCATGTAAAAGTTTTGAGAGAGCGATTTGAATTTGGTACTTTATTCAAAGTATCGTGGTACAACGACAGGGATTTTAAGTTTTCGGTACGTACCGAAGTATCTATGTATCCCGGTGTGCACAGACCACTTTGATTATCGCATTCACTTAGGTACGTACCTTATCGACGCAGAGAAACATTTTTTTATCGGCGAAAGCTTCACTCACCTTCCATCCCGCCTCTCCCATCGTACCCCGAGTTGCGATTCGCATATTGCGAGAATATACATATTTACATATACTGTAATTCTCCTCTATTTAATTCTAGAGCATTGGGATTGCACTTGGCAGTATGACCATTTGGGATGCGCTCACTGGACGAAAGTCCTCATCTCAACAACCGCAGTCGTCGTCCAATTCCGCTTCTACGCCCGCACCAACCGACAGCTATACACCCGTTCCCTTCAACCCCGATGACGTACGAGGAACGGATTCCTTTTCCGCATTCGCCGACCCTTCTCTACTACACCCCTTAGCAGGTCTAGATAAGGAGGGCTTGGAATACTTAAGTTTAGAAGACTCAGCCCTATCAGACCTCCCCGGCGCACAAACAGCTATACCTTCTCGAGGTTTCAGCGATGACTTATGTTACGGAACCGGTATTACATATCTGACGGCATTATCATTAGGGGGTGTATGGGGACTTCAAGAAGGGTTACGAAGATCCTCGGGTCAACCACCAAAGTTACGTCTAAATTCGGTTCTTAACGCCGTAACGCGAAGAGGCCCATTCTTAGGAAACTCGGCCGGTGTCGTCGCTATCACATACAACTGTTTCAACTCCGGCATTGGTTACATTAGAGGACAACACGATTCGGCGAACACAATCGCGGCGGGTGGCTTGAGTGGCATGTTATTTAAAAGTACACGGGGAATTCGACCGATGTTAATATCAGGTGGTATTGTGGCTTCGGTGGCGGGCGCCTGGGCGGTATGAACCCCAAATATTTTTTCTACGGCTACGAAAACTAACATGCATTAGGTTACTCGTCAAGTTCTCCTCGGCCCAGAAACTAGAGGGCAAGAATTGCACTTCTAGATTGGCGGCATTCGCTCGGTATGAGATAAATAATTTTCAACCCGAGTAAATAGGGAATGGAAATGGCAGTGTATGATATCAAACAAACCCTTAGAATGAAGCCCCTGCGCCGCACGATACCTCGATTTTTATTGGGCGGAACGAAGCTTCTAATTGGTGGCGAAGCTATGAACGATCTCTCCTCCGGCTGGGCATGTGTATAAAATAGGTGGTTAAAGTGCATAGAAAGCATCTGCGTCATGGGCTAGGTAGGCGTCCTGGTACAAGTCAGCTATGAGACGGAATTGAATAATTTCAATATTTTCAATTTGGAATGAGTTCTATGTTTTATCCATGGGCTATCAAGCATGACGTCAGGGGAAAGGAGGGGGTTAAGCAAAAGCATAAGGAGACGGAGTTATTCAAATGTTATTACTCCCCTTGATGTACCGGCGGTTACTCCGGTCCATGAGGTGCGTAGCTGCCTAGTAACCACCGACATATTATTATGTAGGAAGGTACATGGATGCCGTGAGTTTAGAATAAACATCCATGAAATATTTCATTGGCCTAGGTGCCTGCCCAAAGTTGTCGCGTCGCCGTATTTTTTTTTTTTTTAATACTTGTCATTTGTTTATAATATCGGCGCGTGTTTCTTTCACGCCGCTTCATCCCTTCCTTTTGATTTCTTTCCTTCCACCACCCACACCTTTTCATCAACAATCCAAACATAGTCTCATCAACGTCAATGCCAATTTTGGGAAGAACTTAGGTTCTTATCATTAACGATGTCTCTTTCCTCGCCGACCGATTAGGAGACGGCACGACGAATCAAGGAGCAATTGATCGAGAAGCGCCTAGAAGCATGGATGTCGAAAGGAGTAGACATCAAAGGGGAGGGTAATGTGCCTATTCAGGAACTAATCTACCGTCAATTTCAATTTGACGATACACACCCAGTTGCAGGCCCCAGCGTAGCTTGGAAGACTGATGAAGGATATCGCTTCATTCCCTTGGACGATCGAACTTCTATAATGCGCCAGTACGTAGAACAGCGCGAGTTATTCAACACTCTAGAAGAGAACAAGGGCCTTTCCGATGCTGTCAATAAATTGTTGGAAGAGGAAATTGATCAGAAAGGGTATCTCGCATTCGAATCGGAGTCTATCTTCGATATTCCTCCTGCTTCTACACTCAAGTTAAACAGCAAGGTTGGTTACATTATTCCTGTAGGCAAGTTAACTTGCTAACCATTAACATCTTAGGTTCGCCTCATTGCTAGATTCAAGCTCTTGCAGCGCCACATGCACACACCTGCGCCTGCGCCCGCACTCCCGAAGAAGCCAGTATTCGAGCCCAAAGAGGATGAAATCGAGATGTCAATGCTCCGAGCCACAGCAATGCAGACCCTTCATCTCGAACTCTTCCTTGCCTCACCCGATTATCCCATGGATCGCTTCCGCGACCTTCTCGAGAATGTCGCCGAGCCATGGCTCTCCGCTGGAATCTCAAACCGTGAGCTAGTCGACGATCAATTCGAGAAACCGAGTGATGGCCCTCAGCCTCCTATGACAGAAGCCGAACGTCAAGAATGGTATGACGATATACGTCTAGAGGGCAACCTTACCCACGAGCAACTCGCAAGTTGGTCTTATAGATTGACGGAGTTCCCACCCCACACCCATAGGAAGCCCACCAAGCTTTACACGGACTGGTCTTCTGTCAATACTAAGGAAGAGTACGAGGAGATGTGCTCCTCAGTCAAGGAGCGTGGTGTGTCAGCCATGTTTACTCGCGTAAGTTACTCCAAAATATAGTGTGGACACAATTCTAACATGAGATAGACTTGGAAGCTTTATCAGGTTGATCGCATCATTAGTGCGCGCACTATCAAAGAGCAGGAGTCACAGCAGGATAGTACCGATAAGGGCAAGGGTAAAGAGAAGGAGGTTTCAGCACAACTAGAAGGTCTCCTCTCTTTTGACAAAGCCGGGGAAGATAGTGAGTTTGGAGAGATGAAGGTGGAGTTGGTTACAGCAAATCTCACCAAAGGATAATGGGCTTGCCTGGGTCCATGGTACTTGGACACAATCCGTTGGCGGTAATATTGGTTTGTGACCATACATACCTGGAAATGTCGATACGTCTATCGAGTACTACAGACAGGAATTCTGGCAATGTTTGTTAGGTTACCTGCACTTTTCCATATTTGTTCTCGTGGGCGTTAGGCTAGTCGTCTGATGTCTTCAGACGAGTCTTGATTCGGCGGGACGCTATACGTATTTACTACAGACTCGTAACGAACCATGAGATAGGTAGTGGCAATTGGAAGGTCTAGGCCGTTTTATATACCCAAGTAGCAAACATCCTAACTTTTGTACTATATTTGCGCGAATGGTGTTTCCTCTAAAACTATGGCGGGTCGCTAAAGTCGGGTAATAACAAGTCGTAACTTCTAAGTCAACTAATACATGTACTTGCCCTACTACCCAACTTTTATGAACTCCTTCCTGCTGAAGACACTGCACTTGCCATCCTTGCCATTCTAATAATACTTACACATTCTTCATCCGCACTTCATCATCGTCGCTTCCTTTCACCTCTTCGTTGATACATTGCGACAGAACAACACAAGACAACGTCAAGATGTGTCTTCCTTGCTGGCCCGTTCGTGATATCTATCTTGAGGATGATCCCCCCCCTCGACAGCAGGGAATCCAATGGGTTTTAGACGGAAACAAGTGGGTTCCTGTTCCTGTTCGTGTGAGTATTACTTTTTCTCTTTTCGTCTCTTGTTATTTCCTGAAACATACAATGATGTCACGGTTGGTTTGCAATTGTCAGGCACCGTTCAAGTGCTCTGCCTGGATTTTTAGCAATGGTCTAGTTCAACCTATTTTTCTGTTGTAGGCAGCAAATGCATATACGGTACTTGATGAGGCAATTGCCTTCCTTTGTCTAAAGGCTCAATTTGCACATTCACGTTCAAGGATATCCTGTTAGCCTCGAGTCGCGTAACCTAGCTAGTAGCTACATGGGAAAACAACTCGAGATACTCTTTCTTCATTTTGTTCCTCTAACGTACTATTGGTACTAGTGGCGGTTACCCCCTCTCCTTCGGCGGTAACCCCCCTAAAGTTAGGGAGCTACCCAGGCAACACCTCCTTCCCGCCGTAGAATCACTACAAAGTGAGGAAAGAGCACAGGGATTTATCCACTGAACCAAACGTTTCTTCCTGTACTTAAAAACCTTCGTACCAGGCTGTTTATTTATCTTTCCCTTTCCTTCTCAACCAATAATCAACGCACCGGAGAGGAAGTAGGCACCCATCATAACACAACACGGCAACCATAATGGGACCCGCACCTAATTCTCCCAACTCTCTCAACTATCCCGTCCGCAAGAAATCTAAGGAACGCCTTCGTCCTTCTTCATCATCTAACACTCCTCCCTCTCACAATCACAACCGCACTCACAATTCTTCTTCCCACAATCGCGACCGTTCTCACGTTCATTTTCAATCCGGCCCTCCCTCTAACACCAATTGGGATACCAAGCCTGAGAATACCACCCCCAACACCACTTCCAACACCGGCGGCACTGAAATTCCTGTGCGAAAGCCTCCTGCGACCGCATCTGGTGATCAGAAAAGTGACGCGCCTCCGACGTACCAAAATCCTGGTCCCGGATTCAATCACACTGTCGCCAACGTTCCTGGTATTGGCTTAGTCTACAACGGCGCCAACCCGGCTACCGTTCAGCAGGCGCAACAGCACCAGACGTTTGGTTTCCTCCCTTCTCAGCCCCAAGTGTTGCCTCCGGGATTCACCCAGAATCCTACTGACACTTTCCCACCTCAATTCACTCCTGCCAATCACCAGCCGACCAAAGGAATGGCGTACGTCAGTTTCATGCCCAACCAGGGCCAGCACTTCCAACCTCCCGTTCCGGATACCACTTATGGTCCTATCCCTCACACTTACCATCCTCGCTTCGACAACCAGGCTGTCAGCGGACAGTACATGACCATTGATGGTCAGATCTACAAGGTCGTCAACCCTGCTTATGTTCAGGACGGCACTCAATATGTCCAACTCCAACAGGTAACTACCCCAGTTACTTTCAACCAAGGCTCGAACACTATTCCCACCTACGTAGCGACGCCTTGCTATGTTGCACCGCAGCCGGGCTCCCAATCCACGGCCATGTACATTATTAATGCAAGTCTTATCTGATATTTAGGAGCATACCAACCATTCAAGTGAATGTGTCGTGCTATTTCCTTAGGGATTTAAGCAATTCGCTTCGACCTAATGTGTTTTTTTCTTATTGATTCGTTCATCTTAACATCTTTCTTTGAACATATAAGCTGACCTTCTATCCGATTCAGCAGGGTTCTCAGGGTGCCCAGGGCACTTCTTCAGCAGCTCCTATCCTGCTCCAGCAACGAAGTGCTCCTCAAGGACCTGTTCTCGTCCAAGCCCAATCCGGTCCGCCCTTTCTCGGTCAGCAAGCTCAGATGGCCACCCAGCCTGGCCCGTTCCCCGGCATGGTTAATCAGCCTAGCACCATCCGAGTCGTTGGTGGTCCTGGTGTGATGCCCACTTCTGCCCCGGATGTCATGGGCATTGGCAAGACTGGTTTGGAGAAGCAAATGGAGCAGTACCATACCGCTCTCAATACTGGTGCTCTAGAGGGTCAAGACATTGCACCTGCAGACCCTGATCCGTCTCGCATGTACTATTGCCGAGAATTGGATGGAGAGTGGACTCTTCGAAACCGTTTCAGCATTGACAACATGGGAGATTGGCGTTGGTACGTCGTTCCCGAGAACGGCATCTTCTACGCCGTCCGCATCGCCGATTAAGCGCATCTACCAACAGAACGGTATGTCTTCATCATTTGGTGGTAATCATAGACATCAAAGAATATGCGTATCGATTTCATTCTGCAGATATTCTGGCCCATTTCTGTTTATTGCGTTGTTTTACGAATTGCTTTTACCAATCGGTAAATTCTCTTTCTATTTCTGAGAGTAATGTCAACTAACGTGTCCTAGACGTTTTCTTTGCCTTGCAATTGAGTACATCAATGAGGCATCTCGTTTCCGCAAACCAAGTAAGCCGAACTTATTAGTACCTATGCATATAGCTACAAAAGACTAACCTATCTTTCGTGTACGCAGAAGGTCAACGACGATCCTCGGCAGAATTAATGGAAAGGCAGGCCGTCGAAAGGGGGAAACGGGTGCGACGATTTGCTTTCGACTTTAGGGTTTTATGCCCACATCACGATTTTCGTTTCTTTTCTGTAGGGTTTGAGATTTGAGGGTTCACCCGGACTCATTTGCATTTGAGATCGCAGCTTGTGTGGTACGATCCTTTACCTCACACGTGGAGGTTAGGACGGCATTTTGCCATACCACGGATTGATGACATCAGCTAACCATGAATTGGTACATGAGATTGAATTTATTCATCTTATAAAGCATGTCTTACATCCTCAACTCTCTGGATCGGCATCGCACGGAGTTTCCGGAGTTTCCGGCTTTCTGAGTTTAAGGAACAAGGTGGCACAGAGGCGTTAATGTGAAGGAAAAAAGATTAATTCATAGATAGTCAACACAATGGTCTGTCTACATACATCTGCGTCTGCTTTGTGAAGCCCTTGACCATGTGAAGATACAATCAAGATAATTAAGGTGGGTGGTGATGTTTTGTTGAAGTTGTTGAGGCTGAGATGACACCCTAAGTTTGCGGGATGTACCGCAATTCTAACCCCGCCAAGGTGCTGCCAGCTGACAAGGTAGATTCCCAACTGACATCTCATTTCGTGCTTAATATTTTTATCTCGTCCTCTTTGAATGGTCTTCTTCATCTACTTTATTTTCCTTTGCCGACTAGCCAGTATAACTCATCACTCAAGGTGGGCTTGGACCCATTTATACCTTATTATCAACACTACCTAGGTACATATAAGAATAAAGGGGTCATTTTAGGAGGGGACACTAGTGTTATTAATTATCAACTCTTCTCCATGTTTGCCCATACAAACATAAACGTACAACTAGGCACTAACTACGAAAAGGGTTGTATTTACTACTAGGAACTTATTGCATCGCTACTCAATTCCAAATACATCTCACGCATATAGAGAAGTTTGTCGTTAACTCTACGTTGAAGAAATGGAGCCGCTCCTTTCGGCCTCATGCTCGGTCATTGGGCTACCGAGTCTACATATCCGAGCTATATAAATAAAATCTTGCTCCGAATCCTCTTATCTGGTTTATTGGTAAGGGAGCGATGTTACTATATAGCCTTCCCGTTTCGGGTATGCTGCCGTGGTGGCGGATTATTCTTACTTGAACGAAATATCATATGTTATGCGAAATTCTACCGCTTATGTAGCCCCTATCACGTAGGTGTCACGACTAGCACAGCCGGTCAGCGACGATGTCGGTCCTTATGAAGCTCAAATAAGCCTCCTGATACCTAACCCTAGGGGTAGTATTTCCTGTTCCGTGGAGAGCATTCATACCCCGAATCTAGCACAAGGATTCCTAGTCAAGTGTTTGCTTCTACGATCTCATGTTTGCTCCCTTAAGCGCCTCCAAAGATGTCCTCATCAATATAACGACCCAGTACCCCGGATCACCCTCTCCTTGGCGAACGGGTAGGTATATCTATCTACCTTAGTTCCATCTTCCCGCCATGCTACCCTCCCTATCCAGCTTCAATGTGAAACTTACTAGTCGATTCGTTCCGCCTCATTTTCGAGGTTGGCCCTTGGGCTATTGCTCCCTTAGTTTCCGTATATCTGTCGCAAACCTGAACGATCGGGAGAAACCATGGTAGCAGACGATCGTGGGCCGGAGGAGGTCACTGCGGCCGCGGTGTTCGTAGGGTTGTCGGCTATAACAGTGGCACTGAGGTGTTATGTTCGAGTGTGTATCTTAAAGACGTTCCGCGCGGAGGATTTGTTGGCTCTGGCGACGATGGTAGACCAGTACCCTCCTCACAAAGTCGTAAACATCATCAAGACTAATGGAATAAGGATAGGTCTGTTACATAATCACACAAGTATTCACCTTCCGAAGCATATCCTACGGCGCCGGTCGACGCATCAAAGACGTCCCCATCGACGACATCCCACGTGTCCTAAAGGTAACTAACCCCTATCGAATCCGGGCATCTCATGCCTACCTACTATAACCGAAGCTGATAAGAGAAAACAGATGCGCTGGTCCGGCGAAATAGCCTAGGTAATAACATCCATCCTCCTAAAATTCACCGTCGGCATATTCCTCTGGCGCATATCCCCGCAACGCTGGCAAAAAGTCATCATCTTCACCATTCTCACGACCTGCCTAGTATACGGCCTCGTATACGCATGCATAGCCGCGCTCCAATGCCAACCCGTATCGTACTACTGGTACCGCTACACAACCCCCATGCGCGGGAAATGTATCCCCGGAAACGTGGTTATGGGCGCGACGTACACCGCCGCAGCGATAAACGCGCTGGGGGATTGGGTGTTGGGTTTGCTGCCGATTGCGTTGGTGAGGAAGTTGGAGTTGTCGAGGAGGAGTAAGGTGCTTGTTTCTTGTACCCTGGCTTTGGGGTCTGTGTACGTCTACCTACCTGGACCCCCTTTCTCCTTTTTTTTAACTACTCTTGGTACTAAGTGAAGAACGGGAAGATCGCTAATGTAATTGAGGTAATAGCGCTTCGACAGTGACGATCGTTCGTATCCCGTATTTCTGGCAACTTACTCGGACAAACGACATCGTGCACGACTTCGCAGACCTCTCGATCTGGTCGACGGTGGAGAACGGACTCGGCCTCGTCGCATCTTCGATTGCGACTCTACGCCCATTGTTTAGGATAATGTTCAAGAGCTCAAGAACAGGGATATCATCGCCGCCGCCGCGATACTCGCCGTATTTGTGGAGAAGATCGGGGAGAGCGTCGATACAACGTGGAACGGCAGACGAGAGTCCGATGCACTACAGGATGCAAGAGTATAACTCTAGTAAGGCGAGAGCACGGGGTAAGGAGGATTCGGGATTAGGGTGAATGGATACGTATATAGAATAGGGTAATTTACGAACGAATCATCTGTGGACTGACTTCACTTGTCGTTCTTATGAGTGGTGTACCTAAGTAGGGCTATTCTTGGTATCAAGAACGAAGGTATTGCTTCCCCCATACGTTTATCTTAGCTTGATGAGGCACAGTAAGTACTTCAACGTGCGAATTGGTACGGTGAATAGTTTTCCTTTTCGGAGCAAGTCGACTCAGCCATCCGATCTGAAAGATTCTCAGGCTTTCCATATCTCAAGCCCCCAAGCCACCTCGTCATGATATAAAGAGAGGAGGTTGGGAGGCGTTCTTAGCCAGTTTCGCAGTCCCCCATCCAACAGCCACTCGGAGTTCATAACGACCAATCCTCGTCGAAAGAGTTATCGTATCTATATTTTTACGTATTGAAATGTGTCGAGACTACCCTTCTGTACAATGGCTTACCAAACACGGGCAGCGCAGCAACCTGGCCGCCTGGTTGGTCGACGCGCGATACAAACGTGATATAATGAAACGGATGGCATGGGATTCTTCATATTACTAAATGTTGAAAAAGAAGAAAAAGAAAAGAATTGGGGGTTGAGACGTAGTAGGAAAACTTGGAATAGGGGTTACCAGTCTCGTCAAAAGCAAAAAGATGATCCGACAACGACAGGATTCGAACCTGTGCGGCCGAAGCCATTAGATTTCGAGTCTAACCCATTAACCACTCTGGCACGTTGCCTTTGATCGATTAATTAGCGGGCTAACTTTGTCTTATATCCCCAAAAGAAGTATCCCCGAGGTTTAGCCATCGCACAGTTCTTGCATGTTTGCCAATCGCTCTATTCCGCTTCAGCGGAAAATTTACACTAGGAAACGCCTTATATCGTCTGCTAAGCAAAATGATGCGCTCATTTCATATCCATTTTAAGGCCTATATAAAGCTGGCTTGGTAGAGCTATCCTTCTCGAGTTTACCAAAAAATGGAAAAACATCTCTCATCACAAGAATCTCCGTACACTCCGGGTATTGACTTAATTGTTTGAAACAACCTCGCTCTCCCATTTCCTAATACCCTTCGCAAGTGCCGCGCAAATGAGCCTCGACGTTTCCTGTATGTCAAACTTCAAAATAATGATAGAGCCATCCTTACGACCTAGAATAACAGTGTTCTTTGTTGCTTCTGTGAACATTGTTCGATATCCCGAGGGGAGCCAAAGCAGCTTCTCGAACCCTTGGGTCACCCATTGCCTTTCCGCATAGAGGCAATTCTGCGTTACTTCGGACATATCTTCCAAAGAAACATCCTGATGAGGGGGCCCTAGTAGGGTTGGAATCCGTCCTAGTGAAGATAGGACATGATGAGAGTCGGCCGTAGGAGTCAATAAACGAAGCATCATATGCTCGACAGTATACATGCCGATCGCCTTCCCGGTGGAAATATCACCAAGTAAGATAGCCGTCGATTCAAACTGGTGGCCCAAGGACGCCGTCATCACAAGCCTCCCAGTTTTCGAAATCGCTATATCACCAATGGCTACGTGCTTACCGGAAACATTGATGGTAAATAGGGTCTCCTTATTCCCAGACGCAATTCGACACACGGAGACGCGGGCATCAGATTGTGCCGCCGTAATCACATGCCCCTCTCCGTCGAATAGAAAATTACAGTCGCTCCCAACCTCCGGAGCGCATATTTCTTTTCCCGTTGCCGTCTCTACGACGACGATATATGATAGCCCCACGTGCGGTCTAAAAGCAAGTAATTTACTGTCGGATGAGAACGCAGTCTTATCAAGCCCTATAGCGCATTCATGGGAGGCCAACTCCTTCCGCACTGCCAAGTCCCATAAATGAATACGGCGATTCAATGATGCGCACGCAAACTGGCCGTTCGGCGAAAATCGAAAGATCATAGACGGTGAGTATTTAGGGTACTTCTTCAATGATATGACGGGGATTTCCAAAAGCTTTTCTAGGGTCGTACACTCTAAAATGTGGGTGACGTCTTGTCGAAACGCAGCTACATAAACGTCACCTGGTGAGAAAATTACGTTATCACAATGATAACGAGCTCGGTCACCTTTGAAATCCCCGTCCCAAAGCTGAAAGTCAGGTGTTCTCTCATCACCAACATCCAATGCTGCGAGTCTTCCGTCCTCTGAGAAAGTGGGCAATCTCAACATATGCTGGAAGATGTGCTGCAGGTTTGCTGGCGGGTTGACAGGCTCGCCATCGGCATTCCAGAACCTGATCCCCAAACCTAATCCCTCTCCCGATCTTGTCAATATGAGGTTGTCATTCCCAGGTACAGTCTTAATAGAGTAGACCCAATCCTCGCGCTTCTTGTCGTGGACTCTTTTTATGTCGCTCGTCAAGTCCCAAAGTCGAATAGCATTATCATCACATCCCGCCGCTAATATTCTGCCGTCTCGGGAGATTGAAATCTGAAACTCGAAGTCTGTATGCCAAGGCCCATTGCTAATACTCCTAACCAGGTCCCAGGTGTCCAAACGTCGGAGTTCAACAATACCACCGTTTTCCGCGATGGCTACCAGCCGCTCGTCTTGTGGAATGAGCGCGATACTGATCTGACGATCGTAAGACTCGCGCCTCAGAACTTCCCCTGAGAGGTTCCACAAGATGAGCCTATAATGATTTGAGGTGCATAGTATAGCAATACCGTCCCTGGTGATTGTAATGGTATTTACCTCCCTGTCAGTGTTAAAAACATTCACCAATTCCCCCCTTTCAATACTCAACATGCCAACCCAATCTCGGTCTGAGCTGGAAGACGCTGTACCGTAGCGAATGGCGTCACCCTGTGAAGTTTGTCTCTGTACATTGAAAGGGTATTCGTCCAAATTGACAGAATCACGTATGATATAGCCAAGTAAGGATTGACCATCCGGCGAGAACGCAATACCGCCTGGCCAGTTAAAAGGAGTCTTGATAATGCGAATAGCCTGTTTTCTGTCGATATCCCATACTCGGATCGTTTTGTCGAGAGTCATCGATGCAATGGTGTTGGTATTTGCTGGCGAGAAGCCAACCCAAAACACAAACTCCGGATTGCCCATGAGGTCAATTGTCCTCCCCGTCGCGAATTCGAACACTTTTATACATCCATTATGCATACCAAGTGCAACCATTTTCCCGTCGCTAGAAAATGCGCAGCTTGACGGCCATGGGGCATCAAATTTAAAGCACTCGATCCCCGTAACATAGTTCCATATTCTTATAGTCCCATCTAATGACTGCGACATGATGAGGTCATCCGTAGGAGAAAATGCGACCTGTACTATCGGCGAGGTGTGGCCTTCCAGGATTGAGAGCTCAGAAGGCCAGTTATCTACAGGTTTTGGTTTCAGTCTTACCCAAGACGGGATCATGTCTTCAAAAGTACGTCGTATGATGCTTTCTGCTGGACTAAAAAGCAATGCGGAGCAATAAATTTGCAATGGAGCATAACTGATAACCGACTGATTCATCAGCACAAACCGCTTAGCATCGTGTATTATAGTAGATAAGCCCGGGTTTTTGGCAGACTAATCACAATAGAAATGTATAGTTAGTCTCTGAGCTTGTTGTAAGGATTCTGGCAACTTACATTGATGAGAGTCTGCAAATGATTGACGATCAAGACCGCATTCGCGGTATCTTGAATTAAACTCATCGCCTCTAGCCAGTAGAGAAAGCTTTTCCTGAGAAATTCGTGGACCTGGCCGTTGTCCTTCAGGCCGACCTCTTCTCGTTGGTTTTCGTCAAGTTTGGCAAGATGGTGAACCCAGTAGCGACATGTATATTGTAGATAGTGCGGAAAATTCTCATCGACTTGGCTCGACGAGACTTGGGAGGCGGGGGTCCCCGGTGATAAGAGGTTGCACATGTCTTGGCGGAGATCACGAGACATGAGCTCCAGGCATCTTGTAAATACCTCCTGGTGCGTCGGCAATTCCTGAATTCGGAACGGTAGCTGCTTCGATCTCTCTTCGTTAAGAAGGAAGTCACGGAACGATAGATGGACGAGGCCAAGGGGTATATTCTTGTCCCGTGGAACATGTACGACGGAATGGAGTCGATCTAATACATCGTCAACGTCGTTTTCCGATAATCCTAATAACTTAGTGAGCGACGGCACTGAAATGGGAGCAAAGAGCACCACAATGAAGCCGAGAATCTTTCCAACGTGAGAGTATAGCTTATCCTTTATCCGCCTCGGTCGCCTAGCCATTCCGGGCAATGATAGAACTTTGAGATATATTTCGTCAATTTTCTGCTGGGGAGCTGATTCCTCATCATCCTCAAATATCAGATCTAAACACTCTTTTCTAGATTCCTCCCTAGTGAAATCATCGTCATCTAGAAACCGACATGCTGTTGCCGCATAGATGAATAGACCATCGGCTTTCTTGCTCAGTCGTTCGATATCGATACCATGCTGTGGAACTTTGTAGTATTCAGCAATTTGTGCCAACCTGTGAGTGAGATAATATGTAATATCATCCGTTTCGCGATCCTTTCCTAAGGCTAACTCGATCTTGTCAAGGGATGCGGCACGATATATGCCGTGGGGCATATTGCTAAAATCCCTAGCGATATGATCATCGTTCCTGCTTGTAACTAGAAATCGGAGCTGGATTTGATCGAGATTGTTCAAGGCTGTCATCATATTGAGTAACTGGCGAGTTTCCGTCGGCTCTACGCACTCATCGAGTGCGTCAATAATGACAATTAATCGTATTGGTAGAATGGTTTGCCGATCAAGCACTGAAAGAGGCCTGATAATCAAATGATCAAATTGCTGCTGCGGCGCTTTCGTCCCTATAGCCAAGTTCTCTTGAATGCAACTCACGACTTGAGACTTGAAATCTAAAAAGGCTTCCGCTAAACATCTTGAAATGGTGGGGAAGAACTCTTTGGTGCTGTTTCTAGTGATGTCTCCTTGCTTGAAAAAGAAACTAGCTCCAAAAAAGGCGTTATGAGAAGGCTGGTTCTTATCCGCCAACGGTTCCCTGTTGTATAGGGCATTTGCGATAGTCAGGGCAACACTCGTCTTGCCAGTACCCGCCATTCCATAGAGCCAAAAGATCGCTTCACCCGTAGGGTCTTCTGCCCAGTTTTGGATATTATTCAAGATGCGACGCTGGGTTCTCTCCCAGCAGGGACTGTCCGAATTTACCACTGCGGCGGAATCAAAGACAGCATTCCCAGCAAAGGGTAATGACAATAGGAGTTGGTCGGCATTATTAGCCTGCTAGTTGTTAGTATATGGTCAGATGATCGACCAGAACGAAGGTTTGCTCACTTGCAAGGCCTTTAACGTAGCCTGCTGCAAATCCTCGAGATTTATGGCTCTGGTCCTAATATTGTCGACTGCATCCCAGGTTTGCAGTATTCTAGTAGTCACACGGTCACGTACGCCTTGGTCAATAAGTTGACTGGCATCTTCAATAGCCTTCCACATTTCCTTCCAGTTGTCGGCCGCCACAACATTTCTTGCGAAGCGATGGACCTTCCTCCTCTTATATTGCAACAAGAATCTCATTAGATATACATATGCTTGAGCGTAGACGCGGACGATTTGCGACCTAATGCTCGAGCGAAGTTCGCAAGAAGACTCGGATTGACTTGTCATGGTTAGGATATCACCATTGTATCCTATGAAGGATGAGGTGCTTTATGGTGGCTTATACGTACTATGAATCTTGTAGTTCAAAAGAGAGGAATCCGTCTTGCACCTCTTGGTAGCGAACGAGGAGGAATAGGATCTGATTTAGGCCATTTGCCGCATCTTCGTCCTGTTGGAACGCATCGTCCAAAATCTATCGAGACCATTTAGTGTTCAACAACTCTTAATAGCTTTTTGAATAGTTATTCACTGCAATTGTCAACACTTACTGGGAGGATGGTTATTATACCAGCCCAGGCTAAGGCCGCCTGTGGTTCAGCTGAGATGGCGGAGCTCACAACATCTTTGAATGTCAAGACGAGTTTAATAGCTTTGCGAACGACCTGTCTAACGACGATGGGCTTTCCGCCTATTGTGAAGGTGAGTTGAGCTTCTGGGAGCTTCTCGAGCCTTTTCTTAGCGAATTTCTGGATTAATTTGAGTTGTTCCACATCATCTTCAATCTCATCAGCATTGAATGATTCCCCATTCACTAATAATATTAGCACGGTCCTGTCAAGGATTCATCGCCTTAACATACTATCCGGTTCAGCATCTACATCTTCTTTTAGATATTTCTTGAAATTTACAAGAAGTCGAGAATTCTCTGGGTCGCTCTTGAGGATGTCATAGGCTTCAGTCCATAGCTCTTGCTTAAGAGACCTGTCTTCATCATGAAGTTGACTGGTTGCAAGGCCGGAGTCTTGCTCGTCAACTTGCACCTTGATAGTGATAGGGGACGATTAGTTTATGTTTATTTTACGAACGGCATGAATTAAATACGCACTGGCATTGTTTTAACTTTCGTACCGAACCATGTTTGCGCTCATGCTCAGATTACAGTGCGGGGTGATGAATCGGTATACCTTAGATCTTAACTCCGATGGCTTTTCGTAGCCAATAAAAATGACTGGTCTTGTCATAGCTACTAGTATAGGTAATGATCGACAAAAAAGTTTAGCATCTCTTTGTCTGATTGGCCAGTTCATTGAGAATAATAGGACCGAACATCTTTCTCAAATCGACAATTCTAATAAGCTTAAGAATCGCATCGCCCCAAGACACACCCATACCTGCTCAGTAAACGATGTAATGAAACCACTTCCTCTATCGCAAAGCAGCGGCGCTACTACCGCCACCACCACCAACCACAGCATCACCAACAGCAGCAATGAATACGAAGAAGCGCTAGACCAGCTGCAACCACTACAACCGATCCTCCAAGGCTTCAACCATCGCAACCGGAACCAGCACCGGCGCGCAGCATGGTGGGCCTCCTTCGGGATGCTACGGCGACACGTCGACCGGCTAGTCTATGAACTCCTTGACTTCGTATCTGCCTCTCTCAGAACTAAAAGCAATAGTGGCAGCAAGAAGCGCAAACATGATGAAGGCGGCCGTGAGAGCAAGATTTTGCAAAAGATAAAAGGCGATGAGGAAAGATTACGCGGTCACGTGGAGTGGTTGAGGGATGTGTTGGTACCGAAGTGTTATTTGTATGTTTTTCCTTTTTGGCGTCGGGGAAAATAAAATCAAGAGTTATCAGCTAACACATTAATTAGAGCATTTTCGCAGCTAGCAGCAGATAATCAATTTGCGACGCTCGGCGTTGTGCTGCTGGGCGCGCTGGCCCAGGTAAACGCCGCCTGCACAAGAGTTGTGGGTGAAACGGCTGCTGAGGAGGAAAACGCTGCATCCACCACTGTGCGTGAGCCTAGCGCCACCGCACCAGTGAAGGAACTCAGCAATTCAAGTGGTACAGAACCATCCAACCGGCAAGGAGGTGCAGTGATATCACGGGATGCGGTAGAGAAGTTGCGACGGAAGAACGCTGTATCAGAAGAGAAGAAAGCTCAACTTCCATCCGACACTAGATCCGATACCACAAAAAAGACGAAAGATCACGACGATGACGCCATATCTACCGGAAAGCAGCGTGGTGTAACCACGAAAACCAAGGCTAAGGATGCGGATAACGCACCTAGCAGCGAGGAAAAAGTAAAACCACCCAAGAAGAAAAAGAAGACCAAAAAGGGTGGCGGCGATGAATTCGATGCCCTATTCAAGGGTCTATTCTAATAAATACCTTGGATATCAAATCGCATCACTCAGATACCCCTAAGCAATGAAGACTTCATGAAGTTGAATTTTTAAGCTGATTTCCTGCGTTACTATCAAAACTCGCCAAGCATTAGGTACTTGTGACATAAAGCTACACGTGTTTGTTTAACACTTAAGATTTTTTTTCTTTTCTTAGAAAAAAAAGAAAAAACCAGTCCTTCTAAGCCCCATCAAGCCAAGAGACCGCTACAAAAAATAACTTTTTTGCCCCGATGCTCTCCAAGTACACAGTGTATCCACACTTCAATCAACCATCGTCGTCTGAATAGCTTGCATTCATGTTAGCAAAGAGAGAAGGACCAGATGAAGGCCCCCGAAGGCCATATCAACTCCCGTACTAAGTAAGCCAGAGTTTTCCTAAGCTCTGGAGGTAGCTAAACTCTTTAAAATCACCCTTAAACCCTACGCGTACACATCTTCCCCCCCAAGGCGAAATCCGATTTGGAAAACGAGAAAAGTTTGCATTCCAGGTCCCCCAAGTAAATCTTTGAATTGCCGCTGTTTTTTCTCGTCTATTGTGGATACCCAATTCTGTTTCAACGACCTGTCTCTGCTCATGATATTGACCTGTATGACCAGATACGCGCTCTCATATCGCCGGAACCAGTTGCAAAGTACCCACCAGTGGGGCTGGGAGCCACGGAGATAACCGAGTTCTTGTGACCCTGGAGCATGAGTTGCGTAAAACCAGTTCGAGGATCCCAGAATTGCACGCCGCGGTCCTTCGATCCCGACATGACCCAGTTAGCATCGGGGGTGAGTGCGACGCTAAGTACAAAGTCCTAATCCTGTTAGCACGTGATGGACGATAGAAGATTGTGATTATAACTTACTCGATGACCCTCGAATGTCTTGACACATCTGCCCCCCTTGGGGCCAGGGTTCTGCACACCTCTGGGTGTCGAGAGTTCCCACATCTTGATAGTCTTGTCCAAGCTACCACTCACGAGGTCCTTTCCGTTAGGAGAGAAAGCGACGGAGTAGACACTGTCCTTGTGGCCTTCGGGTCCTTCGAGCCTCTCCAAAAGATATCCTTGGTGGATATCCCAAACGCGAACGCTCTTGTCAAGAGATCCGGCAGCGACATACTTAGTGTCAGGGGAGATAGCAACAGTGGTAACGCCATCCTCAATAGAGAGGGTTAGCATATTAGTACCTTGTTCAATATCCCATAGTCGAACGGTTCTATCGCCACTACCAGAAGCAATTGTGCGTCCATCCCGAGCGAAATCCAGTGAATAGATGTCTTGCTCGTGGCCCGCAAAGGTGTTGCGAATTGTTCTGTTGGCAATATCCCAAACCTGTCTCACTCAGTTAAATGCACAAATATGAAAGAGTTAACATAATTGACTTACGCGAATGAGTTTGTCCTCGGCACCAGTTGCAAGATACTTTCCGTCGGGACTGAAACATACACTACGGATATATAGATCCCCGGAGATGTCGACGTTTTCATCTTGTAGAACGCACACCTTCTCGCCAGTAGCCACGTCGTAAATTTGAGCAGACCTATTGCAACCTGTTGCCACATATTTACCATCGTGGCTGAACCTAACACAGCACACGACGCTCTCATGGTTCAAAGTGTGGACTAGGTCAACGTCTAGCATACGCGGGACTTGTTGGTTGAAGATCACGAACCAATCGTCCCGAGTTTTTTTAACGTGAGCGGGGAGACGTTCGACATCCAAGTCGCCAAGAGCATTGTTCACCATGGGACCGGGATGAGGTGGCAGAGCCCTGTGATCAGGAGTCGGGTGGTTTGCCACTTGCGGTGAGGCACCTGGTCCGGCGTAGGGCATAGGGGTGTTAATCTGGGGAGTAGCCGGTCCGCCAGCCGGAGGTCTACCAATGCCGCGCTTGCCCGGGCCGGGTGAAGCGGTGCTCTGGGGAGGCTGGCCAGGAAATCCGTTTGGGGCCGGTCCTTGGTATGGTTGCTGGAAAGGGGGTTGTTGCGCCGGTGGCGGCGGAGGGGGGGGAGGACCTTGTAGCCCTGGAGGAGGCTGAGGCATTTGATGCTGTGGCCCAGGAGGGGCTTGCTCTTGAGGGGTGGGCTGTGGCGGTAGGCCGCCGCCCTGCCCTCCTTGACCTGCCATAATACCGCTGAAGAGGTTGCCACCCATGCCGATTGAAGGAGGGGGAGGGCCTGCGGATGGGCCGCCGTGTTGAGGTGGACCAGGTATGGTGGGTTGAGGGGCACCGCCTCGTGCGGCCTCTAGCTGACGGCGAAGTATGACCATCTCTTCTTCATACCTACATCGGCGAGGTTAGCGATTTGTTCCTTGGTTTAGGAGTAATATCTTCAGCGTCTACCTACTTCGCTTTAATGTTCATATGCGACTGTTCTAGTTGATAAACCTTCTCACGGATTAAATTTGCTTCTTGCACTTGCTGTTGAACTATCGAACTGTTAGTATACATCACTCGCGCAAACATCATAATCAAAGTAGATACGTCATTTTAATTTCGTATATCGCTTCCAGTCGCTCAACTGTGCGCAACTAGCTAGGCGCGGCAACTGTTAAGCCATTCATTGATGGGTTGGTATTAGACTCACTTTGTTGTTCGTATCCTTCGTTTATCCGGACTTGGTTGTCAAATTCATTCCTAATCTGCTCCAGGAGCTCGTTTAGACGCGCCGCATTTTGCGGTATGCCGCGATGCTGATACATCGACATTTTGAAGATATTAATCGGCGCGCGTATGGATTATCGCCGGATTGAAGTCGAAAGCTCTATATCAATAGATGATATTGTTTTTGTTGGGATGTTTTTTCTCTTCTCGATATTAGGGATATTGGATGACCGATAAAAAAAAATCGCGAATTCTCAACCTCTCCGATAAGGATTACCGCAACTTCTATTACGCCTCACACGCGAGGATTCTCCCACCCGCAACCCAATTGCAAGATCGAAACGAGACTTGACAAGGTCCCGTTAAGCAACGATGGGCATAGTCGTGTCACAGAGGGCAGGGTCGGCGTGAATAAGGAGAGAAGTCGTCGTGGGTAAATGACGCGATCGTGCCTTGTCGCGTTCCAAGGTTCTTAATCGGGAACGATAGGATAGATGGTGAAGTGGCAACGTTGTTGAGGCTGGAGATGAGGCGTGTTTGTGGGTGTTGAGAAGTAAGACGATCGAAGAAAAAAAAGAAGGGATGGCAGAGAAAAGAGGAAACCCAAGGTTGGTAATACTCAGATTGTTTGACCAGGGCTTGGGGGCTAGGCACGAGCTGGATTAGAACCTTGACCTGTTATATGGGAGTAGGTATGATGGGTAGTGGGTTCGGCGACGGATCCATGCAATGCACGGATTGTGAGGTTGCAAGGGTAGTGCAGGGACAGCGGGTCAATGTACACAATCCACTATGGTGCTACATCACAGGTCCTTTTTATAAATTTTTTTTTTATTTATTTATTTTTTTTCCCTTTCCTTTTCACGCTTTTAACGTATACGCGATTGCTAGTATATACCTCTTTAGGTATAGTCAGTCTTCCTTAGCGGATGCCGGGCCAAGGCTGCCTGCATGGTGAGTGGGGATATGGGGGATCCATTGGCAAGCAGAAAAGGGAAACAAGCCCCCCCCTGGGTACGCGCCGATAAAGTAACAATTACTATGTACCTAGGTTTACTAGCTCGGCATCCATTTAGAAGTTTGTGGAAATCGCGATTTCACGGAGGATATGGGGCGCACACGCAGAAGCTAAGCCAACTTGGCAAAGTTAGGTACACGCGAAAAGCTCCCCCCACTTAGCCAAGAGCTTATATGCGCAGTGGGTTAGGTTCAATAACGGCGACGGTACGAGGTACAATTTTCGATCTGAAGTACCTACGTACCTTTATCCATACATGGTCCGTGTACCTATGTATACACAATTACGTATATGTGCATACGGATAGATACAGATCAACGGATATGAAAGTATGTACTTAGGTACCTTCGGATGCATACATTTGCGGACGTTCACAGAAATGGGACGGGGCGGCGCGTTAGCTAAGTCTTACCCTACCACCCCAAGTACAATGCAAGTGTACGAAAGTTCTCTCTTGTAAAAATGTGTTGCATTGTCTCAACGCCTCTTTTTGACCTTTCTTGTGCTACGTGTCCGCGCAAAGTAGTGTATGTCATATTGTAGACTGGCACCTTGCCTCGATGTACTTTTGTACATTTATACGGAGGAAGAGAGACACTACTGTACGTGCTGCTTTCCCGAGGTTGGATGACAGGGGAGTAATATAGGGGAGCGAGCCAGCGATAGATCCAGCTCGGGTAAGGATGTAAGAAATTATGGGGATTGGTCGGTGTACAAACGGCCGGCGTGAACCCAAAGTTTTCTACCAAGTACCTAGAAATTTTGGAAGTGTTTCGGCTGTTTAGGCGTGACCACCTGTTCCCCCACCTTTTTTTTAACTTGCCTCAAAAGTATCCGGGTACAGGTACAGCCCGATTGGTATTTACTATTACGGCAAATGCTACCGTACCTACGTAACCTCAATGTCCCTAGGAGGTACCGAGTTTTACCTAGATACCTTGTCCTTTGGGTAGACTGGGTAACTTCCACCATCTACATATGTAGTTACTCCATTAGGTAGTTAGATCTTAGTTGTTGACAACAAGCTGCAGGATATCAAAGTAACCTAATGGAGACATGTATGTATATGTAGCACTTAGGGATTAGTACCTACACGAGGTGGATGTAGGAGACCGACTTGTCAGCCTGCAGCTTGATTGATTGATTATGCTTGGAAGGCCTAAATAGAGACCACTCACGCAGCGGCAACTTGCAACATACTATGCATGAAAATGCGAGTGATCTTGCTGTCTGGTCAGATGATTTGTGAAGAATAAAAATTTCAAAACGACGCGATGAAATTTACTATAGATATTATTAGACGTAGCATAGATACATCTTAAAGTGGCTACTAAGTCATTAACTAACTATATTAGATCTCGGAGTATGAATTTTATAGACTTATACAATAGGAATCAACAAGCTTTAATTTGACTCGGCTACTTTGTTTCTTTCTTTCATCTATTTATTAATAGCTTTTCTTTAGGAATGTCAGTGCGCTGCTATAGTCGTCATTATCGCCTTTGTCAATAAGTAAGTCACTAGGTACATATGCTGGAGGTACACATCCATGGATAATTTGAAGATGTAATACAAAATGGGCGACTGCATGAGACTAAGTACCTGGGTATCCATCCAACCCCAACAAACCTGATTGGTCTAAAAGATATTTTCATTCTGACCAATGAACTTTGAACAGGTTAGGTATGCTCGGACATTCCCGCTATTTCGGAGCTACGCTATCTCCGTTGAAACGGCATGGTGTCTCCATAGCCGGTACCCATATCCAATTATAAGTAAGCCTAATCAACTCCACATAACCGAACAACAAAACAAGGTTTTATCGGTCTATGACTCGCCTTGTGCTAAAATGGGGGAATTGACTTCGGCAAAAATTGATGTGTAGGAAGGAACCTCGCTTGTGCGGGTAGAAAACAAAGCCGCATTAGGGAAATTCTAAATTCTACGTGTCGCATCATCTACTACCACGAACGGATATAGTAAGCTCCTCTTGATACTAGATTTTTAACTTCAGCTACACGTGCATTGGGTATTCCCACTCTACGCTAAGGTATGGTTGCGTTAGAATATAACTATTAATATAGGGATATGTATGCCCTGCATTATTCTGGGATGTTTAGCTAACCATGCATATTCCCTCTTTGCTCTACCCGCGCTCGCCCGAAAATAGTGCTAATTTTCTATTATGTAGTACACGACACAGCAAACGAGGCAAACAATTCTCTGAACATCCGTTCGCAAGTTGATATTAGTATTATATATAATTCAATAATTATATCATTATATTTCTTATTATTTAATATTAAATCTTTTAAGCACCTAATTGTGAAATCACCGGGCCACCTAACAACTAACCATTAAAATGCTGTAATATCGACGAATATCGACCTAAAACTTACTGAGACGTAAAACCTCATTAGACCACGAAGGTTAAGATAGTGCTACGCATACAAGATGCTACAGTCCCAGCACGTATATGCAACTGTGAAGACCGTACATCATGAGCCGCCTATTTGCATGACGTTGAAGTTTGGGTCAAGCGGCTGAGTGCCAATAATCTACTAGGATCGTCCAAGAAACACTCGAGAGGCACAGGATCCAAAACTTTATTGCATCAGCTGCGTAAGCTTGAGCACGGAGCCTCGTAGGACTTAAAGTGACATAGTGAATCTAGGTATACTTATAATGGTATTCCAGATACTTCATTAATGTCACTTCAATTGTGAACTACCTAAAGGGAACTGCGTGGCCGCTACCAAGTAAGCTTCACCCCGGCATGAGTAGCGAGTGGCTGATGTTGGATAGCTGGTCGGTTTTTACCGACCATCCTACCGTCATGATAGGGCTACACACCGACCTAATACTTAAAGGTGGAGGTTAGAACCAAGCAGCAGAATGTACGTACTTTCTACCTATTACCATTTTATAGTTATATACTTAGATAATCCCCCAAGTCCAAGTTCGGTAACCCCTAAGGACACAAGTAAATTTGTGAGTGCCGCTTTTGTAATCTACACGAAGTAGATCCTCAATCTGTATACGAGGATACTGTTGGAATGATGCTGTGTAACTGGCTTAATTATAAGAATGCAAGACTGTGTCGAGAGTTGATTTAAAGCTGTCATTTCTCACCCCGAACCCCAACATTACATCCGCCGATACGAGAGATCTGAGTGGCCAAGCGACCGGCTACTAGACCGAATCATATATCGAGCACGCTTATCACCGACGTCGTAACTCGGGTCTTTTACTTCTCTTAGCACAGCGGGTATATAACCGGGCGCTGTGTTTCACGTCTTGCATACTTTTCAGCCAATAAACCAGCATTTGATACCTGGGTAGGTACTGCTGCAGCATCCGATGTCCTACGTACAATGCCCGGGCGGCTAGCTGTAGTGGTTCCGTCCTCTAGTAATGCCAGCTTGCATTTTACTCGCGCATTCACCGAAACAGTGGCGTCTGCAGGCCCAGACTGTTTATTAGGATTGATGAAATAAGTTCTGTGGCATATCTCCGTCGTCGTTTATCGCGGCAGCTTCCGACTCCCGGTGTCGACCTATCTGATAGAATAGCTTTCCCCCACGCGCCACCGACGCAGTGACGTAGGCTGCTGCCTTGAGAGTGCTTATGCCCCCAGTAGGTTATAAAGGACTAATCAATGAGTCGGCCGCCACATGAATTGAACCTGCATATAAGCCAATAGATCGGCAACAGCTACATAAATTTGCGCACCTTTGTTCTTGTACTCTCGATCTAGGCAACTTCCAGCGTAGTTGTCATCGAGGCGATAAAAATCTCAGTGGCTTACCTATAGTCCTATCGATTGAGACTCGATGCCTTTGAGATTCGCTGGACCTTGCTCCTAGGAGGAGGGACGGCCCTGGAGTACACGCTGTGGCTGAATCCATGTATGAAATATTTGGCTTGAACATTCACATGGTAGTAGATTTGGTCGTCCTTTAGCGTAGTACTCACCCTGCGTAAGTTTCATCTCGTCGGAATGTTGAATAATCGACTCGACTCATAGAGGAGTCGGCTTCATTACCGCATTGGGGGTCGACTTTATATCTTGACAATTTGGTAGCTGTCGTTTGGTCAGAATACGAGTGATATTGACGCAGATATGCAGCGTCTTGTCTAAGTCGACGCCTGTAATGTATGTCTCGCTTTTTTCCCTCGGTATGGCGTGGTGATGAGACTGAGGCTTTTGGGATTCACCACTGATTCTCTTTAGTCATTCTGGCCTCTCGTTAGAAAGGATAGAGGCTGTGGGATTCTCGGTGTATTGAAGTTGACGTTGCTAACAGATATCCGAATATGACTATCAATGCCCCTTTTCTAGAGAGCAACCATGAAGATGATAAGTCTGGGACAAACAGGGTATAAGGTTGTCCCCAGATCATACGTTACGTCATACCATAATGGTTAATGGGATCATACTTCTCGTACGACAGTCAATGGTGAAATGAATTTTAGCGACTATTTACAACCGCTTAGAAGCAGCCAAGGATCACCGGCTCTAGGATTCTGAAGACGAGAATGTTATTATATTGCTGCGATAAATTCCTACGCGAGCTTATTGTTAATTGTTATCCGTGCGTACCCGTCATTGTTCGCCAAGGCGTGTATTTCAGCTGCCCTAAGGACTAGGATCTCAGTAAGCTCAGACCACAAGTTCTGTTGTACATTTGAATTTTTAATTAATTAGGTTACATAGATTTGTTCAAAAAGATTCTATAGAACTGTAGTCTAAGGCACATGTGGGATTAACCAACGTTTACGGCAAACATGACAAACGTGTATCTATATTCTTTTATAACTTTGTTAATTTTTGTCATATACGCATTAGATCTCATTTCCGAGTATTATTTATTACATATTGGACTAAAACTCCTCACACGCCACACCACATCCCTACAGATACATCGCACAGGCCAGTCATATATACGGACCAGGTGTGGCTAGAACATAAGGAAGACTATACATAATATAATACAGCATGTATAGTATATGTATAAGGAGCCAAGCAGCTCTGATAGGCAGCAGATATGAATAATCACCACGTGACAAAAATTAATTGAAGTTAACGGAAGGCTCGATTTTTCGTTCATAATATAGTCTTTCGACAGTATGCCTCGTATTAGATTGAAGGTTCCTTCCTCTTTGAACGACAAAGAGCCGCCGAGTACTGTATGGGAGGCAGCCAAAGTAGCGTACGATTGTGTGTCCAATCTGGAACAGCCTAAACATAGACCCATCGTTCGTTTACTAAATGAAGTCCCTTACCGCCAACCTTTAGAAAACCAACGTCCTCCCGGCCATAAAAAGCCCTTCTCAGTACTAAAGAGACGTAGAAATCGTAAGTTAGAGGGCCCTTTCCAATATAAATACCTAGGTAGTCATTAATAGCTGGTTAGAAAACCTATTGGCGTTGTGTGTTCAGTTATGTGGCTCCCCACGTACAAATACGCAGCGATGTACGAGGTATATCAACGGTCGAGGCATGTGGCAAGAATGTGTAGTAGCCCCTCAGCTACCGGGCCGCCAAACGGATATTCTTAACTCGGCTTGTGCTAGCTGCTATTATAATGGCTGCAGTAAGAACTGTTCATTCGTCAGTACGTGACATTTACATTTATAAGCAGATATCCTCTTAAAAATAGATGTGCTAACTGGTGCCTACTTTGACATAGCCCGTGTAACAGCTCCGGAACCTTCACTACCTTTAGCAGCGCAGACAGTACAAACAACCGCTCTTATGCCAACGCTCGCTGTATCTCACGACCCAAAATTGACAAATTATATAGAAGAGTAGATATATGTCAAATACGACGCGAATGGCCATTCGAATGGACATATTAGAAAGGTTAGCTGCTTTACAGGCCATAGACAACGAGAGACAGGACCTTACAGACTTAGCATCGAATGCTTTACAGTTTTTACAAGACGACGCAATGCAGGATATAACACATTCAACTACAGACTTGAGAGAAGAGGGCCACGAAGAGCTTGACATAGAATGGATAGGTATTCTTCAGTAAGGTATCCTGATGTGCAATTAGCTACTAAAGGTTTATTCATAGTTCCATAAAAGAAAATTTAGCCTGCACTAGTATTGCCAAAACACTCGACATATTTAATTCATGTCACTTTAGCTGTTGTTTCATAGATTAGTAGTTCAATTACCCCATCATTACATAATCATATAGTCTTGATGTTTTGAGTCCAAGCTGAAACAAGGCGGGATGGGGATGTCACCACTAAACGTCCTAGCTCTGGTCCGAATAATTCTTCATTCTTATATCGATCTTGAAAGACAAGAGTAAATTTAAAACATCTATTATTTTATGTTTATGTTTAATCCGTTATTACTATTTTTCACCTAGATAACTGTACATGATTGTTAAAACCCTGATTTTTACCATCTTCGTAGATTTCGCGCGAGACTCTAGAATGTCTTCACCCTAGGCCTTCGCGTTTCATAACCCCTGTAAGGTGACGACCTAGGGCCACCCTTCTACTCTCAGCAGCGTCCGAAAGTAGTAAATCGCCTATGAAGCTCTCACTGTTCGGCGCTAGCATGATACAATTCGAGATATTCTGAGACAGCGATGTTGTAACATTCGCGCTGGGGATTATGGATCTCTTATGATTTACCAATCAACGGAGATCCTCCGCACATATCGAGGATCAATTAGGGGATACCATTTCGCCAGCAAGTCTTAGCGATTTCTTCTGTCGTAAAAGTGGCTCCACTGGCCTCAGACAGGGCTGCAGAATGGTCACATATTCTCTTTTATCTATGATCGTTTCGCCCAAGTCTCTTCTTTTCTTCTTGTTTGGCGCTTTTGTCCTCTGTTTGGTGTTAAACAGTGCCCTTACCATACGTTTCTTCGCACCAGGTGTGCTTATTAATCTAATTTTCATATCAATCACAATGGCGAAGTCATATCGTGGGGTTCCTCTAGACGAAGAACCTTTTCTTGCTAAAGAGGAAGGAATCGAAGGAGAGAAGTGGACGAGAAAAACGGAAAGCGATTTCATACCCGAACGCCTGCGAAGATTAAGTCCGCATTGGGCTTGGCTGGGTCATGCCATTCTACTATCCATATCCTTTGCCTTCTTTGCGGCATCCTTCTGCTCGAAAACTTCGAAAATAACAGACAAGGATTACATAGAGAAATACTCGGCGTGGTGTATGTTGGATATAGACTTTCTTCTTGATTGGCGTCGTTGCTAACGATATTTATAGCACCCGCTGTCAGTGCAGTCAAGTACGAAACGCAAAATTTCGACCTGCCTCCCGTAGCAGAAGGACCGTATATAGGGAAGGGCGACGATGTGGATGCAGCGTGGGATAAGATTTCAGCCAGTACGTTAAAGGATCCGTGGCCGATATATATAGAATGATCATCTAACATGGTTATTAGTTGGCGACACGATGATATCTCGCGACGAGATGATAAACCTAGGTCTAGATCCCGATAGCTCTCTCGCCATCACCGACCCGAGGGATGGGAAGCCAGGGTATCGGGTCGCGATCGAAGTTTTCCACCAATTACACTGCTTAAACCTATTGCGACAAAACGTATATAAGGATTACTATGCGCCTATGGGAGGAGACACGGCCGATGCTCCCCCGGATCTACGGGGCCATCTCGATCATTGTATCGATGCGTTGCGACAATTCGTTATGTGCCAGGGTGACATCGGGGTGTTCAGCTTTCATTTTCCGTTCAACGACGGAGACCCGTGGCCGAACTACAGCACGCCGCACACGTGCAGGAACTTCGAGAGCATCCGTCAATGGGGTGTCGACCACACAGTACCTAGGGGACCTGACGAGCCTGAACATTGATATGAGAATTACTTCTTTCTCTCTCTAGAAGAGAGATTTATATAGCATTTTGCATTAAATGAGCGACATTTGAACATATTAATCCGAGGCTTAACTGAAACGTCAAACTGAAATATTGATCATATGTTAGACTTCTGCCGCAAGCTGATGATCCACATTATGAAAATGTGTCGACCTAGGCTTTAAGTGCTGCAGAATCCCTTGATTTATGAGGTCGATCTGAAGAATGAATTCTCTTTAAGAAGCAAACTCACCCCGTACCTTGGTTACCTCATGCTTTCAGAAGATAATGGTATTGGACACAAAAAGGTAAGTCCGCATATATTAACGTAGGAGCAAGAAGCGAGAAGCGAGAGGCGAGAGTAGGTACATATGTACTCCGGGTTTTAATTGTGGAAATTGGTAGGAAGCAAAAAAAAGCCATTGAAGGATGAAAAGCCATGTAAGTGATAAGGTTAGGGCGAGCTGGGCGAGATGATGGCCATCCAAGATCTCCACGTGCGAGACAAGCTTAGACCAAGTCGGGCAAACCCCTGAATACGAATACGAAAGAGGTGGAGGGAAAGAACGGCGCGGAGCGGAATTAAAAGCGGGTAACATGGCATTTCCGTCTTATCAGATCGAAAGCGATGAGCCGATTTGCAGTCGCTCTTGTCAGTTTTATGTCAGTTGTATGACCCAAAGAGGTTAAGCGGCCTATTATATGGGGAGAAAATTTGAGTTACCGCTATTTCTTGCTCTTAGCAGAGCCCAATACTCTGGAGACTTCGGAAGCTTAAGATTCCAGTGGTGTCATCTCTCTAGCGAATCAAGTTACGGATTGCTGCATCCCGCACATCAGCATGAGCCCCTATTTTATTTTACTACGTACTATGCACACTATGCACTCCTTTCTTTCTAGAACGGCAGGGCCGTAGAACGATTGTTTTTTTTTTTTTTTTGATTTCGCTATTGCTATTGATGACATCTAAATCGATACTGTACGTACTAGGTATCCCTGTTCGATTTGTTTTCCCGAATGGGCCGATGCAATTGATAATGGTTCGACGTCAGAGAAATAAAAGCAGAGTAGTAGCCCACCTCTAGTTTGTCAGGAACACCTTTCATACATACATCTATTTAAATTCAGAGTTAAGGAAAGCTGAAGGTTACTGCTTGTTACCTCACCTTACCCTTTTACCGGTTAGCTGTACGCTGTACCTGTACCCTCTTAAACCTTAAGGTTATCGATTGCAGCTCTAGCCAGGAACGAACCTCTGGAGCACTGAACCATTTCAACGAAAAGAGGGACCACAACAGGCGGACCCCTGTTCCCTCTGTTCCCCCTGCTCTCCGATAGATTTCAATCTAAACTCCGAGCCTAACAAAATTCCCAATTCCTAATTGAGCAGCTCAGACGCCTTGACTCGCTGAAATTGCATAGCACTTAGACCCTGACTTTAATAAGTCAGTCCCAAGTGAAAGCAATTTTCTCTTCGCCACATATACACGTCGTGGGCCCCCCCAAAATACTAATACTAATTACATTCTTTTAATATTTATCCCATTCGATCTTTTTCTTCTCTCAGTTGTTGTTTTGTTCGCGTTTTCGGTGTAACTAGTCTATTCTTTTATTCAAGATGGACGTCGTACTCGAGCTTACCGACACCTTCATAGCTGATTATGTCTATGCTTATGCGCATCCATTAAAATCAGCTGCCCCTTACGATTATCTCGATGTCGCCAACAATTCTACAGCGCAACCCCTTTCGTCATGGCAGTTCAAGACGTCCAACCCTTACTTCCCTGTCGAGCCCAGCAAATATGCCTACATGAGCGCGTGGGATAGAGATAATGTCTACCGCCAGGGCATCACTCTGTTCTTAATCACATGGTTCGTGTTACTCCTTTTCAAAATGTTACCGAGTTCAATGCTAACATAGTATACTTAGGATCTTTGGTTTCATTCTATACTTTGTTTTCGCTACGCTATCCTACCTTTTCGTCTTCGACAAGAAGACAATGGAACACCCCAAGTACCTGAAGAACCAGATGTGGCTTGAGATCAAGCAAGCGAACAGAGCGATGCCGGTCATGTCCCTACTCACCACGCCTTGCTGGCTCCTCGAAATTCGCGGTTACACCAAGATGTACAGCACGCCCGCCGACGGCCCGGGTCTGTGGTACGAAATCCTCCAATACCCTCTCTTCATCCTCTTCACCGACGCCATGATCTACCTCATCCACCGAGGCCTCCACCATCCGTTGATCTACAAGCGCCTTCACAAGCCTCACCACAAGTGGATCATGCCGACCCCCTACGCCTCGCACGCCTTCCACCCTGTCGACGGCTTCGCGCAATCGCTCCCCTACCACATCTACCCGATGCTCTTCCCTCTCAATAAATTCGCGTCGGTCGGTCTATTCGTCTTCGTCAACTTCTGGACTATTATGATCCACGACGGCGAGTACGTGGCTAACAGCCCCGTCATCAACGGCGCGGCCTGCCACACCATGCACCACTTGTACTTCAACTACAACTACGGCCAGTACACTACCTTCTGGGACAGACTCGGACGCAGCTACCGCAAGCCCGACGACAGTTTGTTCGAGAAGGAGAAGAAGATGAGCGAGGACCAGTGGAAGAAGCAGGTCAAGGAGATGGAGAAGATGGTTAAGGAAGTCGAGGGTGTCGATGACCGCTCCTATGACCCTCATGGAACTAAGAAGAACAACTAGGTGTTCTTAGACCATCGCCTCGTCGCGAAGCGCTTGGCTGGCCATGTCTAACACGGCTAACGGAAAGCACTTTGCTTAGGCGTTGCTAGGGGAACGATATACGGCAGTGATACGAACCTCATTAATTAGTGCTAGTCACACGAAGAGATTAGACGGCGATGTATTGTACATACGGGCAGAATGCTGGGCCCACCCCTTAATGAGATGACGGCGTTTAGGGAGTGGACCATTTTTCCATATAAATGGAGGGTTTTGATAGGGGGCTGCTGTTCCGACTTTAGAACCCTCGAACGCAAAAAAGAAATCAAGTCGTGGGGCCTCGTAGATGAAAAAAGAGGAGGCAACTCTCGTTTTCCGTCAGCAAGAAAAAGCAAAAGAAAGATGAAAGAGAAATGGAAAAGAGGACCGGATAGATATACTGCGAGGATTTTTATCTTAATAATGCAAAATAAAACCTAATGTTCTATAATCCCTGATTGTTCGGATGTGCGTAGAGTTCGGTGAATTGGAGTGGTGGTGGCGGATTCCGCCAGAAGGGATGTAGTTTGTGATTCTGAGACTTCGAGCTAGAGGCTTAATGTGCTTGTAGTCCATGAGATTATGCCGTGATACTTGTGTTTAGGAGTACAAAACCGGTTATAATTCATATAGATGTTTTCTGGGGATGCAGTACGACTAATCTGTGAATTGTAGTACGGTCTTCCGTTTCTAGTCGAGATTTTGATTCATGTGAAATGACAAGTAGAAACACTTGTAGAACGACGCACAATTTAATCACCGTAGAGCATAGGTCGGTTTGGGGCTTATTAAGGAGATTTATGTTGAGGGTGCCGACCTTACCTAGTTTATCTACTTTTACTGGATCGATAAAGCACTACGTGTTTAGGCAGACTGGGCGACACATGTAGATTAAGAGTATTGACAGAGATGTAGATATATTGAGTCAAGGAAATTGCTGTGGATATGTAGATATCGATCGATTCATTACCATCCTCTGTAGTCGCTTCCACGAGTACTATAAGTGACCCCCTTTGAGGCCACGAATGTAGGGCCCTTGATTGTTGTGATATGACACACTCGAGCATACGGCTCTGTATGCTGAGTTGAGCTCATCCCAAAAGATATAATTCGACTAGTCCCAGGGAATGAAGTATCCCTATCCGTAAACGCCAATGCCGCCGTGAAGCAGTTGCAGTAATAAGGAAATCGCGAACGCTTTTCGCAAAGTTGAATAGGTCGGTCCGTCCATACCATCTCACCCAGCCCATCCCCTTCCGTGCCTGATCTAAGCCAGCAACCAACCGACCAGCCTAGTATTCCATACCGTCCCTACCATACCAAACACATATACACGATTACAGACACATCACATCTCCACACGTAGAAGACGTGACCCATCACACACCAACTCCACAATCCAAAGTCCGTGCCTACGCTCACGAAAAGCTAACGAACTTAGGATCCTTCGGCCTACCATCCGCCGCAATCCCATTCGCGCTAAACCTCTGCTCCATGTACACCCTTCTAGCCTCATCAAACCGCATCCTGCGCTTCTTCATAATAGCCAAGATTTGCGTCTTCGCCTCGTCGTCTAATCCCGCGCGACCGTCTCCTCCCTCAACATTTGCGCCGAGATCGAAATTACCGCTTGAGAGACCGGCTTCGATGTCGTCGGCGAAGGATGTGCCTGGGATGTGGGAGTAGGTGTGTCGACGGCATTGGAAGATGCGCAGAGAGAGCCAGTAGTTGCGCGTTAGGTAGAGGATTGTGCCGACGACGAGCGCGGCGAAGGTTAGGGAGTAGAGGAGGTATGCCATTTTTCGGTAGATTTAACTTTGGGATTGATATCCGGTGGTTTGGTTTGAGAGATAGAAGGTGGGGTGATGGTGGTGGTTTGTGAGACAATACGGAGTACGGAGTATGTATCAAAGGTCAACCGCTGACGAATTGGGGCGACTGGGTAGTTAGGTAGGTTTAATTGAAAAAAAGAGAGCTGACAGGAAGAAGAGAATTCAAGAGAACGCAAGGGAAAGAACAAGAAAAGGAAGAGAATGAATTATGACTCGTAGTCCTTTTCGCAAAATGTATGCATATAAGGTATCGTGGAATCAAGCCATCGGAAGAGACGGCGTTGTTGCAGTATGATGCATTAAGCAAGTCGAGTTTGAAGTTTGTAAGTGGATGGAGCAAAGAGAGAGGCCGCCCCATATTCTTTTTCTTTAGTGGCCGAACTTAACTGACGACACACTTTCCACTAAGCTAAATAGCCTGTGGCTCGTGCGTCTTACGTGTTCCGCGTTTTAAGTGGATATATGTATTATGCATGATGTTACATAATCAGTTCGACTTACATACAAAAGAAGTACCTTGTATATATCGAGACTAGTACCGATTTAGCCAAATAAGCGACTCCCACACTGAAGAACTCGAACATTTGCGCCTACGAACTTGTCGAAATAGTTGAGTGATTGAATTGAATTCGGACAATCGAACCTTTCCCACCCTTCTGCTGCTCTTATCCCAGACATATTTCAAAATGACTCTTAGCACCAGCAACCTCGTCTCCGCAGACCTTGTCTGGGAGATTGTCCGTAAGTTTGGGTCCTAATTTATGAGCTCAATTGATAGGGCATTGTGCTATGGCAGAGGGGCTAATCTTCGATATATACAGGAAACAACAACGCCTACCTCGTCAAGAGGAAGGAATTCGGCGGCGTTCAGTTCTCCCGCGACCCTCTTAACCTTACCAACAAGAGCAACCGCAAGGTATGAGATTAAGCTACTATACTCGATTATAATAAGTAGTATTAGGAGTTTGGGGCTAACTTGGAACTAGAATGCCGGATTCGTAAACGACAAGGTATGAACAAATCGAACTTGCGAGAATTATCGAGATAATTGTAATCGCAACGAAACTTACGATTGGAATATTAGGCTATCGGTGTTCAACCCGCGGAGAAGGGAGGTGTTAAGGTCATCAGCAAGAAGGAGTCCGCATCGCAGAAGCCCAAGGAGTCTTCAATCGAGACTACCCACAGCGGTGGTCAGGCCACGCGAAAGTCAGTTCCCCGTCGTTACCTTACGAGGCCCTAGACGTGCAATATCTGGCTATTTGACATACGGGTTGGGCTAACATATTCGATTACACAGGATCTACAAGACCGTCGCTAACCAGACTGCCAAGTCCGGCTACCGAGCTGACCTCCGTGAGGCTGCTGTCGCCCGTGTCTCCGCCATCCGCCAGTCCCAGAAGGACCCCAAGCCCACACCCGAAAAGAAGCCCCGAGGCGCTAAGGCCAAGAAGGCTGCCGCCGTGCCGGCATAAGCTTTTCCATGAAGATGGGAAAGGGGGTATACCTATATGAGGATTGGGTCATGACTGCAAAGAGATAAGGTCGGCCGGCGAATAAAGGCATATGCATTTTTTCCTTTGGTAGTCAATCCATAATCTCGAAAGGCGTCTGAGGAATACTTGCGTCGAAATTAAAAAGAAGGCTTGCTCTTTTTGCGTGATTTGATACGGACTTACCTACATATCCCGCATACTCCCAATCATAGGGGATAAGATAACTCGAAACTAAATCCGGCAGGGCGATCCGGAGAATCCCAGCTTGTTTTGCGGCGCTTGGCGGATAGGGTGTGTGACACGACAAGGCAAAGCTCAACCCATTCATATGATACGGCTTTGAGTTATTTTATCCTTACGCCCACATTGTGGGTATGACAGGTACCACACCTAGGTAGATACTCGCCATTAGTGAAAGGTAGGCCAGGGGTATCGGAAGAAGGCTCATATCCGTTATTGATAAGTAAATTGTTCCGTCGGTCGGTATTCACATCGAATCCCTCGAAAGAGATCAAAAGACATTAAATCATGATTGATTTTCCTTTTAGCCCGTCCGACCTTGCCCGATTCCGAGATGGGAACCTCGGGAAATGGGTATGATGCAAAGTTCGGAAGAGCTGCGGTAAAAGAATATACTAGATAATTTCTATTCCGTAGAATAACCTCGGGTTAGGGGAATTGGAACATATGAACCCTGATGAACAGCTATAACTTTAGTATACATTATAGTATACCATTGTAGATATTTTGAGATTGAGAGAGTGATGTAAGCAATGCAAGCTTGAGAGATATTTGACTTGTTAGTGAGATGTTTATTTTGCAGGTCGTATTATTGGATAGCAGGAGCATCCAAGGTACATCTAGGTCGGTAAGGAAGCCGCAGAAATGAACCTTCTTTTGCATGTGGTTTCAATAGGTTTGGTAGGTACCGCCCCGACCTGCGTAACATAACTAGGGAATTAATGGTGGGGTAACCGCCAAACTGCCCAGGTGCATTAAAGCTAATGTGGATTCCCCGATTCCCCCTTCAGCATTATCGTCCCTTGCCCCGCCTTCTTGCGTATCAACTCAACTCTCTTCTAATTTCATCATCCTACAACAAAGTCTGTCTTGTTTCCCCTAACCGTTTGCCAACATAAATAAGCCAAGGTTTGTTAATCCACTCTCTCGTTTCAAATATTTCATCTATAAATTATCTACCGTCGACCATCTTCCTCTTCGTCAAATCTACCATTCTCAAATAATCATAACGAACAAAAAGATTACTGACGTACGAATCCCTGTCCTAGTAGTCCCTCAACCAAATTACCCCACCTCGACATACAAATCGCGACTATGGTTAAAGCTGGTACGGCGCGCAACGATCCTAAACTGCAATTCTGGAGAGCATCGGCGCTAACGAGATATTAGTTGTTGCTGGAGCCTCTGGCGGTATTGGCCAGGTCTGTTATTTCCTCCATTCTAAAGTATAAGAAAGAGCTCCGAGCTAATACTAAGTAGCCTTTGTCCCTCCTTCTGAAGCTCTCACCCCTCGTCGACGAGCTTGCCCTTTACGATGTCGTCAACACACCCGGTGTTGCTACCGATCTCTCTCACATCTCCTCGACCGCTGTGAGCAACCCACTTCCAATGTAATAAATGGTAGTAATAGCAATATCTAACAATTGGTAGAAAGTAACAGGTTACCTACCCAAGGATGAGGGTGGAAAGGCTGCTTTCAAGGATGCTGATATCATTGTCATCCCCGCCGGTATTCCCCGTAAGTTCTCCGTGATGCCTTCAAAGCGCCGCAAAAATAGCTCATATAAACATAGGTAAGCCCGGTATGAGCCGTGATGACCTTTTCAACATCAACGCTGGAATCGTCAAGGGTCTGATTGAGATTGCTGCCGAGGTTGCCCCCAAGGCCTACATCCTTGTCATATCCAACCCTGTCAACTCTACTGTCCCCATCGCTGCAGAAACCCTGAAGGCGAAGGGTGTCTTCAACCCCCAGAAGCTATTCGGTGTCACCACCCTAGACATCGTCCGTGCCGAGACCTTCGTCGCTGAGATTGGCGGCAAGAAGACCGGCTCTGAATTAACCGTCCCCGTCATTGGTGGTCACTCCGGAGCGACCATCGTCCCTCTCTTCAGCAAGATCAGCCCTAGCGTAACGATCCCGGATGACAAGTACGATGCTCTTGTCAACCGTGTTCAGTTTGGTGGTGACGAGGTCGTTCAGGCCAAGGATGGTGCTGGCTCCGCCACCCTATCCATGGCTTTTGCTGGATTCCGGTATGAAGTGCCGTAAATATATATTTTTAGCGGGAAAAGCTAACTATCGATTAGTTTCGCGGAGAAGCTTTTGAAGGCGGCTAAGGGCGAGAAGGGTCTTGTTGAGCCTACCTTTGTCTATCTACCTGGTGTACCTGGCGGTGAAGAAGTTGCGAAGGCGACCGGCCTGGACTTCTTCTCCGTACCCGTTGAGCTCGGAGTAAGGCCCCCCAAGAGATTTAGTAGGAGTTATGCTAACAATCATATAGCCCAATGGTGTCGAGAAGGCCACCAACCCGTTGGCTGGTATCACCGAGAAGGAGAAGTCTCTGGTAGACATCGCGATCAAGGACCTAAAGGGCAACATCGAGAAGGGTGTCACTTTTGCCCACAACCCCCCTCAAAAGTAATTATCCCCTTGATTCACTTGAGATGATTTGCCCGGCTCATGGAGCGTCTGGGTATGAATGCTATGCGATGTGCTTTACCATCACCACGAAAACACGTTGCCCATGGGTTTGGCGTGGTTTGTAGACAAAGTCAAAACGAGACAGTTTCGGCGATAATTGAGATCGAGTAACTGATCCTATCTGCTTGCATAGGTTGTAATAAGTGACGTACGTAACCGTCGCGAACGTAGGCGAATCATTTCCCTCGCATCTAAACGATTTATGGGTGCCCTGCCGGAGATTTTGGAAGAAACCATGGTTCGTTTAGATATGGAGGTCGTTGGACGTTGGATAAGTGAGATGGAGGTATATTAGGTATAGACGAACATTTGTGCGGGAATGGAGGATGGTTCATCTCGTCAAAAACATCATTTGTAGATATCAGTCCACTATAACACCCTAAACGCCGGTACTTTCTAAATGCTAGACTCCAAACAATACCGAACACCTAATCCTTTTTTATTTACGCCGTTCCTATTCACCTCTTATGATCATGATGATAATGGTCGCTTCCATAGAGACCATATACACACAATGTGCGTGTAAACTGTTTGCATGGCTGATGGGTTTTATGAATCACCAGTAATATCCGGGACTCGAACTTGGCTAGGTATAACCAAGTCGAACTGATGATGAGAAGATGGCCTAGGGAACTATTTTGAAGGCGTAGTCTTGATCTGGAAAATCGCGCCGGGTAATTCGCTTGTCTCAGCTTGTACCGTAGCAGCGATTCCCATGGCTGATAACGCACCCCTCAATATACCGCATGGAAACCAGAGGAACTACACATCCTGTTAGACCATACATCATCTGATCATCTAAATGATGGGGTATAGTAGAGTAGAGGAACATACAGGCTGCGCCCGAACAACAGCTCGTCCACCGGCATCAGCACTCATACGAGCGAGCGGGCGGAACGCGTTATCGGTTAATACGTATACGCCGCGGTGGTTGGTCTTGAGGTTGTCGACTTGTTTTTTGAAGACTAGCATCCATAGGTCTTTACAGATGAATTTTATGGCGTCGAGGGTATCGTTGAAACGGGGGCGGTCGCGGGAGAAGCTGTTTGTCCGGTTTATTGTTAGTGTTGGTTCTGGATTGGTATATGGAGGGTATTTGGGGAGGAGAGGGAGGATAGGGGAAGAATAGAGCGTACCGCTCGACGAGCCCTAAACCAACACGATAACCCAAAGTTTCTAGCCGGTAAAAAACAGCATCACGTTCTTCATCTTCATCTAACCTCCTCGAACCCGCCCCCGTCGCTGTTCCTGTCGCTGTTGCTGCATTTGAACTCGTCTCGGGCGCATCAGCAGCAGGTGGGGATAAAGAAGGCGAGGAAGGTGAAGCGCTGTCGTCTAGTTCGTTGGCGACGCGGTAGGCCATAGGTACTAGTTCGATCATGAGGAAGTCCAGACACGAGGTGCTTAGGAAGGAGGCGCTCGGGTCCGAGGCGTTGAAGGGGGGGAGGGGTTGGTCGAAGGACATTTTGGCGGTGTTTCCTCTTCTCTCCTCTTTCCTTTACTTCGTATGTTATTTATATTCCTTATGTCCTATGTATTATCGTTCTTATCGCGAGGAATTATTAGTGGCAGCAGTGCCTAAGAATAGCTATGCGCAACGTTTGGTATGTAGATAGGTATCGATGTGGTAATCCACGGCGCATTGGAAGAAGGACGAGGGGTCGAATGCCTAAGGTTTCGTGACCGATTCGCTCGTTTATAAGCTTGTTCGTTTCTTTGAAAAATTGTCTTTGCTTTCACACACTCGAATTATCGACCGACTCGTCGTACAACGTAATAACTTCGAGACTCAAGGCTGGACAGGCAGGGCTGAAGCTTTTCGACATTACAATTACGGAACCTTGGGAGTTTGCGTCGCGGGTGGACCCCTACTCGGCGGGAACTAGCGACTCGTTTAATTGCATGTAACATTGGTCACGCTGATAATGGGGTTATCACACAAGGGATTACAAAGTCATGTCAATCGAGGAGTTGAGAAGCGATGCAAGTTGCAAGTTGCAAGTCACCATAGTACAAGTGCGATGCTCATTTCAGGAATTTCATTATTTTTAGTCTTCAGTCTCGAATTAGAAGACCTATTTTAAGAGAATCGGTAGGAATTCACTCACAGTCCGATCCTAGTAATATCATCGCCGAAGTGACAAAGTCCCCCTGAATCGCAAATCAAGCAACTCTAGGTACTTTTTAGCCATCCCGAAAATCAAGAGGTATTCCTGCGCCCTTCCCCTGCAACGCCGATATGACTAATTCCTCCCCTGTTTTCGCCGTGTCCATACGCGCGCCTGGTCACATCAGGCGATTACTATCTTCTATGTACAGAGTACACCCAGGACGAAGGTGGGCATAGCTCCGTCTTGGAGTCTCAATACTGCCAAATTCCATGACTCGAAATTCCTAGCTTCATGCAAATTTCTTGCGCGTATCATTCGTTATAGAAGCCAAGCGCAGCCAAATTAGAGCACGCGTCTCTCCAGTGCCCATTAGACATCTAGTCGCGAGCAGATTCTGGCATATAGCCTCGTAGAAACTCCATCGTCTGGCACAGTAAGGATTCCATCGCATTCCGGGGTCGCCATGGACGAGCCCTATATCCCTAATAAGCGTTATAAGCAGAAGGAAAACTTGAGAGGCCATTAGACGAAGGTCCCTGGTATTGTCGTTTCGGAGCGCGAACAATAGGCTCGTCATCCTCATCACTACTGAGGGTAAGGTCAATAACCTCTGCCGGCCTCTTGTTGCTTCCAGACCTTTGAGTGTTTGGTGTTCCCCTGCTGGCGCTGGCCGAGGCCCCATTGGTTCCCAGGGACCGACTTGGGGTGGCGAAGGAATTTCTTCCGCCAAAACCATTGGTACCATTCCCAAAGGCGTGGGTATCGGAAAGGATCGAGAGATCATCGTCGTCTTCTACTTTACTGGTGGGAGCGGCTCGGGATCGACTGGATTCTTGTTCTTCCACCTTTGTTCTCCATCGACCATCCGGTTCGATGGTAACCTGTTGTTGCGAGTCGGATGTTTTCTCCAACACCTCCTGGACATATTCATCAATAGCTAGGGTCTCAAATGGCGCCGGCTTATAGCAAATCGGACAGCTCCACGTAGGTCCTTGCTCTTGGAGTTGCATAAACGATTTCGCATCAAAACATTGTATGTGATTACAGGACATGCCTCGACAGGGGACCTTGAGTCTCGTGTAGCTTAGGGGGCACAACAGAGACAGGTTTTGAGACGTCGCCACCACGTCCGGATCGTTGGCCTTCTTTGATACTACATAGGTAATTTAGCAACATGATTCAAAGCCAAACAGGAAGGGGGAACCGGGACTCACTGTCTTTGATAACGGATGCCTTAGAAATCTTTCTCGTCCTTATCTTTGTGACGAGCTCGTCGATCGAGTGTGTTTTGCAAACATACACTGCGAGGTAGAATTTCTGTTCAATCGAGGTTAGCTCAATGTACGAATGGAAAGAAGCACCACTTGGACTCGACAAATTGACTCACTCGAGTCTTAGCTGATTTGCGCCTTCTAACCTTGTCCGTCAGAGCGTATGTAAACTCGACGTTGTTCGTATAGTTGGCCTGCTTTAGTCTGAAGAAAGGTGTGATATCGACAGGATGTGTTGATCCTGGCTTATTCTTGAGACCCCGCAGGTTATGCTTAACATCGTCCCCATTGATCTTGATTTCGGACTGGTGGGGGAATTGTATGTCCTGAGGCCCTGTGTTGTCGCTCCCACAAAAGAGCATGAGCTTGGTGGGCAGATTGGTAGCGCAGCGGCTAAGTTCCGGAAATTCGCTAGACTTTAAGGTGATGGTTACGGAATTTCGGTGGTTGTTCATTGCTAATGCTGAAACATTAGTTTGGACAAGTATGGAGCGCAACTTAGCACAATATCTCACCTGGACATGGATGAAGATTGCCGACTCTCGACTCGATGGTATAAAAAGGTGTGTTTTTGAAAAGGCTATCGGAATGAGAAGCTCGAGGAGTTGTGTAGGAACTGGTAGCACCGTAGCCTCCCCCATTTGTATAGCCTTGTTGGGCCATACTAGAACTTCCCGAGTTGTATGAACCGTATGAATTGTTGTAATACGGATTACGATTACTTTGCGACTGTGTAGCCATACCGCTCGGTGTCACGCTCGTTTGACTAGCGTTTCCTCCCCGTATGCCTAATATCGTACTTCGGATCGCGTTGTATTTCGCGGTATCGGCCGTATAGGTCTCATGGAGTGCTGAAGAAGCGGGCGTTAGTAGATAGTCGGGAGTAAAGTATGCTGGGCGCATAACCGTAGATTTGGGAAGTACGAATGTTGCAGTGAAGAGGTAGTGGGTTGTTTGATTTGAAGAGTTGAAGTTGGATAGTTGGATAGTTGGAAAAATAAATTCACAAGTAGGATGAAGGTGTATGGAGTAGAAGGTAGTAGCAGTTAGGTAAGTAAGGCAGGTAGCAGGTAGCCGATAGGGCGAGGAGGGGAAAGGCTGGAACTTTATTATAGGGAAGCAACTTTCTGCCAAGATGACTGGTTGTTCGTTCTCGTGTGAACCAACTTCGCTGGAAGATGGAGTATAGTGATGCCTTGGGCGTCCAATTTTTTTTTTCTTTTTTTTCCGTCTTCCGCTTTACCTAACAATAACAACCAAACATATAGATGGATGATAACCCATGGGTATATAATATATAAATATTGAATATTGACTTACCTTCCTTGATGCGATTTTGCAACTCGGCCTTGACCCCACCTGTTTTCAACCCATTATTCGAGCAGATTGACTGTAATTGTTTATTAAGCATGGATTGTGTAAGTCGCTCGAGCGATCGGATATCGGGATTACTGGAGGACATGGTCGCTATGTGCTGTCGCTACTTCTGCTATTTGTTGCTATCGTCTCGAAGGGCAGGAGCGCGTGGCCAACCCGAGCCACTTCATCAGGAAGGCCCAACCTTGCGCCGACCTTGCTAACTTTAGCTGCTTTAGCTATTCCAGCCAATTATTCCAGCTAATGTACTGCAATTTCGGAAATAGGGAAGGTGGAAGCTCGAAATCTCCAAACTTTCCTATCCCCGACCCCCCGTAGCCCCGTATGTACGCGTAGGTATTGTAGATACTGTCGATGCGCTGCGTAAGGCGAAAAAAATCTCGCGAACAGGATCACGGGTTAAGGCTACTGCTGACGAAGAGCCACGGTCGGAAACTTTGGTTATCGCTGTATTTATGTATATGAACCTAGATGCAGAAATGTAAATTAGATATCTTTTCGTTAAGAATCGATAGATCTCCAAAGTTAAATTCTGCAGGCAAAATGTGACGAGGAATGCTTGATGCAAATAAATTTTGGTCACAAACAAAATATAGACGCCGATTCTTTTTTTGCAGGGCTTTGCGACGTCTTCGGCGGCTGATAAGTTAGGTTTGGTAGGCAGTCCGGAGGTAGCTTTGTATCACTTTCTGCACGAGAAAATTCACCGCCTGCCGAATTAAGGCAGTTTAGGCCAGTACTAGCAAACCTACATCTGACGATTGTAAAGTGCGTACATCCTATTGTATTCTTATTTCAGCTTATGTACCCTGGTTAGCGTCTACCTTAGCGGGATCTACGGCAAGGCTTAATCTTTTTTTTGCCCCACTACTAGATAGGTACATGGTTGTGGAGTACTCCAAGGAAAAAATGGGACAGGAACTTTTTTTTTTTTTTTTTTTTTCAATTCAAACATTTTGCCATTCGCCATTGAAGTTCTAAACCTATGGTAAATATCTTCTAGGTACCTAGGTAAGCATACTCCCACCCGAGACCTCTCATATGTTGTATGAATTTGCCCCTATTTCGGTCTAAGGGTTTCGGACCAGTCTTGTGCGTTGTGCTAACATTTCACAAGTTGGATAAAAGACAACCCACGAAGATCCCAGCAAGCCCTCTAAATCTACTATTCACAATGGCCAAAAGCGCCCGCTCCAGCACGCGCAAGGCGAACAACCAGCGGCTTAAGTCTAAGGTCTTTGGTCCCGTCGAATCTGCGAGAGCCGAACGTCTTTCAGCCAAACTCCTCGAACTTGCCGCTCAACCCAAGCCCCCGAAGCCGGAGAGCGATGAGATGAGGATAGAAGATGGCGGGGAGGTGGTGGCGACGACAACTGACGCTCAAGATAATTGTAAGATAATATCCTCTATATTCTATGATATGGACGTAATTGTCTCTAACTTAATGTCGTCTTTAGCCATGGACGTCGACACCGTTAAACCCGCACCGTCCAAGCGCAGCGATAAGAAGCGCATCGAGAAGCGAAAGACGAGAAGTAAGATCGTCTTTCCCAAATATGGAGACAAGAAAAAGACGAAGAAGCGCTAGATGCGATGATGATAAAAAATTTCAAGGCTTGGTAAAAACGGAACGGCTTGGCGTTTGGTTGCATTTTGGTACCTTAGTAGTACATATCTACTATTAGTTAAAGAATGATACCCTTTATGGACTCATTTGGACTGCTATAATTGCATCCCTCTTGCTATCTAGCTTGACGTAGTAGCAGGTACAGGGGCAGATACTACCGGTGCGGTAGGTGCTGTAGTTGACACCGGTACTGAGACTGCTGGCCCTGCGGTGCTAACTGGAACTGTTGTTGGGGCTGTTGACGCTGAAGCAGGGTTTGGAAATTCCTTCGAACTCTCAGATGGAGGAGCAACCGAAACCGGGGTCGATAAAGTTACGGGTGCCCCGGGTAGGCTTTGGGTAGGAGCTGCCGGGACCGGAGCTTGAGTTGTGGTTGACGGCTGGCTTAGAGTAACGTCTGCCTTGGGTGGCGCCGCAACCGCGATACCTGCTTGATTTGTTTGTTGACCAGACACACTCGGCGTGGTCGATGCAGCCGGGCCTACTGGTGTAACCGGGGTAGTTGCGACAGCTGGTTCAGGCTCAGGCCCCTTGCCTGATTCCTTATTCGACTCAGGAGCATCCTCTTTGGGCTCTTCTGGGACATCCGTCTTCTTCGGTGGTCCGGGTGCAGATGGGTCAAGGAACCGAGTCGGTACACCAGTCGCGGCAAATGATCCGCTACCCATCCACGCGCCAACTCTGCTCCACTTATACTCGCCACTCCATAGCTTTCGTATCTCTTGGAATGCGTAAGAATTATAATATAATAACCCAGTCTTAGGGTCCTTATAGCGAGCTGGGTGATTAGTGATAGCACAACGAGGCACCGGAGCAGGTTCTACACAGGATTAGTCAAATTCTACAAGCGCATGAAGCGGGATAGCTCACTAGGGAGTTTAGCCATATCTTTGGCAAACAGAATTCGATTCTGTACAGACTTTTCCTTCACAGCATTCTCGTCGAAATTCTGTAAGATAATACAATTTCGCGTAGCTTTGCCATTAGCGGGGGGCGGCGGTGGTGGCGGTGGTGAAGTCTCTTTAGGCGGGTGCTTCTGCACATCAGCCTTAGAGGACTTAGTCGCACCTAGAAGATTTTTGTAATTACGCCGAACAGTTGGCGTAGGTTTCTGTGCAAGGGTCGATGTCGATGCTTGCGGGGGTAAAGGTGTAGGTGTAGGTGATGGTGCTGGCGCTGGTGTGGAGATCGACGTAGATAATGGAATGGGTGTCACTGTAGGTGCCGGTGTCGGCGTACGTATGGATGTAGGTGTAGAGGTGGTTGGTGTGGGTTGTGTTAATGGTTGAGTGAAGTGAGGAGCCGATACGGGAGGAGGGGGACGTGCTCCCGTTTGGGGCATCGAGAGAGGTGATTGTCTCTGTGCGGTATTAGGGGGCGCGAGAACCGCCGAATGGTTGCTAATATTAGGCGTGGAGTGATATCCGATCATAGGCATAGAAAGACCACCCTGAGAAATTCCTGCTGGGGGGGCTAAAAAGCTATTCGAAGGCGGTTTCAGCTCTGGAGGCTTCATAAGTTGAGATGGTTGGGGAGGCGCAAACATGCTGGTTGTATAGACACCTGTCGATGGTGGTCGTATATCTGGCGGCCTAACCTCAGAAAGTTTGGTTTCCGGTAATTTCGGTTCTGAGATCTGGGTCGGAGGCTGAATTTGAGCCTGGCTCAGGCCTGCGGGTGAAGGTGCAGGCGCTTTGTCTTTGGAGAGTGATGCCAACTCAGCCGATGCCGTACCGGTTACCACGGGTGGTATTGGCTGATCTGGTGTATTCGTAATTATAGAAGTCGCCGTTTTCCCGCCTTCTAATGTGGCATCTTTAGGGCCCGCTAGAGCTGGTGCCGACCCTTCTTTACTAGGTTCATTCACTTTCGCTTCTGGAGCTTTAGTTGACACTGAGCTGGCATCGTTTGTGGCTGTCGATACTGGTTCTTTAGGTTTATCAGATTCTTCCTTCGGAGACTCTATTGATAATTCCTGCCCGGTGGTAGAGGCTCGCTTCTTCTTGGCGGGCTTATCTTCAATAGTGACAACCTTTCCAACATGCTTCAATTTTCCATCAACCCATTCACCTACTCCACTCCAGAAAGTGACCACAGGACCATCAAGAGTCCTATTGTTCAGCGCAGCCAATTTCGCCCTCCGTTCCTCCTCACGCTGCTTCTCAGCCTCCTCCCAGCGATTTAAACTCTTCGAATTCTTCTTTTCCACGATAGCCGCTTCAGCTAATCTCTCTGCTTGTGTCATGGGCGGCTTCTTCAAAGCTTCCATCTTTTTTGCCTTTCTCTCCATAGCTTCGACTTGTTTTAGACGCTTCACTTCTCGTTCGATCATCTGTTGATGCAGTTGCTCCTTACTCAGCATCGTGGTTTCTCGTTTGGAAGCTCGCGTAGGCATGTCGGCCGGGGATGGTAGCCAACTCGTTCTTTCGGATTTCTTTTTGGGTCGCGGCTTGGGTTCTGGTACTACCGAACTTCTCGACGGCGTAGGCACGATTTTAACCTTCTTGCGAAACTTGATCGGTATCGCTTCTTGGGCTTTTCGTTTTCTCGCTGCCTGCCTACTCTCTCGCACCTGTTTCTCTAGCTCTTTTTCACCCTCCAAATCATCAGCAGCCTCTTGCGCATCTTCATCGTCCGACGATGAGTCCATTTGTACATCGGAAGCATCGTCACCGACATCCGTGAAGCCTGCATCATCCTCATCTTCGGCGAAAAGTAGTTCGAGATCGTCGTCAGGTTCTTCTGCAGCGATCATGGACTTCATACGATTACCAGCAGTAGATCGTCTTTCCCTTCCTGTCGCTAACCACTCAACAGGTTGTGGGGACTCGTCCTCATTGTCGGAGTCGTCATCTTCGCTACTCGAAACTACGGCATCGCGATCGGGCTCATTTTCGTCTATTTGCATGCGCTCCTCATCCTCTCCGGTCGCCATCTTTCGCGAATGCAGACCTTGTCAACCAACACTTCCACCTTTCGAATTAAATCATTTGTATGGGATAAAAAGGGTCTTCTAACGTAACTCGTAATTCGTACAGATAGTTTGCTTCGCGTCTGTTTGTTGACTAGTTGAGATTGAAGTTTGAACGGCGAATCTTTCAATTAATCGCGTCACTAAACTTTTTTGCAGGGGTCCGCAAAAGCTTCATATACTAGGACGTCATTGGCTCATGGGCCCATCTATTGCGATAATCGGATATTTGCTTTTATATCTTAATTGCGTTAGATGCAAACTCTATATAAATACATTCAGCTTCGCCGTCGCTATCTAACCATTTCCTCTTTTCATCAACACTCATACAAGATCTGGATCTCATGAGATGTATAACTCGGTTTGCCTACCATCCATCTAACACTGACTATAACTTCCGATGTAATGATTATTTCCACGATATCGAGAAACACCAAGGTACATCTCAATCCGTCGAATTCCGAAGTATGCAAGGGCCTTGAAGATTTCGGTATGGTTATCAGCCTGGTTATTTTTGCTAGAGATTACCTAGGTATGCGAGCAATTCTCAGGAATAATCGTATCTTTAAACCCATTTTCTACAATTTAGAGTGTTATATTTAACAACAGCCAGCCAGTCTAACCTTTACACATTTCTACAACCTAGGACTAGCATTCCGTCAAGTTTTGGGTGATGCTACACGCGTAAGCTCACCTTCTCGATCGGATTATTGATACTTACCTAAAGACTATCTACTTTATAAATCATTGGGTCTTCTCATTCAAACCACCTCATGGCTTCTAGCGAGTCAACGACCCACAAACAGTACCAGTGAGGTACTAGGTACGAAGTGTACCTCTTTCTAGTCTAATAGTCATCGTATTCAACATTCCACAAGAACAGGCAACCCCAGACCACTCACCGAACCCATGGATACCTGCCTAGTGTCGAATGGGTAGCACTCACGCTCATTGGGCAATACGCTGAAAAGATTGTGCTACTCTCGAGGCCTGCGGTTTGCACCATACCGGGTTCAAGCCAGTAGAATCGGGTCTGAAATGTTAGGAACTATTACACAGGACCAACTGATATCATACATATTTGGTTCATGCAGCGCCAATAGGTTCCTAGCAAGTGGAAACATCTTCACAGCCTTCCTTTATGGTATCGGCCGTTAGACGCCTTGGGATCGAGATTCTCATAAGAGCTTCATAATGCCGGGTTCACCATGAATAATGGAGAGCTCCCAGTTGCTAGGTCGTGTTTCCACCTATGTGGGCACTATTAGCATAACAAACATGCTATGAACGGGTAGACACATCGACTCTGCTGTGATCTAGTCGTATAACGTCGACCTAGGGATTTTACTCGGTACGTTCCGTGTTTGCTAGAGCACCAATCGCAACCGGGGACCCAAATAAGACCCAAACATCTCCTGAGGTAACCTTCACAGCCTCAACCAATTCGAAAAAACGCCCGAGACACGAGATGGAGAAAAGCGTAAACTGGAGCAGAGATCTAGACCAATATATTCTCCACAACGATGCCCGTGTAGCGGGCGATCTCACAGTACGATATTCAGCAACAAGTAAAGCGGGACGCTATCCCCTATTCCCCATACCACAAACAGGTACTATTGAAGTCTGGGTAGCGGTTATGCTTCAGCTGGGTCGATGCGGCGCTAACAGGTTCTCGTACGGTAGCCAACAACGCGAACACGCCCAGGAGATAAGCGGGACCTTGGGCAATTCAACGACCTTTACATAAAATAGCAAAACCTAGTAACAAGAAACTCAAAACGAAGAAATTAAACGTAACGAAATCAGGACCGTAAGGTCCGTTAGTTACCCAAAACAAACTTCGCCGATTCCTTCAGTTTCTAATGATAGAAAAAGGCAAAAGAAAAGAAAAAAAAACGGAGAAAAAATAAAGCGACTCATCATCGCCATCATCACCACCACAACCACCCACCACAAAAATACCCCCTGTCTTTACCTTCATGTAGATACTATATATGCGATACGATATGCGACGCACGTAGGATGGAATAATGCCGTGTACCCTGCCAAGTAGGCGAGCTCTCTATCGCCCCCACAAGCACTGGAACGCCAACACTGCCTATCAGTTTTATCAATCCCTCTACCATCTATCAATCTGCCCATCCGCCTAGTCATCGAACCTCTAGAACCCGAGGAATCTCGATGACCTACCTAACCCACCATCTACCTATATAGCGCGTATATTATTATTATTTTCGAAAAATTTCCCTAACCCCCCTGAAAGTCCGAGTCGAGACCGAGCGCGTAGCCGAAACACCTTCAAATCCTACAACGACAAGTTTTCGAAATTCGTTAAAGAAAAAAAAAAGGATAAAAAGATGCGAGAAATAAAAGTTAAAGAATTGTGACAAATCCAAACTGCCGGGGCGACCCACGTGGGTGGGAACGCTCAAGCTGAGCCTCCTACATTACGTACCTAAGTAGGTACATGATGAGTTATAGTAGTCCTAGGACAACAACAAAGTTTTCTTTTCCTTCTTTTTGCCTTTCGTCTATTTCCTTTCCTTGCTCACTCATCCGCGTAACCGCTCTACCGCCTTACCGTCATTCCCGAATAGCGCCTTTCGCTTAAAAAGGTCAAGGTTCCACTATTGTTGGATCAAGGACAAAGGAATCGGACGCATTACATGGATAGCAACATGAAATAAGCAAGATGATGTGATGGTGGATGTAGATAGGTACCTTGTAAGAGGTATGGTAGGACAAGAATTATGCTTGATTGCGCAATTGCGTCCTATTTCGGTCCTACAGCTAGCTAAGCAACCAACCCAAAGGCCCAATTGAGAACCGGTTATTCATGAACTTCGTGTTGCCTCCTTCGAATCGTTCGTAACACGCAACTTTGCAGTAGTCATTATGCTTCAACTTTCGACTTTCAAAAAATCCAAAAAACCTGATTCCCGTCCATGATCATCAATGGAGATAAAATAAATAATTGGTATATACCGGATCCGGAAAATGCCAAAAAGATGCCAAGCGAAATCCCGCAAACAGGGGAAGTTGAAACGCCCCGACTTTCCCACCGTTCAAAATCCAAACTACCTAACCCATCGTTCCAAGATGCAAGAAAAATACTCAATACGTCAGGGGCAAAGATAATGAGTATGCATGACGCCCTGACGTAAATACGCCTAAAAAAAGAACTTCCAATGCCGCCGCCTAAATTTTTTTATGCAAGATCCGCTCCCTCCTTTAAAATATGCAACGCTTGTCCTAAGGAGGTAAGTAACCTTAGGTGTGTAATATCTGTAATATGTAGGTAGTATTTTTGTAATTGTAATCGTAATTGTATTGTAGTTTTGTTGGTACTCGATAGAAATTCGGAATTCGGTTCTCGGTTCTCGGGGATTGCTTATAGATAAATGGAGATGAAAAAGGTAAAAAGGAAACCGCCGACGCGGGTTGCGTATGTCCGATGTCGTGCGGGTCCACAAAAGCCGTGCGGCACGTCCGGAAAGTTCGGAAGTCTGGGGGTAACCTGGAAAGCTCGGGCACGGATCTCCCCGCAAAATCCCCTTACTAGTTTCCTTGTCGCAACATTATCCGACCCTAATTAAATGATCTGAGCGCAAGAAATTCCAAAATAACTTTTTTTTTTATCGCTGCGACAAGGTCACAATCATGCGATACGGGATTTAGCGATAATGTTGATCCCATGTGGGATTGCTTGCCAATGTGATGTCGAAAGCCGTGGGGAAGTAATATCGTTATCTCGCTCCCAGGACTCTTCTAGGAAACCCCCCGCATCGCCCAATGTAACCCAGGAAAAGGTCTCGACGCGACCGTGACAATAAACTCCCCACGCTATTATGCACTGATCTGACCCGCTGAACGTGGCAAAATCGGTCGATGCGTCAGATTTCTCCGAGGCTCACGTCAGCGCTATGGCGCCCAGAACTCGTTCTTTGAAAGCGATTTCTTTCAGCGGCCAACTATCGGCGTAACTAGCTCAATACTCTTAGGTCTCGAGTAGGCTCCTGGTTTCCTTGCGGGTAACGGTCGGTCTGAGGTCACACCGCCGTGGTTGTATCCGTAACCTGTTACTGCGTAACCGTTATCGTAGGTAGAGGAATAGAAGTTGTTGGTCGCTTTCGTGTAGGATGTACTAGGGCTGGTAACGGCACTGCGGGTAAATGGCCAAATGGCGTTACCAGGACCGGGCGAAGTCGGGCTCACAGGTCGTATACTTAATGACCTCAAAGCCGTAACGGCACTGGTGTACTGGTTATTTGTTGTTGGTGTCGTAGGGGGCGACCAGCGGGACGGGGAGGCGCGTGGGATGATGTCTCGGGGTTCTGAGTTCCCAGCCGAGTAATACGGCAAATTGACGCCGAAACTATCATGTCCCTTACTCGATGGGTGTGATGACGCTGCTCTTACGCTCGCGTTCTGGTCATACTCGCGACACCTGACCCAAAACGTTAGTGATTAGAAGTACTTATTGGCTAGGGATGAAAGTGGCTTACGCCTCGGAGCAATATAAAAACTTTTCATCCTGTGGGGTGAATTGCTTTTCGCAAGTCATACTATGAAAGTGATCAGTCAGCCATGTGTGTAATAAGAACCATTTGGTGTGATGCAGGAACGGTCGCACTGGTTACACAACACAGCCCCCCAGCAGCTGATCACCCGCATAGCTTGAGTAAGTGGTGACGCAGTCCACGCTGGTTTCCTGAAGAGGTATCTCATGCGTAGCGAAAGTGAAAAAGGGAAGCCGATCTACCCCTTCCCAGGCGCAATGACGTTAAGTAGAACGTCAAGTATGCGACCTAGAGTAGAGAGCCTCGTAGGAGCATCGAGATGAGGAAAGCTAGGGAATAGTGTGTAGGTCATGTATACGTACCAGAATTGCGGGAAGCTCTCCCGTTCGTCTTCGAACCAGCGCTCCTCCTCCCATTCCCTTTCACGATCCCTAGGGTTCTTACCCAGCTTCTGTACTGTCTGAGGGGTTGATCTCCTAGTTAATGTTTGCGGTCGCCTGGGCTTGGAGAGATCTGAAGTTGTGACAGCCTTACGAACGTCGGTCGTAGAGCTATTAGTCGAGGCGTGGCCGGATCTGCGACGACTGTGATGCATTGTGATTGGTCCTGGTGGTGAGTCTAGGCCAAAAAACCAATTGCTTGAAAAGAATCCCAGGTTGCCAGGTAAGAGCTTGCTAGTATGCTAGCTCTAATAAATAACCTCTACCAATGTGTTGGAGAGGGATTGATCGTAGCCAGGAAGGCTGATAGTTTTGTGACTTGGGAAAAAAAGATCGGGTGACGGTTCAGGATGATCAAAAAAAGTCATGCAACTGTTTTATAATGACCCCCAATTGTCGTGCAGGCGATAGATATAGAATAAATCGACGGTAAAAGCGCGAATTGGAACCTGTTTTCGTTTCTTCTCGTTGTAGTGAAGCCCGTATTTGGTAGATAAAGCACAGGACACAAGGCGGTTTATGTTTATGGCAAGCTAACTGCTACCTTAGAATACGGCAAGTCCCGGGATTCCAAGTTTGGCATGAAAAAAGGAAGCCAGGTAGTAGTGGTAGTAGCAGACAAAAAAACAGGATAAAACAGTATATTGCGTGCTCGGTTTCAAATGCAGTAGAACATGCAATGACGGTATTGACAAGCGAATTGTGGTTCCGTAACGTTTATCGCAAAATTTCCAATGGGCTTTTCCAAAGAGTCTTTTGTTCGAACCAAAAAATGTTATAATGATGATAGCTTCGTATGTAACGTTTTTGACGATGCGATGCGGGTTGATTTATTATTGGCGGTGGTGGTACGTAAGCGGTAGTAAGGATTTGGGTGGTGTAACAAGTACCAGGATACCCCCAAGTCCGTCTAAGTCGGGATTTTCGGATTTCTCTTGGGTAATATATTCAATGACGGGGAAACAATTTTTGGACGGCGTAGGTAACAATTGAATAACTCTCAAGCAAATCTAGAACGACAATGACAAGAATCAGGATATTTCTGGTCTGTCTAGTTGTATGTCTATCGAGTTGTATTGAGGTAACTCATAAACAACTGTATGGTGTATCGAAGATCAAGTGAGGAACCAAGCTAGAAAGGTGTAAGAGCCAAGTTGCTTGACAGATCAACAAGCTTGGGGGTTTTTGAAGATTGAGAAGAAACATCGAAAGGCAAGAGGCGGAGGTGGAGGATGATATATTCTAGCACCCTTGGAAATGTTCGTACCTTTTTTTTTTCTCTTGCTCCTTGGCCTAACCCTGCGTTGGAGCGTGCTGGATTACACTGTACATTATTGCAACATAAACTTGGTAGGTAAGGTCAGGTACCCTCTTCTTCTCTGCTAGGGTTTATGTCGGTTTGGTTTGGTTTTTGGGATGACTACTGCGAAAGGTACTTAGTTACTTATATGTATATACGTACACTACGTAGATACAATATACTTGAATACAAGGCTACTTAAAATACGTGCATAAACCATAATCAACGTTTGAACCAACGATGACTCTTTCTCTTGCTCTTAATTTTTTTCAACCCATTCCCCTTTCTGACTTTCGCAAGTGCTTGCGTGCGTGCCATGATTGGCTGATAAGTACTCAGAATGCCGAAAGCGGAGATGGATCCATGACCAGGGTTCTTGAGCCAATTGCGTGTGACTGCTACATTGTTTCGTCTATCACGACAGAGCTTCTATTAGCGCCTAGCCAGTCTGGCCCTCTCAGTTGGGACAGGCCAAAAGACCAATTCTTTGGATACCACGAGGGTCAGGAGGTAAAAAAAAAAAAAAAAAAGGGAGATAGATGGGTAAGAGGAAAAAATTTTTTATTTTCCATAATTTTTTTTTTCCTTTTTCGAGTTTCAATTTACAGATTACTTACATATGAATTGCCTCTCTTACCGTACATTCATTACTTAACGGCATTACTTGTTAGTATTAATGCAGTCGATAGGCTAATTTTCTAAACAACGGTTTTATCGGCTACCCAACCACCGTTGATAGGTTAGCATGTTAGCTACATGCATCAAAGTCAAGCCAAGCATAAAAAGTTATTAAGCCTACAATACGTACGTATATACGTGCATATGTGCCAATACATATTGTCCATATGGAGACTATTCTCATGTAAAACGACGTGTATTGTGTGTCTGTGCAGATATCTACATATATGTAGTTACACAACTTTTTCTATACACTCATCTGTAGTAAGTTTCCAATGTGCAATGCTGGGGCAAAACCGCCAACCCCGTTCGAATAAGACACTGGAGATGCAATGGAACACTTCGTACAGGCGTACAGGGGGTAATGATGTAGTGTAGTATGGATCACTTGGCATTGCAAGATGGTAAGAACTATACCTGTCCATCGACCGTACCTTGAGGACAACCTTGAGAAGTAGGTAGTAGATGGTAGGTCATAGGTCATTGGCAATATGCTGCCATTCCATCCATATTGAACCATTGAACCATTGACGCTACTTGACCACGAATTGATGAGAATCATTTAGAAGGACTTCGTACAACAGGGGTTACGATGGCTCGGGAATTCCAACATGCACTCCCCGTTGTACCTAGGTAGAAATAATGCAAGCAACATAAGCTCCGCTGCGGTTCGCGGGAGTGAGGAATACAACATATGTACTTCGCGAACGGTAGGGCAGCCGTACATGTAGGACCGACCACGACATATATGTATGTACGTTTTTGTATTATCCACACTGTTAGAGAAAGAGAGAATTAGTTACATATAGTTTTTTCCCGACGGCATATAGGATATTCATTATTTTGAAACTCTTCTCTTTGTCTTAGATACAACGTATAATTCCATCATACGGCATTGACAACAAATACACTAATATTAAGCCATCCGGGTGATTCGTAAGTACCTAGGTAAGTACTCTACGCTATTATTCCCTTGTTACTATTCCTGCCCATCCAGGTTTGAATTGATATGCTAAGCAGGATCCTCTTAGGATTGATTATGTGATTACCTTATGTCACATAATTTCTTACTTGTATTAGATAATTGAATGCGCGGTGAATGAAACAAGAACATATCCATCCGTCCACCTGGTTAGCCCTTGACCAAAAAAAATGGCATGGAAGAAAAAAAAATATTATGGAAATACAAAGAAACATGATTGAAACCTAAGAAAAAAAAAACCAATATGGATGTGTCCTTCGGCGAAATTCATCCATCATATGTCGCGATCAGGTAGTATTGTAACCACCATCTAACACTACCACGCAAGGCAGTCGGTGTCTCGCCTTTTTTTTTTCTCTCTTCTGTGACGGGACTTACACCATAGGTTGCAAACCCAAGGTACGGCTTGACATGGGATGTCCCTATTGCTGGATTCCTTCCCTAGGCGGGTTCGGCGGGTTCGGTTCCCACTAGGGATTGGTCGGTAGCTTAATTGGCTTAATTACTGTATTAAATACATAAATTACCGTTGTGTTTTAAGGTTGTAATCTACGTAATTCTGTACAACTCGAACATGGACTTCTTCAATTGACCATACCGTAAATTGAATGCGCTACTCTAAACTTCGATATGTGCTCGTGTGTGCTTTTGGACAGTCATGGATAGTTATGTCTGCTCGTGTGGCTGCTTAAAGTGGTATGAGTGGTGGGAGTGGTAGGAATGGTCTGGAGTAGGTAGCAGTCACATTATTTAGACTATTAGTAACCAAATCTAGATCTATCAAGAGAATATGACGACTCTGTTTCGAAAGAAACTAAAGAAACCAACGAGACAAGCTTGCCTCATCCATCGTCTTAAGCACGTTTTCGAAATTCTTTGCTTTTCAGTATTGGAATTAGTGGGTAGGTTTGCACGTGTATGGGTTCGTTGATGTAGATTGTTCCGAAACCCCATGAAAACTTCCACTTTTCAAGGTTCCAAGGTTACTTTTCTTATAAAAATTTTCTACGTTTTTATTTTATTTTCCCTAGGCCTAAACTTTGCCCTGTGGATTTTTCATTTTTCAGTGGATGTTATAGGGATAAATCAACCGTAATATACGTAAGTAACCTTATGTACCCTACCTAGGTACTAGGGAAGTTCCACCATCGTGGCATTGCTCTTTCTAAGTCCAGGGGGGGTACCTTGATAGGTAGTAAGACAATTGGAATGAAGCTGGGCAAGTAAGGAAGGTGATACTACGGCGATACCTACCTACTACCTACCCGAATACTTTCAAGGTTGTCAAATGGAGCCAGATGGCGATTAATACCGACTAATAATAACGTATAATAACGTATAATAAAGGTATAATAATGCGCACTTATACCCTTCATTACCAGATTATCAACATTAAACCTTACCTAATGCAAGCCTTCCCGTCCTGCTGCTGCCGCTCCGTCTTAGTGTCTCCAGTTATCTGGGACAGCTTGAGCAAATCCTTTTCCACTATTCTTTCACTACTACCATCGCAGCCTAGCACCTACACTCCTACAACAAACCTCCACAATCACATACCTACATATACGTACGCACATACACATGGACATGGACATACATAACATAGGCATACATAGACATACATGAAGATATACATGAAGATATACATACCCTCTCTTATCGAGAATTCAAAACATCTATCCAAGAAACACTTTTTTTATGCATTCCCCCCTTTCAACGGCGCCACCGGCAAGTCATAATCGATTCTTCCTACTCGCTCGCTGCTTCGGTGATATACCAACGCTGCAGCTTTTTGTAAATTGATTGTCTAATCCAACCTCGCCGACCTCGCCTTTTTCCTTTCTTTCTGGACTCTTTTCCGGCACATCCTTTACTGCACATGACTGCCGATCCAGCTGTAGAGATCTTCAATACGCTGCCTTCTAACACTCATCTAACAAATCTAACAGCGACGTCGTGTTCAATTGATTTAGTTTCGTCTTCGGCTATCTGTAATGATAGCTGATCAATCTCGTTACCCCTCTTTGAGAACTGCTATGAGCAAGGCCCCCCCTTGAGCCCTGTCTCTCGCTTGGCCAACCCCCGCCTCTTCTCCTCTTCGCTATTTCATCAAATGGGCTACAGTCGCAGAGTGGCTCATTACTCCTTTCGTCTTTCATTGCAGGTTGCCTCTTAATTTGTGTAACCCGTGGGGGGCTCGGGTTTCACGTCGTATTTGCGACAATGCTAGGTAGTGTATCTGGGGAAACTTCTAGGCTGTGTGAGAGTGTGAGTGCGAAAGAAGAGAGGGTGTGTTTGTGATGTGTGTGGTGTGCTTCATCCACACAGGTGACGAGGCAGCGGGATATTGATTGAAGGTGTGTGTAGGTTCCTAGGTAGGTATGGATGGGATGTACGTATGCTTGGTACGCTTGGTACCAAGCCTCCCATAACATAGCATGCCTATCAGCATCCACGATGTCTTTCATAGGAGAGCAGAAAGGTATCTGTATCGCCGCTCGCCTCTTGTTACTCCACCGACATACATGGACATACATGGACGGGCTTGCATACTCCCTACCACCTAGCAATCCATCGTTACATCATTCGGCACAACTCCTGCAAGGGAGCTACAGGAAGAAAAGTGCTCGCTCCCGGTTTGCGAAGCAGCCTAGGTAGAGCTGCCGAGGATTTGCTACGAATCCTGCGACTCTTTCTCCTCAATATGGGTTCATATGTTTTATATTGCCCTCCCGTTGCCCGGATTACCCGTTATGGATCTGACTTGAATCTTACCGAATCTTAGCTTGGGACGAACTGTTATCACCCCACGTGGAGTGTCGCAATAACGGTACGGTCCCGGGTCAGGAACTTATTGCCATGCCAAGTCCGCTCTCTAGGCTTGTCGAGATTGCTACATGGTTGATGCAGAAAAAAAAAATGATTCAACCGCTTTGAGACTATAGGTCTCTAGCATCCACCTTGTTTCTTGATTGGATCGTTTCTTATCCCAATGACCGACATCATCCCCCCTCCAAAAACGCCTCAGTCGCGGACGTGGCATCCTCTCTCCTCTAGTTACGTCGTATGGCAGGATATGATCGCCAGGGCTGAGACCGAGGGGCGCGCCTTGGACGGGATAATATCCCAATAGGAATGATTACAAGCAAACAAAACCCAGTCATAGTGTTGGATCAGAAACATCTCCTCTTCTTCAAATACTACATCATTGTAGGCACCTAAGACCTAAGAACGAAAGAGGAACATGGGATATTTTCTTTCGCATGTCTGTCTCAATGACTAGGGGGACGGACCTATGAGAATTCGGCCAGCTTCGGCCATTCAAGGCTCAACAGTGGAGTCGAACAAATAAACCTGAACCTGAGTCTGCCCTGTTCGGTGATGGTAACCATTTATGAAAATTTTCTTGTCCATGCGATACCTTATCATCGTCGCGAACCATGACACAGCCTCTTACGCTCGCACACACACTTTCGGTCTCGCTCTAACCCAAGAACGTACAGAATCGTACCCGCTAGGCGCCCACAACGATAAGACTTTTTCTCTCGCTTTTTTTTCTGCAATAATATGCATCTCGATATCATATCTGCCCCATCCCGCCTCTTCCAATTCTTCCAGATTCCTGCAGGTACCCCCTAGACGTGGCCACCCATACCACCACTACAAGTTAAAGCATCCATACCTTATTGCTACTTGCTAACCAATCAACTTGCACAACCGGGTTTTAAGCTTGCCCAGGCTGGGATAGACTCACAGATGATCTACTTTGGGGTTGACCGGACATACGCTAACGTGCGCGTAGACCACATCACGGAAAGGCTATCTCTTCAGCTGTCAGACGTTAGGCCGTAACTAGGTAAGAACTAGATTCGTCGCTTTTTAGTGTAGGCACTTAGGTAGTCAGTCTATGAAGGGGGGCCGCGCAATAAGCGAATGCTAGGGACGGAGATATTTATCGCGGCGGAATCGGAGCCGATTATTGTAGGTACTATAGGTATCGTGTCCGTTGCCACTCTGCAGAGCGTCGCGGTGTGAACACCATGCTACGATACGAGCCAAGGGTATTATAAGGGCATTAAGAGGCATTCACAAGCGATCAAAGTGGTCCTGTTGGGATTTTACCCTTCTATCGTGGCTCCTTTGGATGGTTCTTTAGCGCCGACTAACATACGTTATGGCTGAAATAGAAAGTCGATGCGAACCGGGAAAATCGGACGTGTAAGCAAACTGCCGTCACCTTGGCAATACCCCCGATTAAGGTAGTTTGTTACCATCTTCACTATCGACAAAAGGTATTGACAATCGCGACGACGACCTCGCTACCTTGAGCCTCAAATTCTCTAGCCTGATTTGGTCGCGGGGAGGACGGAATGTTGATCGAGATCCCAATCGGAGAATTCGTTCGCGTTCTCAACCGAGAATACACACATACCTACATATCCAGTATTACCAAGGTTGGTGTACGAATAGATGGATACCATCCGCTTAGGTAAGAGTCAGATCCTCTTCTTCTATGCTTTCAAGGTTTCCCTATCCACAAAGCCCAGGGAACAGGGGTCTCGTAATGACCTCATCCGGGATATGTTTGACGAATTCGTACGTATGTTACAAGCGCGCGCGTGTAAGGACATGCCATCGATGATGGTGCCTGATCGACCGGTCAGCTAGCCGGACGCCTCACGGCTGCCTACATATTATCTACAGGCAAGCCCTTACACGCCATCGCAGCTACGGCTGACGAATCGAGCAACTCGGATGTCGCTAGAATTGTGCGAGAACCAGTGGCGAATGTCTCACGCGGAGAATTTCATCTTAACCGCCGACCTTTCGGACGCAATATGTAATATGTATAACGGTAGCAATATTCCCTCTTTATTTCGTGACGGTTTCAATATACGTGTCACGATTGCAGAAGAAAAGCAGTCACGCGAGCCTTCTTTTGCAGATCGCGTTGGACCGGACTTACACAATGCCAACTCTGGATAATATATCTCGACATTGTACCCGTATATGGCACGAGATTTCGCCAATCCGTATAGGACACACGGAACTTGCGAAACCACCGTTCGCGATATCCATTACGTACAGCGATCTATTTAATTTTCTCATTTTTTTCAACCCGTACCTGGTTTTGAAATTTAACTCCCTTAACCGTTCGTAATACTAAGCACGAATGGTCTTATCCCAAGCCCAAGCCCAAATGGGGTCGCCAAAAGGGGGAACGGGGTAAGTTCCTCTTCGCTCACCGCCACGATGTGGACGTTCGTGCTCAATTGAAAAATTGCACACTATTATCAAACAAGTACCTAAGGTGGTAACGTAAGAGAAGTTAGCTCCATTACGCCGCAAAGGCCAATCTTCTTCCTAAACCGATCATAGGTGAAATCCACCCTTGGAGTAACGCAAGACGAGACCAAGGAAATGTCAGAAACGTTCGTCCCTTACGATACGCATACACATATACACATACACTGCATACTGTACTCCATATACCCAGACCCTTAGTGCTACGACGTGGCCCTCGCCCACCTAGGTGAGGGATGGTTGATGGGTCTTCTTTCACCGTAACTCAAGCAGGGCTGACGTATCTAGACCCCTAGACTTACATAAAATGTTTCCTCTTACATCTTCGATATTCATGCTCAAAGCACCCGTTGTACGAAATATGCATCCCTGGGTCCCTAAAACAAGATAGGAGTCGTCAGGGGTACGTGGCAGACCCCTGGTTTTTACCCCAGGTTTTTCTTTTTTGTTACTTTGCCTTTTCCCCAGGCCTGGGCATCCCGCGTAACTAGAGCTAACCTCCAAACATGCTTGGAAATGCGAGATACGTATGTGCAATTTTTTAGATAGATGGGATGGAATTGGCGTAGACCGAATAAGTCTAGATGCGTACGGTCAGGTGCTTTGGGGTTACTTTATCTCCGCGCCATATCCGCGTGGGATTACTACGATGGGACATGGTATATATAAACTCGAAGCTGGATCCGGTTAAGCGGTCGATATTGAGATGTTTCCGGTTTGGGGTCCTTGCTGCCTTCGTCTTAGTACATGGGCTGGGGAAGCATTTACAGTACCGTTGAGAATTGAGGATAAGTATGGTGGTGTTGAGGGTTGGCGAATGGGATGTTGGTTGATGTTGATATGACAGGAGGAAATACCGCGACGTGGGATTGGCCGTGTGCTAGTCTGGGGGTTTGCTGGGCTAGGGATGGGTATTGGAGCTTGGGATGGAAATTACCACCACGAATTCGATAAGAGAATCTCTGCTTTCTGATACCGACATTTAAAGCACCATTGACATCCCTGTAGGGAGGTGTGATCCATTGCTAGGGCTCAACCCATACGGAGAGTCGTGAGTGGGAGCCAGAAATTGTTCAAACGAGGACAGTAGGACAAACCATTCGTGGTGATGAGAGGGGTAGGTTCTAGATGAACCTTTACCGAATCTTGATAGATCTATTGGTAGCCTTCACCAAGGGTCCTATGTCCAGATATTTGCAAGGGAAAGGGGAGCCGAGAGGTATATCAAAATGACATAGAAAGGAAGCGAAAGACCAACGCCAGTATCATCAATGTCTCCGCGCCCTATCCTGTCCATTAAGTGCTTTGGGAGGCATTAAGGCTAGGAATCACCGACTTGTTAGCCCCCAACCACTCAATGCGCAATGTATGTTTTATTATGTCTATACTCTGTCTACAGGTAGAGCTACCACCTTCATAGGAGATGTCCATCAGGCATACCTTAAGTATCTGTCGTAAGTATATCGAACAAATCATACAGTATCGAAACATCGAGACATAGCCGTATTCCGGATGGTAGGAGCTGAACTTCCGTCGCAATGTACCAATACGTTGAATCAAGCATATTTCGAGTCAGAATGAAGCCGAGGACGTGATGCTTACGCGTCCATTAATTATATCAAGTGATGTTGAGGATAACGGAAACATCCTTTTTTTGGCGACATACTATCTCCTGAGGCTCGAGTCATGATTTCGCTACATTTGCCCGTCGTAGAAAGTCTGGATATTCCCAATTCCATCAATGCCCTCCTTACTGGATCCCTAGGCATAGGATCCTGATATCCTGTTTGAGTTGCCATGGGGAGTGTCTAGGTTTCTTCACCCGGTCTTATTATATTAGCTATACTAAATATGCCTCGCCCGTGATAGAGGAACTATAATAATGAGACCTAGGCTCATAGTGTCTATGATCTCTTTATAAGTAAGGCCGACCCTTTTCTGCGTTACGCGACTCGCGCCTTGTCAAAAATTGGTAGACCTTGCGAGGTCGAAAATGACGAAATCAATACACATTCAGGGCTAATAGGGCGTTAGTTCTCTAGGGCTTGAGGCGGTGATTCTCCATATGTGAATTGTATATTCTATTTTAGGTCCCTCTAGTATATACGGTTAGCCTCTATATCTACCTCATGATTGAGTCTAACATGCTTGTAATATCCGCGTCATTCATTCATTTTTTACAGTAGTGGGGGGCATTATCAGCTTTAGATAAGCCCTTAAGGTCGACATTGCTTCCATAATTGATTCTTTCCTGAATATTCCTCTTATTGTTGTGTTGTCAACCGTATAAGTCGCCCCGGTATCATGCGTCGGAGTGAAAGTCGCCATATTTATAATGGCTTCCATGTCGAATCTGCAATCTTCGTCCAATTTCCCAGTCGTACGTGCGAATTGAGGACCGCGTGCTAGATCCCCGAAACGGCTATTGTCGTTAATCAAGTCCTGAATAGCACGTCCATAGATATCACCCTTCGCGTAGTCTGCCATGGCTCCCTTCGTTGAGCTCTCACCTCGGTGCCAGAGGTACCATAATGTGCGAACTGCTCCCAATCGAGCAAGAGTGGCCACATATAGGTCAAAGATTCGGCTATTTTTACTGTTAAAGATATTCTGGTTACCGACCACAATATCAAGTAGTGACGGCTGTGGTTGTTCTTCTCCAAGTATCCGGCCCGTTAGGAGGCCGTAAATCGCTAATAGTTTATGTGTAGTATCCGATCCGAATCGAATATCAATATCTTCCCTCCAAAGCGTAGGTATTGAATTTGATAAAAGTTTGAGAGAAGCAAATGCTTGCTTTTTGTCTAACGTATATTTCCGACTATGAATCATTTTCGTGTATCGCTGAGCCATGCTGAAAATCCCACATTCTAAACAGGCCCAAAATGCGCGCCACAGAAGTGATGAGGAGATATGTAATCCTTGTGAATCTAGGTTCAATACCAAGTCGTTGAGAAACGGGAGCATTTGCGGCGGTGTTGTCGTCGGGGCGACCACTTCGCAAATTTGTCCTAGGGATTCTGTACACTTGGAAAGGATCTGGAGGCCTTCAGGTGTCTGTATCACATTCGAAACGAGCCTCTCAACTTCGAGGAAGCTGTGGCACTTCTGAAGCGTATCCTCTAATAACGCCTCCTCGCCGATGCTAGGTTGCCGACGCTGAGCCATCTCTTGTCGGCGCACCATATAGGCAAGCGATCTGGAATTGCTATTCCATACCTGAGTTGGTATGCCATTCATCTTGAAGACATCACCTTTTATTTCGCCGAAACTATGCGCATTGTTCGGTCGTTCCGTTTCTGACACTGGGGGGCCATCAAGCGCGGTAGAGAGTACATCTAGGTCGGAGATGCGCCATGCGCCAAACTGATTCGTCGCAGTGGCGTTGAATCGATCTTCGTTATCTTGGGATATTTGCTCGAATTCCGCGACACGCCTCTTAACTAATTCTTCTTCAAACACCTTCTGAGCTATTATGCTATCGACATCTTTGTCGTATGGGCGCACATAACGATTGTCTTCGGCGTCGAGGTCTAGAATGAGGGATGAGGCTTCGAACGTCTTCCATTTCTTTCGTTTGGGGTTAACAGGCCATTTTGGAACGTCTATCCAATATGGGTTTTGGTGACTTGATCGGATTTGGATTTTGGTTGAAGATGGTGTTCTGAATGGGAGCACGTGGGACAGCCGCTGGCCGCCCAATCGCTGCATTTCGAAGACAATAATTTGGTAGGTAATAAAATGACATTTTAGAATACAATATGGATATCATATAAACCGACTTTGCGCCATGTTAAATAAAATGGAATAAAGACCTCATCGTCAAGCAATGCGACAAAACTTCGCGAACAAAGAAAAGGAATTGGGGAAAATTACGATATACCTGCCATATTCTCTTCGCTTCCCCAGAAAATTGGTGCCCGCTGTGGACTCACCCCTGGCGAACCTACCCCAGATTCCACCTGGGGTAATTAAGAGCTGAGGGGTAAATGCACTGACCACCTGTAACTTGGGATGTACCAATGTACATGTGTATTTATCTTTTAAACGCAGCCATCACGGACATTAGATAGTCCGACATAGATTCTCCACATTAAGTTCTCGTCATTGGGCGCTCCGTGCCAGCTGCATCATATCGCCAGCCAATTTCATTGCGAAAAGTACTCTCACCGGTTGATTTAAGAATCCATTCATCACAAATCATTTCTTTTTCTGACCAATATTTCGTCATTTCCCTAGAAGCCTCACATTAATAATGCCTCCTGCGAAGAAAAGGAAGACGGCGAAGGCCTCTAAGGTCACAAAAGTCACACCTGAACCCGAAGAACCCCAAACATCAGGAGGACCGACTGAGGAAGAACAAGTTGTTGACGCCCCTCCTCCAACAAACGATGAGACTTCCCAAGAGCAACCACAAACAGAAGAACCAAGCCAACCTGCACCGATAGAGGAGGCAGCAGCAGAGCCGGAAGCGACAACGGCAACGAAGCCCGAAGTAGCAGCAGCAGAAACAGCAGCCAAAGACCGCATGGCACGTTTCCGCGCCCTCCAAGCGCGCGCAAAAACATCATCAGACCAAAACCTCGCCGAAGCAACCAAAGAATCCCAACGCCTAGCCACCGACCCCACCGCACTCGCGTCCCTAAACCGGCGTCGCGACATCGCAACACACAAACTCCTAAAAGCTGAAACCGAGGAAGCGGGAGATGACTTCGAGCGAAAACGCGCGTGGGATTGGACCGCGGAGGAAAGCGAGCGTTGGGATAAACGACTCAAAAAGAAAGCCGCGCATCGCGATAATAATGCGTTTCAGGATTACCGGCAGGAGAGTAATAAAGTGTATAAACGACAATTACGTGACCTTGCGCCGGATTTGGAACGGTATGAGAAGGATAAGATGGCTGCTATTGAGCGAGCTGCTGCGTCGGGCGGGTTGGATATTATAGAGACGGAGGATGGGGAGTTGATTGCTGTGGATAAGGATGGAAGTTTTTACTCTACGGCTGATTCGACTGCGTTTGCGGAGAATAAACCGGATAAGGCGGCGGTGGATCGATTGGTAGGGGACTTGCAGAAGGCGGAGGAGTCGAGGTTGCGCAAGAGGAGGGAGAGGATGGCGCAGAATGGCGACGAGGGCGATGTCACGTATATCAACGAGAAGAACAAGCAGTTCAACCAGAAGCTGGCGAGGTTCTACAACAAGTACACGGCGGAGATCAGGGACAGTTTCGAACGTGGAACTATGATTTAAGCACGAGAAAAATTGAGGACAGAAGATGAAGTGTATTTTATTTTATGGATGCGAGCATGGAGATCATCGTCGTCGTCATTCCCGTCATCCCAACCTACTACCTATGATACATGATTACCTAGATTACCACCAATATGGTATTTCCAAGGCGTTTTGAGAGGGTGGTTATGATACAGTTTATAGGAGGTGCATTATTAATACAAAGCCCGGAATTTTTCGAGTTAAGTTGAGATGAGATTTTTTTTTTTAAGCCATACTCCTTCGCCACGATTTGTTTGCTAGTTCTTCAATTTCGGGTACCTCAATGGGGCCTTTTACAGACGAGTCGCCTAGGGCTTCGACGAGCGCTTCAGCTACAACGTCAGCTTTTAGGGGCTTGACGCCGGCTGCACCCATGAAGTTACCTAGTATGCCACGTGTGGCGCCGTTGAAAAGTGCGCCGGCTCCGGTCATGGCTGCCATGCCTACTGTTATGGGCCGCGAGTTATCGTAGACGAAAGGCGAGCGGATAAATATCCCGCGCATACGTGGAAATTCGCTGGCGATAGTGCTTTCAGCTTCGCGTTTTGTTGATATGTATCGGGCGGGTAGGACGGGAGCACCGCCGGCAGCTGAGAGGAATGCGAACGCGGACACGTTTTCACGAGCAGCTTCTTTGGCTAACATGACGGCGCTGTCGCGGTTCATGTTCTCGTATGTTAGTTGATCCTTGGTTTCCGGGGGCCGGATATCGCTGTTGCTGCCGTCCGGGACTTTGCGCTCGAGTGGATTGCCTGGTTGTGGTGCTGTGTTGAAGGCTTTCCGGAGGCCGGTGAGGGGTGATTCTTGGCCTGATAATACACCTTTATAGTCTGCTTCGAGCAATATGCCCATACTGTGCACGACGTAGTCGGCACCCTTGAGGAGTGGTGCGTAAGTAGCTGGTCGGAGAATATCCGCTCGTTCCCAGCTCACTTTCCGGGCCCACTGCGGTGGTGTGCTAGAGGATGTGACGGCGTTCCACTTTGGTTCGCCGGAACGACTTGTACGAGTCAGTATATAAGTCAATGCATGTATGATAGGTCAATTACCTGACGGAGGTCACATCCCACCCCCTAGCAACGGCATATTTACATACCCGGCTTCCTATGAAGCCATTGCCGCCGCATACTACTAGTCTCTTGGCCGAGGACATGGTTGTAGATAAACGTACGATTTTAATGAAAAAATTAAGGAAACAGATTTCATAGAATTCGAATGAAATGAGTTTAAGCTATGAGGAATTACGATTGGCGCGTAATAGAGAGGAAAATAAAGCTTCTTATACAGCTGCCAGTATCCAGTTTCTTACGGTACAGCTAAAGTATAACTCATCTACCGTGAGTCAAAGACATCATGTTCACCGCAGAAGACGGACTGACGGACAAGTTAAAGCTTGGCGTGCCCCTCATTTCCCCAATTCTTTAAATTGAAAGTATCTTCATATACCATTTTGCTAGGAGTGTACTTGAGTAGTCTCGTTCATCGGTGTTCTATCTTGTCCGAACCTTCTAAAAATGGAGGTCTTTAGGCGGTACCTGGTAAGGATATGTTATCGATAAGACGTGGGGTCAATACGTACCTAAAGAGGTTCACTCAAAGCTACACCTACTTTATTTTTTCAAGATCAACTAAATACCATCTAACAAATTGGCCTTTCTATCGTATTTAAGGTATTTCTCAGTTCTCGGCGTCATACTAGACTCCCAATAGATACCGCCGCTCCAATTTAAAGTTCCGGGTCATTCTCTCAACGCGTCGATACAGCAGCAAATTTAATTTTTATTTACTTCTAATATTTCATCCCACTGTGGTTTCAATCCATCATCTCTTATAATTTACTACAACCATCGCAACCTCTACAATCCTTCCTATAATTATTCGATACAGACAACCAAGCAACGATGGCTCCCCCCGCGGGTAAGCGCGTCAAGGGCGTGCAAATCTACCGTCCCTTCATCTACGGCACCACGGCGCGCCCCTTCAACGACACCGACAACGTCCGACCAGCCGGCGTTCCCTCCGACCACACGCATTCCTGGCAAGTCTTCGTCAAAGGCGTTGACGACACCGATATCTTCTACTGGCTACGCCGCGTGCAATTCAAACTCCACGAGTCTATCCCGAACCACCTACGCACCCTCGACGCGGAAACCATAATCCGCGAGAACGAATCCAAACCCGCGTCGCAGCGCCAAAAGGCGTTTGTCGTCAACGAGACCGGATGGGGCGAGTTTGAGATTACGATTCGTTTGTACTATGACAGCCGTTCGAGTGAGAAGCCGCAGACTTTGTACCATCACTTGCGTTTACATCCCTACGGGCGCACAGAGGCTGAAAAGGAGGCTATGCGTAATGGCGGCGAGGTCGTGGCTTGGGTGTACGAGGAACAATTGTTCAATGAGCCGTTCGAGGATTTCTATAAGGTCCTTACGACCGGCGCGCGCGATAAGAATGCGCCTACCGGCGGTAAGGGCAAGGGTAAGGGTAAGACCGGCCAGTCGTCCGCGGAGGGCAGCAGTGATGTGAAGGAGCGCAGCGCTATGATTCCCCTGACGAATAAACCGGGTCAACCGTTCAGTCGCGAGACGGAACAACTCGAGATCAAGCGACTTAAGGAGGCCGAGGATAAGGTCCAGCAGATGGTATTGGAGATGACGAGGGCCGTCAAGGCGAAGGAGGCTGAACTTGCGGAACTCAAGGCTTCGGCGAAAACGACGGCCGCGGCGGCCCCCAACGCCTAGAAGGCGTCGTCGGGACGCGGCGATTTTATTGATGGTGATTATAACGATGATATGATTAGTGAGGATATATCTACTGATGAAGAAGAGGAAGACGAGGAAGAGAAGCCGACACCGCGAAGAGGAAGACCGAGAGGTAGTTTAGGTACTACGACTACGCGCCAGAAGGCAACTCCTAAGATGCCTAAGAAGGCATTGTCGAAGCAGGTGAAGGGAAGACGAGCATCTAACAAGCAAGCTCAGAAGGACCAGACACCCAACAAGGAACCGACCAAAATGCGCCCGCGTGAGGAGCAATCAAACGACGAACAACCGGAGCAGAAGACAACCTTCATCGTTAAGGTGGTTGTTGAGAAGAAACACCTGAGGTGGCTCGCCCTCGGCGGACGCGTAGCTCACCCTCGCGGTGATAGGCCTACACTTATGAAGCGCCGACTATCTTCGCGCTCGATTTAGCTTGGTTGGAGGTTACTATGCTGAAGGGGGGAAGGAGAGATGTTCATTGATGCTGGCGTTGAACTGGTTGATAAATAGGAAAAAAGATACCCTACGTTTGACTTTACGAGTTACGCATTTCGTTGTATATAAACGAGGCCCCGGCTACGATTATCTGGTCTACAATGCTGATGCATTGTTCTCGATTTGATTGGACAAGGGGTTTATTCAATGACGGCAGACGGGTATCTAGTCCCTTCGCAAATACGCTCGAGGCTAGCATATAGGCATTGATGAAACCGTGGAATAGTCGTTGATTAGGAAAAAAAGGGGACAGACATAGGCTATAAGGCAAATGCTATTCAATGAAATGCCATTTTTAAGATGCATCATGATTTATGAGGGAAGAGTAATTCCCTTTCTTTATATCCATCTGACTCATTGGCACAAGTCGTAGGGCAAGGCAACTGCTCGCGTGCCTGTAATATTTTGATTTATCGCCTTACATTTCGGATTTACCATATTAATGTTCCAGCTTCTCCTAGTTAGATAATCTTGAAGCTCTTCGGGTAACTTTTTGAATCTTGTCTACGGCAGAAGCTCAACACTTCTGAATTTTTAGATACTTGGTACCCTAGGATACTTCTCCGCTAAAAGCAAATCACCATATCACATCACAGCATTAAAACCCAACCAATTGTCAAAACGTAATTTTTTCATTGATAAGTCAGATTGGGGTTTTTCTCTCAAGAGGACTCCAGCCTCGAGCGAGTCTCCCAGGTACGTTCTGTCATCAGTCTGTCTAAGGTTTTCATGCATTCTCGCATGATGATGCTGTTTGTAAAAAAGCAGTAATAAGTTAGTAGTCGTACCAGGGAGACCCATCACATCACATATGTAGGTACCAGCCACCATGCTCATGCTTTCTTAAATCCGCAAGCCACCCCACCATCCGTTCCGTTACCAAGTGCCCAATTTCCGTGATCCTTCCGTACCGATTCCTTCCTATCCTGTGCTGTGCTGGTCCTTTCCCCTTTCCTTTTCAAACAAAATCGACTTCTTCCGCGTGCCATCTAGTGGCCAATGGATTTGTCATGACATAAGAGAGTTGGATCAAAGTTGTGTCGAAAAAGATATGTGCATCGCAAGCTCCGTCTTCTGCTCGGGGTTGGCTGCCAACTCACTCATTCGTTCGTTCGTAGCCGGCTAACCCCCAACTTAGAGTCTCGCTCGCTTAAAAAACGAACCAGAAGCTTCTCTTCTCCAAAAAGCAACACCCCAATTTTTTTTTGTAAACCGGTTCGCCCAAAACGCCTCTGCTACTGCTCGCACGCCTGCACGCTTCGCTTGCTTGTTTCGATTCGCACACCGCCTCGCAAATACACATTAAAACACAACAACGCACACACATTTCGGATATCTCCAACAACCCGTGCCCGGACCCCGGTCCCCACCTGAGCCACGATGATCCCTGTTTCGTAACGCCATAAGCCGTATGTACAATCTACTGTAATGTAGGTTGGTGTATGTATAGACAAACGAAAAAAATCTTCGAAATGATTGGTGTCTGCAATCTATTGTGTCGCTTGATATGCCGGAGGTGGAGTTTCGTCTCTCTCCGCCCAGAAGTTCTCGTTGCGTTGTTTCTCATCGTATACTCGACGCGCGATTTCCCCAGCCATCTTCATTATCCACGCTTGCTCTAGAATCACGGACGAAGTATCGGAGCCCATCGGCCGATGTCGGTCCATATTGAACGGCCTCTTAGAGGACGAAGCGACGGGCCCTAAAGGCTTCGTGGGTTGGGCTGCAGGAATCTCCACCTCTTTTTCTACTGATTCTATAGGAGCCTCTTGGGGAACATGGGAAATAGTTGGGTCTTCGTATATGTTCATATTCAAAGCGGGCCGAGATGGTAATTCCCTTCCTGCCCCGAATCGAATTTGGCCTGGATATAGCGCCTCCTCTGCCGGCTCCTCTTCGGGATCTTCTGGGATAGAAGTTGGTACGATCGGCTCCGAAAACGGACCGGCGACAGAAGTAGTATCCGAAATGGACTCGCTAACTTCGCTAGCTGCCTCGCTTCCTGTCTTACTACGACGCAGGTTGACCACACGAGTCTTCTTTTTGCGTGAAGTTCTTGAGTGTCGACCCGAACCAAGCGCCAGACCGGTCGTAGCAGAGTGGAGGCTTGTCAACGATGGTCGGGAAGATATACTGCCTTGATCCACACTGCTTGCATCAGTAAATGTGTAGGTTGTACTAGCCCCCTGCACGGATTGTGTGCGCATTAAACTGGGTGTCAAGACAGGTGTTGAGTACCCCGTTTCGCTGCGATCCATTGACCCAGCCCAAGCCCTAAACAGAACATCTCGTATTCCAGGTGTGAAAAGTGACAGCGTCCTGTGAGAATCGGTAAGAGCTGCTAGCCTGAGTAGATTCTTTTGAGAAAATAGCGATTGCAATTCCGAGCCACCATGCATGGAGATTGATGCAAGCTCATTTGCATCAAGCACGTGCCCATTGGAATCGACCGCTTCCGGAGGTGGATTTGAAAAGGGGTCAACAATGGCATCGTCTTCAGATCCTTCCTTTGGTACAATCTCCTCTCTCGGCAATTGGTCCGGGCACCAAAGTCGTAATGAAAGTTTATGAATGATAGCTGGCAATTCATCCATCATCAAATTTCGTAACTGCCCCTCAATTGTCCTTTGAAGGTAATCCCTAACGAATTGAATTGAATCAAAGGTCGACGAGACCTTAAGCGACTCAAGCGGGTCATTTCGAAAGACCAGGGTGAGCCCCTTTTGCTTCGAAAATACTAGGATAATGAAGGCGGATAGCTTAATCTCAGATAACGTGATAGACAACGGTATCGTGAGACTTGCAGCAGCGGCCAATGGTTGTGGCGATGTAAAAGTTGGCTTAGCTGACAGGTACGTATTCAATGGATTTGCCTATGATGTATTGTTAGTCAACATAGCCCAGCCCATCTTACGACGCACAGCATGAAAGCTATGACTTCAGAATTTGGGGAAGCTTGGTGAAAAAACATCTCCGAAAAAAAGCGCGAACCCCTGATGCCCTAATTACAATGATTCATGCGAAAATGATCCACAGACGCGCGAAACATTGGAGCGATCATGTTTCCGCGTAGAGCTAAACAAGGAAGAGAAGAAAAAAAAATATGAAAAGGGGTTGGGGAATATTAGTGAGGTGAATTGTAGCCGCAATGAAGCTTAACTGCATACGCCGGTAGCTTTGTGTGGGAAATAATTGTGCGACCTCGGGAACACTTGCTCTCCAAAAAATTGAACACAAAGAATAAATGATATAATGACCTCGTGAATATATCGTCCCATGGCCTTGATGGAGCTTGATATAACATCGTAATTTCGTAGTATAATAAAACTCCGCGATAGCCGATACGAAGGTATCCATAGTGCCCCATTTCATAGCTTCATAATTCTTTTTTTTTTCTTTTCCGTGCCAGTGGGACCAACATAAAAAATAAAGAAAGGGCAAACACCTACTTGAACTCTTGTCCGCAACGTCAAGAAGGCATCGCCCGAATAGCACATCTTAAAGATGCCGCGGAACCTATCCTCGGCCAAATCCCCAATTTCTAAGATTTCTAGATCCGGGGGCACGGAGCCGAGGTTGAACTCGGTGACGAGGATATCGTCGACGATTATGGGCGGCTTCGGAGACTTGTTCAGCGCGTTCGTGAGGAGTTCTTGCGCGCGCTTGTAGAACTCGGCGTCGGCCGTGAGCGGCGACCAGTTGAAGTTGAAGGCCATGGTGCGTAGTAGTAGTAGTGAGGCATTAGATTCGCATCGTAACTTGGACTATAGGGCGAGGCGAACGTCGGACGAGTTTCGTCGTAGTTGGTGATAATGCGGTGAAGGGGAGTGTATGTGGGAAGGGCAGGGTATGTAGGTAGAGGTGGGTGGTGATAATGGAATTAAGGGCAAGAAAGGAGTTAGTGTATGGCGTAGGTACAGTAGTAGCACAAGTAACGAGTAGTAAAGGTGCTAGGTATTGTAAAAATAACAATAGGGCAATAGGGAAATACGATTAGTTGGAAGTCGGTGTGTCGGTCCAAGGTGGCGGGTGGTCGGAGGGATTGGCTAGATCGAACCACAAAAAAACAGCGAAGCAATGGCTGATCGTGCGTGCGGTGAAACCTCTTTGGCGGTATGTAGTTAAAGAGATGGATCGGATGATGGGGTAAAAGGTGGAAAGGTGGATTAGAATTATGAATTATCAAGGGTTCGTGGAGCTATACTAAGGATGCTAAGCAGCTAAGGAGTTGATGATGGAGTTTGACGCTTCTCGATTGGAAAAAAATAATTTTCTTTAGGTTCTAGGTTCATCCGTTCATAGGTTCATAGGCGATTTGTGCAGGGGAAATGACGCTATGCTATGCATTCCGATCCTCGATGCAAGCTTTATGAATGGATAGATGCGACGAATGTGGAGAGAGAGGATGAGGTAGCGCGAAATTTTTTTTTTTCTCTTCTTTTTTTCCTTTTCCTCTCCGTACTTTCCCGGATTTCTGGTTGGCTCAAGAAGGTAGAAAGGTGGGTCAGGCGGAGAAAACGCGCTATCTCGAAGCGGTTTATACTCGTCCAGACTAGCCAAGCTCGGCAACCAATTTAGAGCAGATGAGAAAATAATGCATACACAATGTTCCAGTGGTACGTCCAAGTGGTCAGTGCCCTTTCCCCCAACTGACACTGACGGGTGACACACCACTAAAGTGGAATGATGGAGTGATGGAAGGCGCCGGTTTCGATAACCGGCTGGTCGCTTCTGTGTACCAGTGGCGGATTTTTACTAAACTTTCCAAAGTTCCAAGGTTGTTTCTACAAAAACAGAAGGGAGCACGCGAGCAATCCAGACCCTTTTTTTTTCTGTTTTAGCGAAGGAGGAGGTTGTCTTGTCTGTCAACCTCGGGACAACTTTTAGGGTTGTCTAACCCGAAAGCCCGGTCACTCACTGTACTTCTCGTCTATTCCATCGGACCCCGACTTTTATCATCGTGTAACCAACCCCGTGTGTTCGTCTTTACAACCAATACTTTGTGAGTAGGGATAAAACGCAAGTCATTCGTAACCGGGTGTCTTACCATAACATATCATTGGCAAACCATCCAACATTTAAGAGGATTCTGGATGGTTCATATGAATCATATCCAATAAACACATCGAACACATAATCGACTCAAAGTTGGAATTGGAATTCACTGGAATAGTCTCATTCAAATATATGCGCGCAATTGAAAAAAACTCATCCCATGTGTGTAACTTGGGGGTCAAAATATTCCTTTTTATATGCAGCCACAACGGCCAAGAAATTTGGCTGCAGCCTCACCGCCTCGAAATACCCAGAAACTCGGATCGGTGTAGATGGGTTAAGACAAAAGAGTCAACAGTATATTGGAACGTTAGCGATTATTCCTCAAACTATACATAATAATTCCAAGCACATATAGCAAGTTACCAAACATCAGAGAAATATAAATCTTGTATATATATATGCGAAATTGCTATATTATGCCGTATGCTGTGTTTAAAATCAAACGGCCCTCCTTGTTTTTAATGCCCTCGTCTGCAACCGTATACGAATAGGGAAACCAACCCTCGAAATAACATAAAAAAAGACTCTTGCCAACTGCGGCCTTGCGACCAACCCTTTTCTAAGTTATAAAAGACGAAACGTGCCACCCACCCAACCAGATGCATTCCCCCACCACCCTTTGACCCCCGGCATGATTACTCGTAGCATGAAGATCATCTTCTCATAACTGTAAGACGTGACATAGGGAAGAGAAAAAAAAAAAAAAACGAAAAATCGTAAAGCACGAAGGAGCCACCTCTCGTGTATTAAATCCTTCACAACAGCTCCAGCGACGGTTAGTACTCCAGCCTCGCGCGAAAGGCTGGTGGGATATCGAAACCCCTTCTGAGACAGTAATCAAGTCTCAGAACGCAGGCTGTATCGACGGGGTAGCCCATCTTCTCATCAGCCTTGTACCACCCTTCGTTGACAAGCTCATTGTGACTCTTCTGCCAGTATGACTGCTTCTGGCGCCAATTCTTCTTATCGACATCGGCAAGCTTAATGATGACGGGGGCATTCCGGTCGATGGGCATACGGACGAAACAAGAACAATCGCGCAGCGTCATAGACAAGCCAAATCTTGGATCCGATGGATTGGTGAACAATGCATCTCCCGAATCGCCCTCCTCTTGCAGATCTCTAAGCCTCTCAAGGACGCCGCTCTTGTTGAAGGCCTTCATCAGTCGTACCCGATCCCGCCCAGACCATCCGGGTACAAGTCGATCGATGGTACTCATGACGACGGCAGGATTCTCATGAAGTAGGCCGAGAGGACACACCGGCGTGGGGACCCTGAATCCCTTCTTTCTCAGCTTATCATTCCGGAGTGCCTCCCTTGCACAAGTACGACAGCGTGTCGCATCCTTGGGGGCCATGGGGGACTGAGCCAACCATTTTGGCTTGAACTCCAAGGTTAGATAACCCGGTGAGGGGCCCATATCTTCGACCAACATAGCATGACCGGCGAGGATGGTACTTTGGTCGCCCTTTATTCCCTTGGCCCGGAGAGCGTTTTGACGCTTGCAGTTAAGAGAATCAGCTATACAACGCTCTATCCTGATAAGAACTTGGGGGACGATATGCTGCCGACCAACTTTGACGTCGACGAACTTCTCTTGAAAGTCCTGAAGGGTCTCATAGTCGTATGGCGTGACGTCCGGGGTAGTTTTGGGCACGCGCAGTAGGGTTCCCTGGAAGAAACCTCTCGGGATTTGCAATTCCTTCGGCTCCTTTATCCTGAAGACGGCATTGGCACGGCCTTCTGCGAGATGGGTAAACTCGGATCTTTCGAGGATATAACTCAACTCATATAGCTCGTTTTTTGTGAGGGCGGGCCCGGTGTGTTCGGCGCCTAATCCTGCGGGGAGTGGTGTGGAGAGTTCGCTCCAGATATCTTTGAGGGGCCTCATGACAAAGACAGAGAGGGCTCCTTGGTCAGGCGGGAAGAAACGGGAACCCTGGTGGAGTTTGAAAACGCCACGCCGCAGAACAAGCGCATTTAGGAGGGGAAAATCAAAAGAAAAGGGTCGAAGGAAACGAAGAAATTGATTATGAAGAAAGTGATGGTAATGAAACAGTGTAAAAGTAAGTGCAAAGTGTGAGGTGAGTTGGCTTGCTTTGTTCGAGTATAGTGGAAACTTAAATTGGATAATGGGATATTAGCCTCTCCAAACGCAACGAGATAACGAATGCTTCTTTCCTTCGGGGATTTAGGTTATTTAGTAGGTTTATTTAGTTAGGTATAACGGGAAGTAGGGATGGAGGTATGGAGATATGGAGAGAGGTATAGAGTTAGTTATAGGAAGGTATAGGCTAGGTAGGTAGTAGATAGTAGGTAGTAGGTAGGCAGATTAATATTCCCACTTGACTATTCCAGTTGCACATTAAACGAAAGACTCCAAGGACAAGAGGGAAAAATAAAGGTATTAGGGCGAACAAGCAAATAAACTTGTGCAATTATTTTATATGATTAGGCCATCTGGAAATAGTTTAGTTAGGAATGAGGAAGAGAGGATGAAGAAGTGATGATGAGTAGAAAAGATAATAATAATATAAAAAAAGGACCACACCCTCCCCTAAAATAGTCCAAAGGCATGAAGACCAACTTGGAAAAGCGAGATGGAGATAGATTGCATTTATGACGTTGACGTTAAAGTATTAACTGCCGCCGCAGTGCTGGGGGTTTTCTTAAATGTGAGTGTGTGCGGCTGCCCGCAGCCCGAGCTGGAGATCGCTTTGAGACAAGACAGACAGAACAAGATTCAGCACAATAGACGAGGCCAAGACATTTGGAGGTAACTAGGTAGGCTGGTAGGCTGGTAGGCAAAAGCAGGCAGACAGGTATTGTAGTAGAGACGGGATGGGAATGGGATGGGCATACATACATACAACACATACATTACATGATGTATGTACAATACAAACAGCCAGAAGATACAGAAAATACTTCACACGAGAGCCCGGGCATACCTACATGACATGTACATGTAGTGGCCATTCATCACCCACATATACCTACATGGTGGCGCAGTCCTAGCCTAGGAACCCTCCCCTAAAAAAAAAAAAAAGATAATTTTAGTAAAAAAAAAGGAGACTATGTACTTTAAGATGCAGCCAATTTCTTAGGCTGTCGAATGAATTTATCATATGGAGACCTATCAAGTATGGATGGGTACGAATAACGATCCGTGTGACCGAATTGTTCGAGATTAATTAAGCCAGTGAAATCAATGAAATCGGTCCAATGCGTTCAGTACGTTCCCCTACCCCTGTACGCAAATTACCAGAACTGCCAAAAAACCACCGTAGATCTCCATAGGTACCAAAGTAATGACCTGGTAATGACTGATTGAATATCGTGAAATACGATACAAGCCCTGTCATTCGTTGACTTACACCTGCAGGACGATCTAATTATCCACCCCCTCGGGTATGTATCTACCCTATATACCTGGGCGCTCACTCATTGACCCTGAGAACCCTGAACGCTTTCACCTACCTACATAGTTACGTAGGCTGCTAGGTATTTTTTTGTAGTCCGTAGTACAAGAGGAAGTACATGTTGTAGGTAACATCCCAAGGAAGCAAATAATCATAATACTCGTGATAATACCATTAGGCATTCATTTTTTTTTTTTTTTCACTCGTTCATAAGAACTGACTGATATCAACTTAGGTGAGATCTATCGGCTCCATCCTTACCCGTAAAAACGCCCGATACCAAAGGTAATATAGATCCCCCTCTATATAATTGATTTAATTGAGTGAAATTCTTGTTTCTCGCTTCTTGTCATTCGCCACCCGTTATATCCCAGCGGCAGTGAAGCTCAGCAGACTACCAAAGGCCAACCCAGCCACAAGTGCCAATCCCATAAACCCACCGGAAGCTTCACGCTCTCCTTCCTCAACCCACTCCCCAGCAGCCATCATGCAGTTAGAGCCTAACCATCCCGTAGTAAAACCGAACGGGAATTGGACAATTAGAAGGTAGAATACATCGCTATTGATAACGGCCCCCTTCCCGTGGAGGTTGCACAACGCATATAGCGGTAGGAATATTAACCGCGCAATACTCGCGACGAATAATAAACCAGGCCTTTCGCGGAGGGGAAGAAACAATGAACTAGTTCTCCCTCCGAGATCGCCTAGATTCCAAAAGAAAAATCCAAGCGGTATGAACGCGGCAGGCTGTAGGAGTAAGCTTGCATCATCCGGTGGTGTAACCGATAATATCTTGGGCGTAAAGACGGGAAAAAACATAGCGACGGCGAAGCACATGAAGACCCCACCTGCCAACCAATGCAACTTTCTGAACAGGGTCAGCATGCTGACGACCTTGCGCGCTGCGCGTTCTGCAGATTCGATACTCGTCATGGATGTAGCCATATGTTCCATCATCCGATTCTCGACGATGCGGTTGTGACGTCGAACCAGCGGTATAAAAGCCACGAGCGCTACGATAGATATAATTACGGCGGTGAGGAAGTAGATGAATGCTGCTTTCCCATTCCCTGTTGAAGCCTCTTCTTTTACTCCAGCGGTCGCATCGGCCGGCGGTGCGACGAGAACTGAAATGACTTGAACCAATGCAGGAAGAACACCAGCGACACCTTGTCCAGCCATGATAGCTTGCATGTATTCCGGTCTTCCAAAGCTCGCAGCAAATGCAAATGCACCATTCTGTATCAACCCGGCCGCCCAAGATGTAAATCCTACCATAATCAAAAGAAATGCGAGATATCCTGAGGACGAAGCATCGAGGAACATAACGGTCGAGGCTGTTAATAAAGCAAAAACGACGACGTTCATATAAAGCGCGAGATTTATCCGGAATGGGTAAGAAGCTGTGTATTGGATATTGGTCAAAACGATCATCGCTCCTAGGTTCCCAAGCGTCGACACTGATATAATCGCCGACTGGAAGTTGTCAAGGATCCAATCGTCATCTTGGAATCGAATCTGGAAGTATGGCGCCGCTGCAAGGAACATGTTCCTGTTTCATTTAACCGTTAGTTATCCGCATCGCAAACGAGACAAGCTCTTAGATGAGGTATTACATACCAAGCCCATAGCATCGCGACGCCAAGCAAGGCGAAGATGCTATATTCGATCCATGAGAACGGCGTGCCATCGGGCTCGTGATGCTCGGGAGGACCTTCGATAGATTGCGTTTCCTCGTTCAATGGCTGATACTCTTGGCCATCCTCTCTCTTCTGGAAGAATGCACGTAATCGGTCCATGTTTGCTCGAATGCGATAGGTAGTTGTCTACCGTAGCACCTGTAATACCTCGATGTACACCTGCAAACGAATCTTCTCTAGAACAAACGGCCGTAGCTGAAGGAAGTGGGTTGGTCGCGTAGATGCAGCAGGTAGTCAAGGTCCTACCTCAAAAGTGATAATATTCATTCAATCATCGCTATTGACGAAGGGAGGTAGTAGTCGTCATCAAAATAAGCGACAGTAGGTAACCAATCTGCAAGTCGAGCTGAATGAAGAGTCATTGACGGATGTCACGGGCGATGTCACGGGTAGGTGTAAGGTATTGGAAATCAGCTGTATGACCACTACAAGCCACAACAAATGTAAGCTGGACAAGTGGTTGGTCCCCCCGCGACGTGCCAGCGAAACGTTATAGGTCCACGGGTACCTATCTAGCTTATCTGTTAGACGCCGATCCTCCGTGATAGGTACATAATCCACTAATCCACCCAATAATGTGGGCGGGTATGTACCTTAAAATCAGGTACGTAAATTCAAATCATAGGTGCATAGGTACCTAGGTATACATGTAACTAAGGCTAGGTACCGGCAAGACCGAAAATGGAGTCAACATTGGGGTATGTTGAGGTCTGTGGCTTGATATGGACAAGAAAAAAAACATATGCATGGTCATAGGTTGAACCTGGTTCGTTGCTTTTCCATCTTTGCTTTCCATTCCCATTGCACAGCATCGTCTCCTTCACTTCCGGCTCGACCGATTCCTTTGTCAATGCGCCTCAGCTTTAGAGTCGCCCTAGGTCCTAGTTCTTGGAGGCCTATATATTAATTCATTAGTAAAATGCAATCTAGACTTATAGCTGATTGACTTACCTGCACGAATACTTTCCACCCCCTTCAGCTCCTTTCCGTCTGCGCCCACCACACATTTTTCTGTAGCTCTCTTGTCTCGGAAGACGTACCTGTGCCGACGCAAGAATATGTAATCACGTTGATTATGTAGTGTAACCACTTGGCGACCTTGTAACTCCGGTGTCTTAGGCCACAGCGTTTGGAACAATTTTGCGGTAAGAACACCTAATGGCGTCTTGAAATTATTAAGTAAAAGTTCCGGATAGTGGTTTGTTGGGTTACCGTGACCCGGCAACTTCTTTCCTTCGACCCAGTTCGAGATGCTAAAGTGGAATGTCGGTCCTAAAGGCAGATGCACGATATCTAAGCCAATTGGCCTCTTTTGGTCTTCTCGGAGAATCATGACGGCGCTGTAACCCCTGTTCCCTGCGAATTTGCAAATCTCCCTCACACTGTATTTATGTCCATACTTATGCGCCGATCGTGGTATATACGTGCAATTTGGGAATAAGGTACAGAGTAATCTTGCTTGGTCGTGAAGAGTCGAGTTGAGGGTTGTGGTAAGTAAGAGTTGAGGCACAGCTGGCCCATCGTCTGAAAATAGCGATGGAAATTTGGCTACTAATGATTCTGGCGTAAGATCAAGATTTGTCGAAGTGGTCGAAGGCGCAAGACTATCATCTCGAATTACTTGCTTTGCGCGAGCTTTTGCAGCTGCTTCTTCGTCGGATTCGTCCTCCTCGTCATCGTCTGAGCCTAACATACTATCCGCTTCGTCGTCATCTTCCTCGGACTCATCACCATTTTCTGCTTCGGCGGCTTGTTTCTCTTCAGCTTCCTCTTGTTGTAAGCGTCGTTTCTTGAGCAATTGCTCCATGTCAACACTTGCGCCCAACCCATCGTCGTCCACGTCGTCCCAGACTCGTTTTCGGTCGATTGTCGCTGGTATATTCCGCGCAACTCGTTGTCTTCGAAGTTCGGGCTCCTGGTCTTCTTCCTTCTTCCGTCGAAAACGAGCTTCACGCTTTTCCTTTTCGCGCTCTCTCTTTTGCTTGACGTATAACGATTGGCGGTGGAGTTTGTTCCCTGTCTTTTTAGACAGGGAAGTAGATGATCTTTGTGGACCCATTGTTTCTCTTTCCTAAATCTAGTTTCAGGACTGAATTGTCATGGTAAAGAGGCAAGGACCAAGATATCTGATGCTAGAAGTTAAAGATTTGTTTAATCGTGAAAGTTGAGGAATTGGATATGCGATAAGAAACTGGCGACTGAAAATTTTAGTGGACCCATGGGCTAAGTGGGTTAATTATCTAGGCACCTCGATCCCTACCTAAATCGGCAAAAATTCTTGGAGGGACCGATGGAGGGGCTTGTATAGAGGGGTAATTTATATGGTAAAAATACCGGCCACCTCTTGTGACTCAACTATAAGCTTGTTAGTCACTAAGACGGGCCGCAATTGGGAACAACCCGCATACAAAATTTTGGAGAGGCATACTATCTGTCTTCAACCTCATGAACCGGACGTGTTTTGCGACTAGAAAACTTGCGTCGAGCTTGGACCCCGCAATCTACTTTCGATTCCAACTTCGTCAGTGCCCAAGCACTTTTCAGGCTGTTACATACACCAATTATATTCCAAGATTCCCAGTCGCAACCTCCTATCGGCGACAATTCACTACTTCGAAACTAGCCTTAAAAACTCGTCGCGTAGAACCAAAAAGCGAAGAACCGGAAATGACGACGACAGCCACTACCCTCAAGGGGCAACCCCTTGATCGCCCCGCCCTCGACTCCATGCTACGACGGCGAATGTTCTATACTCCGTCTTTCGAGATCTATGGTGGTGTTGCTGGTCTCTACGATTATGGTCCACCTGGCTGCAGTCTCCAGGCGAACATTATCGACGTATGGAGGAAACACTTTGTACTAGAAGAAGATATGTTGGAAGTAGACTGTTCAGTTCTGACTCCCCATGAAGTTCTGAAGACGAGTGGCCATGTGGACAAGTTTGCCGACTGGATGTGCAAAGACCTGAAGAACGGCGAGATTATTCGAGCGGACCACTTTGTCGAGGAGATACTCGAGAACCGCTTGAAAGGAGACAAGGAGGCTCGTGGTCAGAAAGTCGAAGACAAGGAAGAGGATCCTAAGAAAAAGAAGCGAAAGGCTAAGGGCGCTATAGAAGCGGTTAAGCTTGACGATGCTGTCGTCAAGGAGTACGAAGAAATCTTAGCCAGGATTGACAATTATAATGGCGCGGAACTTGGCGAGTTAATTAAGAAGTATGACTTGAAGAACCCGGCTACCAACGTACAACCGTCGCCGCCCGTTGCTTTCAACTTGATGTTCCAGACTGCTATCGGTCCTAGCAGCAATCTACCCGGTTATCTGAGGCCGGAAACTGCCCAGGGCCAATTTTTGAACTTCTCCAAGTTACTTGAATTCAACCAAGGTCAGATGCCATTCGCGTCGGCATCCATTGGTCGATCCTACCGAAACGAAATCTCCCCGCGAGCCGGCTTGCTTCGAGTACGTGAATTCTTGATGGCGGAAATTGAGCACTTCGTGGACCCTCAGGGCGGAAAGAAGCACCCGCGGTTCCAGGATGTTAAAGATGTCGAGCTTGTACTTCTAAACCGTGAGACCCAGCTTGCTGGTCAGACCAAGGTCGAGAAAGTGTCAATTGGCCAGGCGGTGGCCAATGGTACTGTCGACAATGAAACCCTGGGTTACTTCTTGGCCCGTATTCACCTGTTCCTTAAGAAAATTGGTGTCGACCAGTCCAAGATCCGCTTCAGACAACACATGGCAAATGAAATGGCTCATTATGCTGCTGACTGCTGGGACGCAGAGTTGTTGACTTCTTACGGTTGGGTTGAGTGTGTTGGTTGTGCGGACCGTAGTGCTTATGACTTGAGTGTGCATGCTAAGAAGACCGGAGCGCCTTTAATTGTCCGTGAACAGCGCGCGGAGCCTCTAGTAGTTGAGGAGTGGGAGGTTGAACTGAACAGGAAGAAGTTCGGGCCGCATTTCAAGAAGGAAGGCAGGATTGTCGAGGCTGCTGTCGTAGCGACCACGCAAGAACAACGAGAGGCTTTGGCAAAGGACTTAAACGAGAAGGGTAGTATCACCGTTGAAGTTGCCGGTGTCGCCAATGGGAAGGTTGAGATTCCAGCAGAACTTCTCGTCATCGAACGTCGTACAAGAACTGAGCACGTTAGGGAGTATACCCCTAACGTTATAGAGCCTTCGTTCGGTATCGGCAGAATACTTTACGCTCTTATGGAACACAATTTCTGGACTCGAGCGAGTGAAGGTGGTGATGAAGCTCGTGGTGTAAGTTTACTTGCCATTTCTTATTGGTTTTATTATATATGCTAACTCTGTCTAGGTCCTCTCATTCCCGCCTACAGTAGCCCCCACCAAGGTGCTCATCGTCCCATTATCGAACAATGAACAGTTCAGACCGCTATGTTACAAGCTCTCCCAGAGACTCAGAAAAATTGGTATCTCTAACCGTATCGATGATTCATCTGCAACGATCGGAAAGAGATATAGTCGTAACGATGAGCTTGGTACGCCGCTTGGTATCACGGTTGATTTCCAAACCATTCAAGACAGCACTATCACGCTTCGAGACAGAGATTCGACTAAGCAAGTTCGTGCGGATGAGGACAAGATCATTGCTGCAATCCAGTCTGTAGTGGACGGAAACAAGGAGTGGAAAGACATACAGTCTGAATTACCGCTTTTCGAGGGACAAGAGGTTGAGGTTGCTACTCGCTGATCCTGGTGAACGGATCGGATACGTAGAAACGCCGAGACTCGCAATGACGAAACGAGCGGGAGGCCTCAATGATTATTAAAAGAAAGTGAAGGGGTCGGGTAGACGGGTTAGAGATCTCAAAAGCTTATTCCTGATTTTCATTCTCAGATGTAGTTTCAGTTGTAGATCGTGGTCACGTGCGGTTCCTTACCCGCCATCGGGATGAGGCAATAAATGAGTTCTCGAGAGCCGGGGTAGAATGGTACAGTTTTGCAAAGCTGAAGCCACTCTAGTGGCCCTGTATCATCTCATAACGACGCTCGTCACTATATAATTAAAATCTTCAAATATTACTATTGCTGAGAAATCATCAACGGTAGTCGAAACATCTTAGGGATAGAAGGAATATTCTATCGAGAAACATACTGATATCTGAGCTGACAAACCCCTGTAACCCCTGGCCAATTGCAAGCAGTAGCGAAACAAGGGGAAAGTCGACAGGCATGCCAAGCACCAACAGTTCTGCGACAGATCCGCACATTAGCGAAACGAATGCAAGAAGGGTACCTAGCCTTAGCGGGCTTCTACAATAGTTATTTTTTCTCGATGGGCTGGGGGAGACGGGGGGTATTCCTCTGAGATTCGAGAGGAAGAACCCGCCGATTCGCTACCCCGTGCTCCAAGCGCGGTTACGATCGCCGAGAAATCAGCTGAGATTTTTCGCCCGCTTTCCGCAGAATGCCTGAATATGTACATATATGAAGCAGATCGCGGTCAAAGGCTGTGGGGGGTGAAACGTCGTACATCTACACGATTGTAGCCTTTTGCGAATATTGATGAGGGGAACTATTTTTTTCGCCTCTTTTTTCTTGAGTAGTGTAAGAGGTATGTACCTATACCGCAGTAAATTATAATAACAGCGGCTATTATGGATGGCGTTTTGACTTATCTCCGGGACCCTCACCCATAGTTGTACACACCACACTTGTAATGGTGGTCGAGAAATGCCGTCATGTTATGAGGAATCATTCCAATCTAAGCGCTCCCCCAGTTCGGTGGATGTGTTGCGAAGGAGAGCCTTGCGTGCTGCAGGTTGCATTTCCCCTGCATAGGTGGGCGAGGGGATCTAAACCTGTCCTGCTTAGCATACAGGGGATCGACTGTCACCTCCCGTGACACTCGGAACAACCGAGAAGGCTACGACGGGCGGGAATAGAAACGAGATCGGGTTCGCTTCGGTCGTAACTCTTGTGTTTCCTTGCGAATAATACCTTCTATAGTGATTCTTCGAATACCCAAAAGCATACTTGGGTGGGTTAGGGGGGTCAGGTATTGGACTGTCGTATTAACAAACCTCGGCTCCCTATTAAATACCCACAAAGGCGTTGAGGTTGTTTGCTTGCTTGTGGGTTGGGGTAATTAATATATCATCTAGGGATATAATGACCTCACGTGGAACGTAACTCATATTATTTATACTCCATTCTCCTTGCTATAATACTTCTGGCTTTAGATCCGAGTATCTTGGCTGTTGTATGATTGGTGTTGAATGTGACATGTTCGCGCCGACCACGCGGACGTCGGAAGTTCATAGGCGGGTATGATCCTTGATAATGCACGACGGGCCGCACAAGACGGTTGGCTATCGGCTGTCTCGAATAAGAGTACTTCGCTGTTAGGATATGTTTCCTATGAAACTAGGATACTGGCGACTCGGATTTCGAGAATTTACAGAATCTCATCTCGAGCTTTGACGTAGAGTTGTGATAATAATACCGAACTTCGAACCGTCGTTTACACTTGTATGTAAGACTAGCTTAAATTACAAAATCGTACGACTTTCGAAAACGGCGAATGCGTATATATGTAGGGGATAATTATTATTAAATACAAACTCAACAGAAAAGGGAAAGGTAAGATTCATCTCGTAACAGGAGATAAGAGCTAAGAAGGTTGAGAGGATCGTCATTTGTTTTAACTAGCGTTTACCCAAGATATATTTTAGGGATATTTTAAGTTGGTCTTCTCCAATTGTCGGCGGTCGCTGAAACCACTAAACCCGCTGATTGGATATATGCAACATAAGAGTAAATGTAACTCAATACATGCACCTCCTTGGAGGGGTCCCGCTTTGCCGAGAACTAAGTTGTTACTTCTTTGTCAGTAAGACGTTCCCTACAGCCATATCATTAGGGCAGGTACGGGGTGTACTTACCGTATGTACAGCTGGAGGCGGACAAGCAGAACAGGGTACAACATTGAATCCAATGGCCTTTTAGGGGGTTTTAGGGGAGACCCTTCCCACACCAATCAATCCTAATCCAATTCCACCAATCCATCCATTCATCATCCCAATCAGCTATTTCATTTCAACTTATTCCATCGATTAATACACTAGAATCCCAGAACCCCCAGAATCCCTAGATGTACCCGAGTAGGCCTTATCTGCTGCTCGTTTACAAGCCAGCTAGCTAAGAGGAAGGTCGTCCTTCTACCTTTCTAACGCTTTCAACGCTGATCTTTAATGGAGAAACGTATTTCTCCTTGCTGACTGGACTAACTGAACCAGACCCTGACATCCAATTCAATTCATTTTTTTCACCTACTCAAGCGATTCGGGTTTCGAGAAATAATATCTATGGTTTAGATCAATTGCCAGTTTCTTTCGCATCCGACAATTCGCCCTCTTCGTGGTTTATTTCGAGGTCAGTTGGACAGGATACGATCAAACCCCCTCTCAACCGCCTTTTCAAAGTTGAAATATATCAAGGGTATCGGTAGGACTAACGACGTGGCGCTATAGCCTTGAGCCGAACAAAGCCTTGCCCTGAATTTGGGCGCTTTTTTCGCAATACCCCTAAAGACGAGGGCTTCGACTTCTCCCCGCCGTAAAATCACCCACGACAGCTGAATCACCCAAGTTTGCCAATAATCATGTCGGCGCCGAACAAGTATGTCTGTCACAGTCAATTCTTGCAAGATGGGGATTCTACTTGTCACTTCTCATGAGCACACTTCACTTCTTTCAGCATCGCAAGAAAGTTATCCAGTCCTGGTAGTCCAGACCGGTTCGATGCTGCCCTCAAAAACTGAACCACTCGCTTTTCCAAATATTCCAAAAATTTACCTATTTTACCAATACCTACGCCATCTCATAATATTCTATTCTCCAAAAAACGCATTGACTAACAATGGCAAAACGTTACAGCTTCTATACTACCGGCCAGTTTATGAATCCTGGTCCGGCTCCCCGACCGCCCACAGACCAAAGACCACGCCTCAACCTCACTCCTAGTACCAATTATCCCGGAAGCATGTCGAACGTAGTTTCGTCGCCCATAACACGAACTGCTACGTCTACATATACGGGTTCTACAATCTCCCTACCCCTCGCCCGAGAGCGATCCAACCAAACAGATGGTATGGGAGGTGTAGCGGTCATTAAAGAGGGTTGGGCACAAGTCAAAGAGAGCAGGAACTTTATTCAACCTTGGAAGCAAAAATATCTTATCCTGCGCAAGGAAGCTCTCGACTTTCATAAGACCGAGGGCGGTAAAGTTTCTTATACATTATTATTAAAAGATGTGGTCAATGTTGGACGAGTCGAAGCCGCCGGTACCATATTCGAGATAAAGAGGAACCTACCTGGTTCTTCTAGTAGTCCTGGTGATGACGATGGCCAAATTCGAACACTACATATTAGGGTCAAAAGCGATGATGACCTTTATGACTGGATTGACCTCCTGTATGGTCGATGTCCGACCATGGGCGGAGTTAGCAATCCGACTAACTTCTCTCATGCGGTACACGTTGGTTTCGATCCTCAAACAGGACAATTCGTTGGATTACCTCCCGAATGGTCCAAGTTATTGAATTCGTCCGCCATTACCAAAGAAGACTACGAGCGAAATCCTCAGGCCGTCTTCGAAGTTTTGGATTTCTACTCGGATCTTACTAAGCGAGCAGAGAACCCTCAGCAATATCCAAGCCTTACCCCTACTCCCCCTCCCGGTTCTCAGCAGAACAAACAACTCGGATATGGAGGCGGTGGCGCTTCTGTCGCCCCACCCCGACCGATGCCACCTTCACAACGCAGCTATGGCAACAACTCACCGTCACAACAAACCGGTCCCGCTCCACCCCGCCCAGCTCCCCCCTCTCAGCAACAGTCGACGATACAGCCCCTCGGTATTAACTACGGGGGACAAACGGCGGATCAGGTGCGCGACGAAGCGCGCAAGAAGGCACTTGAGTTGCAAAGGCAGCGCGAAATTGAGGAGCAGAACCGCCGTGATCTGGAGGCTTATAATGCTTCTATTCCGCAGAAGAAACTCCCTATGGCTCAACAAGAGATAGGTGGATACGGCGGAGGTCCTCCGGCTTCACAGGATCGCTATAACCCTACTCGAGCAGCGCCTCCTGCACCAAAACCGGCCAACCAACAAGCAAACGGACTTCGCGCTCAACGACCTGCTCCGCCAGCTCCAAGTTCTTCGTCGCCTGCGCCTGCTAGCCGACCTGCCCTTACTCCTCAGTCCAGTACCGGCTCCGTCCCGACTACCCGTGATCCCCAAAGCCAAGCACAAAGGGCACCACCGCGCAATGATCAACAGTCACCTGCACAGAGATACCCTAACAATGCCAACGGCACGCAGCAACCCCAGAACCCGGCGTTATCCCGCTTACCGGCTCCCGTCAAGCCTCTCAATGTTCCAGCGAAGCCTAGTCAACCTCAGCAAAATGATGGTGTCAAGGCCGCGGAGGCTGCTCTCACAGCTAAGCCACCGGCGTCAGAAAGAAAACAGGACGTTCGCATGTCTACCATGTCCGAAAAGGAAGTCATGCAGAAGCTGGTTGAAGTTGTCTCGAAGGATGACCCCAACCTATCCTACTCTAAGCAGAAGAAAATTGGACAAGGTGCTTCCGGTTCCGTCTACGTCGCAAAGGTCAAGGAGGGTGCCGTTTCTGCTGTTGCTCGAGAAGTCCTGCGCTCGCAAGGCGCCAGAGCCCAAGTTGCTATTAAGCAGATGGATTTGGCACACCAGCCTCGTAAGGAACTTATCGTAAACGAAATCATGGTCATGAAGGACAGCAAGCACCGCAATATTGTCAACTTTCTCGACGCTTTCTTGCGTAATAACAACGCGGAATTATGGGTTGTCATGGAATATATGGAAGGTGGTGCTCTGACAGATGTTATTGACAACAATTCAGTCATTACCGAGGAACAAATTTCGACAATCTGTCTCGAGGTATGTACACTGGAATTTATTAGACCTCGTTATTTTGCTAATGCATCATGCAGACTTGCCGTGGATTACAACACCTCCACTCTCAGAATATCATCCATCGTGATATTAAGAGTGATAACGTCCTTCTGGATGCCCGCGGAAACGTGAAGATTAGTAAGTGGCTAGTCAATTGGCATAACATTGTCGACATATTTCCACTAACAAAAATGCAGCTGATTTCGGTTTCTGCGCGAAGCTCACTGAGACTAAATCTAAACGAGCAACTATGGTCGGAACACCATACTGGATGGCGCCCGAGGTCGTCAAGCAAAAGGAGTATGGCCCGAAGGTCGACATTTGGTCTCTCGGTATCATGGCCATCGAGATGATTGAATCTGAACCGCCATACCTTAACGAAGAGCCCCTAAAGGCTCTCTACCTGATTGCAACCAACGGTACACCGCGTCTGAAGAAACCGGAAAAGCTGAGCAAGGAGCTCAAGGCTTTCCTATCAGTCTGCTTGTGTGTTGATGTGAAGAGCCGTGCCTCGGCGGATGAACTGCTGCAGCATGATTTCTTGAAGCATGGTTGCCCACTCGCCAGCCTATCTGAATTACTCGCATTCCGAAAGCACGCCAAATAAGCATGCATGATTAACGACGATACCTTATTCCTTAATTGCTTCCCTTCTTCCGTCGGGTAGCCTTACATGCTAATGGTAATGATTGAGTGACTGTTTGCCGGTTCCCATATATTCCCCCTCGGCTGCAGGCGTTGGTGGATAACTACTCATCTGGGTCATAAAGATTTGCATGAAAGAGTTGCTCGCCATTTGGAACAAACAGAGGGGTTTCACATGATTCATCGACTAGAGTTGCGCGAACCATCGCGTGCGTACGCCGTATAATATACACGGTGTTGCCGAGTTCCTAAACGAAGAACACGAATATCTTAAACCATTGGTTGCATAGAGGTCGCTTGCGGAGACATGATAAAATACCACGAAGAGTTTGGAAGTTTCAAGTTTTAAAGAGACGAATGCGTGCGATTGAGGGTTCGATTCTTTTGCGAGCGTCGGCGTGTGGTGAAGGCGATTCGTGAATCCGATAGTATAGATATGCAAAAAATTCGAGCCAGACGTATCCGTTTTAAGATATTCCTCTTAAGCTAAGTGCTCTTAACCATTTGATACATTTAATTTTAAGTGCTTATGTCTTTATTTTGCCGTTGAATAATCGTTCAGTCCAGCCTTCAATCTGATGGTTGAGCATACGAATCACGGACTATAGCTAGAGGCAACCCGAAGGAATTCGATATGATTGGTCCATTTCGATTTGCTATCTCTTTACTCCCTATGGTTAACAGTGAAAATAATAGGTATTGTAGCTCTACTCCATGTGGTTGGAAGATACACATTATCGAAATGCTGCGCTGATACTTTGGGTGATAGGTGCAATGAGCCAGAGTCTCGCGGAACATATCACGGTCTTCAAATCCACCTAATTTTCTAGGTCCAGTGACTCGTCACAATGATCATATCGAATTACGCTCAGGCAGTTTAAAGCTCGTGCATTAAGTATATCGGGTTACCTCATTCGTCAGCCTAGCCTGCTTTACCCCGTCGGCGGCCGCCTTTCGGATGCCTCTCGGATGATGTCGAATTAGTTGGAGGATTCGTTGAGGGACGCCATGACCGCAGCCTGCATGGAAATATACAGTGTCATTCGAAGATTCTCACTGTCTCGGTATATTTCCCTCGAATTCTCAGCTTTATGTTACTTAAATCGTTAATTGCTTCTTTTTTGTAAGTTATTGATACGCTATATCATCCTTTCATTTCGTATAATCTAGATATTAAATTAGCCTTTGTTGGTGTAGTCGATATATCACTTCTGCTTTGCGGAATACCCAGTATGCACGGGTAGTTTCTAGAGATATCTTTTTACCTAATTTCACCATAAAACTCATGAAATCTATAAACGAGAAAATTGAACTCGTATCCTTTTCTGTCAACATGGGGTTGCCTAAAATGAAGCCTATGCTGTCGCAACTGAAACGGAGCCTTCGGAGGGGGTTTAAAACGAGAGTTGGTTCGGAAACCGAAGTAAGTGGTTCAGGTAGCTCCATCGCGACGATCGCTAAGGACGAGACTATGAAATGCGAAATGAAACATCTGGACCTGAAGTACGACGACTGGGATGAGCAATTCTTCGCGGAGCGAGAAGAGGAAACGGAAAAGCCGGAGCAGAAGGATTGGTGGAGGTTGTTTGCCTTTTGCCTCGTGAGGGTGTACTACGATGATGGCGATCTTGATACGACGCGCTTATATGTGAATCACCAGCCGCTACGACAGTTGCTTAGGGATGTGGTTGGGGATTACCCTGATGATCCGGTTAATGTCGAGGACGTCCAGATCGAGGCGCCGTTTCACTCGCTGTTTCATTACAGGCAGGAAATTGAGACTGAGGGTCTGGATCGGTTTAAGGAGGACGAGGAGTCGATGGCGCAGTTGAAGTTACTGAACTCGTGGATTAAGACGCATTTCGAGAACGACACGGCTGCGTATGAGAAATGCGTTAGTGGGGGCCTTAGAGCTATCCCGTATGATAAGCTGTGGACGCTGTTTCCGCCCGGCAAGCTGATCCATGCTAAGGCCTTGGAGCAGCACCGCGCGTTTCGCGTCAGCAGCTGTTGTTATGAGGATGAAGTTAGTGAACGAGAGGCCCTCCATATCGAGGCGTCTTTCGTCGATTTCGATGGGACGAAACTAGGGACGAGGAAAGTGGAGCTCATTGTTCCGAAATATGCCGGCACACGTCAGCTAAAGGAGCTCCCTACCATGCCTCTTGATCTACTAGAAGATGCAGTTGAGGTCAGGAAGGAGCTTGTACAGAGAGGGAGGAAATTCGAAGGCTTCGTCGGACAACATTTCGAGCAATACGATGGCATTGCGCTGCGCAAGACGGATCAGGGGTACGCGCGGATCAATGTTAAAGGCCGCATCATGATCGATTGCGAGACGTACCACCGACACGAGGCTAATGACATGTTCGTCGTGGATCTCCGGCTTCCAGGGGACCAACGGCACGAGAAAAGCAAAACAAGGTTACACCGTAGGGCGGTGGAAAACCTGGCTTTTGTGCCTGAAGCGAAGACGTTCGATAAGCTGTCCGATGACGACGCGGTGGTTGCGAGCGCCACGGTTAGGGGGTACGCGTTTTCGGTGAAATTGTTTCTCGAGTTCTTCGTGGATAAGGTGACGCCGATTGAGTGGAACACGAAGTGTTTTGATGATTTAGTATTAAATCAGGATACGAAGAAGACAGTTCAGGCGGTGGTTTCGACGCATTCGAATAAGAGGGAGGGCTTTGATGATATTGTTAAGGGGAAGGGACAGGGCCTTGTTTGTGTGCTGCAGTATGTATTCCCTGCTTCATGATCACAGTATATTGCTAATTCCATTTTAAAATAGTGGCCCACCGGGCGTCGGCAAAACACTCACAGCAGAATGCGTAGCCGAATACGTCAAGCGACCCCTTTACATGGTATCCTCCGGCGACCTCGGCGTATCAAGCGGGCACCTCGACGTCAATCTAACGCGAATCATGGATCTCGCCTCGACCTGGCGCGCCGTCCTCCTCATCGACGAAGCAGACGTCTTCCTCGAGCGCCGGTCCCTGCATGATGTCCATCGTAATGCCATGGTCAGCGTATTCCTACGTGCCCTCGAATACTACAGTGGTATCCTCTTCCTAACCACGAACCGCGTCACCGCCTTCGACGACGGATTCAAGTCCCGCATCGACGTGCCGATTCGGTATACGGATCTAACCACCGACTCGCGATTGCAGATTTGGCGGAATTTGTGCTCTCGCGTGCCGGGTGGTGTGGATGTAGATGAGGCAGGGTTTAAGAGTCTGGCGGCACATGATTTGAATGGTCGGCAGATCAAGAATGTTATTAAGGCGGCTGAGAACCTGGCTGCGTTTGATGGTGTAAAGGTTGATTTGAAACAGTTGAAGCAGGTCACCCAGATCCAGGATGCGTTTGAGAAGGATTTGACGACGATTGGCGGCGTGGATTACACGGCGCCGGGCGAACCGAGGAAGGATGGGGGGCATTTTATGTATTTTTAGGGAGATTGGTTATTATGATCATGAGTACGTGTATGTGTATATAATGGGATAGAAGGATGTATTTAATGATGCATGTAGCGTTCAGGAAATACATGCACGGTATGATTTCATTTGAAGTTTCTTACTCGCCGATGTCATTTTTTGGAATTCGAGCACCACGTCTCTATCAATATGGGCTTGGGAAGTTTACAACGATATAAAGCGACTTTGGATTATTATTTAGCTTTCGCCTACAGGAAAGCCGGCCTAGAAAATTGAATGGTAGCTAACTTTTGAACATATCCTCATCGTCGGAATTTTGTGGTTAATGTATGACAACACCCTTTTTACACCACCCAGATTAGTTCAACTCAACAATTTCAACCACACATGCCCAAGGTGTCATTGCTAGCGTGAGACTGGTACCAATCTGTCAATCGACCAACGGTGACTGGGTCAGTGTCGCGGGTCGCCTTTATGAATATGGTCTCGTACGGGTGTGCGTCTGTGTTATTGTACTGCTTGTCTTCGAGAACGTCTCCGACAGGGTCCTTAGCGCAATACTCTTCATAATCTTGAGAGGCGTGGAAAGCTGTCATCAGGGCATCGACCTCGTAACCTGCTTTCTTGATGATAGCCGTAGCTTCGACTTCGCCATTGAAAGCTTGCTCTTTGTTGCTATAACATCCTTGAAATGCGGCTACTTGTCCATTGCCCGAGGCTGTGTTCGATGCTGATGCATCTTCGCGGAGGTTAAGGAGAAGTTCCATGCCGAGTGTGTCAGTTGCCCAGATCATTGACGGAATGTGGAACTTTGGAAGGCAGTTCGCAGTCATTCCGACAAGCTAGAAATTAATGTTAACGAAAGGGTCCGGTGAATTGTTTTATATCGGGGGTACCAACCTTGACGTCCTCGGTGACTTGGTGTAGAAACGCATCACTCCAGCAGCCATGGTTCGAGTAAGGTAGGAAAGGACCTCGAATGTCAGAGTTGAGAGTGATGAAACGACTATACTTCTTGTACAAACCATCCTTGCGGAGAACTTCACCGTGTGCGCCGAGGACGAAACATTCGTTTGGTCGCGAGACAACTTGAATGTTGGTCCTGCTAGGGATGAATTTGGCAACGTCGGTAGGTCCGTTTAGGATGAAGATGAAATCGGCGGCGCCATCTACAACAGGTGGAATTAGCGATAGTCGTATTCGGGGAGATTTATAGCTGTTAGGCTAGCTAGAGTTCCATTCTGCTAATATCTATGTGATTACTTACGCAGACCATTGTCGAGAAAGAACATCAAATTCTCCAGAGCGGTTGGGGACTCAACATAGGAATATGTAATGAGTGGTCGGGAGAAGCCGGTGATGACGTGCTGGTCCTCTAACATAGAAACATGCTGGTGTGCCTCATCGCCAAGATTGTCGTGGTAAACCGGTGTGGCTACGGCCGAGACCGAGCCTACATGCTCCTTCGCCTTGGTTACCATGTTGTGGTGAGTCTGTAAATATAAGTACTTCGCCAAGAAAGCTACCTAGGTAGGTTTTGGGATGTGGAATATACCGCATAGTCATTCTGATGCGAGAACTTTACGAAGCCATAGAGGCCTGTGAAGAGCATGAACACAATAGTGAACAAGGTAGGAGTGACGACGTCTCTCATCATATTGAAGAATATTATCTTAACCTTACTCGACAAAACCAGACAAAAGACTCTCGTCTTCGAGGTGGATCTTGTGTTAGAAAGCAAATATATGCCTTAACGACAAAAAGATTGTACTGTATAACGAAGATGAAATCGTAATATGGAGAATGAAAGATGAAGCCACTGGTTCGGGACATTGATTCCTACTCCAGTTGTTGTGGGGGAGGGGGGGATTGAGGAAACAGGAATATTTATAAATTGACCTTTCCACTTGCTCTCTATTTGATGGAAGGAATAAAGATACAAGTAACGGCATCCCGTAACGCAAAAGCGGAGCCAACGGAACCTTCTCCATGTCTGTGCCGAAACCTTGTCGCCCAAAGCCGGCAGGTGCGGAGTACCGAGGCGGACCCGGAGGCGGACCCGATCCGGGAGAGGGATTGTGAATGTTCGGCGCCTGGGCAAAATAACATTCTACCGAACATCCGGTGACCATCTCTTGTATTTAAAGTACTATAACCATACTTTCTACATTCTTAGACTTTGGTATACATGTATTTCATATGGGTGCCCTCAAGTGCGTACACATGAGTACCGGTACCTGCTCATAGGATACTACGAATTCTAGTAAAGTTGGCCAGATCCTAGGCTTGTGAGAGGGTTGATTGATAAAGTAAAGAAAGAGGAAGGAGACTTATCCGATCCAACAATTAAAGATCTGATAATTATGTCGCCTAGATGCACATTAACGTAAATGGCACTTGATTGCTCTCGATACGTGTTCTAATTGGCTTAAGAACCCATGCATCACGGTTTGGTACATGAAGTCTGTCGCCTACCTTCTGTAAAGGGCAACAAAATTCGTAATGATACTGTAGATGCGGATACGGCAGTTTCTGAACTGACCCGATCGTGCGTGATTTTTGAGAATCTTTAGCAATTTTATATTCACATCTTTAGCGAGAGTTTCCATTTCTTACATTGCCGCGAATAGCAGCTTTTTGTTTCCTATAGCGTGTTTGATGTACTCTCGAAATGGTACGTTGTGTGACTTCCTAGGAAGTTGTAAGTGTTAAAATGGATTCAACTTTAGTCGAGCTGAGAGCTTTTTTTAAAACTTGACCATGGAAGGTACAAAGGTACGTCATTTTGAAATAGGCTGGCTTATCGATATCTTATCGGCAGTAAGTGCCACATTTAATCAGCCACACCTGCATTAACACTAGTGAACCTAGGAGTACCCATGTACCTGGGTAGGTTTAGAGGTCCTTTACACCTTTACAAGCTTCAATTCTTCATTCTTTTCTCAGCCTCACCTCCGAGCTGCAACCTTTCAAGAGCATCATTTTCTAAGCACTTCATTCTTTGCACAACCATTAACTTGCACATTAGGCGCAAGACGCGTCTCTTATTCTAATTATTATTCGCACATATTCTTTCAAAAGTTTATTTTGGACGATGATGCGTTTGTCTGGGGATGGTTTTTGAACATCTCCAAACGCGACTTTTTCGTCTTGATTGTCGCGATCTTTCGCCCTCTGCTTAATTCTACGCTTCACCTTCCTTCTTCCTCATCCTCTTCAGCTCCATCGCGATCGCTTACACATCGATACATCCAACGTATTTCATCAAGATGTCGTCCTCCCAGAATGGCCACGCGAATGGTGGCGCGAACAATGACCTGATCTTTGCGCCCGTTAGCAAACGATTTTCCGATATTCCCAGCGCTATCGATATCCCTGTCCAGGGCGACCAAGAAGATGAAGCTGTTGAAATTGACCTAGAGGACTTGGTCGACGATCCGACCGAGCTCTGTACCCTATTCGAGAACGAGCGAGCCGCGCGCACCTATTGGATGACGGTTTCTCTCGCGTACGCGAAACAGAAGAAGATCGACCATGCCATTGAGATGCTTAATCGCGGTGGTAATGCCATGCAAGATAACAATCCCAAAGAGAGGCTTAGTATCGTCACATGTCTATGTTGGATGTATCTCTGGAAGAGTCGTGAAGCTCCTCGCGTGGCACCTGATGGAGCTCTCTTATCCGAAGCCAAGACCAAAGATTACTATCTGCAATTAGCTACATCCTCCCTCAATGAGGCGTCACGTATAAACCCAGCGTTCCCGCCGCTGTTTCTTGCACGTGGAGTACTCCAGCTCCTGAAGGCTTCGCTACAGACACCATCTAAAGCGTCCGGAGCTGGTCATGTTGAGCAGGAAAAAGCTGATTTGCTGAAAAGTGCTTTGAAGTCTTTCGACCAAGCGAGCAAAGTTTCACAAACTAAGAATATGCTAGCATCACTTGGACGAGCAAGAGCACTTTTTGGTCTAGGCAACTACAAAGAGTCTCTGGAGGCATATCAAAGTGTTCTCAAAAGGATGCCAGATCTGGTAGACCCTGATCCTCGAATTGGAATTGGGATGTGCTTCTGGCAACTCAAACATAAGGAAGATGCAAAACAGGCTTGGGAGAGATGCTTAGAGATCAATCCGGAGTCGAAGATTGCCAACATTCTTCTTGGTCTATATTACGTGGACGCCAGCGGTCGGGTTCCCATCAACAGTCCTGAGTTTATTCGACTCTATAAAAAGGCAATGACTGAGTATACCCAGAAGTCATTCAAGCTTGACAAGCACCAGCCATTGACGTGTGCAACATTCGCTAGCTATTTCTTGTCTAGCAAGAATCTCGCGCACGTTGACTCCCTCGCTAATAAGGCCATTCAGTACACCGACGTCAACGCCATTGCTAGTGATGGATGGTATTTGCTTGCCCGGAAGGAACACTTTAGTGGCAATATCGAGACAGCTGCTGACTATTACCGTCGTGCGGATGAAGCTAGAGGTGGACTTGAAAGAGGATACCTCCCCGCAAAATTTGGTGTCGCTCAGCTGTCCGTTTTGAACAATGATCTAGGAGAGGCGAAGCTTCGTCTGGAGAAGATCATCCAATCGGTTAACAAGAATGAGCGAAATTACGAGGCTATGATTCTGCTAGGTACCTTATACGCTGAAGAAGTATTCGCCAATCAATATGCTGCTGCTAAAGAAGACAAGTCTGCGGAGATGCGTAAGGCTATAGAATACCTTGAGTATGTCCGCACGGCTTGGAAAGACCCCAAGAAAAATTTATCCCCAGATTCTGCGATCTTGCTTAATCTTGCTCGTCTTTACGAGAATGATCACCCAGACAAAGCTCTCGAATGCCTTCTACAGGTTGAGCAACTCGAGTTGGATCAAATTCCAGCCTCGGAACACCCGACCGACATCGAGGATGAGTCAGCTTTGCGTAACGCTCTTCGCAGGAATCTCCCCCCGCAGCTACTTAACAATATTGGATGCTTCTATTCTCAATCTGAGAAGCATGAGTTGGCAAGCGAAGTGTTCGAGGCTGCACTGGATTCGTGTGTACGAATCGGCGAAAAGGGCGAGGACGTAGATACAGACGACTTGATCACTACCATAAGTTTTAACCTTGGTAGAAGCTACGAGTCGAGAGGTCTCACGGATAAAGCGGTCGGTGTATATGAAGGGCTCTTGGCGCGCCACGATGATTACATCGATGCTAAGGCGCGACTAGCTTATATCAAATTGCGCAAATCCCCTAATAAGGAAGGCCCAGATGCTGTCGCACACTTACAACAAGAAAGCTCATCTGACCTCGAAGTTCGTGCCCTGTATGGTTGGTACCTAGGCCGGGTGAGTTCTCGAAAGAAGTCGGGTAATGTCAACGAGGACCCCGAATTGCGACATTACAAACATACCCTCCAGTACCACGACAAGCATGATCGTTACGCACTTGTCGGTATGGGTAATTTGTACATGATGGCCGCTCGTGAGATGCGCCGAGAAACTGAGCAAGACAAGCAAAAGCGATCTGCTGGGTACACCCGTGCCGTTGAGTTCTTCGATAAGGCGTTGCAACTCGACCCAAAGAATGCGCATGCCGCTCAAGGTATTGCCATTGCGCTCGTTGAGGACAAGAAAGACTATAAATCTGCGCTCCCCATATTCCTGAAGGTACGAGAAACCATTAAAGACGCCAATGTATACACCAATATCGGACATATATATGCAGAACTCCGTCAGTTTTCCAAGGCGATCGAGAGCTACGAGATTGCGTTGTCGAAGGAGGGGAAAGCGAATGATCCAAATATTCTAGCGTGTCTAGGTCGAACATGGTTGAACAGGGGTAGACATGAGCGCAATATAGATGCGTATAAGCATGCTTTGACTTTTGCGAAAAAGGTGAGATTACGGTACAATTCGCATTTTGCATGGACTGACAAGTTTTCATAGGCACTGGAAGCTTCATCAGATCAGATCCACTTTAAGTTTAATGTGGCGTTCGTTCAAATTCAACAGGTTCAGCACATTATGAATGTGCCTGAAACCCAGCGTTCGTTAGCTCAACTCGAGGAGGCTTCCGAGGGCCTTGAAGCAGCAATTGTTGCCCTAGATGAGATTGCTACTCATCCCCAGCCGCCATATCCAAAGGCTGATCTTGAACAGCGAGCAAACATGGCTCGCAATACACAACGAAAACAACTTGGTCGTCAAATCGAGAGTCAGAGAGAGTACGAAGAGAAAAATAAGGAGAAACTTGCAGCTGCGCTAGAACAACGACAGGCTGAACTGAAACGCCGAGAAGAGGAGCGCCAAAAGGCTATTGCACAAGAGCAAGAGAGACAAGAAAAGATCCGCAAGGAACGTGAAGAAATTCTAGCACGTGATAGAGAACTCGCTGAGCAACGGGCCGAAGAAGACAAGGCTCGTCAAGAGGCCGAAATGACCACAGATAGCGAGACGGGCCAGAAGGTCAAGCGAAAGCGGAAGACAAAACCTAGGTCGACCGGCGAGGGCAAGCCCAAGAGTCGTTCGAGAAAGAAGAAGTCCGATGCCGACGGTGATGAATCTGAATCTGAGGAGGAGCGTCAACCCAAGAAGAAGCGAAAGCTTACTAGCAAAAAGGAATCAAGCAAGTACAAGTCCGCCGAGATCGTCGTCGACAGCTCAGACGAAGAAGGGGATGATGCCTTGGACCGCGCTGAGCGGGCTATGGAGAACCACCGCTCTCCTGCTTCGGATGCAGATGATGCATCCAGAGCGGATGATAACGATGATAGAATGGAAGTAGATAATACAGCGGCACAAGATGACGATGAAGAAGAGGAAGAAGAGGTCGCGACTACTCGCGCGCCTACTAAACGCGCTCGTCGTGGTAGGGTCCTCGATGATAGTGACGAGGAAGACGAAGGTGATGGTGGAAATGGTGAGGGTGAACTAGCTGCAGCCGCGGATACTAGCATGGCGGATGCGGCGGATGAAGATGAAGATGAAGAGGATTAGGATTCTGTACATTACGAGAGCGGCGTACTTGGCTCCATTAAAATATCTTGGCCGCGTGTGCCTTGAGGTTATTGAATTACTTCCTTTAATACAGGATGACAAAATGAGTTTTAGATATCATAGATCGTTTGGGGTGTGATATGTTGAAAATACATTGCTGCTATGAATGCTGTGAATATAGCGTTCGTGTGTTGTACCTAGGTAGTTATAGTGGTAATTTTGGTGATAGGTGCTGGATTAGTGGTTTGATAGAAGTCCAGCCCGACTTTCTAGGGTCCTAATTAGGCTTGTCTGTTGCGCTATATTTACCACTTGGGCACCAACTACGGCGACTCCCGAGGGAGATGTGCGCTAAATTCTACCAGCCTTGGAAAGTTACAGGAATATTTAGCGCGTATGTCGTTGTGTTTATAGCACCTGAGAGGCTGAGGTAGCGCTAAATATGCACTAAATCATAGGTGTTGATAACCCCACCATTTTATTTTGTCTCTATTCCCGTCTTTGATCATCACTCTTCGCATATAACTTCACACGGTCGGGATTACTTAATTAATACCTGTTATCTCTAGAACTTCGTTAATCCAAAGTTGAGTCATAATTCGATCTAGCTAAGTAATTGTAACTTAGATATCGTCATCAGTATCGTCAGAACTGCTTTCATTAGCAGCTATGTCGCCATCAGACGAACTCGGATTATCTTCAGCTGTCGAATCGTCGGCTCGAGTAGCCGCTCGAGCGGATGAAGTAGCAACGGATTTCCCAGACTTCTTAGAGCTCTCCTTTCTCCCCGAGCTGTGTTTAAATGTATGAGATTTCCGCAAGGGGGGTTCTTCCTCCGATAACTCGCTGAAATCATCGTCTCGGATCTGATCCGCTTTTGCTATCTCGACATCGGGGTATCTATGAACGGCCTCCATGTATTTTTCGAAGTCTTGGGCGGTTTCGGCGATGACCTCCAGATTCTTCTTAGTTAACTGGATTATTCGCCACTTCTCCTTGCCAGAAGCTAATACTTTCGCCTCTGTAAGTCCCTTCTTTTGGATTTTACTGTTGCGCTCATATTGTCCGAGCGCGATGGCTGTCTGAAATGCATTTCGAATTTGACGACCGTTCCAAGTTGAGTCTTTCTTGTGATGCTTTTGGTAGTGTCTTTCTGCGAATTCCATCAATTCGCCTCGGTCGAATTGAATCTTTATATCTCGGAACTCGTTGTCCTTTTCGATGCGATCGAGGCATCCTTTCCAAATATCGAGTGTCTCGGGTAGCCTTACTTTCGGGTATCGAAGGGCAATGTGGACTCGAGATTTAAATGCTTCGTCGAGGACACCGACACGGTTCGTGGTTAGGAATAGGATGCCAGAGTAGTATTCGAGGATTCGGAGAAAGACTATAAGATCGGTTAGCGATTCTTAGATTCTTAATAAGGTGTGTTGGGATAAATACTTACTCGATACTAACGCATTACGTTGGGTATCCTTGAAGTCACGCCTCATGAGAAACACATCAGCTTCGTCGAGGAGCAGCACGCACTCCCACTTATCGGCTCGGCCTGTGTGTTTCTCTAATTTGCGTTCGATTTCCGCCGGGCTATCCCCGAGATCACCACATGTAATGGAATAGAGTGGCTTGCCTGTGTAACTAGCAATGGTTTCAGCTGTGCTAGTTTTACCTGTCCCTGGCGGTCCATGAAGCAGCACTGTTAAGCCTAGCCCTTTTCCGCGCACGAGATCGAGCTGGTTTAGGGGCTTAGTTTCTGCTGCGCCAACTTTTCCCCATTTGTTGGCATTGGAGGTATGGCTGTCCACGAGTGAAACGAGAAGTCGACGATATTTCGGCTTGATAATCAAGTCATGAAATCCACTATTACGAGCTTCGAAGCTCTTGTCAATATCTTCTACGAAATTAACCTCGAGACGGGCTTTCAAGTGAGTTAGTAGTGAAATCTACGTCATGGGGTATGAGAAGACGAACCCCATTTGCGAGACCTGAATACAAATGCGATGATTTGGTGGCACATCAATCTCAACTCCATTTTGTTCTGAGCAATTGCCTCGCGAGATTTTGGTTGTTGCTCTTCTGCATGAGAGGCGAGGAAGATATCACTCTTTCGTCTGTCGATCTCATGATCCAATGAGAATACTGAGAAGTTGTCGCGTCCTTCTTCCTCTTCGATCTCGGTAGGTTCTGGTGTTGTTCTGCGAAGGGTCCCCAACCTTGGTTCAAAAAAGTTTCTTTTGCGATAATATTCTTCGTAGTCCACATATATGTCACCCTGGAGACGTTCACGTCTAGAACGACCTTTGGAATCATAAGCGGATCCATCGTATTTCTGATGGCCGACACATTGTACGCATTTCAAGCCTCGCGCCTCAAGTCGTTGCAGAATGACATCCTGCTCGGGCAAAAAGCGTAGGGGTATTATTGGTAGATCCCTTATATTCTTTTCGCCAATGTACCATTGTATCCGCTTACAGCATTCGACGGCGCCAAGTTGCGTGCTGTCCATGACAATGTTGTAACAATCAATCGTGAAAGGCGTCCAGGTGCCGACTCCAATAGCCGTACCGCGTGGGTTCAGGTCCTGATCCTCTTCACTAAAGGCACCTTGTTCGCTAATTTCACTCTCATTTTGGTAGCGCAATCGGGCGTAGTACCTATGATTGTGAATGCCTGAGAAATTCCTTCTTAGGTCTTCCATCTCGCGTCGTGTTAGGTTTCTCATTCGCTGCTGACCGCCCGTCACTGCATAAGCTCTGTAGAGTTGCTCGAAACCGTGATCTTTCGAGTACAACAAATCTCCAGCGTTGAATAACTGCCATATATCTGCGAAGCCGATCCTCTCGATAGAACCGTCTTCTATCTTAGCTCGCAGTGCTAACGGGCGGCTTAACTCGGCCGAAATGAAGTCATGAAGGGCTTCAAGATGTGAGACTCGAAAGCGAAGGTCGATAAGTTTCTGAGCTCGCGAGAAAATTCTATTTACAGCGGGTTTCGGAACGCCCTCGGCATGGCCTTTTGCGCTGGGTTCATTTGGTATCGTCTCTGTTAGCTTTCCCTCGCTTGGCTCTGTATCCTCCTTTTCCGCCTCTAGTTGTAATAATTCATCCTTCAATGTAACCAATCGCTCTTTAATTCCCGGCCAAAATTGAACGAAGGCCTTCAATCGTTAGCAGTGGTAGAGGTAAAGAGAAATAAGGAATATATACCTTATAGGGTGGCTTTGTACTGTATCATATTAGCATATCCGCACCAGATGAGACCAATGCTCCCAAGAGATACACTCACAAAACGGGTTCAGAAGTTGTTGCGATGCTAGTTATACTTTCCAACTCAGATATCAGCCATGTTGACGAAATGGCAATCCTTTGAGGTTCCTCGAGATCCTTGGGAGAGTACGAATCGGTCGATTTCTGCGTTGTTGATGATGGCAACTTGCGATAATAGGCCCTGAGAACTACATTACGCGGAACGGAAACCGTTTTTAGATGCTTCCTCTTCGCCCACTCCGACATGGGGAGGCGAATGATTTCACCGAAGAACTTATCCTCCGGGGTAGGTTCTACGCCCACTTTACCTGGAAGTGCCGGGCGTGGAGCAAGTTTTACCAATTCATTCCTTGTCTTCAGGAGATTCCTTTGTATAATACCGATCATATCAGACAGTGCTTGGCTGGCTGGAGGATCCTCATCAGATGAGGAATCCGACTCCGGGGCGGACTGATTGCCGTCGGGTTCAACGGACTTTTTCTTCCCGCCATCTTCTCCGAGGGCCTCTTTCGATTCGGGCGGGATTTGGGGCTTTTTCTCTTCAGCGTTGACGGGCGCTGCCTCCGAAGCCGTCTCCTTTTCAACCCCTGATTCTTTCGGAGAAGTGGTTTCGCCGGATGGCGCCGAGGCATCCGTCATTTTTGCTGTGTGCACTGGCTGTTACAAATAATAAATTCAACGGGCTCAAGCTAGAAGAACGAAACGACGAGCCCATAGACGGAAATTGGCGCCCTCCAACCTTTAGGCAGACTATCGGCTCATCGACCTCCGCCTAAGGCCTGCTTCGCCCCCAAATCCTTCCACCACCAAAAAGACCACTAAGCCCGCGTGATTATTGGGTAATACCGTTCCACTTTCTAGCCGCTTACACCACCTCTCGTCAAAGTGCAAAATGTAACCCCAGGCGCAGAAGGGTTTGGTTATGTGCCTCAGGGCTGTACAACTCTAGCGGCCTCAGCATGCCTATCTGAGACTTGTCTAGGTAGAAAATGGGGAAACGTCCCACCCATTAGGCACGCTATATGCTTAGGCATATTCGACTTCCTGAACCAGGGTTCTGCTTCACTGCCTTCGCCTCTAAGTTGTCCATGGTGGATATTATGATTATTAAGACCTTTTCAAATAATTGTTCAAATGCGGTACGATGACCTTCGCATCTACCAGCGATCCTCATCCTGAAGTCCCCGAATTTGTTGTAATGACACTTGACGGGAGCCGACATCCAGCGTTGAATGGTGTAGCGGACTCTGGGGTTGTATACCATAGTGCTAGTAACCAATTGCAGAATGCACCAACTTACTCATCAGAGGAGTGAGCTACCCTTTCGCTATATTCGCTAATAAAACCCTCGACTCATCTGATAATAGATATAAGGAATTCTACGGCGAGTGTACAGCACCTGCTAATGAGTTAATCGCCACGGCGAATAAATTTCTCAAGAAGCAAAACCAGCCGTTAATAGAATCAGGGGATCTCACTAATTGGGAGGATGTCGAGAACTCGATGGTGTCAGCATGCAACACACTAGATGCATTATCAATCCAGGACCACAATACCAAAGGATTCACCGGGAAAATAAAGTCGGCTTTCCGTGCTGTGTGCCAGAGGGCGGAGGTTGGTTTGACTTTTGTGTCTATGGTTCCAGATGAAGTCCCTTGTGGTGCCGTACTTTGCGGGGGACTAAAGGCGGTATTCACAGCCTTACAACGGTCGCACGATTATCGCGAGGAAGTTTATAAAGCTATTGAGGACATCCCATATATCATGAAGGACCATGCGTTGCGAATACATATTCATATTCAGGATGAAGAATTGCATAGGCGGAATGCAGGTTTATATGTGGCCCTCTTCCGCTTGATACAACACATCCTCGTGTGGTTCATCAAGAACCGCGCCGGTAATTTAGGCTGTCCATCTAATTGAAATTCGAGTTCTCTGCTAATGGGTTATCCTAGTTACTGGCATAAAACTGCTCGTCAGCCCTCAAAGCTTCACAGAGACTCTGAAGGGCCGACTAGCCGATGTCAAGACGGCCGTTGGGCGATTCGAGGCACATGTACTGAAAATCCGGAACCAGCGCAGCGATAAGTCAATTGAAGAACAACACTGGATAGCCTACACAGTTGGGAAAACCCGCGAAGAAATCGCTTTAATTGGGGCCCGATGTCAAGCGCTCGAGAAGTTCGCCCAGTTTCTTCAGCCAATCCATGATGAAGGTGAGTAATCATCCGCGCAAAAAGAGGGAATAATCAATTGATAAATGTCGTGTAGCCATGCGAAAGGGTGCGCGAAAGCTGCATCGCTTAGAAATGGGCTCATATGGAAACGCGCCTAACGTTGAGTCGCTGCGCAAGGATTTGCTCTGCGAACTAGATTATGACGAATATCTCCTCTACGATGACTGCGAGGCCCTCCTAAGTGTCCGTAAGGGCCTGGGAAACAGGCTAGATGGAGAGCGGATCTTGGAATTCCAAAATCACCCTCAACTACAAGCGTGGATGTCTCTAGATAGTTCGTCCCTTTTACTTGTAGACGGTGGTTGTGAGGTATCGAGTAGTAGTGAGATATCATACGTCGCTGCTCAAGTTATGGAATATGGACTGCAACTTTCGAAGCAACCACAGAATTCAATCGACTCCGGCAGCACTGGTGTGACCATGATACCCCTTGCTTTCTTTTGCAGTCGACATCGGAATAGACGACGAGACATCTTTGGAACCCCTGAAGGGCTCGCCAAAGCGTTATTATCGCAATTGATTGACCAGGTCCGCGCGTTTGGCGCCAAGGAACTCCAAGCTTGTCGGAGGGATCTCAGCGCTGATGACATTGAAAGCCTCTGTAAGGAGTTCAGGAGGCTAATTAAAAAACTACCCGCTAGTGTTATTATTGTGCTTGTGGTTGAGGGTATCGATATACTCACGGGCGAGAAAACAAGGGATGCGCTAAGGTACGTCGTACGGTCGCTGATAGATACCCATGGTGGGAACTATGCCGCGACTCTAAAGTTCCTCTTCACATGTACGACCCTATCGGAGCGCGTGGGAGGTCTTTTCGACGAGGGGGATATTCTTCGTATTCCACGCTTGCTTCGCTCTCAAGGCTCGTATCGTAGCCTCATGTGGAAGGATTCGGAGAGTTTAGGGGCCCTCGGGGGTGCCTGAATGATTTGTCTCGTTACATGATGAATTATCTCCGAACATTCTCGTTATTCCTAGGTTGACAAACGATTTTAAGTCAGCGATGGTTGTATGAACCGGTATGTACCGGTATGTATTACGATGTAAAGCAACGTATAAAATTCGTACCTTAGAAACTCTGCTGCTCCCCAATCTCTATTGAAGCAGTGATCAGCTGTAACGTAGCAAAATCCAAGTCCACATATACTGCGCCGGGAACTTGGGAGCCTTTAGCGTAACGAGGTGATAGATGACCTAAGAGTCCTTCTACCGGCCGTGCATGTTGTTTTGACTCGATTTCATTGTCAGTGTGCCCCTCCACGACTTCAGCGACATCCGCCCTCCCGACAAGCATGAAGGACGTGTTCTGATCGTCATTGACATTAGCAAAGGGTCGCATAACGATTGCAGCATTGCAATCCCAGAATCTGACGATGACATCCCCCGGTTTAGTCGTTGGCGGGATAATCGCGATCTGATTTCCAGTACAGAGGCAGATTGTCGACCCAGTTGAGTGGTTCCGATCTTGTCCTCGCGCATCTTTCCATATCTTCGCGTACTCAGCAATGTACGCGGGGCTGGAGATCTGAGGCCTGCGGCCAGTAAGGCTCCAAGCTGTGACTTTGGGGTTGTCAATGTCGCGGATTCTCGCCATGTCCTGATCCGTGTACTCTAATATTTTGACCATATATTGTTCATTCGTTATTCGTAGCGCTTCTATGTTGGCCGAGTCGGCGTAATGGCTTTCTATGCAATCTAGCCATTCCTGTTCTGAATGATGGCTAACTATTAGAGAGGTGCACTCTGGATCTAACTCTAGCACTTCGCCGCTGAGGTAACCTATAGCCCGGATGACCGGTTCGGAGCTTAGGACCTGGGTTCTGTTAGTTAAGTTAAATCAACGGCATAGGATGTGATACTTCCCTTAGAGCTGTTATTGCCCCTTAACTCCTCTTCTACCTTCTGCCCAAGAGCTTTTTGAACCATTCCAGAGGCCCTTGCAACGTAGAGTTGCTTCTCCTTTCCGACGAGAATATCCCCGCCCGAGAACGAGGATGACCGTGTAACACTTAGGGTTTGTCTGGTACTTCCCCCTTGGGGTTTGAAGTATATATATTTTAAGACATCAACCCAAAGCTCATATAGCGAACGGGAATAATCGATTTTGAACATTCTTTTCCCCTTTGGCGCATCGGGGAGATCCTCATTTTGGAGATCCAGCGACTCAGTGTACTGCCCCATGGGATCTATGCCATCGGTACTTGAGTGTGGCTTGATATCATTCGCCAGTCCCACAAGGCCATAGATCTTGTCTCGTACCTCGCTACTTTTGGCCTCTAGGAAAATTTCTATTAGGTACTCGAGAGTCATCTTATTTTGTGCCTAGCTTCCCTTGTACTTAGAAGGTGGGCCATATTCTCCAGTCCAGTGCCAGATATATTGGGATGTCTCCAGTGGCGCAGATCTTCGCAAGACCATAATTTCGACCCATACGCGAAGTTAAGCCTCTGGGGTAGACATACTTCCTGCACTATCCATAGTCGTGTCCAATAAGTGCTCCGTGTGACACGAGCGAAAGTATTTTCGTCGGGCTCTGCAGAGTAGTCCATACTGGATGGATCGTCGACATATCCAGCTAGGTGTGTCGTTTGTCCAAACTTCCATTCTCTGTGCATGTATTGGAAACTAGTGTATTGGTCTTTGTACTCCTTGACGCCAAGCCATGCTACAACGGTGGTTGCTCGTTTGTAGATGAAAGACATCATGGAAACGTGCATATTCAGCTCCTCTGTGTTCCCTTGGTTGATGCAGATAGCGTCGATCCATAAAAGTAACGGATGTGTCTTAACGCAAGAGATAGGTTGTGTTTCACGGGGAACCGCCGGTTATTGACAATGATGAAGCCTGCTTCGTTACTCGCCGCCATCGCCGACGCCTCAGGCGCTTGTATCCCGTTATCATAGCCAATTGGAATCGTATCTGTGTAGCCACTCGGTGACTCACCTGCGGGTATTGGCGCAATAGGAAGCCTAACGTTGTCTGGATACGAATACCCCCAAGTATATGAGAGTGCCACATACTTCGGCTTCTCACTGAAGACAACCGGTGTGAGTGTCGATATAATCTCGTCATCAAAATCGCCAGGTTCCACAACTAGGACTCTTATGGCGTTCCCTGCTGGATGGAGGGGTGGGTAATGGAAACCCTCCGTCGAGGGTAGTCCGGGTTGATCTTCCATTGTGCGCGTTTTGTGGCGCACCAAGTGGTTCACCGGGTAGATATCTATATCCGCAAGTGAGAAAAAAAAGAAAAACCTTCAGGGGACCTGTATCCACCAACGGTCATAAGACGATTTATTCAGTAGCAGCTTGAAGGGTATTTATACTTGCTATGTTGGGGGTACACCAGGTCGATACTCCTTTTGTGGGACCTACGGGAGGCCTATGTTGATGCTATTGTTGGACTTCATCATGAGGCAAAATGAACACTCCAAGATCCATGCCACTATTTGGCGAGTTTGGATCGGCTAAGACAACTCGGGGCTTAAAATAGTCGCAAAATACAACGTCTGAATACAAACTTGAAATCAGACGCGTGTATGTAAAGGGGATCGGCCAGACGTTTAAAACTATCGTCTATGAGGCCAGCTCAATATATTGTACATCCCCATAAATACGAAGATGACATTGAAAATTGATATGAAAACACTACTTGGAACACTAGAGTCCCCGAATCAAGTTAACTGAACCTTGACGCCATCTAATGGAGACAATATGATTGTGAAGGTCTATTTTTCAGCACCAACAGGCTCATTAGGGGTTCCCGGTGGCAGTCGGACTTTTGGGAAGGCTTGGAGGAGCCGTACCATGGCGTAACTTGCCCCCATTAGTGCGAAATCTCCTATTGATGGTTAGAAGCCGTTTGAGTATTATGTGGGTTAGGTATTGACTTACTCCCAAGGCAGACTCTGGCTCCTCCATGAAAATCTAGAAAACCTGCGCCTGGTTTGACCTTCCTCATTAATTCACCATCCTCCCATCTTTGTGGATGGTAGAGACGCGAACCAACTCCATAGAGGGATTCACGGCGGTGTAGATGGTACGAAGACCATCCTACGCCAGAGTATTTTGAAATGAAGACCGGCGATTTACCATCCGATCCTCCTCCACGAGGAAGTACGGTATTCTTATTGGCGAATCGGAAGTTGAGAGCTAATTGCGGATATAATCTCAGGGCTGCAAGCTTGGTATTAGCAGTTGAGCATATAATAGACGATGTGGGTGGACTTTGGTAGCATACTCTCATTTAAGCAACATCGGAGGAAGGGCAATCTTTGGATTTGCTCTCGAGTAATCTGTGTGTCAAGTGGGACGACGGAGATTTCTCGTTGGAGTCTTTCAAGAATATCTGGGTTGCGAACCAAATGGAAACTCGAGCCAATGTTAGGTATAGAAAATAGTAAGTGGTGTGGCTATAACCTACAAGGTCCAGCTCAATAAGGCAGCCATCGAGTCGCGGCCAGCCATGAGGATATGAAGCAATTGGTCCCTGACGAGTTTTTCGTCTCCCATTTCTCTCCATAGGTCGATAATGAAAGAATACTTCTCAAAAGCCTTCTCCTCTCCAACTTCGTCCTTATACTTCAATGCTCTATCGGCGAAGAATGTCGCCCATTTTCGAACAACCCTATAGGCCTTCTTGAACCTCGTAGGATTATATAATGGAGCGAAGTCAGCTAACCTGACCCGTATTCCAACCCCCAATGTAGCGTAGTCGAAGTTATCACGCAAAGCATCTCGACTTTCTTTTGGTAGACTGCTGTGGGGTTCGCCGAAAAGGAGTTCGGTCGTAGTGTCGAGGGTGAATTCTAAGAAGAACGGCTGAAGGTCTATGACTTCTGCTTGGCCTGCTGCATCGTTTAATTTCGATGTGAGACCTTCGATGTATGGGGTGAAAACTTGAAGGGTTTGCTTCTGAACTCGGGCGAATTGACGTCGGATTGGATCACGGGAGCGCTTCCATGGACCCCCGTCTTGTGAAAATATCCCTTCACCAAGAAACGGAAGCGTAGCTACACGACGATTACCCAAACCGTAATCCTCGAATCGTGTGGAGAGTATTGTTTCGATGTTCTCGGGATCTGTGGTAATGTAGCCAGTTACCCCCCACAGCTCCAGTCTGATTGTGTCTGCAATGGTGATATAATCGGTTAGGGCTTCAAGGGTGTGGCCACTGAAAAGTGCGTCGAATTGAACTTTAAGGAGGTCTAGGGCTAACGGCCATTTGTACGGCACTCTAGGTAGTACGGGTTCGCAATTGTATTGTTTTGTGAGCACGAGCTCTTGCTATATTAAAGAAGGCAATATTTGTTAGCTGGTATAATTTGACCTTAAGCTATAGTCACTCATATACCCTTTTCTGACTTCTTCTGTTGGAACATACATAGGCCAATACTGTGAATAACAAGCCCACGAGTACCGGGCGTAGATTGAAGGTGGAATTGCCATGGATACTAGAAACATTTTGTGTGGGCAAGGAGTTTGAGTTGGAAGTGGTGGATGGCATATTATCAATTCGGCCCACGAATAGGGACAAAGCAACTCAACCATGGAACATATTCAGAGGCTAAATCAAACCTCCAGATAGCGTCGTCGCCAGAAGCTCGTTATGAATTTTTAGAAACCATTTCAGTTGAATATGTGGGTGCAAGCCTCAGCACTCAGAGGTACAGGGGAACATATCCAATAAGCACCTCCGGTATACTTAATGCGGAATCTTACTGCTGCATGGCATGCACACCGGTAGCAAAAAAATACAGGCTTCACCGGTTTGATAGTGGCTGGCTCACCAAGCGCTACACTTGCTTTTGCAGCAGCTCTGTAAGATTACAAAACTAGGTAGTATTGCCTGAGCGAGCGCCACCAAAAGTCCGTTGACCCACCACCCCTCAAATCAGAGCAGCTCCCTAACCCCCAACAGACAAGATAATTAGGATGGTCAACTTTGTGGTAAGCGGACGAACGCCGAAGATACCCAGGCACCTAATTAGAAGTGGAATTATCTATTCTGAGGGCGGCAAGATACAGGTATGGTATTGAAACTGGGATGCTGCAATGACCCGTGCCGGGAGGTGGTGGCTGGGTGCATGCAGCTGAACTGCCCCCCAGTCATGCAACAGATCTCCGATCTGTCCCTAACCTGTTGGTTGTTTGGGCGGCTGGGTAACGATGGATCTTACGTACCTAAATTAAGTCAATCAATGGCCGTTCTACCTAGGTGGGCTCTGGATGCTATAACGATTGATTATTCGAGCGTATCCAGGTGGTTATGATCGTGTAGCTAAGAAGATTTGCGATACGTACGAATCAACAACTGATCTTGGCACGGCAGATTTATTGGTACATCTCAAGAGTGTTCAGGGCTCTATTAAACAGCTCAGCGTACTGAACCCCGAGCCGGAAGGTGTAGATCTACTTGAACAGATCTAGGACCCTATCGTAGCAATACAATCGATTGATAATCTGGCTACAAATGAGCGGAGACACCCTTCACTACGGTTCAGTTCTCCATCGCCGGCTGATCGTGTTCATCTGGAAACCATATGCCGCAGCACATTTAAAGTAACGCGAGAATTCATTACGTTAGTCGAGCCTTTAAACTCAAAGGTGAAAGATATCGCCAACAAAAGAGATAAGAGGGTAACAGAGAAAAGGCTTACAAACTATACATGGTATGGGGAAACGTGTTGTGCATTGAGGCTCTACGCAGAAATTCTCGGAATCCTATTCTCTTCGATATCCTATCTTTGCCACAAACAGATCACTAGCGAAGATGGCGGCTTATCAACAAAAGCTTCTAAATCTGCTTCTGAACTTCGGGTCCAAGTCACTTCAGTCGAGCCAAAATTACATAGCACTGATAAGACTGTAACTAAAGAGGTGTGTATAAACTTGATAAATATCTCCTCTTCTTCAACTAAGAGAATGTATTAGCTACGGTCGGCCGTGGACGTCGCAAAGGGGATATTATTACAAGTATCCTTACCTTCGATCAACGTACACTTCGACATCACCAGATCTCCAACGACCCATTACACAGAGAGAGAGAAGCAAATGGCCAAATTAACGTCTGCATTTGCTGAAACTCACCATACTAGGCAGAAGAGGTTTGTTGTTTATGGCCTAGGTGGATCAGGGAAGACTGAACTTGCCCTAAAATATGCCGATGACAACAAAGAGAACTTCTGAGCCGTTTTCTTCGTCGACGCGAGTTCCCGCGAAAATGCATCAGCAAGTTATTGTGAGATCGCGAAGACTGGGGGCAATGAACCTAACGAAAAGGCTGCCAAAAACTGGCTTGCCACGCGTCAGGCTCCATGGCTTTTGATCATTGACAATGCAGACGATAACGAGGTTCCGCTTGATGAAATACTCCCCACAGGAAACACTGGATGTGTCCTAATTACATCTCGGAATCCTGCACACAAATCCTACGACACCGTCGGTGAGAAATATTTGGAGTTATTCCAAATGGACACGGAGGAAGCAAACGAGCTCATCCTTAGAACGGCCGAGGAACCAGCCCCATGGGCAGTATCGCTAATGAACATCGCCCGCGATATCTGCAAGGCTCTTGGATTCTTTCCATTAGCTTTAGTCTACGCCGGGAAGACTATTTCTCATAAAATTTGTTCTTGGAGCGAATATCTTGATTTCTATGACCATCATGTGCGTCGGATTCAGCGAGGACACCAACTACAACGCAACAGGAGTTCTTCCGGAGATAAACCCCGGGCCCAAAAACATGATGACTACATGAACGTATTTTCTACTTACGAGATAATATATCGATCCCTTGAATCGTCTAAAACCGAGACATTCCAAGATGCGGTCGAATTACTCCAGCTATTTTCCTACTTCCATCACCAAAATATTCGGATAAATATATTAATTTCCGCGGCTATCAACCCAATAAAGGAGAAACATGCACAAGAAGAAAAGGTAAAGTCAGAGGAGCAAATCCGAAAGAGGATGCCGAATTTTGCAAGAAAAAAGACCTGGTCTACATGGCTGCGAGAGTTATTAATTCAAGTTTCCAGAAGTTTAAACAGCCCACCCGCACTCCCAGCAGCCTTGAAGAACATCAACAGTCTCAACGCATCTAAATACGAGAATGAAGTAAAAGATCGTCTTCGCCTTGCTTTGCATGCTTTGACCGAGAAGTCGCTCATAATGAGGAAGAAAGGGGACAAGGAACAATTCTCCAGTATGTGATTCTGAAAGTTACCCCGCCCCCTATTTGACCCTTGACATATGTAGCCCGGGCCAACTAGAGAATCCAGTCTAACTGATCATTATTATAGTGCATCCAGTCGTCCATAAGTGGATAAGAGAACGACCTGAAATGGCTACGTCTGAACAAGCACTCTGGTGTCAAGTCGCATCGACAGTCTTAGCGAGAAGTATTCTCTTTCCGCCCTTAGGGGACACGGAGACGGAGCGGGGCATGCGACGAGAGCTTTTACCGCATATCATTCACGTTCGTGGCTGTCAAGGAGATATCAAAGAACGACTGGAAGAAAATAGGAGGACTAGGAAGTACTCAGCTTGGCCTGCAATCTCTACGGGATTTGGGAGACTCGAAGCACTTGAATCAGCTCGTTTTGGTCAAGTATATTCGGAATGCGGCCTTTTTCAGGAAGCTTTACGGCTACAGAATAAGGTACGCGACTTCGCCATCCGAATGTTAGGCGAAGGCCACCCAATCTCAATTAAAATCACCCTCCTTCTTGCAGGCACACTTTACGAACTCGCCCGAGCATCAGAATCAACGAGATTGCAACGGCGGATATACGATGTCTGTACAGAGTCGCTAGGCCAGTATGACCCTCTAACGCTGAAGGTAACGGATATGCTAGCTTCGAGCCTTTGTTTCATGGGCCAATTCAGCGCGTCCCTTTCTCTCCACCAAAAGGCAGTAGATGGTTTAACGAAAATCTATGGTGAGCAACACATAGAAACACTTAAGGCTATCCACAATGCATCTCGCGTTCACCTTCGATATATGGACTTCGAGAAGTCTTCCGAACTTAATCATACAGCTTGGGAAGGGATGAAAAAGCAGTTGGGCGAGACGCATCCCGAGACGCTCATCTGCCTCGAAGATTTAGCTATGAGCCGTATCCGTTTGGGGGAAAGGTACCTAACAGAGTGCCATGATATGATGACATTCGTTTGCGAGCAGAGAAAAGAAGCTCTGGGTAAAGAACAGCCATATACACTACTTGCCATCTGCAATTTAGGCCGTGTAAAATCCGCAATGGGACAGCATAGAGAAGCAGCGGATGACATGAAAAAAGCAGTCATTGTCGCAGAACGAAACCTCGGCGAGAATCATTTCGGGGTTCTCGCGGGAAAAACTCACTATGCCCAGGTGCTAGTCCATCTTAAGTGCTACAAAGAGGCCGAGGAGATTTTCTACACGATTACTCGCAAGCCGCAGTATCAAAAGTCAACTGACGATGAAGGCGGGGAACACCTAGATCGACTCATTGCCCTATGGTATTTAACAGGGTGTCTGGAGAAACAGGGAAAGTTTTAAGAGGCATTGAAAACTTGTGAAGAGGTGATGCGATCTTTGAATGAAATAGGGGTAAAGGATTGGGTACGAAACATAAGCTTGCTACGATGGTGCAGGAAGAGCTCGCGAAGATTAAGGAGCTAATACAGGGCGAAAAGAAGTTAGCACCATCCGACCCAAGCGTCCCTGCAGAGCTCTGAATAACGATGCGATATTATTCATTGAATACATGCTCTAGCAGGCGACTCGGATTTAATAGCGGAGATACTATGGGCTAAAATCCGAATACCTCCGGAATCGATGTAATCATTGAACAACCAAGCCCCTCTTCCTCACAATAACGAGCGTCAAGATACCTCGCTGAATCTATTTCGATCCAGAAATCACTCCCTGTTGAATACTAATTTCCGTGAGAAGTCACATTCGCGAAAACGGGTCTTCAAACAGATGGAACTCACCTCGTGGGGCTACTGCCGCAGCGTACATCACAATCGCTGTTTCCGACCTGTCTTTTCCTACTGCCCATACGTCGGCTTTCTTCTCCCAGAACGTGACTAACTTGTCGGCAACTAATGATGTCCAGAACGACGTCTTGCTACACTTGAGCCCAATGCTCATCGCGAAACTTGAAATCGCCGTGTGCTTCGTCGTGTCCAAATCCAGAGAACCATCTTTCCCTTCGGGGAGGCATCCTTCGAAGATGCTCAACGCATCCTGGACCAATTGTTTTTCCATAACGCCGTCAGGGTTGAAATGTGATATCCACAAGGCGAACCCAGCGTCGAGGGGGTCTTCTAAATGCAACAGGTGTTCTTTGCTTTGTAATGACCCGGTAGTTCGGTAGACGAGGTTCAAAAGACGGGACTGCTTATGATTTAATAGTTCCGCGGAGAATAGCAGTATTTTAGTAACGACCCCAATATAGTAAGTGCCCATCAGGCCGATATCGTGGCCTTTATCAATAATGCTCTGTAGGTCGTCTTCCGGGGATTTATGAGGGGACTTGCGAGGAGATTTACCACCAATTCGAGCAATCCCACGGTGTTCAGCATCGGAGAACAAGTCATTAGCAACTTGTACAGCCAAGTCGAGCCAATCAGCATTATCCGTCGCCAAACTCAAGCGGCCTAGAGCGAATATCCATATCACCTAGGGCCAGATAGTCACGCTGCCTATATCGCCGCTTCTTACACCACCAGATAATTTTAGCCCCTTGACGGCTGAGGAATCGGCTAGGATCAAGTGGGTTAAAGTTGCTAAGGTAGTGGCGAGCGATAGATAGTCCTTTGAATGGGTCTCGGCGTACATGGATAGAAAGTTGATTATCGCCACTCCATCTGTCAAAAGATGGCGTTTCCACGGAGTTGATAGAGGAGGCGGAGTCCATATAATTACGTCCAACCCCAACACTTCTTTGAAACGATAGACTTCATCCATCGCATTTTCGCAAAGTTGCAGACCCGCGTTTCCGGATTTCACCACCGGCGTTGATTCCTGACTCATTTTGTGAATAGGGTTGAGGTTTCGATTAGACGGCCTGATAATATTTTATTTGGAAACTTGAATGAATGTCGAAGGATTACTATTCAATCAATACTTCTGTATTCGGAATGCTTCGGGGGATTATTTAAGGATTAAGTTCAGTTAAGTGAGCGTGGTAAGAATTAGATACAGACGCTGAATAATTATTTAAGCTTATTCTGATGGGATCAAATTATAGTTTCAGGGGCAGCGTGTTCCTCTCAATACCTAGGTACACTCAGGGGTAAAGTAGAGTAAGAGCCAATACCTTAGGTACGTGTAAGGAGGTACCTAGGTGTCTCAGAAGCGTCGATCTACAGGTCATTGAAGGCGCCTACTAAGTATCCATATGTACCAGGTAACAGAATCTATGAATTGTATTCGTGCAGTCGTTTTCACGATTCGAAATTATCATAATTTCCCAAAACCAAGTTCTTAATATGCTCTTTAACCATTGACTTCATCGTCAATACAGTCTTCGTCGAGAAGTAACCTACATGCGGCGAGAGAGTAAGATTGAGGTCTTTGGTATCATCAGCTAGAAAAGCGCTGTCCTCCTCGGTACAGGCGGGCTCTCGGTCATATACGTCCACCGCGACGCCGGAAATGCGCTTCTCCCGCAGAGCCCGTATCACCGCGGGGTTGTTCATAATGCCCCCACGAGACAGATTGATGATGACGGCTTCTGGCTTCATAGCGCTAAGCTCGGGCGTGTCGATCATATTGCGCGATTCCTCTTTGAATGTGCAGCAAATGAAGAGCACGGTAGCTGATTCAATGACTTCTTCGAACGGGACACGGGAGCGGGTATAATCCCTATGAGAAGGTTCCGAGGGTTGGATACCCTTTTTTCGCTCAGCCACGAGCACCTCCATTCCTAATGCCTTACAAAAGACATCGAGGCGCTTGCCTAACAGATGGTTAATTAAGGCAAGCAAATCATGATCAATTGTACGTACCAATATTGCCGAAGCCAATAATACCAGCCACTTCTTGCTCAAGGGAGCATGGCGCATGCCCATTTGCGGTCTGCATTTTGAATGCGATGCTATTATGCCTTTTCCACGAATTTTTGCCATCCTCACCCACAGTCCGCAGCTCATTTTGAAGCAGGACGGTTTTTCGCCTAGCCGCAAAATACTCGAATCCGAGTTAATAAAAACAATAATGTTAAGGCTTTGGAGTTCTTCGTAACTCACCAAACTCAATGCGTGCTCTGCAACTGCGGGAGAAGTTGATCCGGCGCATTTCGCTACGTGGATACCACGACGGCGGCACTCTTCTATATCAATATGATTTGTGCCAGCTGTGGGCGTAATCACGCATTTCCTTATTAGTCAATGAGAGTTCTGACAGTGTTCGATCTGCGTCAACATACAGGTAAGGCGCTTCACCCAGACTCTCAGCTGTGATGAATGCCTGAGGTGCGATGACGATACTAGCACACTGGATGCGCTCGCGCACCTCATCCGCTTTGGTGATGCTAAAATACGAGATGAGTTCGTGTGAGTGTGGTGCTGTGTCAACTTCCCCAAGCACTAGATGCGTTTCCTCAAGCATTACAATGACTTCGTGAGTTGACGAAGGCATTCGCTTCGGCGCCTTTAACGTATTCGTAGCCATTGCGTCTTATAATTTCTTGAAAATTGCAATGTCCGATAGCGTTGATGGGGGGTTAGACTTATTGCCTTTAATACAAAGAACACGGAACGAACGGGACTCGGTCAAGCGCCTCATGCAAGGGATTCACACCGTAGAAATAGGCACTTGATATATACGTGTAAAAAGAGTAACATGAATATGAAACTTCAATCAACCAACATAACGATTATTCTCCATATTTCTTGAGGTTTACCTACCTAGGTAAGTCAATTATGATGAGCCATGCCGACGAACCCGGCCAGAGGCCTGATGGCTCCACCCGGCTCCATTATAATCCCCTGCATTCGTCCCAGTCCACCAGAAATTTGCGAAGAGAATCTTCAAAATGGGAAGAGTATGGTGTGGATATGAAGTTGTCATTTCTAAGTGTGCTACTCGTGAAATATCTGATGCAGCAAGTTAGAGAAGTACCTATGTATCTTTGGATGTCTTACATCACCCCTCTCCCATCGTAAATACGGCCCTTCTAAGCTATCTCCTATCTTTACGGCGAGCTGTACATACCTAGGTACCTACGCAACTGGGGGGAAAGGTACTTGTAATATGGTACCCCTTGTTTGTTCGTACCGGAGCTCGGAGCCGAAGCGACATCGGGATGGTTTTGATAAGGTACCTTACATGTTCCTTAGGTACCGGTATACAATAAAATGACGACGATAATATCAAACTACCTACTTGATTACTTAGGTAATTTACCTGGTATGGCAATCGAAGTTAAATCGCTTCGTTATAATGTCGTCTTATAATCTATCACGCTGGTATTCGCCATTCACAATACTAGCACTTGGTCCCGGATGGCTTCTTTTTCAAAAGCGGCCCCACTTCTATCAGCTCAGCCAGTTCCTCAGTCAGCTCACCTACTTAGCTATTTGATCAAGATACCAACTTCTCCCTATTGCCTTGAACTCATGTCTCATCCAGGTTGGTGCTACCGCTTATACGAGATATTGTACTCGACGTGTGAGAAGCCGGTAAGAGTTTATCGTTGGCTCGTTCACCCACGCCAAGGATGCCCCTATCGCGCACCTTCGTGAGGGTGAACGAGCACCACGGAGAAAAAAATTACAGTCTTCAGAGATCCATGTTTGCCTAATGAAGAATTAGCGTAGGTTCTTAAACAAAAGAAAATGGTTGCCAAAGGGATGGCGACATCCTCGGCAATGTTCAACCCTTGATTCGTTAGTTGGGAAATAATGCCTTTTACACAATTATAGCGGCGGAAGATACACATTTCATTCAAGCTTTTCTCCCCCATCTCGGTTTATCTCGCTTCCTGATGCTCTCATAGTTTAGGAGCATCCATTTTCGAAATATTAAAAATGCCTAATCCCAAGGAAGTGAATGCCGTCGACATGGCTCAGAATAAACCCTCTTTGAGTCCGATTCTCGGCTCGGATATGCCCCCCCAAGTCGATGAAAACAGGCTCACCCGCAAAATTGACTTGCACGTAGTGCCGATTCTATTCGCCGTGTACATCGTAGCATTTCTTGACCGGCAAGCTGTCCCTTTCTTTGCTCGATGCCTCTATTCTAACTCTTGATTGTAGTGTAAACATCTCCAACGCACTCACGTTAGGTTTACCTGAGGAGCTCGGTCTTAAGGGTGAACAGCCAAACATTGCCCTTACGATATTCTTTATACCATATATTATCTTTGAAATCCCCTCAAACATTTTCATGAAGAGGCTGAGCCCTCATATCTGGCTTTCGGGTTCAATCTTGTGTTTCGGAGTTATCATGATAGGGCAAGGCTTTGTGAAGAGTTACCGTGGATTACTTGCCGCCCGATTCTTCCTAGGGCTCGCGGAGGCCGGCATCTTTCCAGGTAGTTTCTACTTGATTAGTTTTTGGTATAAGAAAGAGGAGGCTCAAAAACGATTCACTGTGTACTAGTCAACTACCATCTTTGCCGGGGCTTTCGGAGGTTTGCTCGCTAGTACCATAGCTAACATGGAAGGCATCCGAGGCCTTAGCAGCTGGAGGTGGGTCTTCATCCTGGAGGGTATCGCAACCGTCTTGATTGGCATTGCGTCTTTTCTCTGTATTACAGACTTCCCGCAGCAAGCAAAATGGCTGTCTAGAGAGGAAAGAGAGTTTCTGTTGAAGACAAGAGCCGACGAATCTCCGATAACTCCGATTACCACCGAAGATATACTTGCATTTTTCACGAAACCGGAGCACTGGTTCGGTGCCCTCATGTACTTCTGTAAGCCTGCCTAAATCCCGTCTAAGCACCCGGTCCTAACTCGTATTGCTACTAACACTGTGCAGCTCTGCTGGTTCTCGCTTATTCCATCGTATACTTTCTTCCCACCATTGTCCAAGCTCTTGGCTACTCAACTGTACAAACTCAATTACACTCAGTTCCCCCATTCGCCGCGGCTTTCGGGTTTGCCGTGGTAGTAGCGTACATGTCTGATAAATGTCGGATGCGTTCGCCCTTCATCTTTTTCGGTCTCGCGCTACTCATCACTGGTCTTGCTATTCTGATCTGCGTGCGCGGCGCGGCGCATTTCTCGGTTGAGTACGCAGCACTTTGCCTTATAGCTATGGGCTCCTTTGGAGTCGGCGGGAACATCGTTTGTTGGTATATCATGAACCTACGGGGACATGTAAAGCGAAGTATTGGGTCGGCGTGGATGATTGGGTTTGGGAATATCGGTGGGGTGATCTCCACATTTCTATTCGTGAAGAAAGATACGCCATACTACCATTCCGGATACTCTGTTTGCCTTGCTATGGCTGCTCTCTGCGTATTCTCGTGTGCTGGGTACGGTCTACTCGTAAGAAAAGAAATTGCCAAGGATAAGAAGCTTGCGGGAGGGGACTTGGTAAAAGAGCCACTATACCTCTAACTACTTCTATGTAGGAGGTACCTAGGTGGTTGTAAATCGCTGCGGATTTTGGAAGCGCAAACCGTAACTTGGGGGGGCGATTCGCCAACCTCTCTGATATATCAAAATCTTCTTACGTACCTAGGTACCTAGGTACACACGCTGACACGCAGGTCTCAAGCGCCAAGTAATGGAACGGGATCAAACCCCTTCTAGGCCTAGTAAATGTGGTCATCGATAGACTAATATTATTGAAGCTGCAACTGAAAATAAGCCAAAAAATGGTATTCTTCTGAGGCTAGAATACAGGTCATGTTTTATTCACTTAATCCCGTCAATTTCAAGCTCTCCTCCCAGAGTCTCTTTTCCGTTGGGGGGTCAAAAGCATGTGCAGCATAGCCACCCCCATAAAAGGGAACATCTGGGGGGCTAAGCTCAGCTACAGCAACCTCATCAAGGTAAATTCCGCCTTTACCCTCCAATTCCTTTGCCACAGCAGCCCAGACAGCGGTTGCCGCACCCTGGGCGGGGGTCATTAAAGTCTTGGCAATAGCTGGATCCCCCACGATATGCGCGGTGCTAGGCATGTGCCTTGCGAGAGGTGTCATAATGCCACCTGGGTGCGTGGTTACAGCCCGTAAATTCTGGGACTGAAACCTACGGTCTAATTCGTTCGCGAAAAGAACGTTGGCAAGTTTGGATTGATTATAAGCCGCCCACGTATTGAATTCGGTCCTTTCGAAATTGAGGTCATCGAAATTGATTTTGCCCGGCCGGTGGCCGGCGGAAGATACCGATACAACACGAGAATTGAAGGAAGGGCTTGCAGACGCTAAAAGAGCATCTTTCACTAAGTGGAAAAGGTAGAAATGGCCTAAAGAGGCGTCAATTGCTAGACATACGATATATATAGTTTTCTGAAAGTACATACCTAGATGGTTTGTGCCGAGTTGCAAGTCGAATCCATCCTTAGTTTTTCCTTCAGGACAAGCCATGATCCCTAAACCCAGTAAGCGGAGTTTTGGAGCGTCAGAAACTCACCCCTTGGGATGAAAATACTTACCTGCATTGTTGATTAGGACATTGAGCTTATTGCCGCTCTTACGGAGGAATTCTTCTGCCCCGGCTTTAATGCTTTCCAACGAACTCAAGTCTATCTTAATAACTTCGACCTTGCCAGGCTTCCCATCTGCCAAAATCTCCTCGGCGACTTGCTTGCCTTTAGCAACATCTCGAACGGTTATAAAGACGTCGGCGCCAGTTAGATGAATGGCTCTTGCTACTTCGGGTCCGAGTCCTCCGGGTGAGCAACCCGTGACGAGTACAACTCTACCAGTCCAAGAAGGGCTCGCAACAAGACCCTGGTCTTCGATGATCCGGGATGCTGTCGGGCGCGCATCACCTGGACCTTGAGGATCCTTGTGTTGTTCTGCGTAAGGAGCAATACGTACCATCTTCAGCTTATTGGTCGTACGATAATTAATTTAAAAACGATAATAATATCAAAAATTGCTTTTGACTACCTCACCCGGGCAATTGGTTTTAAAAACTCCGGAAGAGATGTGATAAGTCCGAAACCTATTATAAATTCGAAAGGCCACGGATTGTCCGCGGTACGCGGATCCGGAGTAAGAGCTGATTCATGACGGGCATTACCCTTGTATAATCCCTGCTCAGCCTGCTTAAAGTGGAATCTGTAGTAGAAGGTTGCGGGCACTAATGCATGTCGCACAAGGAATTCCCATAATACTGGGTTTTTCTCCGCATGATCTCGCCTTTTTAGTGGCCTGTGCCGCACCCAGTTTGAATCAAAACGAGATCAATCATCTCTTCATCCATTTCGGCGATATTTGATCATACGCTCGTTAACTATATCGTCGCTTACTGATAAAGACGCCATAATCACGTTCTTGATCCAATATTGCAAAGATTCGGACTGTCAGCGGTAGGATCAAGAAGCATGCTGTTCTTTAAGAACGGTCTTGTCAAGTTCGACGACAGGGATAATACCCTTGGCTGTGAGAATATAGCTGCTCTCATAAGCAGGGTTAAGGATCGGTCCACGCTAACAACACTCGCTACTAGGTAACATTCACTCGACTATTGATGATAGCTAGTCACTAAGTTAATGGGGCATCATGAGTACCACATTTTGGAGGATCGCCCAAATTCAATTGCAAACACATAAAAGGATGGAATGGCTCAATATTAAGACTGAGGAAGATCCGAAACCAGAACTTAGATGCACAGAGTGTATTTAGGAGTCAAAGCACCTCTATCGACTACTATCGACTACTATCGAAGGCCTACTTCTACTCTCTGGAGGCTATGAAGTGATGATAGGAGGATCTACTAAGCGAGAAATCTAGGACTTACCATGTACTGGGGAGACCAGCTCTGCCATGCCGATCAGCTTTGCTGACTGGCGACATTGGTGGTGAGGAGGCACAAAGTCCAACAATGGCCATCGGCTACGGAAAAACTCACCAGGCCATTCGCTCTCTTACAACCCGCCCTTTTTATCGGGTAGGTTGGCAAGATGACGCTCGACTAGAAAAGGCCCCAACATCCCTCTGAACTCACTCCTTGCACAAGACGATTAAACTCGCAAACCTCGGTCTTTCGTTCAAATGGGGTCCTTTTCTCGACTTCTGGCACTTGGCCTCCTGCTTCTGCAGCCCTTTGTAGCTAGCTTTGGTGTGCCTCACTATTTCCAGAGCGAGCCCCTTACTCGTCGTGACCTATCTCCTGCAAAAGTGCAGACAGAGCTGGGAGCTCTCATATCTAAAAATTCGACTATTTTCGGGCCAACAGACCCCCGGTTTCCTAATGCCACCGAACGATACAATACTGCGGCTCCGCCCCATATCGAAGTGGTTGTAATTCCGGGGTTAGAAAGCGACATTCCAACTATCGTACGAGTTGTAGTAAATTAGGCATAGATACATTAACTAATATTTTCTTAGGTTAAGTACTGCAATGAAAATAGCATCGACTTTTTCGCAATCAATCGGGCCCACGCTCGAACTTATACCGTCGGAAGCTTTACTGGTTTAATGATTGATATGGGAGGGCTGTTAAACATTGAAATCCAGCCTGACAATAAATCCGCATGGTTTCAAGGTGGAACGTACGATGGACAAGTCATGTCTTACCTGTGGGAAAAGGGTTTCGTTGCAAGTAAGTAACCCACCGATATGCTAATCAGAGACTGTTACTGATATTAATATTAAGCTACCGGGAGCTGTGACTGTGTCGGCATGATGGGCCCTGCACTTGGAGGCGGACACGGTCGTAATGAAGGCCTATATGGCCTAATTAGCGACAATTTCGTCAACCTAAATGTTGTCCTAGCCGACGGTACTGCTATTCGGGTCAATGAGACAAGCCATGCAGATCTGCTCTGGGCAATGAAGGGCGCCGGCCACAATTTTGGTATCGTTACAAGCTTTGAATTGAAGATCTATCCTCGACAAGTAGACACATGGTATTACCACAACTACATCTGGAAAGGAGATAAGCTTGAAGAGGCTTTTGAGAAAGCGAACACGTTCCACGATAACGGCAACACACCTGTGAATATGGCTTTCAATTATGCAACATTCTTACTAAACGAGACAATCAGCAAGACTGAAGTAAGTTTTCAATTTTTGCAACTTTACACCACTTTCGAGAACCCCTTCTAAATATTTAATTATTAGGCTATTATATCCTGGTCATTTGCATATCGTGGATCTGCGGAGGATGCAGAAAAGCTTCTTGTTCCATTCAACGAGATAGAAGCCGTCTATGAAGAGACCGGGGATGTTTCTTTTCCTGAAATATCCGAGGTTCAAGCAACCGCCATTGATGACCCAACTTGTGCTCGAAACAACTCATGGATCATGTCTACCGCCAATCTCAAGATTTATAATATCACAACAACGCGCCAGGTTTACGACCTCAATAATGAATACATCAGGAAGTACCCTCAGTTGTTGAACCCTAGTGTCCTTCATGAAGGATATGCAAATGTTGCAGTCCGCAGATTCAAGTCTGAGGATTCTGCTTACCCTTTTAGGGATTATAATCACCTAACGTATGTAAACACACGGTCCAATTTACAAGACAGACTTCATTGAACTAAAGTTAATTACTAGGTCATTCCAAGTCGAGGTTCCCCCGGGATCTAACTTGACGCCCGTCGCGCTTCAGTGGGCTGCCGATCTAAGAACTCTATGGAACGATGGGCAGCCCGATGTCCAACCTTCAAATTATGTTAACTACGCGACTGGGTTGGAATCTCTGCCGTCTATATATGGCTATGAGGAGTGGCGTCTGCAAAAACTTCTTGACTTGAAGAAAAATTATGACCCGCAGAATCGTTTTCGGTATTACAATCCCCTTATTTCAGAGGGGAAGGCATAAGGCTACATATCTACCTAAGTATCTATACCTACTCCAAGTATGGAGGTAATCTTTGAGGGTTACTCGATTTACCACACTCGTCTGTAAAAATTGTTAATAAGTCGAACGGAGCGGTTCATTTAATTATTGTTTTCAATAGCGCACCAAAATCTTGTCAGGTTCAGGAAAATGTGCAGGCATAAGGAGGTAGGTACCTAGGTACCTAGATAATTCGCCAGTAATTAGCGGTACTATTGTCTCCACTTAAATTTACCCCTTTTCAGAATAATTCGAGAAACCACTGACACCGCGTAAAGGCCGCTGAGTTTGCACGATCAAACAAAAGTCAACATGGCAAGTTTTGGCATGAAGTGGATAGCATGAGAGTTCTTAATTCTAATTTTCTATGTGGAAATTCTACTATCTGACAGTGCATGCTCATCCAATGACTCCTAGACCGCAATACGTTGTAGCGTCAAGAAAGAAGGCTGCATCAACACATCAATCTCTCTTGACTTCCGAACCTCATCCGCCTTCGGCCCGAAGTACCTTCCTGTCCGAAAGCTAATACTCAGGTCAGCTACATTTCACTGTGTTAGGCCAGGTGGATGCTCCCTACCTCCAACTAAGGTTTGCTTGGACGATGTTCTGGATGCCTTGGATGTATTGACGGACTTGACCATCAATGTTTTCTCCCCAGGAAGGAAGCGATTTTACAGCATCGTCCCAAAGAAGGAATCGCATATCGACCATAGAAGCAATCTCATCGAACGCTTCCTGAGCCGACAAACCATTCATTCGACATACAGCGACCATGTTGAACGGACAGTTTTCACCCTGCAAAGACCTTAGCATTGAACGATGTTAGTTGTACATCATTACTAACCTCTTCTTTACGGTATGACAAGATGTCATTCATTCTATAACCGTGTCAGCAGATCTCATTCGTCATCTCGATAGATCTTACTTACAGCATGACAAACTCAGCACCTAAGTTTTCTAATGTTTGAATCGTATGGTGCTCAAACACCTCATCCGGAATATCTAATTCGTAGGCGAACTCGATTAATGGGTACATTGGAAAGACGCCTATCGACATTCGTCGCGTGTCAAGCATCTCCACGATGGTTGGGTTTCGGTCGGCCGCATGGTCTTCGACGTGTTGGAGCGCACCAGCACAATAGGACCTCATAGCATCGACATATCTTTTCACAACACCTAAGGCCAAGCGTATTAGACTTATCTCCTATATTAGGTTTCAAAAACATACTTGGTGGTGAGCCCTGGACCAATTTGTTAGCACTACTCATCGTAACTTGGGATGATATGACGGATTCAACTCACTGCAGCGAAGCGTCTATATATGCTGTCGTGTGCTTTTACTACTGGCTCTTCCGATAATCGTTTGACATCAGGGAGCATGGCGGACAATAGATTGTTGATAATCCGTTGTGAGGTATCCGGATCGTCAGTCAGTTCACCTTCATCAAACACTAACACGGGATATAGTTAGTCAAGTACAGCATCAGTAACTTTATTGAACGATTTCATCTTACTGTCATCGAACAAGAAAACCTGTTATCATCTTCGTCAGTTAAGTTGATGATAATAGACAGTTCATTTAAACTTACCCAGTTGCCCCAATCAGACACAATCTTCAACCTTTCTTGCGAAGCTAGGGGAACCAAGACGGCGCAGAAGTACGAAAAATCGCAATAGTTGACCCTCTTGTGCTGTTTTGGTGTCAGGGACATAATCCTATTGCAACTGTTAGGTTCCTACGTTCTAAAGGGGGGCGAGGACCATAAACCTTTGCAGCCAGTTTTCCGATTCCGGCCTGACGGTCGTATAGTACGGATTGAGCACGGGCTCGCTAACTAGGAAGCCCTTGAACATATCTGGTAGAGAAATGATGACCCTGCGGTCTACTGAATCGAACGATGTAAGAGACATGGTGGTAGAGAAGTGATGGTGTGATCCACGTTATGGTGTTGTTAATGTCTGTTGAAAAGAGCTCAAGTAGAGACTATTATGAGCGATAGCAATCTCAAAGGCATCTTCATATTGAATCCCGTGATAACAGTTTAAGCTTGATAGAAAAATTTGGTGTTCACTCCTCTAGGCACTCTACAATCCATGCCGAGTAAGCTTAGTAGTCACATGCTAGATAATAGCCTCGTCTCGAAGATAGGTAATACAGGCATATCCTCCTTCGTATGTCGATATGCTCTGATATGACGAAGTATCTCCGGATAGGGGCGTGAATGAAGTAAAGGTAAGGAACCTATATCTCATGATGTTCTAGAGCCTCTGCATGTCAGCTCGTTGGTTGCGTATCACAGAGCGACACCGTTTGAGAGTCATCGTCGGTATCTAATCCACCTTTGCCTATTAGCTATGAGATAGACGTTCAGATTACCTTATGAGTAGAAGGATCTAGGGCTTACGCTTCCACGTGTGCTCCTCGTGTTTTTCAAGTCCTACCTAAGCAGGTATTTAAGTTGCACAATAAGCTGCTCCTTATTAATCGCAGATCTGCTATGGCTTAGATGCAAATAAGCAATATTTTGAGGTATTTCCTAGAGGTTGTTTGTTCACCCTTGCATATTGTGACGGCTTGGTATGAGGTATTTAATGTTACACAGGGGAGTGTCATTGACGGCTGAACTGCTCGTATACAAGGTTGATCGACGCCACATAGTCACATAACGCCCAACATCAACGGCTTTATCGTTGATTGGCCATCGGGAAGCATTCAGGGAGTATCCGTGATTAACCATTAGCGACCCACAGGGTGGCGGGCACTAAGCCGAGTCCTTCTCAAGGGCTGCGGGTCCTGCCGCATCCATGTGGCTCAGCACTGTAGATAATGGTTATACTGGTACTCATATGTAGTTTGATAACACACATCTATACCAGGTAGCTTATCTGCTTACCTACCTAAGAGATTAGATAATTCTACTGCTTAAGGCGAGCGTACAAAAAAACAGGTATCGAGGTCGGCGTATGATCAACACCTGAGTAAGGACCCCGAGGAATGGCAAAATTTGAGAGCAGTCGATATGAAGTCGCTATATTTGACTTGAATAATCGAATATGGTAGGGATGCACGCGCTGTATTTGCAGGGACCGATAGCTGTATAAGGTTAGATCTAGCGTCTTCACTGTATATCTAAACGCCGCTACCTGGTGATACGGCTATCTGTGCAGGTACTTGTGGGACTAATGGTCAGCGTGGTGCCCTTACGTTTCTATGGCTGTGTAGGTAAGCAGGAGCGGTGAAAAATACAGTACAAATCTCGATGTCGTCACAATCACAATCACGATTTCTTACATCATCAATATCGGCTAAAGATATACAGGCCTATCGGATTCAAGTTATATAAGAACAATGTGCAGGAATGGGTGTCAGATAAGGGTCCAAACATGGATAAAGTACCTAGGCACTCCTTAAAGTTTTCCAGGAAATCATCATTTGCCCCACAATAGCCTACCTCTGTTCAACCATCCTGTCGGATACTTTTTGACCAATTATATTTGGAGAACAAAAGACCCACCTACCTAAAGAGGAAATTGCATAGGTACGTACGTAGGTAGAGACTATACCCCCTCCTATAAACCCTCTATGACACGGAGTTGCCTACTTACTTGAGTTTAGCTTCATTTAGTATCAGCAGCCACCAGTTGATGTCTAGGATAAAGCCTCACTAATCAAGTCATAGGAATTGATGAGTGAGATGTCTTCAAGGATTAGGTATTAGAAATGTAAACGAAGATGCTTAGGCTCTTGATAAAGTAATAAAACTATCCACGAGGACGTACAAGAATTAGCACTACTATAGGCAAGACTTGAAGTTTTGTGTTGTGTCTACCCAGTATACGTGGAATATTTCACCTTCTAACTTCACTCTTACCAGTTCTTGATTTCCATTAAGGACGTTACACTCTTAAATTACCAGTGACATACCAGGAACAACTCATTGGACGCCACCATGTTGGCTTACTATATCTTATGCGTGGCTTTTATTCTTTATCGCCTCTCCAAGGCAATCTACAACCTTTATTTCCACCCATTAGCCAAGTTTCCCGGTCCCAAGCTCGCAGCTGTATCGCATGTCTATGAATTTTACTGGTCAATTGTTCGAGATGGAGAATTCATCTGGGAAATCGAGAGAATGCACAAGAAATACGGTAAGTATTTGATCTGAAGGAACTTATTTTACTTAACGTACTAACGATCTTGGAGGCCCAATCGTCCGTATAACGCCCCGTGAACTTCATATTGCCGATCCCACATTCTACAACGAGATATATGCCGGAAACCCTCACAGGATAGAAGGCGACTACCGATTTACTAGATCCACGGGCGTGACGAAGTCTATGTTTGCTGCAGTTGATCATGACCTTCACCAGGCGCGCAGGAGCAACTTGACCAAGTTTTTCTCCAAGAGATCGATTTCGGATATCCAGCCAATTATCCAGGATAAAGTCGAGCGTTTCATTAAGAGATTGGAGGATTCATCTAAAGATGGATCCCCAGCCAATCTGTCAACATTGTCAGCTGCCTTCACAGCGGACACAATATCGCACTACTCATATGGTGTTTCGTTGGGTTGTTTGGATGGAGAGTCCGAAAACATCCTAACAGATGCTACTCAAGCGGTATTGGCTCTAAGCCACTGGCTTAGATTTATGCCGATCAGATTCACCAATGCAAAGAAAATACACCCCAGATTGATTGAGAACTTCTTCCCGAAGGCTGCGGTGGTTCTGAACACGCACAGAACAATTAGTCGGTTGGCATTAGACGTGCTCAACGCAAAGGAGCCAAAAGCGCCCCACGAAAACATGTTTGCTGCGCTTGCTGATCCAAAACTGCCTGCTGAAGAACGAACACTTGGACACTTGGAAGACGAAGGATTCGTTGTTCTTGCTGCAGGGACCGAGACTACGGCCTATAGTCTCAGCGTCACATTATTCTATCTATTGGACAACCCTACTATCTTCTCCAAGCTATACGATGAGATCAAGGCAGTAATGCCTGATCCTTCAGAATGCCCACCGTTGTCGGTATTGGAAAACCTGCCACTATTGGTGAGAATTCTGAAACCCCTAAGACTCGTGTCAGACGGCGCTAATTCATAATCGTCAAACAGAGAGCTGTTATCAATGAGGGTCTTCGACTATCCATGGGCACCTTGACCCGACACCCCCGCATATCACCGGATCGCGTCTTACAATACAAGGATTGGACTATCCCTGCTGGTGTAAGTATTTTCAAAAATGGTTAGATGTAAACGATACAGTGCTAAGACATCACATAGACTCCTTGCAGCACTGTCACTTATTTTGTCCATACCGACCCGGAGAAGTTCCCGAATCCTTGGACCTTCGATCCTTACCGTTGGATCCGAGCCGCTGAGCAGGGGCAACATCTTGAAAGTAACCTAGCACTTTTCTTGAAGGGAACTAGGTCATGCCTCGGAATTAAGTATGTATAGCGTTCTCAAAGGACTTTGTATTCTTACTTTACGATGAGACAATTTACTAACAACATTGTGACATAGCTTGGCTAATGCCGAGATGTTTATGTTGGTTGCTAACCTAGTACGACGAGTCGATATGAAGTTGTACGAAAGTACCACTATAGACTGTGTCTTACCTGGAAAGGACCACTCAGTTGTGATCCCAAAAGATACCTCCGGGGTTAGGGCTACTATCTTCGGACTTAAAACTTCATAAATGGCGACGCCGCTCGCGTCTATAGCTATTTGATGGTAAATGCATCAAGTGTCGATGATGTTAAGGGCAATTCAGGGATAGAATTAGATTACAGATTTTAAGGATTTATCACGCCCTTTGAGGATATTAGGTACTAGCTAGTTAAGATTATCTATTATCCCCTTGATTTTGGTATGAGAACATATGAGATATGTGCGATGTTTAAACTACTATCTATCATAATACTTAGGCAGACAGGAGATCTCGTGAGAATTAAGAAAATTGCTACATAGGGTAAATTTCAAGCAGTCATGATATGTACTTAGGTACTGCCACTGTTCCTTAGAGGGCAATATCCTATTAAGCTACAAGTTGCGTACATCTTTGATTAGGTACACCGCACTAGGTCGAATGGAGTATGCCTCATTGTTAGCTTGTCTTGATACTCACATTCCCGTGCCGCAAAATTAGACGTGATGTCGCCATGATGGAATCTAAGGTTTTCGGTGTTATCACGCCGACCCTTATCGAAGAAGCCGCACCAACGATGTAGTGTAAGAAGTCCTATCTATGTTGCCCCGAGGCGAGTTTTCCTATTGGCCTCATGCTCCCTTGCTGAAGTACGCCTCTTACGTGCTGTATATCTGACACACCGAGCCTGCTTGAGTTTGTGAGGTCCGCATTAGAGTTTCCGATGTAAGCAGAATTCCTAACCAAAAATCCTACCGGGTGGTTCCGTGCAACGGTAGGCTCGTGGTTGCTCACCATTAAAGATCGAAAGGAATACCCGTAAGATTGAATCCTTCCCGCAACTGATTACCTATCACTCAAAGTCAAAGTCAGGCCATCACATCGACGACGTGTTGCCTATCGCTGATCAGGGAAATTCCGCGTTTGACTATTCGTAGCCGACATAATCACCGTGCATTGTTTAGTCAACTATTCACATCAGCGGGGGTCTTATATAATAACTAGGCTCTGGCCGCTTACGGACCGCTCCGAGACCAGGGTTCCCCGTTGGTGTATAGCCCGATTTCATAAGCCGGCGATAGGGTGTTCTATCGCGCCGTAGACGTAATATATTATTACACCGAGCTCATGGCGAAGGTGAGTGTGGGGTGGGGGTGTGTCTTTATTCATTACCTGGGCAAGTAATGTCACCCACCCTTCCGGCGTGGGTAGCCGCAGGGGTAATAGATATCTTACGGAAGACTCAAACCAAAAAAATTTATGCTAGTGTCAGACCGTTTTATTGCATTTCTAGCGTAATACGATACCGCCAGGGCGGGATCGCTATACAATTAGATAGACAAAGTAGAGATGTCTTCTATAGTCGGGAGGGCTAGAAATATAGGATGGGCCACTTGTCCCCCCTCAAGTAAACTACAATCCCGAGCGGTATACAATAGATCAATAAGCAATTCACTATGGCTCTTGATCTGAAGAATCTCTCTTCCCCTCAAGTGGTCACATTGTGGCCCCTTGTCCTTGGCCTTGGGGGTATCTTCCTCTTGGTGAGGAGCTTCTACAGACTGTTCCTTCACCCTCTTTCCCATATTCCAGGCCCAAAGATAGCAGCCATCAGCCATGCGTATGAATTCTACCACGATGCTGTTCGTAATGGAATGTACCTCTGGGAGATCGAGAAGATGCACGAAAAATATGGTTAGCTCTCCTAATGCGTATATCTAGTCCATCATGATTAATTTTGTATAGGTCCCGTTGTGAGAATCAATCCTCGCGAACTTCACATTAAGGATCCTTACTACTATGATGAAGTATACGCTCCAGCATCAAGAAAGCGAGAAAAGGACCCTCATTTCGTCGGCGTATTTGGATTTCCAACCTCCATGATCGCGACAGTGGGCCACGAGCATCATCGCCTTCGTCGGGGAATGCTTAACAATTTCTTCTCTAAGAAATCAGTTTTGGAGCTCTCATCTATTATGCATGAGAAAGAGGCGAAACTAATGCAACGCCTAGAAAAGGCACATTATGATGATGCTGTGGTCCGACTGGATGATGCCTATGCAGCTTTGACGTCAGACGTTATCTCGCATTATTCGTGGGGTACCAGCTCTGGATTTCTGGATGACGACAATTTTAAGAATGATATGCGCGAAGCTCTAAATGAGATTTCCTCATTCGTCCACATCAACAGATTCTTCCCCATACTCGGCTTTCTCATGGGGGCTTTGCCGCGCTCGGTTCTGGCTCGAATTCGGCCAGGTGCCACAGCAGTTCTGGATATGCAAGATATGGTCACGCAATCCCGCACGCAGAGGTCCAGCAAAGACACGCGGAAGACCATATTTGACGCATTGACAGATGTGAATGTCCCGCCCGAGGAAAGGTCGACTCGTCGACTCGAAGATGAAGGATTGATTGTAGTTGTCGCGGGCACCGAAACCACGGCGAGAACATTAACATTAGCTTCGTACTACATCTTCCAAAACAAGGAAATGCTAGAGAGACTTCGCAGTGAAATTAAAACAGTAATGCCCACTCCGACCACGGAAGCGTCATGGTCAGAGCTAGAGCAGCTCCCTTACCTGGTGAGTAAATCTCTACTAAATTTAGCAAATCGCCATCTTTAAAGGCTGAGCAAGCTGACGTGAGCTACACCACCAAGAACGCCGTTATCAATGAGGCGATTCGCCTATCTCATGGTCCTATATTTCGATCAACTCGAGTTGCACCAACCGAATCTTTAACGTACAAGGATATAGTAATTCCACCGGGGGTAAGTGGCCAATGCCCTCTTCTCTCCTATCTGAATTGTGGGCTTACACTGCATTGCAGACGCCGGTCAGCATGAGCAGCTACTTTGTTCACATGGACCCCCGTGTGTTCCCCGAACCAGCAAGCTTCAAACCAGAGCGATGGATCGAGGCCGCAAAGAACGGCCAACATTTAAATAAGTACATTGTATCCTTTAGTAGAGGAAGTAGGATCTGCCTTGGGATGAAGTGAGTAATAAGAATACCGCATTCACGTACCATTGTGAGACTGACTAACCATGGCCACCTAATAGCCTAGCTTATGCGGAGTTATACATGACATTAGCTTCTATGATTCGACGATTTGACATAGAGCTTTACGAAACCGGGCCGGAAGATATTCGTATTGATCGTGAGATGGGCATCGGACAGCCAAGCAAGGGTGACTTCATATTGCGTGCCAAAATTACCAAGGTTATGAAGGAGTAGATAATGCGATCATTGACGAAGGTTGATGATCTGAAGTGAGCCTAGGAATGCCTCTCATAGCGATTAGCTACTTGCTAAATAGATAGCAATAAGATCCCTATAATTCAGTTACTATAAATGGCCTATAAATTAAAACTTTCCAAACCTTGAAATTAATGAACTAACCATATTTATACGTCTGCGAAACAATTTGACCAATCAAACCAAGATATATTGCCCTTCTAGGCTAAGCTAAGAAGGATATTCAGTCAGAATTGCAGGGATTCTGTACATTAGTCGGATACACTAATGACGGTTACACGGGATCTAGTTAACACAAGGATGGGAATAAACTATAACCAGGGAAGATCCAACGCTTGTAATACGTTTATATAGACGTTCAATCACTCACCAAAAATAGATTCATAAATGAGATATGATTAATGGGGAACCTAAAATTCAACTGCCGTAAATTCGTTCCCAACCACATGTCCAACTTCAACCTCTTTCGCCAACTAAACTAGATCTCGCACCGACTCTTCCAGGGACGTCCAACCTGGTCGTCCGAGTCTACGCAGCAACTGTTCCGCTTTAGGACGAGGTTGAATCTCATTAGTATCTTCACCACCGGAAAAGTTCTCAGGGAAGACCTTATTCGGCTCGAGTTTGCGTAGGATATCTAAGATAGCGTCCCAGTTGAAGCGACCAGCAAATGCGAAAATGCGCTGGCTTCGCACATTATCAAAGATGGCTGCTGCGATATGAAGTCGAGCAGTGTCTTGGACGTTGATATAGTACTCTGCGAATTGTTAACTCGGATTATATTTTGATTAATTAGATGTACTTACGCCGCGGAATACCATAATGGTGCGGTTTTACCTCTCCCCAGTATAATGTAACAACCAAGCTAGCACTACTGGGAAATCCTTGGTTATATGGATCAAGACACTTCCCTATGTTAGTATTAGGCACCACTGAGAGCTAGTCAGTAATTTGAAACCCGAGTTATACAGATGCGACTAACCTGTATTGACCACAAGGTCAGATCGTTCCTTAGAGTGCTCATTGTGGTATTTCCAGATTGCTTGTTCGGTTAGAACCTTGGATGCTCCATAAACTGCGCCTTTCTTCTCAGGGGTAGGCGACCGGGGTTCCGCATAAGCTTCTTTGACAACATCGTCGTTCCATGTTTCCCCTGTAACTAAGATACCAGGTCTGTTCGGCGCAGAAATGACAGAGGCGCTCGATGAGGAACAATAGACGAAGCGCTTCACACCGGGCTCTGTATATGTTGCTTTTAGGGCATTAAGACCAAATGCCACAGAGCTAGGAATGACTCTATCGGGGTCATAGTCGAAGTTCATAATAGATGCGGAATGGATAACAGCAGATACACCTGATGCATATTAGAGGAGCTCGCAATAGCTTTTACTTTCCCCAGAATAAGCCTACCTTTAATAACTTCGTTAAGAGCGCCTTCAGCGGCCAGATCTGGGACCCTCCATAGTTCAAAGCGACCTTTCCCATATTTCCCATCAAACAAGTTGGTGAGCTAGGCATATTTTGCGACATTTCGAATAGTGCCTCGCACTTTGAATCCATAATGAAGGAATTGATCAGTAATGTGAGAGCCAATGTACCCGTTGACGCCCGTGATGAGTATGGTAGATCCTTTGGGGATAGCCCATTCTTCCGGTGATGTCATTGTGGCTTGCAGCGCTACGAAAAATACACCAGACAGCTAAATTTAACGAGGTAGGATATGTTGCGTAGGCGGCTTTATCGGATAAGATTCGAGGATATGCGAAGAGAGATGGAAAATGGCCAACAGCCCTTTGTACGGAGCGGCATTTTATTACCGGATGCTGTGTACTCCAACTGTATGCTGCAAGCCACAAACATTGTACTACGCGCAATGGACCTAGGTGTTATGACTTCAGAGTCTCGGATGATATGAGTGAACGATTTTGCGATGTACCTCTGAGGCACATACATAACTACCTGGGTACCTATGTAAGTAGCCATTGTTGAAACAGTGGCTTAAGCCACCAGCAATCTAAACCGCCCAAGTACATAGGGGGGTACATATATACTCAGTTTGTATCCCTTGCGCACGCTGCCTTTATATCTTGACCTCCTCCGGAGTTTCTTTAATATGCACCCCTCTCCTTCCCGTGTCCGCTTACGACGCCGCAACGCCACAGATGGAGCTGTGGTACGTGTGACTAACAGCTCTTACCCGCCGCGAAGATAAAATTTCACATGTGGCCATCCATACCTACATGTAGGTCGCCCTTTCGTGACCCAAGGTCCCCCGTGCTTCGCCACGATGTCGCTAAACGGTGCCTAAGACAAACAGAAACTCCGAAAGGTATAGCCTGCACTTTATTACTTAATGGCTGGGATGTGTTGCTACTATAAATGCTGTGCAACCATGGGTAGAATCTTAGCGGCCTTTAGAGCCCCTCCAGACTCTTGGGCAACTAGGTGGGTCATCCACTATAATTATAGGGGTGCGATATGCTAAATTTCACTATAACTACCATAAATTTCAAGCATTTAGCGTATCGTACTTACACATTTTGAGATACTATTAATTTCAAATACGTTGGCGACGTTAACTGTTAACATTCACCGTTAAGGTGATTGTTGTCATCTTTCTTTTTATATAAGAACACATTCATTCACAAGTTAAAACTCATCATTCTTAAAATTATTGCATTAAATCTAGCTAAGTAAAGACATTCCATACTTGCTTGCTTGCCATGATGCCAGCTAATTAACTAGCTTGTTCTCAACCATTGCGCCCAAAACTCCGTAATCATATAACCATACTTGGTGAAATCAAATTTGCCAGCCTCCTTTTTCGCATTGAAGGATATATGCTCCTTTCATCCCCCCCTATGGATTCCTCTGGCTCCTTTATATGTAATGCAATCGCGATAGTGACTCATAAATCATTCCTCGTAATCAATCTTGGGCATCATGCATCGGGTCAAAACTCCTTTAATCGTCGTAGATATCTTCGTCCATGTCTTCGGGCGCAATATCCTCTACTGCGTCTTCTTCATCAATAAGCATGTCTTCGTCATCACCATCACCTAACTCGCTGTCGGTGTGGTTGGCCAAGACCGATATCTTGTTGCCGACCATGACGACTCTTGCGCTCTCGCCATCCTTGATACCACCGCGAAGGATTAGTACCGCCAAGCGGTTAAGGACTTCCTTCTCGATGAGCCTGGCTAGAGGTCTGGCACCGTAGGCAGGCGAGTAACCAGCGTTGCCTAGGTAATCCTTGGCTTCCTCCGTAACTTCAATCTGCACGTTGCGATCGTTGTCGTTGAGTCTCTTCTGTATCTCCAAAAGCCTTAGGTCGACGATCTTGCGAATCTCACGTCTCGTAAGCCTGTTAAAGATGACGGTCGAGTTGATACGGTTGAGGAACTCAGGTAGGAAGTAATTGCGTAGCGCGTTCAGAACCAGTTCTCGGGTCGTCGTGTCAATCTTTCCATCACGACCAGCTGGGCGAGCTAGGTATTCAGCACCCAAATTGGAGGTCATGACGACAATGCAGTTCTTGGCGTCGACGACACGTCCTTGACCATCTGTGATACGACCGTCATCCATGAGTTGCAGAAGAACTGTTAGGATTTCCTTTGCAGCCTTCTCAACCTCATCGAATAGTAAGATGGAGAAGGGCTTCCTGCGGAGAGCCTCAGTAAGCTGGCCACCAGCATCATGTCCAACGTATCCGGGAGGTGCACCAATCATTCTGCTGAGCGAGTGACGTTCTTGGTATTCAGACATATCGAACCGAATCATTGCCTTCGAATCATCGAATAGGAACTCCGCTAGAGCCTTGGTAAGTAGAGTCTTACCAGTTCCAGATGGACCGCAGAAGAGGAAGCTGGGCGGTTGGTTGGGGTTGCTGAGCCCCGATCGTTGCAGTCGGATGGCGTTGGAGACTGCTTGAACTGCTTCCTTCTGTCCGACGACGATCTTTCCGAGTGCCCTTTCCATATGGATAAGCTTTTCCTTCTCGGAAGTCTTAAGTCTCGTGACAGGAATACCGGTCCATCGCGATACAATCTCGTTGATTTGGTCTGGTCCAACAACATCCGTAATCATGGAGCCGCCGATGTCATTGTGGCTCAAAGCCGCATCAGCAGCAGCTTTCTGGCGCTCGAGATCCTTGATTTGGTGTTCTTGCTCGGGGATAGCGTAGTACTGAAGATCTGCAGCTGTAGCGTGGTCGCCCATTCTAGCTGCGTCCTCCATCTTAACCTTTAGTCGGTCAAGTTTCATCTTAGCCTCCTGAATATCTTTACCGCGTTGTCGTTCGCTCTCGTACTTCTCTCTGAGTGGTCTCAACTCCTCTTCGACGTTCTCCGCGTCTTGCTTGGCAATTTGGAGTCGAGCCTTAGAAGCGTCGTCCTTTTCTCGGGATAGCGCATGGATTTCAATCTTGAGCTGTCGCAATTTGCGCTCCAGAGAGTCGATAATCTCGGGTTGAGATTCTCGAGCAACTCTCACTGCTGCTGCGGCTTCGTCAACCAAGTCCACAGCAGAGTCAGGTAGACGACGAGAGGTCAAGTAGCGGCCAGCAAGGTTGGCAGCAGCTACTATAGCAGCGTCGGCGATGCTGACACCGTGGTGAACTTCGTACTTCTCCTTAAGACCTCGAAGAATGGAAATGGTCTCAGGGATACTGGGCTCCTTGACGATAACTTGTTGGAATCGTCGTTCGAAAGCAGCGTCTTTTTCAATGTACTTTCGATACTCGGCAAGAGTAGTCGCACCAATGCAGTGTAATTGACCACGAGCAAGCATTGGCTTCAATAGGTTAGCAGCGTCCATGCCACCCTCACCTGAAGCACCAGCACCCATCAAAAGGTGAATTTCGTCGACAAAGAGAACGATCATCTCCTTGGACTCCTGAATCTCCTTGAGAACGCCCTTCATCCTCTCTTCGAATTCACCACGGTATTTGCTGCCTGCGACTAGAGCACCCACATCGAGGGAGAGCAATTTGCAGGCAGCAAGGTTATCAGGTACGTCGGCGTTAACAATACGTTGGGCTAAGCCCTCGACAACGGTGGTTTTACCAACACCGGGTTCACCGATCAGTACGGGGTTATTCTTCGTTCGTCGTGATAAAATTCGAATAACTCGTCTGATCTCCTCTTCTCTTCCAATGACGGGGTCGATTTTACCTTCCCTTGCCATGGCCGTCATGTCAATGGTGAATTTGGAGAGGTTTTCATGCTCCTCCTCGGTGTCGGCGGTTTTCGAGTCCACTCTCTTCGTCCCGCGAATAGTTTGGACTGCTTCCTGGACCAGTTTGGGTTTTGGTATGTTAGCCTCCTTGAGAGCATTGGCGATCGTCGCGTCCTCGGCAAGCGCAGTTATTATGTGGTCGACTGCGATATAAGTATCTCTTTGTGTCTTTTGCAGCTCTTGCGCCTTTCTAAGAACGCTCTGGAAAGAAGGTGACATAGTTACCGTCTCTGGTGGGGGATCTTGACTTGGTAGACGGACTAAGGTCTTCTTGAGAGCTCTGTCGAATAATTGAGGGTCACCATGTGCTCTCTCAACTACTTGTCGGAAGAGGCTGTTAGTTGTGCCGGGTTGTGTGTTTTGCTGGTCCTTGGATTGATCCGGCGGGGGGTCTAAAAGTGAGACCGCGATGTGAACCGGTAATAATTGTGAATGAGCATATTGCTCAGCTAAAGCCATTGCGTCTTCCAGGGCCTTTTTGCCCCGGTCTGTAAATTCCATTCGGGATGTCATTTTGAGGGTAGATTTGTGGTTGTTTCAGTCGAATGTTCGGTTGAATGTTGTGTCTTAAGATGGAATATTTTGTTTTTAGTCGAAGTAGAATTATGTCGGGTCATGTACTCGAAGATGAATCAACTAATCGTGTGATTAGTGAGGCCTTTATATGTCCGGCTGGTCACTAGAAATCTTGGGTATCATTCGTAAACTAATTTATTGTTGGTGAGAATCGTGTAAGTTGTAAAACAAGAGACAAAGAAGTGAAACTTGTTATTTATCTTCGTACAGTAGAAGTGGAGAGGCAACATGCGATGATGACGAGACGAGAAGGAAATCGGGGCGCTCACTCAGCTCGTAGCTACTTCAAGTATCCAGGCTTTTCCAGGGACCTCTTCAGGCTACTAGCTACATCATAGGCCTTTCCTGTAAGTTTTAGAAGGTCCGCGAAGCTTCTAGTAGGTACGTACCTTCTAGGTAGTGGGGCAAACTTTTTCTTAGGCAGACTCAAACCTGCTGAGCGCCTAACGAAACTTGAACTCAATCAGTTTGATCCAATCCAATCACATCGCGGGGGGATCATCGGAAAATCGATGACCCTTGCTTCCGATAACATAGATAAGATAAACTGATAAAGAAAGACGATACAATTGAGCAGATCTCAACCATCCAATCAAATGTGTCATCATCCATCGCAGCGGAAATTTTGAGTTACCGGTAGTGAATATTGATCCAATCCACGGCGCTGGAAGATCAGCCTCAAGAGAGCTCAACATCACAAACCCGCCCATCATGGCTCTAAGAGTCAATCCCATAACAGCCCAACTGGGCAAGTTATCGATAGGTATATCACGGACGAGTATACGTTTCGTATACAACCAGACGACGTTACCGCGGACGAAAGAGGAAAAGCGACGGAAAGAATTAGAGAGATCCAAATTACCACCACACCACGGCGAGAAGATATGGATATTCAACCATTTCTTAGAGGGCTTCACGGTCTATTCGCACAGTCCTATATTAAAAGTACGAATTTAATGTTCACTATACTTCATCATTTAATCATTTATATATGCTAATCCTACCATTAATCAGGCGAACAAAGCCCTTAGACAAATCCCCTTCAACGGCAAGAAACTCAAACCCTCGAAACTTCGAAAAGACTACTGGAAACCCCTAGCCATGATCCAATTCCCCGAGGGCTACGGCGAAGTAGGAAGAAGCGTATTCCAACGATTGCGAGAATGCAAGATGTTCCATGAACTCTCGTGGGGTGACGACATGTACTTCAGCGAGGATGGCAAACCCTTGACAAAAATCGAACGAGGCAGAAAACTCAACAACCAAAAAGCCAACACAATTGCCGATATGGCTGCCGTACTCGGAGGACAGGGCAAGGGCAACAAGATATGGGCGACCGTGCCGGAGAAAATAGAAGATATCGTCAACGTAGAAGCGAGTGACGAGAATAACGTCAAACATGGCGAGGAAGGCCCTAAGGCGCTGGTAAAGGCCACGGTTTGGTGGACGAATGATCAAGACCAGAATTACGCAACAAGTTGGCCTTCCAACGTTAGCCACTACCGTTTCGACCAAGCAACTTTAGAAAAGATGAAGGTCGAGGATGATGCAGAAGGAGGGGATGGTACAAAATCACCAGAGGCACCGGCAGAATTAGTGGCAGAACAACAACTTCAGAAGGGATCAGATCAGAGGACATCGGTATAAAGTTGGCACAAGAGATTGGAGACTACTACTATCTATTACGCAACTCCAGAACTGAGTGTTCCAACTAACACTACCATCCAAAATTACACTACACGTCTAGGAACGGGGTGTACTCTGTTGTACCAAATATGTACCATAGGGGGCGTCAATCGGCTGCCAGCACGAGTCGCAAACAAATACGTAAATACTCTAAAACTTCAAGGCGAAGGACTTCAGATACTCGTAATGTGGAATATTCTCATCCACACAAGCTCTGATTACCTTCTGGGCCTCATCACCATACTTCTGTCGCCATTCTTCATTTTCAGATTCATCGGTAACAGTTTTCTGGTGAGTCGCGGTTAGCATATGAATCCATGGTCAGTTTTCATACCGAATTTGACTTACGTGGGCTGAAGTCCTGGCTGTGAGGCTTTTGCTGTGAATTGCGTCATTATGGAATCCATTCCACTTGGCAAATGCCTCAGAGACGTATTTCTGGTTCTCTTCGTCATCCCAAGTGAGCATGTCCGGTGAGAATTCGATCCCAGTTTCTTTGCAGAACGCCTTGACGACCGGCTCTGGGTGGTCGAGAAGATCATCCGCATCAATAATGGTGATGGTAATTTCTCCACCATGATGCCCATTCGCTTCGCCTGCTACGCTTGGGCCGATAGTCTTCTGCTCTCGCAGATAATCAAACAATCGGCGCAACTCTATGTAGCCGGCTTCATTTGGCATGAATTTCTTGAAGCCGGTTACTTCATCCAATGGGGGCACGCAGCATCGGAAGTACGAGGGAATACCTCGTCTGGGATGACGAATGAGGAACGTCCAGTGAAACTTCTTGAGAATCTTTAGAGGTATTACCGTTGGGTTTCCTTCTTCGGTGTAATCCGCGCTCTTGCGTAGAGACGGGGCGATCGTTGCAGGCTTCCCATTTGGGGGCATCAAGTAATAAGCCATATCCTTGATAAAAACGCGCTTGCCCTGTAGGGTGGAGAGTAAGTACTCGGTCCATGGTTGGGGACATTGGTAACCGCGTGAATGTATGTGTTTGAAGGGGATATAGATTGATAGGGAAGTGTTTAAAGGAAAGTGGAATAAGAGCGATTGCAAGCTATATGCCGATAGACCTTTGGCCAAGATGAGTTACCATTGAGTAATAAAACTCAATGTAAATATGTTGATTGTTCATCTTCAATTAAGCCGCCACGACATATCCCGGGTCCATATTAAACTTGGATTTTCACATATATGACTGGTCTTGGATGATTGAGCTCCGCACTTGCGACAGAAGAAATTTCAATGCGGAGGAAGGGATAGTAAAACAGGGTTCAATGGGTAGGAAGAGACTAGAGACAATGGGGTTTCGAACCTCGCTGCCGTCTCTTTCCAGGCGGTTTAAGACATCACTGTAAGTGGTCTTGGAAAAGCCACTGCTTTCCCTAGCGGCTTCATCATCGGCATATCGCTCACTAAGTCGCTCAGGGCCATAGTAGAAACTATCGCCGAATGGTTCATGGGCACATTTGAGAACGTCCCGACGAGTCATGAAAACCTAACATGTTTTAGTTTGGATGGCATGGATTAAGTAGGATTCGACAAGAAGTAATATGACTAACCCTTTCGAAGGCGGTGGAACAGGCACGTGGGTGCGTAACCAGGAAGACAGGTCTTTCAGACATGATGACAGTTAAGTCTCGATGTTGCAATCGGTGTGCTGGATGAGGTGATGAGTTATAGAGTGTTTGTGGCTCACTTATACAATGCGCCACGCATAAAATAGTTTATATGTGAAAGCGTATGGACCCAGATCAATTGCATTGATCTTTCGGTATTTCGAATGACTAGTAGAATGCGTTCTTCCAGAGAAAGGACCCGGAGAAAAAAAAGAGGAAAAAAAAAGAGAGCAAACTTCAGTCACGAAGTCTAGAGACTTAAATGAAAACTCGACGGTACCTACCCTCTTACTCTACTCAGCTATGTACATATGGTAAGCCATGCCTACTATCATTGATTATAGTATGAAGGCAACGACGTTTATGAGGTACAGTACTACACCTAGGTACTTGTCTATCGGTTTCGTGTATGTACACTCGCACCCACTCGGCTCTTACAGGGACATATAGCATATGTACCCATCGTAAGACTTATACTTCATACATCGGACCTACCACCAGTGAAGCTAATAGGATTAGGTTGGTTCTTCGCCCACCCGTTAAGTAGACTAATCCAGGTACAGAAAAGAGATACCAATCCAGTCCAGGTGCGTTCTAGAATGAACCCTGACCTGTGAGTTACGTCATGCATACAGATACACCGTTCGTTAGACCGACAGCTCGTATGTATGGACGGTACATTCCAGATAGCGTATACCGGCTTTCACCGGGACGTGGGAGGGTGTTACTATCTTCAACCAAGCCGAGAAGGTCTAAGGAGTGGCGACGCGGGTTGTTAACGTGGGAGTCGCCGATGATATGTGAAGGCCATGGATCCTTAGTAGGTAAAAAGTGAGAGATGACATCAATTCGAGACCAGTCCTTGAAAAGATAAATGGGGGTAAACAATGTGAAGAATGGCCACGAAGCTGAAATCCCGCGACTATTTCCTGACCTTTCTAAGGAGAAGAGAAAAAAATATTTTCAACGTGGTTCTGGATCGTTATACAACATGAAAAATGGATGATTGCTTTCAATTTTAGGTCCAACTACGCGGAACTTATTATTAATAGGTGGGTGAGTTGCGATCTAGATTTGTTAATATGGCGGTGTTGCAATTCTGTCACGAAATGGCGACATCGGTTCCCTGTTATAGGACGTGTGGGGGTCCGTTGAGCTTCTAATTGGTTCCAGTCCTAACAGGCTTTTTCCGTGACACTGCTTCACCGATATTAAAATAAGATTGGGTTTGTCCGGTACCTGAAATTCAATTCAGATCCGACCGAAACATGTCCGTCTCTGTCCCGATGATGCGTATTGATACTGTCGCTGACCAATGATATATTCTGTATGGCTTCTGACTGATACTGATATAGGGCACCATATGACCTATTTCCTTGAAGATATATGGGCATCGGGTGAACATTTGTGTGGATGAAACACTTCCGAAGAGTTATCAACAAATGTTGCCATTCTAATTCAGTCTTCCCCAACTCCAAATATTCAGACCAACCTTCGTCCCCTTCTCCACTGCGATATAATAAGCATATTACCCCAATCAAAACTGAACAATGACAGTAAAAGTAGCACAACATAAGATCGTGGCGTAAAAAGAAAACCAATAACAACATACCTGGCAAGCCCGCATGCCACGTCTCATCCCAACCCCTTCCCGTACCATCAGGACGGAAGTTCTCCCAATACACCGCATTACCCGCGACAGGTTTAAACGTAACCCCCGTATTCCCTCCTCCATCCCCATCCTGATCACCACACTCAACCCACCGACACCAAAACCGCCCAGGCGCCTCCCTCCTCAGCAACGGGAACTCCGTCCCTCCACCCACAACATCCCTACTCTCAACCCAAACCATAAAACTACTAACACGGCCCCATCCTCTTGCCCCGGAGCCCCAATCAAAGTGGTGCGAGTAATGCTGCTTAATCCCATATCGCTGAGTCCTTAGCCTTTCGATCCATAGATCATCCCTCCAGCCCTGGATAGCCTTCGCGCGGTTTTCGATACATCGCACTGTATCCGTGCGCGGTATCAACGCGACTTCCGAGTCGCGAATCGTGGTGTCGCGGTGTGTCGCGTCGCCGTCGTGTGTTACGGTTGATGGTTCGAATAGAGGTTCGCTGCGGGTTGTTTAGTGACCTATAAATTGCAAACATAAGTAAGGGAAGGTGAGTGTGATATCCGACCTAATTTCTAGTAAGTGAGATCGCTCCTCTTCCGAAAGAAAATTCTCGATATAAATCACAATTGGCGCTTTTGAGAGTATATGCACAGAATATGAGTCCTGGGGACAATCCGGGGCTGTCTGGTTTGTTGTGTCAATAGCAAGTAACGATTCATTGATGCGTGGCCGAGGAGTCCGTGGAAGACGAGATGGTTGCGGTGAGAGATATTCTATAATTGGGTTATATGCAAATAGGAAAATCGCAATTCCTGCTACTATATACGAAAACATTGTGGTATCCTTGAGACGGCCTTCGAGGAGGCGCCGTTGCTAAAAAATCATACAGGCATAGGAAATTCAGTTGGAAGATATTGTGTAAGTCTATATACGGATGATGGATATGATGGATGCTCCCTAACCCTCAGTTCCCTAGCGCTGGCCTACTTAGGTCCATGGGTGCCTAGGGGGGTACTGTGGCCCCTGTTAACGAATCCGAATTAGGTACCTAAAACGCCCGCCCCGGCCATAATACGCAATCACATGACCCCCAACACCGATTCAAATTCCATAACCCATCCTTTGACCCATGAAAATGCTAGAATATTGATGCTTCGCAATGCTATATCATAGATCATAGTCTCCTGCTCCTCCTCCTTGACCTGTCTATCTTTGGGCTAGCGGGAGGATGGTTCATTCCTAGACAGACTGTTACGAGTTTCCAGATCACGAAAGTGAGACCCATCAGGACCACAGTCGCCGTGCCGGAGCTGATCCGATTTGATAATCCTAAATCAAGCACGGGTACCTGGAGGTCATGGTATAGATTTTCGCCTTCACTTGGTTTTGCATCAACATGCCAGAATAATGTACGAGGTCCAAATAGCCCATCATATCCTAGGTTGACCCTGTCGAATGGACTGTTCGGGAACTTTGTACCATCTTCAGCGGTACAAGCCCAGAAGACTACTGGCCACGGAACGCTGATATTTCTGTATCCTTGTTCCGCAGGTGCCAAGTACCGAAGGTGAAGAGGGATTTCGGCCGTCCATGATCTGCCATTCCTGACTTCTTGTGGTTGTAGCTCTAAAAGGACACTCGATCCCCAAATATTCATGGCATAGCTCGGTGCTTCAAGATCTACAGGCTGACTGATGTACCGCAATGATGACAGGTTCTTCGACTGTAAGAATAGCTCATCTCCAAGCTGATACTTATCGGCGAATATCGTTCGGGGGAGGGTAAGGTACGAATGTAGCGAACAATACGCATCCTCCATTGGCGGTTTGGTTGAAATTTTCAACTGCATCGTTGGGTGTAAGCCCCATGGGCGAAGGAGATTAGACGAGAAGCTAGAGCGAGGGGCAGTCTTATGACGGGATGGAAAAGAGAACAGAGTTGGTGCAGGTCTGCCATCTTCACCCAAAACTGTGAGCAGTCCGGCGACACCAACTTCGTGCGACTCTAAATGTGCAGGTACATCCGATGTCATTATGCCAACTTCTGCTCTGTGACTTGGATGGGACTCGATAGACAAGGGTTGTCGTTTATGTGGCCATACGGATGTGACTTTCACAACGCGAGATATCGCATCGTATGAGAGGTCTACAGAATTTGCGTCGAGGAGTCGCTGGGCTCGTGTCTTGCAATCTGCGTCACCGGAAGCACAGACATATTGTTCAAGGTATGTCGAGAAATGGGTTAGGTCGTTGAGGATATGGTAGAATTGGTATGCAGTGGAATGGGAGAACCGGTCGTTGGGTAACTTGGTAAACGACCCCTTTTTTCGGGTATTAGTGGGTTGTTCTAAGAGCTACTATGCTTTTCTGTGACATTTACTTACGGATGTTGATGAACAATCCAACGGTCCAAAAGCTGTTCGAAACAGGCGACATAGACGTCCACCATCAGGTTTCTCGCTATGAATAGGAGTATAGAATGCATGTAATCCAGGAGGCAACCTTGAACTCCAAGGGCCTATGGTTTTGTAGGCAGTTGGCTTTTGCCATCGCACGTATAGTTCCTGGGCTTCTCGAAGCACATGTTGAAGTTCGATGGGAAGCTCTTCTAGAGCTAAGGTGATTCGGTCCTCGCGCTCAGCTATGATATCTGGCCCAGAGATGGAACGACCCGAAACTGTCAAGGAGGCCGGCTCAACTCCGTTCTCGGGTTTATGAAAGTAGGTAATTCTTTGACGCATCTTGTAAGGAATATGTTGATGTAGCTTGTGATATTCAGTGATGTCGAGAGTTCTGGGAGACTTATCACATGGATAGCTCCTACATGTCTCCATAGTCGGAGTTATAAGAACCGATCCGATGTCAGATGGTCCAAGCTTTTATGATAAGCTGATAGGGCTGATAAGATATGGTTCTTTTGCTTTTTACTAGTGGAATCACCAAACAACCCTTTCTTTCCAGTCGTCCAAAGACCACAGGAAACCCTCTACTTTTTCTATTCGCATTTTTTCATCCGTGCCTCCTCATCTAATGGGTCGGCCACGTACCCAGGTCATATTGATCGGGCTACAAGTATAGTAATTGGGCACGAAAAAAAAACAAAATTTTCCAATGGGTCCAGTACAGCTGGACTGCATTGGAACAGATCACTTTACACGTACATGCCTATCTAGCAATTCTGGGCCTAAAGAAGAATAAGGCATCCATTACACGTTTCAATATTTCGTCATATTTTACCAAGTTACCACTTTTTACTATGGTTGAGTTCCAGCGCTACTGCAGGCCTGAACGATGCGTGTTCATGCATGAAGCTATGTACCTAACTCGCCGGAAGTATAAGTCCTAAGTACATGGCAAGAAGATTTGAATCTTCAATTTCTTTTTACTTCGGTCATTGGAAGAAAGTCCATGAAATGACCTTAATCTTCTCTGTCGCCTTCATACCTCACATCATATGATGATAGCTTCGAGACAAACTACTCGCAGCCCAATATCTCAAGTTGGTGATATCAAGTATCAAGGGTAGTGGTACCTAAGTACTATACCTATCCCCTCAATGGCTGAGCCCCCTGAGGAATTAGTTACATGTACGCAGCTCGACCGCCGGTAACAAGTTCGCCCGTATAGATGATAGGACCGACCAGTGTGGCCTCGCGCATTGGACAAGCATATCCAATTGTCTCTTTCGCCTGGTCTCTATCCTCTCCGTCAGCAAGATCACTGTATTGCGCGCGCCAATTCCGAATATTTTGTTGGATTAGAAGAGTTGGGGATTTGCGCAAAAGGGTCGAAATTGATGAACATTCACTATCAGTCACCCAACGGGATTGAAGACCCAAATCCTTAGCGATGCTAGCCGCGACCTCAATCACACTGCGGCCAGTTGCATTAGCCCTGGATTCCGGCAGTATGCGCCAAATTATTGGGTCTCTGTAAACTCCTCTACCTATAACGCTCAACACGTTCGATTCAGCGAAAATCAAATCATCACCCCGGCTCCTATAGGTAATGGATCTAGATTCACCTTCAGCCCATCCAATTGAGCGTCAATAGATCATCTATATCGGCCTTACCGTATAATATCGTAGACACATTAGGCGTAATACTAATAGGAAAAATCAAGGGACACGGAACTTTTTGTGGGATGAGTAAGTCTCGAAAGCATTTCCAAGTCTGCTAACGCAATGTTCTAGTGTGCGGCGCATTCGGGCATGGAGAGTTAGTCGAAGCCCTTTCCGGCGTAACCCACGGCCCCGATTAGACATCCACGATCTGGCTCACTACAAGCTTACACCGACCCGGCCCGGTCAATGCGCCTTTCTTGGAAGATATCGGGATACAATCTGAGGGGCTCTCACGCCGTTGATCTTGCATGCTGGAGGTAATTGGTTTGAGTGGATACCCGGACTTTCTAAACGTTCTGTTGTGTGTATGCACCTTAGGGCCGCTAAAGAAGGATACAATGCATATCTTCTACTTCAAGACAGAATAAATCGGTTGTACGGCCCCCTCCACCACTTGAACCAAGGCGCCGAGGAATGGATTTAGAACTCGCGATTGATCCGACCAAGCTCTAGAGAATAATCCCCTCGAACGAGTTCGCAATCGAAATGAAGGAAAAAGAAGCGTCAGCTGATTCTCACAGCAATCACAGAGGCCTTGTATTACATAAAATATGACGGATTATTACAATGTTATCTCACACGATGTCGAATTTATAATGCCATAGGAATTTTTAACTCAAACATCTCAACACCCAAGTTCCCGTTGGCGGCATCATTAATGAACCGAACTACGTGGGTGGAAATGGAATTGCTGCATTTCGACTGACTAGTACGAATAGGGCTTAGAACCATTACCGAAAAAGGCAATTACTGGTCATCGTCGTTGGATATCTTCCCTCTACGGGTACTGAAGATATTCGTAGAGAATTATGTATCCGAATTCCCTTATATATACTCGTGTATGATTCTAATATCGAGCTAGATTGTAAGGTGCATCAAACTATCATATTACAGTTTCGCGCACGTAACCGCTACTATCAACGACTCGCTCATCCCTTAATCACCTCGCTTCATACAAACCATAGCCATGCCTAATTCAAAAAGATCCGTCCTCATAACCGGCTGTTCAGACGGCGGCATGGGCGCCGCCCTCGCCATCGCCTTCCACAAAGCCGGTTTCCACGTCTACGCCACAGCCCGGGATCCAACCAAGATGACACACCTCGCCTCTCTAGGAATCGAGACCCTCCAACTAGACATACAGTCCGAAACCTCGATATCTTCCATCGCAAACAAGCTCCCATCACTAGACATCCTAGTCAACAACGCCGGCAAGCAATTCCTCATGCCAGCCGTCGACGTGAATATCGCCGAGGCGAAGAAATTATACGATTTAAACATCTGGGCACATCTCGCCATGATCCAGGCTTTCCTACCACTACTCTTAAAATCGCCTAACGCTATGATCGTCAACCAGACCTCCGTTGGCGCTAGCGCCGCGCTGCCATTTCAGTCTATATACACCTCGTCTAAGGCGGCTATGGCTATGCTTTCGAATACCCTCCGCCTCGAACTCCAGCCCTTTGGGGTTAAAGTCGTCGACTTGAGGACTGGCATCGTGAAAACGAACTTGATTAAGAACTTGCAAGACAAGAGTGATAATATGTTGCCGAAGGATTCGATATATCAACCTGCTAAGGAAGTAGTCGAGAAAGCACTTCGACAAGAGGGGTTTGAAAGCCAGGGCTTGTCGGCGGAGCAGTGGGCAGAGGCTGTGGTGCGAGATCTGCAGAAGACTAACCCGCCGCCGGTTATCTGGAGAGGCGAGTCGGCGCTTTTAACTCGCGTATCGACGGTTTTGCCGTTTGGTATGTTTGATGGATTTATTAAGAAATTGGCTGGGTTGGATGTTGTTGAGCATATGGTGCGGAAATAGGCAGATCGTCTAAAAGGGGGAATATAATACCGTGAAACTATCGTGGGAACGTTGTGGCTTTTTATCTGGTTAAAGTATAGATAGGATAGGATTATAGAATCAAATGACGACTATCAATACGTATTACATTTGCCTTTGGAAACTCAACAGGTTCACTATGGTGATGAGTCCACCCCGTACTACAAACACTAATCTCACTACATCATTAATCACGAAATTCACTCAACAAAAACAAACCATCATCCCTCTTCTTGATCCGCGTATCAATTAAGTACCTTAACTATGCATCTACCTATGTAATGCTGAAGCTGGACCGGCTTCACAATGCCAAGTCTCCTATCTCCGACTCTTCCTTCCGTCCACTTTTGCCCTTTCTAGCTTTTCTGGCCTGACTATCGATCGTTTAGTATTTATTTATCTACCCGCCCCCTCCTAGCGGTAAAAAAGAAGTATGCCTACTATTTTAATTTTGGCGTGTCGACGACGCATGCGATGACCTTCTCCCATGCCAAAAAAAATGCTCCTCTCCTTCCCCGAGACGGAAAATGTGCGTCGGCGCAATGCAATATAGTACAGCTGGGAATAAGAAAAACGACGACCTCGCCCCCACTTTTCTTTTCGCGCCTTTAAAAACGCTGTAATCAAGCTTGTAGAAGGCCTTTAAAACAACAGAGCTTAGATATCAACTCTCGTCGGTGGCGCCGCCAATCACAAGCCACGCGAATATCGGCCCCACTTCCATTTATACGGAGTAACCGTGTGATACTAATCCCAGCGGCGCCCCTCGCGTTCCGCCTCGAGACGTCTCATACGGTCCTCCTCATCCTCCACACTAACCGCCTCACTCCGCCTACTCTTCCTCCGTCCACCACGCTCATCGCCTGCTTCGCGGCCGCGCTTTACCCCTGAACTACGTCCCGCGATAACCGCCATCCGCTGCGCTTCCTTAAGCAAGCGCTCTCTATCGCGAGCCTCACGCTCTAGCGTATGCGGATCCTTGGTAGGGGCACTGGGCGTCGGTTTCTGACTGGCGACCGAGGACTGGGAAGCGCGACGGGACGGTACGCTGTCGCGTTTGCTCGAGTTTGATGGTTTACTACTAGAGCCCTTGATCTCGAGCCCAGAAGAACTTGGTTTGCTGCTAGCTCCTTTAATAGAAAAGCTACCGCGGGGTCCGGTTGGGGGGTTGAAGGATTTATCTGAGGGTTCTATGGGAGTTGGTAGGGCACTAGATGCTTTACTGCCGCGACGATGGCGATCTTCGTCATGATCGCGGCTATGATCCTTCGAACGGTCTTTCTCCCGGTCTCTATCTCGTTCGCGATCCTGTTCTCGATCTCGGTCTCGGTGGGACCTATGGCCGGACTTTCGGTGTCGATCGTAGTCGCTTTCCCTATCGATGTCACGGTCACGATCTCGACGCCTATCATCTCGGTCGCGTCGGCTCCTATGACTTGAACGCTTATGCTCACGGTCCACAGGGGACGTCGATCTAGAACGCTCGTCGTACTTCTCTTCCCTTGAGCGACCTATGTAGTCAGTGTCATCTCTAGTGGATCGCTTTCTGCTCCTATGCCTGCGGCGGCGATGGCCACCGTCACGTTCATCATCCGATACAGACGGGGATCGATGCCGTCTATGCTTACGGGACTCCTTACGATCCCTGCTGCGACTGCGGCTCTTAGATACAGCATGCGTCCTAGATTGATCACGATCTCTATCACTGTGGCGTCCTCTGCTCTTCTCTTCTTCGTCACGTTCTCGATCACGATCACGTTCACGGTTTTGTCGGTCTTTATCTTTGGATGAATGCAGAGAACTACTCCGCGACTTTTGCTTATCCTCCGCTGGGCTTGCCACAATCGGAGGATGATTAGTACGGGAGCTTGGACTCTGTTCATCAGTAATGAGGCCACGGGCTCTTAGATGGTGAAGACTAGTGTTAGGAAGGCCTTGACGCATAGCTTTCGGCCCAGTAGGGGCATTCAATGGTCTATCCGGAACCGCAGTTTGGATATGCATTGGACCAACGCTTCCATGAGAAGGGCCTTGAGGTGCTGCTGAATGCTGATCTCTAGAAGATACATCACCCTTATCATTTGTAGGGTCGCCCTGCACAGAGTGCGACCCATTCTCGTTAGGTACTTGTTCCGGGTTCTCCTGAGCTAATTTGTCGGTTCCATCAGCGGTACTATCCTGGTTATCTGCTGCTTCGGTTTGCTCGTTCTCTCCGGTATTTTGTGCATCTTCATTCGATTCTGGTCGGATTACTCGGCCAAATTCGTCAACATTTCCGGAAGTTTGATCTGCTACTTGGGGGCCATCCAACGCCGATTGATCATTTTTATCACCCGAGTACTGAGGGCCTTGTCCGGACCAACTGGCGTTCGAGTTGTTATATCCGTGGTGATATCCGCCACGGTTATAACCTCCATAGAAGCCTCGGCCTCGGCCTCTTCCTCGGTATCCATAGTTGCCTCGGCGATAATCATTGAATTGGTTGTGGTGACCATAGTTACCTGAATTGAAGCCTGTACGGAAACCAGCATTAAAGTTGCCAAAGTCACCATTTCCCATTCCAGGAGCATTTGGATTGAAATTATCTTGGCCGACGTTCCATGATTGCTGTCCGTTCCAGTCATTGCCGCCACTATTGAACCCATTCATGCCCATGCTCATGTTCATGTTCATGCCGTTCATGCCTATGCCCTGCACACCAAAACCACCATTCATCATCATATTCTGCATCGCCATCGGGTCCATCATTCCTTGGTAGCCAAAGTTAGCCCTGGGGTCTTGGTATTTGGTGAGAAGTTTCTTACCCATCATGGGGAAAGAGCCAAAAGCGGCTGGGTTCATCCCGTTTTGCATGGCCATCATCATCTGCATTTGATTCATATCTCCATTTCCGAAGTTCATATTGAAGGCACCATTCATCGAGTCAAAACCGGTACCCATACCGTTTTGCGCTGATTGATTTTTGTCGTCGCCGTCCTGCTCAGCCTCCTGAGCATCCTCTGCTGTCTCTCCATCTTGGCCTTCTTGCTCGGCGGGGACGACTGCCTTGGATTCTTCATCCACAGCTGGCTCCTCTCCTGCCTGCACGCTTGAAGGTATATCCTGAAATATTTATTAGATGAAGTTCGATTAACAGAAAATTTAGGGTTGCCTACCTCTTTTGACTCGCCATTAATGTCCGGTTTTGAACCAGTAATCGCAGGCTCTTCTGACTCAACGGCGGTAGTTGGTGCCACCTGGTCCGGGTTTTGGGCTTCGGTGGGTTGCACAGCTGTAGTGGCGTCTGTAGTAGGTTGTTCGGTGGGGGTGCGTGTCTGGGTCGGAGTCGGAGTGTCCTGCGCTGGAGTAGTAGGCGTAGATCCATTGGTTCTTGGTTTAGCAGCTTCTCGCTTCTTCTCTTCTGTTTTCAAAAAGACTCTGATTGTAGTTCGGAGAGATTTATAAATGGTGCAGTCGGACGCGGAAACGGGAGAGTGCTCGCAGACAGGGCAGACAGAAGGTAAGGTAGATTGACCTGATTATTGTCAGCTTTTGCAAAAGACAAAAGAAGAAAGGTGAAAGATGGTCTCACATTTTTCGCATATTGCTGTTTCGCAGCATGGTAATCGAAAGGCATTTACGGCCAACTTGCTACAGACCGCGCATCGTAGCTTTGTTGGCAATTCGGCAGGTGTGAGAGAACTATAAATGTTAGCTGTTAGGATTTCTCAGCATTAAATTGAGGAAACATACTTGGCTAGCTCAATCTGAGCTGGTGTCAATACCAGCGCCGCCATTTTGGATATGGGAGGCGTTGAAGGCGATCGGTTCGGTGGACATATGGTAAGAGATATGAGAGAAAGATCCCAAGATCCTAAGGGCGCGCGCGGAGAAATCCTAGTTAAAATTTAGAAAATCAGTTGGTACCGAAGGACGCAGAAACCACTCAAGGGAAAAACCTGAGTGGTTGGATGGGCGCGTCACTGAAGCCCAAATGATATGTATTTGGTGAATGGCTAGAATAGAAGAATATTTGGGGATAAAGAGACGGTGGAGAGTTGTAAAGTTATAAAGTTGTTTGGTTCCTTCAAGGAAAATTGCAAACCCACGCGCCGCCTGATAATGGAGAGGTTCAAACTTTACGCTAGAGTTTAGCTCGGTGTGGGTCAAGAGTTGTATGTACTTAAGACGGTTTTGTTATCTGACCAATTTATGTACCTAGGTACTTAGTGACTACGATAATACTTGTACCTATGTACCATTAGAAATGAATCTGAATTGCTTCGATGAATCACCCCTCTACCTACGTATGTATCTTTTTAGCTCCATGAATATTATATGAGTAAGTACACGTATTGATCTTTCTCTCATTTATAATCACTAGCTAACGTACATTATAGAAACCCTAAGAAACTCTGCCATTCTATTCCAAAACAAGAACAAGTTCTGATGCCACAGTGATACATCAGAGGGTAACAGCCGACTCGCGTGTTACCAACTCAACTCATTCTCTACATTCTACACTTACTATGTGTCACAGGTCCAAGTCGGAGTCGAGGTTGCTTCAGGAGCTGTATCGGATTGCAAACAAATGCTAAAAAAAAGATAATTCACCCGTCGACCACAGTCCAGATACCAAATCCCAAATAAACCATCGCTCCATATTACAAGGTGAACTGTAATCATGACCATAACTGATGGAAGAACCCACCCCATCCGTGTATTCTTGCCGCCCCCTCGCCGACACCTGTGAAATCAGCATGCGCATCCCTCCTTTGCTGCTTCCCGGGGTCCATTCAGATTTACTCTCTGCTCCTCGCCGCCCCGGTTGACCGCAGCGGAAGCACCCGGACCCCTTGTGCTCTTCAACGAAGTCTCGGGGATAGCGTTCGCGATCGCGGTAAAGACCTCCGAAACGTTATGGCCAGTCTTCGCACTAGTTTCGAAAAACAATAGGTTCTCTTCCTCAGCATATGTCTTGGCTTCCTCCGTAGAAATCTTCCGGGCATCTCCGGATTCTTCCCCATCAGCACCCTCACTCTCGCCTTGGCCGGATTCGCTATCGTTGGTAAGATCCAATTTGTTTCCAACTAGAGCGATAACAATCCCAGGCGATGCTTGTCTTTGTAGTTCTGCTACCCAGTGCTTGGCTTTGACGAGTGATGTTGGTTTGGTGAGATCGTAGACGACGAGGGCAGCTTGGGCATTTCGATAGTACATAGGCGCTAACGAGGCGAAGCGCTCTTGACCCGCGGTATCCCAAATCTCAAATTTGATCGTTCTCGTGGGGAGGTTGCATTTTTGTGTCAGGAAGGCGGCTATACGGGATTGACTTAGAGATGTGGTTGCAAATGGGAGTTTAGACAGCTAACTTACCACCAATAGTTGGCTCCTTGTTCTCTTGGAAATCATTGTTGACGAATCGCAGGACAAGGGAAGACTGTATACTAATTAGTATTATAGTTGCCGAGATGAGATGAAGCGAGCGTCGTGGGAGTTATACCTTTCCTACAGCTGCCTCGCCGAGAAGAACCAGCTTGACGCTGCTGCTCGGCTTCGGAGCGTTTGAGTCGGCCATTCCGTCGAGGTATTTGTTGAATAGAACGGCGATATTGATATTCGGGTTTTTGTTTATGAAGGGTTTGTGGATGCGAGAGAAATCGCCGATTGTAAATTGTTTATCAATAGAAATGAAAAAACAATTATATGTAATGGTTCGGTTGTAGACGGACTAGATGCTCCACGGTACGTTGTAGGCAGATGGATTTCTAAATGTATGTATCGAATCAGGAATGACGACGCTTGGAGGAGACCCAGCAGAACTAAAGATACGGAGTTAGTACTAATTGGGTTAGTACAACAGTCACGGAACATCGGCGGACCGGCACCGTCCACCGCCCAGAAAAAGTTCCAGACCCCTCCGTCACTAGAGAGCGGCAGAAAAAAAAAAGTTAACTCTTTCGAGGTTTGCTCTGAACTTTACCACTGACCTAAAGCTGTAGTTTCCAACTGCTGCAAGCTCGTCGACGTTTTGGCAACTGCCACTTAGCTGCACATTTTCAATTGTAGCAGGCGTCTTAAAAGGCAATTTCGAAAATCTTCACATTTTAAAGTCAAGTTTGGAAATTAAAAATGGCGAGCTCCGACAATCGAAAGCAACGCCTATTTGACGACAGTGACGACGAATCAGACGGAGGTGTTAAACTACAAATCAATGCCGAATATGCGAAAAGATTCGAGCATAACAAAAAGCGAGAAGAGTTACACAGATGTGAGTAACTAACACTTTTCTATTATGCCTTGCTTGGTTTTGTGGGAAACTAATAAGTACATCAGTGGAGGAAAAATACAAGTCTAGGCAAGCAAACGGCGACAGGTCGAAAGACGACGATGATGACTCCGAATCCTCATCAGATGACGAAGATGAGAATGGTTTCCTAGCGACTGAAGACCTTGACGCCCAAATATCTGCTACCCTTCAAGCAATCAAAAATAAAGATCCCCGCTTATACGACGGCAAAACTACATTCTTCAAACCAATTGACGAAAATGCGCCGGCAGAAGATGCAAAAGCAAAAGAAAAGAAGGAAAAGCCTGTTTACCTACAAGACTACCATCGAGAAAAGATTTTACGTGGAGATACTGGAGCCGATTTCGACAACGAGGAAGAGCCACCGCGAACCTACGCACAAGAGCAAGATGACTTGAAGCAATCTATCAAGGACGAAATCAAGGCGCAACTAGAAGCAGACGATACTTCAGAAGATAGCGACAGCGACGAAGGTTTTATCAAGGCTAAAGAGGAGGAGAAGAGATCAGCTCCCGAAAACGGCATCCACCCTTCCAGAGCTGGAAAAATCAAGGTTGCGCCGCCTGATCTCGCAGAAGCGGACAAGGACCCGGAGCTGTTCCTATCAAATTTTATGGCCTCACGTGCTTGGGTTCAAGAAGGCGGAACAAATTGGGAAGCATTTGAATCCGATGAAGACGAAGACGACAAAGCGGATGAATGGGAGGCGGCATTCAACCTGCGCTTTGAGGACCCGAACAAGAGTAACGAAGTTCTTAAATCATACGCTCGTGATGTCGTCGCATCGCGATCAGTCAGGCGGGAAGACAAGACGTCACGAAAAAAGCAACGTGAGATAGAGCGCGAGAAGAAAGAAGATGAAAAACAAAAAAGGAAAGAGGAGAGGGCACGATTACGCCGTCTGAAACTCGACGAAGCCGAAACTAAGCTACAAAAGATCAAGCAAGCTGCAGGTTTATCTGGCAAGACACTCAAGGACGAGGAATGGCAAAAGCTACTTGAAGATTCTTGGGAAAACGACAAGTGGGAGGAGCAACTGAAGAAGACGTTCGATGAGCAATACTACGCAGCGGGTGGTGACGCTGAGGAGATGTCTGATGAAGACGAGGAGGGTGGTGCAGGCGCCAAGAAGTCTAAAAAGATAAAGAAGCCTAAGTGGGACGACGATATCGACATCAAGGATTTAATTCCGGATTTCGATGACGAGGAACGACCTAATGTTACACTCACCGATGACGAACGCGATGGAGGAGACAACGAAGAAGAAGGAGAGGATGAGCCGGCAGCCAAACGCCAAAAGACTACTAAGGAGCGTAAGCGAGAAAAGCTCGAAAGTCAAAAAGCAGTGCGACAAGAGCGAGCTAAGCTAGAAGCCTTCATCGACTCAAAGATGAATATCGACGAACCTGAGGCTCTCGCCAGTTCCTCCACCGCAAAAGGCCACAAAGGCCCATCATTATTCCATTACCGCGAAACGCGACCTGAGTCCTTCGGTCTTACCACACGCGACATCCTCATGGCCTCAGACGCGGATCTCAACCAATTCGCTGGTCTGAAGAAACTAGCCCACTTCCGCCCCGCAGATAAGCAATCCAAGGACCGCAAGCATCTGGGCAAGAAAGCTCGTCTACGACAATGGCGCAAGGAGACTTTCGGTCCCGAGTTCGAGAGGGAACCGCCTGCGTTTAATCCCGGTGGGGCCGCGGAAGACGGAGAAAAGCCCGACACCCGGGAGAACAACAGCAATATAATTGAAGGCGGATCTAAGAAGAAGCGAAAGCGCTCGGGTAGGGGGAAGAAGAGCGGTAAAGGAGATGAGGAAGTGGCTGCAGCATAGCATAGTATCCAACCGCTAATAATTTCTCGTTCTATGGATTTTACTTTTTTTTCTTGTTTTTTTGCTTTTTTTCGTGTTTCCGTTGTTCTCGGCAGAGCATCTCGGTAGATGGTTAGATCAATAAGATGATTTGATACCCCAAGTAGAAATCCAGATTCTGCGGACGGACGGCATAGAGATCTAACTAAACCATATCGAATCGAATCGCATTAACAACACGTGGTTCTATTTTTCGTGTCGTTTCGTTTCTAATTCCCCCCCTCCCCTTTCTAAATCCCGGTCCCGCATCCGCGATGGGCGTGGGCGGGATCTGCCCTGGTTGTTGCTCCGCTGGGTTTAGTTGCCGTGGACGGAAACTGGCACACACACACACAACCCCAAATGGCACGATGGGGGCTGGATGGCTGGACATCGTACCACTACTTGGGCTTGCGCGCGCGGATCTCCGACCGGCCAGGAGTTTTTTCTTGTTAGGTTAGGTCGAGTTAGGTAGACATATAAGAAAGACGCGGCCCATGTAGGACTTTGTAGATTTTTACGTGTTGTAGAAATTTTTATTTATTTATTTTTTATTCTTGCTAATTCCTTTCCCAGTTCCCATTTCCTCAGAATATGCCGTTTCGATGTGTCTATTGTATGGCATCATATCATGCCAGATTCGGACGACGGCAGATCATGAGCGCGCCACGATTACCGCCACCAATTCCGGATAGGACCCCGGCTGAGGACCTACATATAGGACACGCACTACGGCTATGAACTTGAGGATTTTCTCAGCAATTCAGAATTCCATTTGTCTAACTTCCTGGATATCCCCTACCCATTCTTCATAATAAACACAGATATAAACAAATATTTGAAGGCAAAAACAACGAGCGCGAAGCCAGCTGGCCACCCAACAGTGTAGGCTGGTACTTGAATTTTGGTCCTTTTCCACCCATCCCTCCGGAAGAATCCCGATACTCAACTCCGCTTGCCTTGCGTCCCGTTCGTTGGTAACAATAGAAACCCATTCGTTCGTTAAGGACACGCCCCAGTCCTTTTAAATGCATTCCAAGAAAATGTACAAAATAAAATGAGGGTACGTATGCGTCATCCATCGTTGAAGAATAGAAAACCGTCATGCTCGTTCCTCTTCCCTCTAAATATAGGGTATATACTACAAGTGGTGAGTAGATAGGTAGGTATATGTCAACGACAAAGCCACCGCGGATATATGTCAGAAAATAGTGTCCGCTTGCACAAGAGCGGTTCTCAGCCTGGCCCAAGGTCAGTTTCATGGTGCGGATGCCTCAGTCCGATCATTTCATCGGCCACCTCTCCGCAGTCCCAATCCAGCTCCTGGGGTATGCAAGCCACCAGGACTGAACATGCCAAATCCGTCTACACCACCTATACCGCCCAAGTCTTGGCCGATTTCCGGCGGCTCCATGTTGAACGGCATGAACCATGCAGAAGACGGCTCAGAGACAAATCCGCCCGGCAGCCCACCATCATGATGATTGCTTGGGCCCTCGCCCGAGCCATGATTTGACCCATTCGTATTGTGTCTACTATTCCCATTTCCAGCCAAAGCGTCCCAATCCATGATCGCCTCAGGCCCGCTAATCGTCGAGGGATCTAAGCTATTATACGCATTAAATACGAGCTGACGGTCGAGCTGGGGTAGCATGCCCGCGGCGTTATTCGAGAGGGACAGGGATAATAAGTCCGGGTTATAGAAGGCGGGATGCTGATGGCCGTGACCATGGCCATGTTGATACCCACCGACGGCGACGGGGCTAATCGGCGACAGGGCATGATAGTTCGCTGTTGCGTTTTGTGAGCGTCCATGCGCAAAATGGGGATTAAAAGAGGTCGGCCTACTTGCTTGTCCGCCCATGCGGGAATAATTACGGTGCGCTTGCACCCTCTGTTGTTGTGCCTGTTGGATACGCTGGATCTGCTCGGGTATGCTGGCGCCATTGAGGTCGGTAAGAAGGGGCTCCAGTTGTTGCTGTTCGCCCCGTGAAGAGATGCTACCTTTCTTGGCTATTGACTTCCGCTTCATCAAGGGCGGCCTACTTGCTCCGCCGTTCTCGCGACCCTCACCAGTGGTTTGTGGAGGGGAAAGCTGCGTAAAGAATTCCTCAACCGTGTGCAATTCCGGCTTCTGTTCAAGTACAGCATCTTCACCTGTTTCCTTTTTCTTAAAAGAGGCTGGTTCGACGAATTCTGGTTGCGATACGCCGTGGGGATACCGATCGAACCAATCTCCATACTGGAATATCGGCGAGGGCGTCGAGTTGTCGTTAGCTGGTGTGCCTTGTCTAGCAGCATCAGCACACGTCTTATATTGCTCGCGTAAGTTCTCTGCCATAAAGTGAAACATTCCCCAATATCGCTTCATCTTAGAGAGGAATTTCACGTTTATCGCTAGATTTTTCTTCGCTGCTGTCTCGACGGTGGAATTCCCGGAGAAAATTCCAAAAATATGAACTGTGCTTGATAAAAAGGCACAGTATCCCACAAAAGGTGCTGCGATCATATAATGTTCCGAGTCTTTTAGCAACTCGGATATTCTGTTAGCAGCAGCAAATGCTTTTGATCCAGCCTGTGTGATGAAAGTGTTGGGAACATCCATTTTCGATAAGCCACCAGGGGAAGAGACGGCGAATCGATTCATAAAAAGGACATTCTGTTGTATGGATATATGCAGAAACAAGAATTGGTTCGCCATCCCCTCCGTTTGATGTAGGTGGAGATTCTCGGCGCTGTATTTTAGACCATCCGGCAGATTATCAGCAAAGTCTTCGGCTTGTTTAAGTAATCTAGCATATTCAGAATCGGTCTCCCATATCGGGGATTCATCTGAATCCATGCCTCCTTGATTTAGGAAATTTATTATTTTCCCCCATAAAGCTATGGCGCGTACCATATATGCTGCTACGCCCATGTTGTCCTTGGCGTCCGAAAGCTGGCCTTCATCCACGGGTACTGGATGAGGAACCTGCCCCTGTAAATCCTCGGTCGGGCCTGGCATGTCCAGTTGGAAGAGCTTCTCTTTAATGGGTAGTTGAATCTTGACTGTCTCTTCCTTTATGAACATAGGACGGTCGGTTCCTGAAGAGTTGAAACGATCCATCAAGAAGCAAGCCCACATGGTGCGTCTTCGAATTTCACGATCGATAAAGCTGAGCTGTTTCGTCGGGTTTATCCGCATAGGATCGTATTCTAGATCTTTGTGCAGTTGCAATGCGAAAGCCATCCGAGTGGCTTGTCCACCTAACGCCCAACTCCGACCACCATGACATGTACCAAATTCATGCAAGCCGAGAAGTAGTAAACACGTTAATATCGTAATGTTAGGCCATTCATAACGTCTCGTTACAATATCTCGAGCCGGTGCTGCCCATTCTTCTCCTCGAAGGAAGTTGTTCGTCATGGAGAACTTGGGATGGGTAGAGAAGCGAGCAGAAATTGCACAAACGGAGAGCACTAAAACTGGGGGTAAGGAGCCGGCCCTGGTGGTGATAAGTTAGTGTTAGCTGGAAAATCAGGAGCGAAGGAAGTAGGCGTACTTTAGTTTTCTCATATAACTCGGTTTGTGAAGAAGGTGGTATGCCTGTCCGTAGATGTTCTCGAAGAATACATCCGCCAGGTGTTCTTGAATATCTTTTGCCGGCAACGCCTCGACGCCTTCGTATAGCAGCTTACTTTCTTCAGCTTCTTGAACTTGCAACGACGTCGGCTTACCGGAGCCCTCCAGCCTAGTCTTGGGCCCATTCCTAGCCCAGTGATCTAAATCTGGACCAAATGCCTCTTCCGCTCCCCGCTTCTTTGTCGTTTGTTTTCCTGTAGGTAGAGTGCCAGGGATGGCTGGTTTAACCACACCCCGGACAACGTTGCTGGCCGAAGTATCCTGCTCTGATTTAGGTACAAGCTTGATGATCCGGTCTTCCATCCTCTTTAGTCGCTTATCCAGCATGGCCATGTAATCGGTTCGCGGGGCTGCCTTCCGTGTTGTGACTTTATACACACAAGGGATTCGAGACCGAAGACAATGCTTACATGCCGGCTTCTCTCCTGAACAACGTATCTTTTTTCTCCGACACGCAATGCATGCTAGAGGTAATCTTTTTCTCTCTTTTCCTGCCTTCGTTTTCAGCTCACTCCAAGCTGGCGCAGGGTCGGATTTGTTTTCCTTTAACTTTCCTCCAAGGTCAGTACCATCACCGAGCCCACCAGTAGATAGGCCAAATTCATCGGACATATTGTCTTCTAAAGAATTGGGGCCAATGTGAGTACTCTCTTGGCTTCCGTCCTCAGAACCGTCGATGCTGCGCTGTCTGCCCGGCTGTGTGGGGTCTATCATAGCATAAGTAGCGCTGTGAGGGCCAGAGGCGGTAGAATCCTTCCGTTCACCAATGGATGAGATGGAGGCGTGGCCGGGTGTAGCGAATAGATCATTGGTGTGGTCTTCTAGGGACATCATCTGACCGGCTTCGGGGATTTCCTGGAAGGGGAAATGAAAGTCTGGGAACTGAGAAGTGTCGATCAGACCGTGAGAGGCAGCATCATTCGAAAGGGCATCATGGTGGCTATCTAAGGAAAAGCCATTTAGGTCCGCCGAATCAATCGGGTTAAGCTGGGGTTCCGACTTAACTACGGGCTGAGAGCCATCGATGTCCCCGGATGGGAAGGACTGAACACTAAGGTGAGATTGACTAGGTGACATTTTCGGGGGTTGGAGAGAGCCCTCTCGAGCTTGGAAGAGGGAAGGATCAACAGCGCCCAGCGTTACTCTCTCAATGGTCGTAGGTTTTTGGGTCTTTTGCTAATTTCCTGCTGTGTCCTTTACGAAAAAAGAACAGCCCAATGCGGATAGTAAGAGACTCGGCCCCGCGCGACCGGATATTTCAACGTCTCACCCTCAACCGGCCGAGTAGGTTTATCAGAGAGCATCAGATAACAGGAACGCCAGCGCCGTGCGAGCATCTATCCTGGCAAAACAGGGAAGGAAAGAAAAAAGAGAAGAGCAATTGGGAAAAAAAGAGAAAAAGAGGGAGAAAAACCTCTCGTTGTATATGAAGAGATTAATTGTCTACCATAAAGATAGCAATAGCAACAGCGACAAAGAGTAGCGCTGTGGGATTTCTGGATTTCTGGAGAGAAGGTAGGTTTGAGTTAGGTGGTGTAACGGGGTTCGCGCCGGTTAGATAAACGTCTTGTCATCAAAAAGAAGTGCAGGTGAGAGATTGGAAACCGCACCTCTTTCCTGCAAACCTTTTGTGGGACCCATGCGTGTTCGGGCTAGCAATTGTGGGGTAATAAAGCTAACCACTATGGTTTAAGTTGGATGGGGACTCGACTCGACAGGTGTGGAGCAATTGGATGGGTCATGGATGTACAGAAGAAGGTACTATGGTGTGAATGGTGTATGGTGTATGCGGGTACGTATAGCAAGGGTATAGCAAAGGGGGACAGGGGTATGGTGGTTCAATGTTGAAATGTTATTCTACCTACATACATAAGGTATTGTGTATTATATTGTGTATGAGTAGTATAATGTATAATGTATAATAATATTATAGATGGATTGGATTGGACATATCTAATCCATTGTGACCCGAGTTACAATTGATACCTATATCTTTGTAAATCAATCAGCTAGTTACTAAGAAAACTATTGCCAACGATATCCACGAATAAAATACGCCTCATAGTAACACATAGGAGTATATATAAATAGTTAAAGTATTATACACCGCTGACATATGTCTACAGTTACCCTTTTGAAACATTTACTAACTCTTCTCTACTCTATCCTCGGTGATCTGCACGGTCCTCTAGAGCACATCTTGCCAAGAATGGTCGAGGAACAAGGCTTTAGCAATCACTTAGGCATGTCTGGTAGGTCTGGTAGGTCTGTCAATACTATACCGACTTGTCACTTGACTCTGCAAACCACATAACATAGTGCCAGCGTGCGGTAGTACTATGGGAAAGTCAATATACGAATTCTGATTGGTGGAAATGAAGGAGTTTACCCTATGGGTCTAGCCTCTTTCCAGCAATGATAAACTAGACTCTTCTAGCCACCTACCTACGATACCTAGGAACCTACCACAATAGCAGGATAGGTACCTTACAATACCTATTCAGCCACTAAGCCCTGCTGAGGATCTGTTGAAAGAGAAGGAACCTGATGTGGGGGCACTTTTCCATGTCTTAAACCTACCAGGTACCTTACCTTACCTTACCTACTTCTCCTAATTAACAGATCCATTATATATATGTGTGTATACTTTGCTCCCTGATTTACAAGAGATAAAGTGTGAGTGTTTAGTATCTAATTCTACTAGTTAGACGACTTGAAGCTCTTGCATATAGAATCTAACAGAAGAACTTCCAACATTCCAATATCTTGAATGGACTATTTAATCACGAGGTTCAGCGCCCTGGAGCTAGCATGCCGAGTTTCCCCCGCCCCGCTACGCCTAAAATTCAGCGTCTATGTACCAAATTAGGGCACATCGATTATTGGTATTAGCTTATTCATCCTCTAAGATATACACTTAGCTAGGGTTCTACTCGATGTGGAGAACTTGGCACAGCTCTAGGACGCAACTCTCACGAGGCGACCCACTCGACCGTTAGGATGCTAGTTGCGTTTCCAGCCGTAGAATACTCGTTAATCAATGCTTTCGTGTCTCAGCTACGAACTACGAGCTACGAGCTACGTACAGCTACATGCCTCGAAATCGCTTCCTACATGCTACCCGTGTTCCGGCGTATGAGATGGGCCTGCAGATCACCTGGGCAGCATACACGATACCCACATACGGAGTTACCTATGTGTATAATGTCTTTGACTACATATCATACATATCATACGTATTTACCTACGTACGATCCAAGATAGTAAGTTGCAAGCGACTTGGTGGGCACTTAATGTTGTTCCTCGATCCTGTTGAACTATACATGAGAGAAAGACTCCAATGTTTATCGGTCTACTAGATAGATACATTGGGTTTGGTGATCTAGGCGAGCGGCTACTTGGCTGGTACCCAAGATGGAAGATGGGATGTCAGGATGTATGTTGTATGTATGAACGGCACAATCGCTAAATTCGTTTGGCGGCTTCCAATATGATCCCTTCACCCAATCCCTCAAGCTCGGGAAAATAATGACTGTTTCCGTCAAACCATGTCGTCACGCCGCATTGGCACTTAGTCCTTAATTCCTTTTTAAACAGAGTGGTTCTTCATTTCCCTCGTTGACATTGACATCATCAAAGAGGAATGGAAAAGATGAGCCGTTTAAAGACACCTTCGTTTAAGATGGGTTGGTATTATGATATTGGAAATAAATCGATCTAATTGATAAATAATAGTGGAGTAAAAGGACCTTAGGGGGGAAGATGGGAAGATACAGGCTGACGGGCTAGCATCCACAATTGAATTGTACCCAGAATTCAACAGTTTAGAGCCTCCGGGGTATCATTAGCGTGTGGAGACGGAGCACATCTTGGCACGACCAAGGACCCTAGTTGGCTTGCTAAGCTCTAGACGAATGTGGGCAATGTGGGCTTGCTTTCAGGTAGGTCACAGGTAGGTCAGCACGCCCGCACGCACGCACGACTTGCAGGATTTACGGTGGAAGGCTGCAAGTGCTGTGAGTGCTGTGAGTGCTGCAAGTCTCCCCCAAGTTCTTTTCCCCTCAGTTGCTTCTCTTACGCACCTAGGCAGTCGGGGTAAGGACGCGCTATTTATCGTTGGGCGCATGACGAATGCATTTCGTGTACCTAGCTAAGGTACCAGTTTGGAGAAATTCAAGACTATTCAATGTTGTTCGCGCTTAAACGAACGGACGCAAGAGTCGAATTGAGGAGCATAGGCCGTGGGGTTGCGGCGGTCGTGGCGGTCGGTCTCACTTACATCTCCATTTTCTACGCAGCGACGCAACTACACAGCAACGTACATCATCATCCTCAAGTAAAAAGGCAAGAAAGACATGGATGTATTGTGCTAGGTTCGATGTACCCGCCACGAAAGTCAATCGGACATTTTAATCCATGACATTGGTCCATGGGAAAATGAGATTTTGAGTTAGAATATTGCTGTAATAGGTTAAGCGCGAATGCGCAATGAAGGCCTGAACAGGGGGGTAACAAGGAAGTGTCAGGGATTGAGGAAAGATTCTTTATGAAGAAGTGGAGACATAGCTTGTAATTCTACTAATTCTCATTGGCCACACGCTTCATCTCGGTCATAAAAAATTATAAAAATGGCCGGTCATCAATTACAGCCCGCGCTTGCTGTGCGTTTGCTTGCATGCATGGGTGCTAAGGGTGTCGAGGAAGTCTCGGTCGGGAATTTATTTATTACTTCTTGGAAGTCTTGTAGCGAATAATAACTGAAAAATAAAAAATTAATTCCCATCGCCCATCAACTCATTCCCCCATTCCTCCTAACACATCCCTCATTCTCTCTACCCTACCCTTTTACATCCACAACGTCGTCATACTGCCCTTTTAGGTCACATCAACCCTATTAAACAATCAGGTATTTTTTTTCTTTTCTTTCTTTTTGCTTGAAACTGTCAAGCATTTCATAATGCATAAACAGAAACACAAACGATACATTATGCTCGCATTCGGATCGGATCGTTAGATGGTCCCGTTGATCATATCTTAACTATTATCTCTCTTCTCTCTCCTCACGTTCAATTCATACACACAACATCTACCATGCTGTCCTACCCGTTCACTACAGGCCATACATATGTCATGAATGACCCCGGTGCTCTTAGAAGAGAGTAATATTCGGCTGGCGAGGCAACCCTTCCTATTCAGGGATCGTCCAGGACCCTGCTATGGCTTGAGAACCAGACAGGGCCGACAGGCTACACCCTGTCGCAGATCGTGATGTGTTACCAACACGACGGCCTGACCAAGAGATTACGAGAAGTCAGATTGTCCCCATGATTTGAAGCTACTCGCATCCTGCAAATAACGGAGGATTTATTGACTTGCTCAAGGGAGGGTAGACCTTCTAAAATTCCCTAATTCCCTTCCTTCGATTCTGCACATGCATAGATGAGAGACCCGCTTCAGTCATATACCACGCGGAGGGATCTCTCTCGCAGCCAGCTAATCAGGCTCGAAAGGCTTGAATAGAGCTGACATAATTCACAAGTAGGTACATGTATTCCAGCCCGTTCCGACTAGATGTTTGGACGAATTCGAACTTGGACCCATTTCCTGTTTGGAGAGCTACCTTCCGATAGCCCTGCTCATTCTGTCAAATCCTCGTCGCGCTCATCTACAGTAATTTCCGGGCAAAAATCTACATCATGGCTTATCTGCAAGAAAGGTTACGCAAAGCCGCATGACAAGTACATATGTAGTCGTGCTCTATATTACCCCCCTAGGGGGAAAAGGGTTGCATCCGCCAGAGCGAGCAAGTCCCGAGCGACTTTATTTTTCTCGTCTACTGGGTATCTAGGTGGTGAGAGAATACTCGCGCGCCAACTTTTTTATTTCCTCTTCCCTTTCGCTTGTCGATCAGTTATATCGACATATCAACAACCCTCTCCCAGCAAGGGGGGGCGGCACAATGTACATCTCGGAATGTCACCGTACATCTTCTTGACCTAGCTTGGCTACCTTCAGACCCGCCGGAGGCCCATCGACGATGTATTTATACATAGTATGTTTCTATTCAGGGGTGGCGAAATCGGACCCTATCTTGCTTGCCATTACATTTCATAACATCCAATCCATACCTGCCAGCTCATTCCCAGCAGACTCACACTCCCCTAGCCTTGCAGAGGATATACAATCATCTTCTTTTTAAAAAATCGCTCGACATGTCTCGCCTAGAACTCCGGATTCAGGAGCTAGCAATCTTCCTCACCACTTAGGACATGCCATCATTTTCTTTAGTGTCACAGATCCTACCTAAGTACGCCCACCCTTGGTTAGGAGCTGCAAGGAACGATAGCCAAGCCGATAAGGGGATGATATTTGCTCTAAAATGTCATACAGCTTGGGCCATGCATCCTCAACACCTCCTGTAGCTTAGAGCCTTGATGATTAAGCCCCGTTACGTGTCCCAGAGCGAGGCGAGGTGCGCCTTGTGGTAAGGTCTCACTGCATTATGTATATATCTCTCTCGTCTCGATACCGAGACATATCCATGAACCCACGTTACAGGTGGTCTCGTGGTACAATTATCTACTACACTGAAGCAGGCCGAGAAAATGCATAGGACACAAAAAGTAGAACGAAAAAAGAAATAGGAAGAAAAAAGCAAAGCATGTGCCCGAGACATCATCATACATACATGGACTCGGCCCTTTCGAGAAGCCACTCCAGCTAACGCCCAAAGGCACCGAAAAGGGGAGGGGATCCCTGCGCATTCCGCTTAATGTGGAAAATACATATTTTACCGCCGTTCCCCATTCAGGTGCGCAGAACAGTCATGGAATACTTCGAAATTCCCGAAATCTCAACATATTGCGGATGTGGACCTCGGTAGCGAATTGGATATCATGGGAGAATAGAAGACCCATTGTGCTTGGCGATGCTAGCGGTCTACTATTTTGGTTCCGTTATGCCATCCGCATTTTTAAAGTCCAGCCTTATTGTTGGAAGGCGGATGAACTGCACACAACAGGACCCTAATACAGCAGGAGATTACCTAAATCCCTGGGCTTTTCAGCAGTGATTGTGTCATTCACACATATGTGGCTGGCTGTTGTCTCGGACACACTGCCTACAAGGTAGCTCTATACCCTGGCTAATGCGGGCTTTCCTATGGGGAAATAAAACTCCGTATCGCAAGTCCTCACACACATCTATCACCTACCATTGCTATGCTACTGAAAGCGGAGACTACCCGTGTCTTTCTACTCAACCGACACCAACCTCGGAAGTAGCATGACTTCCGGCTACTTGATAAAGAATGAACATGTATATTCGTTTCCTTTAGATGCACATTCGCCTGTGTCGTATTATTTATGCTGCGTGCGTGCTACGCCGTTCCACACGATATAGAGATTATATCAGAACAACTACCTAAAATGCCTATTTATCTATAGTGTCCGTCATATATTTAGTCCGCCGTTAAGGGATCGACCAAATCACGCAACGCCTTACCTTCCCCAGACTTCTCAGGATACCCCAGGCTGACATGGGGAGGGCGAAGGCGGCAAAGTATGTAACGCATCTCTTCAAGGAAAAAAAGGTTTCTATGTAGTATCTTAATTTTCTGTTACCTTATTTCATCTCTCAACGGTCGCGATTAACCTGAATGCTACATGGACCCTCAAGATCTGCACTAGGCTTTGAGGCGATCTCTGTGACACGTTTGTTCATGTCCTCTCTTGAATCCCTAGACGTTCATAGTTGATTGGGCCGAACTGGTATATCGCAATACTACGAGGTTGCAAAGCGATTTTCGGCATACACCCTTACCCGTACCAAAGAAAAATCAAGTCAGTTTGTGATCTGAAATTTTCGTCTATTTTGAGTCTTTTCGAGCGACTTGGGTGGAAAAATCTTGGTGCGTGGATATGACTAGGTAGTAAGTACCTGTGGTTCTGTTGCTCGACGGTTATGCTGTAGCATGGCATCTGTGCGACCGAGTACGACCGTCCCATCCAAGACTGTTAGAGAACCTCAGAGAAGTATCACCGCCGCCCATCCAGTTGAACAATACGCCCATCTTGCAACATATTCGACGCGGCCGAACCAGGGCCAGATTTACAGAGGATACTACCTCGAAGGTGTGAAAAAAGGGGCAGAAGGTCACAAGAAAACATCAGCCACAGCGCACATCTTGAATTTCTAAGCTTACTCAACATGGATTTTCACATTACTCAGAGATAGAGTAGCAACACAAGAAACCATAGATACACACAATTTACTGATAAATCGTTCGGTGCTCTCCGGTGTTGAGGCACCTGGACACAGCAGCGTGAGCTCGTACATATGCGCATCATGATGGTGAAATGACGAGAAACAGCCATCGTCGTAACCGTAGTATTCAATTTTCTTGAAATTTTTCTCTTTTACAGACGAAATAAGTTGCAGCATATGATTTTCCAACCCCCTAACGAAAAAGCCAAGAAGATAACATCCTCGCTACGAGTCAGTCACATGGGCATGTTCCAATCAACCCTCCATCTATTCCACATGTGCGCCCCCTTATCGGCCCCAACCGAATAGACTACTCGTTTTGGACACCATGATAACCTCCCATCTCGTGAGAACGGGCCTGAGCTGGAGCAAGGAAGAGAAAAATCTGTTATATCTCTCACATCGCAACGCTATTCCACTATAGTATACGTGTCGAGGGTACGTGGATAGAACATCTGACGAGCCCTAAGAAGCTACAACAAGATAATACCACGTTTGCCGCCTCATAACCGAGATGTCCCCAGTATACTCGTCGATCGCGAACCTAGCCTCTTAGAAGATCTACAGATATTAGTAGGGCTATACCTACCTATTCCGACCTGATAATTCCCCTTTTCTCGAAACTTCCTACCCAGTAGGCGTCTAGATCTAGTCGTAATATAAAGGGGAATAGATGTTGGCAACGGCAAGCATTCCAAGTGGTTCCAGGCCCTACATGCCCAGCTTTCTATTGCCTGTAAGGAAGCCCAACGAATGGCTGGATACATTGTACATATGATAGAATTAAAATAAATAAAAAAACTATCTAGAATAGGTTCAATAGTCCAATTCCTAGCTTCGAATGGGCTTCGAACAACACCGACGTTAAATTGACTATACTTCATTCCTTACCGAACTTGCATCTACTCCGGTCGATGCGGTAGCAGTAGACCAGAGAATCCAGTTGATCGGCTCAGCGCCTATACATCCGTATGCCTACCTATACCCGCCTTATCAAATACTACACAGCTACACAATGCATCAAATCATCTCCGGAGTCAAGTCGTACAACAACACAGACGATCAATCATTAACACTCGCTTTCACTACCGCAATATTCAAGATCAAGACGTGAACAAAACGCGCAATCAATTATCCTAACGCCCAACCTAACACCCCTAGTATGCAGGAGGTATCTAGCGTCTTAGAATCTATCACCAACCAACGCCCCCTTTCTGAAGTGAAAAATCTTTGAAAAAACAACGCCTGGCTATGCTAATAAGCAGAGGTAGTTGGGTGATTTGTAGGTCATACTTCCTCAACCTCATCGTCCGTTAATATATACCGGAATACCATAGACGCAAACCGCCGCCGCAGTCAAATATCTGAAGCGACATGCGTCTCTAGCCCTAGCGACCGCCTCGATGAGACTCGCCGAGCCCGTATTATCATTACCCTTCTTCCCTCTAGAACTATTACTGCTACTAGCACTAGCAACTCTCTTCCCCTTCTTTTTCGCACCCGCGGCGTCCTCCGCAAACGTACCCTTCGGCATCAATCCCCATTCCTCGAATACTCTTCCAGCGAAGCGATCTATATCACGATCTGTCACATCCCACAGCGTACCCACAACAGCTGGAGAGCCCGCGAGCATGTAATTTCGTACAGGACCATGACTCTCGAAACGACCCACGTCGGCGAGCGACGCGGAGCTGCAACCCATGAGCAGCGCGACGGCTCGGCACTTCTCCAGCTTACGGATCGTGCGCCCGCGAATATATTGCGCGCCGCTTCCATGACCAAAGTACAGCAAGAGGTCTCTGTCTGTGAGGGCAGATTCGAACTCAGGCTCAGTCGGCTCTCGCATCTCAACGCTGTTCCACGACGGCGGGAGCTCTGATAATGGCTCGCCAAAGGTTGCTTGGGTATTCTTGAGATCCGAGCTGGGGTTTAGGATATATGTGCCCGAATTTATAGATATATAGTGGCCTTCTCTTGTAGTGGAGCCAGAATTTTGTTCGTCATCATCGGTAGTATCCAAGTTGGCCGGGTTGGCCTCCAAGATTGACCGCCGTAGGCAATCGAGCGAGGGGACTCGCGACACGGCTAAGCCTTGTAGACAAGGTAGAGACTCCCAAGGGAAGATATGTAGAGACTTATCGAGGATCAAGATCGTATGTTCGCCCTGTTGCACATTCTTAATGTTCTTAACTTCAGCATGGTACGCATCTCGAGCGTCGTAGACATCTACCATCATACGATCGAAATCGATCTCATCGTAAGCATTTCTCTCTCCGTGAAATTGTAAGATATCTATGATGAAATAGAGCAAGTCTGTCATCGGCTCATCGGAATCATCGTGGGACGTGGTGTCACCTAGACCAATGATTAAGTCGTAGATTCTGGGGTCGAGGTTCACCCTTGTTGTGGGCGCTGTTTTGGCTCGCTTGCCTCGGATCTGGCGTCGTGAGGGAAGATACTTGTCAAGGATATCTTCAAAACGCTTCTGAAACTTTTCGAATAATCTAGGGCTCTTGTGGTGTTGTGAAAATATGCCCTTGAAACCTCCTAACCAAGTGTGCTCGACACAGTCCATAATGTTCTTCAAGCGGCCGTCAATTTGCTCTCGCTCTGCCCACCACGCCATCTTGGCTCCTTTCTGGCTCATATCCCGTGCATCATGACAAGTTTTGTTGGCAACTTCTATGATTTCGAGCAATGCCGCGCGGCCTTGGCGGAAGCTGAAGACTTCAGAATCGATATCTCTGGAAGTAGCTCGCTCAAGCGGAAGACGAATTCCGAAAGGATTTTGGCCTGCCTGCAGCTTCGCGATACAAAGATCGTTTTCGTTGTCGCTTAGAGATATCGATATGACGTTCCAAGACCTGGGGATAATGTCGACGTAATCTCGCTGGAAGCAGTCCATATCAAGAGAAAGACCAAGGCTAGTGCGCCTATCTTCAGCGGTTTTGACTGGGATAGGCCAATCCAACTTAGAATCTTTCACATTTTCCAAGCGGACTGTCTTCCGCTCGCGGCGCCAGGTCAAGTTACGCGCGAGTTCGACCGAGCAAGTGGCATGAGCAGGATGGGTTACAACCGGATTTGCGGAAGCTGTGTTTGATAGGAGAATAACCACATTTTGCAGCACCGTGGCGATTCGATGGACGAGATCGCCATCGCCATTGAGACTCGCAATAGAATGCGCTGTTAATAGGTGTCCCTGAGCTTCGCGTAGTTTTTCGATGAACGATCGTGTATTGTTTAGTGCGGTTTTTGATGGCCCGCGGCCCTTCCGTGTGGCTGGAGCCTTCGCTGGAGATGATTGATCAGCGTTAGCCTGTAAATCCGCTACAGAGGGAAACGAAATAGTTGAATCCTGCACCACAGAAAAGACTGCATCGTGTCCCATCTGTTCTAAGCTCTGTCTAATTAAAGCCACTCCCATTAAAAAGCATGTTTGAGCCACGTCTGCGGGCAGTTTGGAGAGCTCATATGCAGTTCTAAGAGTGGTGACAGCAGCCGCCCAATCTTTCTGCTTAAGAAGACGAGTCGAATGATCGCGAAGGATCGAAGCGCGCAAAAAGGATAGTTGGGGCTCTTCCTGTTTGACTTGCACTGGAACTTCAACTGGAGGGACCGGTTTTTTGGCTGCTGGTTTCCTTGTACTGGTTTTGCTTGGAATCCTTGAGGCTTTTGTGGCTGCAGGTCGGCGTGTCGCTGCTTTAACAACTGGCTTCTCCGCGATAGAAAGTCCGGCCATCCCCAATTCTAACGCATTCGTACTCGTGATTCGATCGTTAATGTCCAAATTCTTTAATATAGACTCCGCCTTGCTTGTCAGTTCCGTCTGCACTTCCGGGTTTTTGAACTCCCCGTAAATGGAGCTTAGATGACACAACATTGTGGCGTTTTGATAAGTCGGCTCTAAAGTCAAAATAATATCCTTTGCCTCGGTCGCTAGCTCTATGGCTTTTTCTGGTTGATTGGCCATGAGCCATACTCGTGACAGCCAGGTGAGGCACTGGGATATGAACATATTTGCCTCCAAAGCCCGCGCTACCTTCAATGCTTGTTCGGCGTAGTATACTGTCTCTTGGTGCATACCAACATGCGAGTACGTCGAAGAAAGCTGTAGAAGGAATCGAAAAAGTGGGCGGGCCAAAGCCCAATATTGCGGGCCACTGACCTTCTGAGTCGATTCAGGTCTGCTCGCATAAGAGCTATTCATACTTGTGTCCTTCTCTGATGCTTCCAAAGATTCTTCTATGCTAGTATCCTGAGCCGCAGCCCTTAATTCATCCAATTTAGTCCAATCGTGAAACAATTTTCTGACAGCTGTTTTCGCAAAACGCAAGGCGTGATAGAAATCACCACGCTCAAGCGCAAGATTCGAATATAAAGAAAATGCGTGCGCCGTCGAGATTCTTCCGATCGGTCTCTTGTCTTTCCTCAACCCTGGCTCATTGGACAAGCTCACCTCAGCATTTTGCGCATTAGACAAATACTGTTCGGCCTTATCTAGAGCCCCTAGGGAGAGGTGGTATTCTGCAGCTGACAGATGAAAATTGACAACGATTTCTTTACTGACGTCGGACCTAGAAATGAGTTCCTGGTTGTCCGCCAACAACTTCTCGGCCTTGGATGAACAACCATGACTTAGATGTTGCAAGCAGAGTGCGATATTCTGAGATATCAGTCCTTGAATGTTAGGCTCTGCTCTTAACTTGCATAAGCTAATTGAAAGCTCAAGGAACTCAGTTTGAAGGGTTTCTAAGCCCTTGACTTTGGAATAGTCGGTAAAAATCTGGATGTTTATAAGTAGATAGGGTGGATCGTCGATATAAGCCAGTAGTTGCTCATATGTTTGGCATTTAGAGGCGACGGCTTTCCAATTAGAGAGTGCTTCCCTAACCTGTGGTGAATCTAGCTTGAAATCTGCCAATCCAAATAAACACGTTGTCAACGCTCGTAAATGTGGTATGTAGTGTGCCAATCCAGTATCACCACCTAGAGTGTTTTTCGTAACCGTCTCGAGTGCTGCTTCAAGCTCTGTTCGTAATTCAGCGGGATCGTCTTTTCTACCGATGCAGATAGTGTAGAGTTGTGTTAGAACCCTTAGTCTACGGACTGGATGCTTTTCGATCGTGAAGAATTGTAATAACGTCTTCACTGTAGGACTCGATAGATCCACCTCGTCAAAGTATTTCGACTCTTGGGTGATAATCGCATAGAAATCATGTTCAAGGGCCGTGGCCTTGTCGGAGCCAACCAACAACCAAGTCCAATCGTTGAGCTTTCGGTCGAGTTTCGCGAGGTTGCAAATTGTCCGAGATAGCAATTCAGCTTCAGAACTCTGCTCCCATGCAGCCCACCAAGGCTTTGTTGCAAGATTCGTAGTAATTACTGACACGACTTCTTGGTGAACAAGGTGGTCTCTAATGGAACGAAGGGCGTCGATGGCATCGTTAATTCTGCCTGACGTCCTACATAGGTCAGCAAACCTCTCCCATTTCAGTAAGAGCTTCGCTCGCTCTTGCTCAGCTTCGGAGCAATTCTTGGCGATATCAACGGATTTTCGGAGGGCTTTCAAGGTGGTAATCTCCGACGCCTTTGTGTTGGATTTTTGTAGGTTGCTATGCTGTTGATAGTATAAATGAGATATTTTGACGTGGTAAGAGGGAGATGGGTTGAGTCTAGTTCCTGGTCGAGCCAAATCCCCCATAGTTTCCAAAATGGCCAAAATATCCTGAAGCGTGGAATCCATAATGTCCCAAGCGAGTTTCTCTTCATCCAAAAGTGATTTCACGAGCATAATCGCGGAATCGAGAATATGAGGTAGGTAAGTTGATAAATGAGCTCGTCGTTGGTCGAATCGGACTAACTCCTTCGCGGCGTCGTTTGGACTTGGTGCTTTGCCAAGCCATCTTAGAGCAAAGCGTGGTAGCTGGAACACGAAGGTTTGGAGAAGTTGACTCGGTGCTTGTGAATCCGAGGAAGAGTCACCTTGTTTTGCGATGATCAGGTTTACCACTGATTTCCGTAAATTGCAGACACCACCTAAGAGGTCATCCATCTCAGCGGTAGTACCACCGAGTGAGCCCTTTAGTCCCTCTAATACTTCCGCCATTAGATTCTCGTCAACTTGATGTGATTCCTTAACGTATATAGCTAATAGCTGGGCATTAATCGCGCAGCATTTCGCTGCCGAATCCACCTCCGGGTTGATCAAGGACTTGACTTTCCGAAACCATTTCTTTGCTTCATTTAAATTGCCGGATTCTCGTGATGTAGTAGCGAGCATTTGATATATCATCGACAAGGGAGACCGCGAAGATTCGGCTGGCCGTAGTCCCAGTTTTTCTATCCGTTTCCAGATTAAAGAAAAAGCCAAGGTTACCGTGGGAAATTGACTGGGAGTTGCTCTCCTCGCAAACGCGGCCAGGCATTTCGACAAAGGCAATAGAACTTCCTTGTCCACATCACCCCTATGGCCCGACACACTCCACGACTGCAGGCGCATAACTAAACCTAGGGCTTGGACCTCTAACGCTACTGCGGGACTCGGGTGTAATCTTGGTTCTACCGCGATACTGTCATCTTTCGCAGACACACTCGGTGTTAGAGAAAGGAGGCTTTGAGATAAACTATCCAACTGTTTGGCACATCTCGTCTGATCCGGGTTCTTATCCTTGAGAGACATTAAGAGTAAATTTATAGGTGAAGAGGGGCAATTCTCGCGCAATAGAGGCAAGATACTCTCAAGATGTGATGATTTATCCAACCCATGGATGATCCGAAGAGCTTGAAGTTGGGTGGAGATAACTAAACCAAGCAAGGGGCCAGAGGCAGAAACTTTGGAGAAATCTAGTAAGTCGGAAAATGTCTTCGATGCTGCGCTCGGCTCTGGTTTTGTGCGTGCTGTCGTCTTCTTAGCACTCTCTTCGGAACCCCTACGTTCTAAGCGCCGCTTCAATGCCCTCAGTTCTTTTATCGCTGCCTCAAACTGATTTAGACCTATAAGTTTGTTGATGAAAGAAGACATTCCGGTCTCGAGTTGCAGCTCCGGCAATTGAACGGTTTTCGATGCCTCCAGTGTTGTCAATGCTTGGAAAGCAGCTCTGGCGCATTCGATCAATGATAGGCAACCAGTGGAGGAGCCCGCCGATGTAGCGGGACGGGAGGGTTTCGGTTCAATAGGCGATGTTGAGACTCTGTTCAAGGAACGAGGTTGTAATGGCTTCATGGGGGCGGAGTTGGATCTCCGAAGAGTCTTTCGAGCAGTGGGTTTGGTCTGTTCTTCCTTCGGTGGATCGCGAACATCTTGCGTATCTCTTATTTCTCGCGCATTCGAACTCGAGGCGGGCGAAGCCCTTGCCGCCTCCCCCAAAGCTTTAAGACTGGAGTTGACAATCTGAGTGCATAAGACCGCCTTCTCTTTCGCTGTTAAGCACCCGCCCTGATCGGGTGTACTCCGTACTGTAGATGTGGTGTTCGGCCTACTTGGTGCTCGTATCGGTTTTGTATTTCGAGGTTTGATAGTTGGTTTCGAGGAGTCATTATTCGTGTCATTCGTCTGGAGAAGCTCCTTTACGGTAGCAGATATTGCAGGAGTGCATGTCGAAACTGATGTGACCGCGTCACGAACGGTCGCAGCACGCGCTTGTAAGGAATCCATGTGGTTTGAAGTGCTATATAAACCAGTTTCTAATCATATCATCATTAATTGGAAGGGCGTTAGGTAAAAGCAAGAGGAATGACCGCTATGCTGTATAGGTATTTAGGAGCAAAGCGATTTCATAACAACATTGGATTTTGGAAAAGAATGTGTATAATATCCTTGTATCGTCTCAATTTCAAGCTCATACGCTGCAATGATATGTGTAGGTCTAAAGGAGTAGATCACTTCCAATCGTCAACGATACTAGGGTACTAAAGAAGCAGGTGAAGTGAATGTGACCGCATACAATCGGGACATCAATGCGTAAATGCGTGTGAAAATGGAAATCCATGTAAATGTCAATGTTTAAGTGGGTGATGGATGATAATGATTAGCCGAAATGGGTTAGAGATGTTGACCAGGCAACGACGGCCGTGCTCGGGGTTTCCAGAGATGTAAGTGGTCCGTGCGTCGTACATCGGAGTTTAGGTTCTCTGTCGCATTCATGCGCTACATCAATTTTATTAGCTAAACATCCACTTTATTTCTTTTCAAGAACCACGATATCAGTCCCTTCAACATGGAGAGCTTAATTTGGCGCAGTGCTGTAAAAGCTACTGCGGGCGCTCGACCGGCAGCTTTAACGTCTGTATTTGTTTACAGGCACCAAATCACTCGACATGCTAGCTCGGCCACATCGGTATTACAACCATCCTTTTGGAAAGGCATGATACCAAAACCATTCCGCCGTGGACGTTCCGAACAATCAGTCGATTGGAGCGTAAAGAAGAAGCCAAAGTCGAAGTCGAAGGACTGGAATCCGGCAACATTCTTTATTATCATTTTCCTCTTCATTGGGTCCATGTCTATTCAAATGATTGCTCTAAGGAAGGACTTCGATACTTTTATGAGACGATCCGAGGTCCACATTGGCCTACTCCGCGAAGTTGTAGAAAAGTTACAGAGGGGTGAAGAGGTGGATGTTGAAAAGACATTGGGCACTGGTGATGCAGAAAAAGAAAAGGAATGGGAAGAGGCTTTAAAAGAACTCGAATGCGACGACATCGTCAAAAATGCGAAAACGGCCGAAAAAACGAAATCCACCCCCACTTTTGCGAAGGCCGAGGCTATCATCGTGGACGAGCCGCAAATACAAACACAAAAGAACACAAAGACGGGAGTTTACTCAAATTTCTTCTAAGCTACATGTTCTATTGTACGTGTCAATATATACATTATGGCTATCAACAGGATTAGGACATCATGTCTTTGAAAACTGAAGCACCATGTTGTTCAACTGTATGGTCACGGGTTGTCTGGGCTGCCTTATTACCTGATGATTGCCTTAGTTGCTCCACGAGGGCTGGCAGTAATTCGTCGGTAGATAATTCTGCCCTCACACCCAGTCTTCCCCCTTGTGATGGGTCAAGGTTGGCAAAAAATGCATCTTCACCTCTGACGCCTCCAAAGTTGATAATGGCGATAGGGATACCTCGGTCCTTGGCCTTCTTTGCTAGTCGCCATGCAGAATAGGTCGCAAGAGAAGTTCCAAGGACAAGTAAACTCCCGGCATCCTCGATAGCCTGTTCCGCAGCAATCTTGACGGGTGCACGTATGTTTTCCCCAAACATGATCACGGCCGGCTTCAAAATACCGGCTGTGCTTGTTGACTTCCACGCGCCATCTGCATCGACCTCGACCTTCGCCCGGGTCCCATCGGCGATAGCCGGTGGAGTCGTAAGACATTTCGGACAAGCAGGATAACGAAAAGTGGTGTATGGTGCGTCTGGGAGGTCAACATCGCCGTCGGGATTCGTCCTTAGCCCTTTCGCCCGCCTCTCATCCGGATTTTCTGTATCCAGAGCACCGGAGGCTAGAATCTCTTGCAGAAAGGCCGCCCAAGCAGGGTTCAACCTAGCTAGCTCATTCTGGAACGTACCCCGAGGTAGCTCCTCATGGCATGACGTACATACGCAAGATCTTAGATAGCCATGTAGTTCAATCGTCGGTAGATGGGGATGGGCCTTGGGATGAAAAGAATCCACATTTTGCGTAATCACATTTTGAACTAGTCCCAAGTCGCCTAAGTGTTTCACTGCGTAGTGGCCAGCATTGGGCTTCGCCTTCAAAAGAGGAGTCCACCCAAGAAAACTTCTAGCCCAGTAGCGTTTCCTAGCTTCGTGATTTTGAAGAAACTCGTTGTAATAGATGGGTCGATAGGTTTTGTTCACTCGATATGTGCCTTTGGGCCCTCGGTAATCCGCAAGTCCACTAGCAACAGATATGCCGGCCCCGGATAGCACTACCGTAGACGGAGATCCTTTCGTGATAGAGGGTTTGAAGAATTCTTGTAAAGCAGCAATTGCTCCTGATATAGTATTTGCGGTTTGAGGTATGATAGTAGGAGAAGCTAGAACATCCGTATACGGAATGCGCATGTAAGGTTTTCGCATTTGGAGGGATTTAGTAGAATATAATTATTTACATATGAGGTGTATTATAAAATCTAATTGTTATAAGAGCGTATATAGCCTAGGATGATTTCTATCAAAAAAAGTTGTAACATCAGAAGATTTAGTGGAGTGAGGTCATCACTGAATGACTTACATAAAGTTCAATGTTCCTTATCGAGAAGTACATAAGGTAGGTACATATCGAAGTCGCATTCAGATGACGTAAGCAACTTCGTCTCGAGTAACAGCTTCCCGTAACTAACCCCTGAACAATGAAGCATTTTAGGTCCACGGTACCACTAGGTGACTTTTTAGTGGATACCTTTAGGGGTCTCCCACATTCCGGCGTAGGTACGATAGGTAGGCTGACGCAGCTAAACGGACTAGGGTAACTTTTTTCGTCGACGAGAAACAGAAACATCAAATCCAGTCAATGCCATTGGCACCTTTTTTTTTTTTATTTTTCCCACGCCGACCCATCCGATGTCGTCGCAGTTCAGGGAACGCGCACGCATCAGATCGTAAAGTTATTCGCATATCGGCGTTTTTCTCATTTTAGATACCCATAATCATATTTCCATATTCATCATATTCATTACCCTACTATAGTGTATTGTTCCAATTCTACCTTTTCGTCGATTTGTTGGACCTTTGGGTCCCCCTTACCCCCCCTCACCGCGCGTCGCATGCCGTAAACCCAGTTGAACCCAGTCGATTTTCCCCTTACCCTCCGCTCTACCTCCGCCTAAAAGAAGTACCTTTCTCACTTTTTTTCGGCGATGTATCCACGAGGGTTAGTAGGGTCACGCCTAGGCGGTGGCCTTGTAACATCAACTACTACAGGAGCCACTACCATTACACGTCCAGTTCCAGGTCTAAGCGCAAGTTTTACCCGACGAGTTGCGCTGCAGTCTTTTAATAATATTTACTGGACACCTACATCAAAACCGTTCCAAACATGTACTCAACCTCCCTTATCGTCATACTCTTTTTCTAACACACATTCACATTCGCCTTTTCCATTAATACATCGTTCATATTGTCCATACTTCCCAATAATGACGGCACTCACTCAAACACGAACACACAGTGGCCATAGCCATGGTCACGGTCATCACCATGATAATAGCTTCCTTGTCTCTACGAATAAAAACGACGCCGGCGTGCGCATCACAAGAATTGGCCTCTACTCTAACCTTGGTATGGCCATCGCGAAGGGATTCGGTGGTTATGTATTCAATTCGCAAGCAATGGTTGCCGATGCGATTCACAGCCTGACAGACCTTGCATCTGACATCTTAACACTGGCCACAATTTCCTGGAGTATAAAACCACCTACCGATAAGTTCCCAACAGGATTTGGAAAGATCGAAAGCTTAGGATCTCTGGGTGTATCCAGTATGCTTCTCTTTGGTGGTCTTTGGATGGGCTACGGTAGTCTATTAACCCTTTACGGACACTTTTTCCTTGATCCAGCTTCCGCCGCCGATTTGTTGGCACATGCGCACACCCATGGACATGGCCATGACCATGCCGTCGATGTAGTACCAAGTCTGCATGCTGCATGGCTAGCTGCCGGCACAGTCGCCATCAAGGAATGGTTGTATCACGCAAGTAAGTCTCCTAGTTAATTCGCCGACAAAGTCGTAGTCTCAATGGGGTTATTAATAACTTTTTCTTCCCAATAGCCATGAAAGTTTCCAAGGAACGTAAATCCTCCGTACTTGCTTCGAATGCCCTCCACCACCGAGTCGACAGCCTTACAGGCATAGTAACCCTCGCTGTCGTTCTGGGTGCGAACTTCATGGAGAATGCATCATGGCTGGATCCCGTCGGCGGTCTCCTAATCTCGCTTATGGTCATCAAGGCTGGAACCGAGAACACGATCTCGTCCCTTTTCGAACTAGCCGACAGAACCATCGATGACGAAATCAAAACTTCGGTCAGCAAACAAGCGCGAAGAACGTTTCAAGAGGTCGCCAAGAATCACGAGGTCGAACTTCGAGAAGTCACGGGTGTCAAGTCTGGTCAAAACTATCTAGTGGACCTACAGGTGGCCGTACCAAACGATTGGACCGTAGAACGTCTCAATGATCTTGAGCGTCACTTGCGAGAACGTATCGGCAGCAAAGTTAGAGGAATCCGCCGAGTACAAATTCGATTCCTGCCTAAGGAAGTCGTTGCGCCGAAGTTTGACACTTTTATCCCTGGTGACGTTAGTCCTCGATCGAGCCCGGAGCCCGAGGAAGAACATGATGAAGATGAACACGAACATACCCACAACCACAACGGAAACGGTAAACAAAACCGCAAATCGAAGTAAGCCTATATGAGAAAAAGACATGATACTTTAGGCGTTTAGGCGTTGGCTATATCCTAGCCATCTAGGACAGGCGGCACATTGATGATACCAATACTATCTCAGGAAGTTCAGGAATTCAAGGCTCTTTGTTTTTTTAGCAGAGCCTGGATGTACCAGTACATACCTCAACTTGCATATCGGACGGACGACATTCGAAAAAGGTTAAAATACTTGGCATCTGCTAATAAGAGCATTTGTAAACGAATTAGCACGAAAAAGAACAAGGAAAAACAACAGGAGTTAGCTGGAAAGACGAGAAAAAGAGTCGCAATGCATCATATAAGCAAGCAAACAACTACGAAGCTTTGGAATTGAGCCTCAAGATGGCTACCTGTAATTGTTTGTCTACCTCCTTAGGTTACATATAGCTCTTGCTGTTACTACACCAATGAGAAATGCATACATACAGATATTCGTCGAATAATGGTTTAGATTTTGTGGCTTATGCAAAGTCGGAGGTACATATCACGACTATACCGCGACTATACTATAACTATCGTGATGACATCGTGACCAGAACGCCGAGACATTGCCATAAATCCCCAGAAATGGGACTTAGCTCAGTACCCCTGTTAACTTTTTCGGGTAACCCCTGCTTCTTCAGCTTATCATCTGCTCTGATTGGAGCATGAAAGCAACTAATGACGTTTTAGCCTAAATTGATAGGGCCTGTATTGCCCCGCCATCCCGAGATCTGGGTCGACTGGTGTCATAGTGTTAAGCGTGCATCCGTAAATCTTGCATCAACAGCTCCGATCAATTGAACAATGAATTTGAGGGTTTTATTTCTTTATTTTTGCTTCTGACTTTAAAGTATTGATCGTAACTCTTAGAGTGTTCTACTACAATCTAGACATTAGACTCTTATTCATATACATGCGAATCCTCCTTTTTCTAGCCTCATTTCACACGTTGCCTTGATATACAAGTTGAGAAGATATCAGTTGAGTTTATTGCAGTTTAATCATTGGGACAGAAGAAGCAAAATGGAAGGACCATTATATCTCTTGGAGTTACTGAAGTCTAATCTTTCCTACAGAAGGAGCAAAATGGCGGGACCATTGTATCTCGGGTTTGATCTTTCGACCCAGCAATTGAAGGGTAAGTTCACTATATCCAGTATTACAATCCCAGATAATGAGACTATTGATACTGACGAATGATAGCGATCGTGATAGCCTCGGACCTAAAGGTCATTTCCGAATCAAAAGTCGATTTCGACGCCGACTTTGCCGCCAAGTACAAGATCAAGAAGGGCGTACTGACGAACGAAGATGAGGGTGAAGTGATTTCCCCCGTCGCTATGTGGGTTGAGTCCGTGGACCTTGTGTTATCACGACTTAATGAGAAGGGATGTCCTATCAATGAAATTAGGGGTATTAGTGGTTCTGGCCAGCAACACTCCAGCGTATACTGGAATGAAAATGCCGAGTCTGCGTTGCGGAACCTTGATAGCGGGAAGGCATTGCTCGACCAGTTATCCAACGTCTTCGCCTACGAATTCTCTCCGAATTGGCAAGACCACAGTACTCAGACGGAGTGTGATCACTTCGATGCTCACCTAGGCTCGAAGCAGAAATTGGCTGAGGCCACGGGCAGTTCTTCTCACCATGTAAGTACCTAAACTTTACCACACAGTATGAGTGTAACGTGCGACTGACAAGAAACAGCGTTTCACAGGTACCCAGATTCTAAGAATGCGACGAAGACGCCCCGAAGTCTACAACAACACCGCCCGTATCTCGCTCGCCTCCTCATTCCTAGCCTCTCTATTCCTCGGGGACATCGCACCGATCGACATCAGCGACGTGACCGGCATGAACCTCTGGGACATCGCCGGTGAGAAGTGGAACGAGTCGCTCCTCGAACTAACCGCAACCAAGGAGGGCGTACCAGAGCTGCGCAAGAAGCTCGGCGACGTACCACTAGACGGCGGCGGGAGCCTCGGTAGTATCTCGTCCTACTTCGTAGAGAAATTCGGATTTAGCCCCGAATGCCAAGTTGCGCCCTTCACTGGCGACAACCCAGCGACAATCCTCTCCCTGCCGCTCCGACCGCTCGACGCCATCGTATCCCTCGGCACGTCCAGCACGTTCCTCATGAACACACCGAGCTACAAGCCTGACCCCTCGTACCACTTCATGAACCACCCGACGACCAAAGGGCACTACATGTTCATGTTATGCTACAAGAACGGCGGTCTAGCGCGCGAGAAAGTCCGCGATTCCCTCCCCAAACCATCCGGCTCCGACCCTTGGGAAACATTTAATAAAAACGTTCTCGACACACCACCACTAGACGTAAAGAAAGAAGGCGATAAGGCGAAATTGGGGTTATACTTCCCGCTTCCCGAGATCGTGCCGAATGTCAAGGCGGGAACTTGGCGATACACGTGTGATAGTAAAGATGGATCGGGATTAGAGGAGACGGGCGATTGGGGCGCGCAGGCTGATGCTAGGACGATTGTTGAATCCCAGGCTCTATCTATGCGTCTACGTTCTCAAAACTTAGTCTCTAAACCACCGAACCGTCCCGAGTTACCCGCGCAACCGCGTCGTATTTACCTCGTCGGCGGTGGATCCTTAAACCCGGCCATTGCGCGCGCGTTCGGTGACGTCCTAGGTGGAGCCGACGGCGTGTACCGCCTAGACGTCGGTGGTAACGCATGCGCACTCGGTGGTGCGTATAAAGCGCTCTGGGCTCTTGAGCGCAAAAACAGCGATGAGAGTTTTGATGATCTGATTGGTAAGAGATGGCGTGAGGAGGATGCTATTCAGAAGGTGTGCGATGGATATCGTGATGGTGCATTCCAGGCTTACGGTAACGTATTGGGTGCGTTTGAGGAGATGGAGAATAGGATTCTGGATGTTGCGCATAATTAGGGGAGGAAATTGAGAGCGTCTATATTAGCGGAATCTAGACAGAGAATAGAGTTATGATTGCTAGTTAGTTGCTGGTTAATCGCCATTGTCCTATTTAGAGCATAGCATAGAGAATTGATTTTATATTAAATACAGTACTGTTTATAGACCAATTGTGTCTTACCTATGTAGGTGTATAGAAGCCATCTTTCGATATTAACGCAACCTAACCATGAAGGTTTCAGGCTTAGCTCGCAAGTGGAACTACTCGTTGTACTTTAAAGTTCTATCACACTTTGAATTGTTATTGCAGTTTGGTGTTTAATAGTCTGGAAAAGTGAGTTAGACTTATATTAGATATCTATGTATCCACATTTTATTGACACCGATTTATATCCCTACCTAAGCTATATGTAGTCGTAAGTAGCGAATTTATCCCTTCTTTCGGATGACAAACAAAAATGAACGAGTTTACCATGCGTAAGTGTGGCTAAGTCCTATTTTTATTTAGAAACCGACAACGTTTCGACGTCATCAATTGGGAAGCTAGCCACCAAATTTAATTGTTCTAGCGCGCGATCCCAACGCGAGACTAATATGAACCACTTTGTCTAGTCTCGGAGTATCACTGTCATCCATTGCTTGGGAGACACGCACGTGGGTGGAATCGTTGTGGATTTGTTTATTACCTCCATTCGAGAACATATCATAAATTGATTTCTTTCATACTCCTCAAGGGGTTGTGTGTTGATATCTTAATGGATAGGATTGTGGATTATCGTATTCTTTCAACACGATGATTCTGGGTCCCGTCTCGTATCTGGATTGCGCAGTTTTTTGTGCATTCCTGGCGCCCCAGCTGATAATACACGTCGGATTTCTCGAGACCGTCTTAGTGGCACTTCAATGCTTGCCATTTTTATGTGAGTCTGTAAATAGGATTTCAAGATGTAAAGGGTATGGGGAATAATATAGCTAACATATCCAAAAACCATAGTATTTGAACTTCCGTTCAAGTTTATCCGCGAACGATACGTTGTTGGATATAATAGACAATCTCCATTTGTACAGAAGGCGTCTGCATTTGAAGACTTCGTCATTCGTTGTGTCCGATATGCATTTGAAAAGATACCTCCCAAGGTTGGGCGGGTGTTCTTTTCTAAGCCTGTGGCCTTACCATTCTTGAGGTTTCGAATGCTGAGGCATGGTCTTTTGAGATCCCCAGTACATTGGCACGAGTATAATGATGTACGAGATTCCGTTGCTCGCAAAATGCGGTCATTGGGACCACGCTGATCTTTATATAGAAACGCTTTAAAGGAATATGGATCATAAAAGACCCAATGACGAAACCCGACATTTGCGTGTTCTACGCTCATGGTATGCTGAATTGTGTAAATGTGGAAACAAATTTAGCGGTCACTAACAACGGCGTAGGTGGCGGGTTCTCGATGGGCTCGGCGTACTTCTACCTCGAATTTCTGCTCACATGGTTTAGTCTACTGAGTGACAATGGGTATCGAAATCCAGCTATCTTTGCATTGGATTATACGTTGGTCCCCGAGGCTAGCTTCCCGACACAGTTAGAAGAAGCAATTGCTGGATATGAACACGTTCTTTCGACTGTGCAGGATCCCAATAAGATCTGCGTCAGTGGAGACTCGGCGGGTGCTACTGTAGTGCTGAGTTTGTTGCTCCATCTTAGCAATATAGGTCGCCATCTTGAAAAGATGGATAGTTCTGGAGCCTGGCGTCTGTCAAAACCTGGTATGGCAGTACTTATTTCGCCTTGGGTAAAGTTGGTCTCGGACAAGCATCAGAATACCACAAGTGATTATCTTGATGCCGGGAACTTGCATCAATATGCCCGTCAATACGCCGGGCAAAAAGTTTCCGTCAATGATCCGCTCTTGTCGCCGGGAGACTGTAGGGATGCTTCATGGTGGAAAAGTGCAGCGCCTTCGAAAGGCATGTTCGTGACTTATGGTGCTGAAGAGGTGTTTGCGCCCGAAGTTGCAGATCTACTTGAATTTCTTGAAGAAAACGATGTGAAAGTTCATAGTAGAGAAGAAAAGGGAGGGATCCACGCTTGGCCAGTAGCTTGTCTATTCCTAAGCACATCGTTGGATGATAGACAAAAAGGATTAAAATCCATAGTGGAGGAAATTCGAAATGGTATTTCATTAGATCAAAACTAGACTTGTATAATATTATACTATACTATACCACATTGTATAAGAAGTGGGGAGAGATGGGGCCACTCGGCGCAAGGCTTTTGTTGTATACCTAAAGTACCTAATATAAATCGAGATACTTCAAATATTTGCTTCTTTGCGTCTTCTTTGCTTATGTCATGTCAGATTAGATCAAGTAACGCCATCATGGACCATACAATAGAGAAGAAACCATAGGGCGTAAACACTCGGCTTCTAAGCTGATTGTATTAAAATCGGTCTCCGGACAAAGCTCTTTGCATAATCATCATCATCCATGACACGCCAAGGCAAATCTAGTCTTGGCTTAGATGGGGCCAGATAGACAGCCTCGGGGTTATTATTATTAAGAAATAAGAGAAGAAAAACAACACTATTGGATGTAGGACAATATGAATATCCCACACGGAATAAAACACTCAAAATAAGGCTGAGAAGATAAGAGAGTCATTCACCTGAACAAGTTTCAAGGTTTATTGTACCAAGCTCTGCAGCCTAACGATCGATCTATGGTAGCCTTGATGAGGCCGGCTTATGCGCGAAAGAATAGTAGGTAGGGAAGTGTCCCATTGTTTAGTGTTAACACGGGTATTAATTGCAACACACACGTGCGAAATCCATTTGGCGAAAAAAGATCATCAAGCATGTCATGCATGAGTCGATGTTGTTCTTGGGGAAAAGATACTACCCCATGGTTCGAGCGTATCCAGAAATAATAATCCGAAGGTATCGCGTAAAACAGAAGAGTTTCAGTATCATTTCGACGACGATGACTGGTAGAGACTGGTAACAATGTTGACAAGGACAAGGAAATCTGTGTGGGGTTGTTCGGTGAATCTGGAAGAAAATGTGCAAATGATGCATTACATAAATCCAATGGTACATGTAGCGTGGGTATGTATGCTTAGCTTTGTATCTGTTGTATTTTGTATTTCGGTACATTTGTAGTTCTGTATCTTGTACGTACCTACATTTTTAAACTCCTTTCCTATTGTGGCGGTGCCCAAATCACGATTACTAGGACCCCTGGATTTGATTTCGTGGTGTGTTTGGTGGCCATTGCGGATATAAAACCAGTGCCCTTTCGCCGCTGCCCGTGCTGCGGTCAACAGAGTTTGGCGCAGAACTCTCTGAATCCACCCAGCTGGTTCCCAAAGAGAAGAAACCACCCGAGGCTCCTTCCCAATCAGCAATCAGTTTCACAAACATAGCAAAGCAAAATTACGCACAGATCCTATTTTGCACCCCACCTTCACCGCCCGGCATTTTACGAGCTGAGACGTTGCATATCCTATCAAGCTTATTTGTCTTTTTTTATTGTTATTATATTATTTTTCATTATTTTATTCAAGGTTTTAGCGTTGCCGACAGGTTCGCCAGCCACCAAGGTTGACTTTGTGTAATCTACCTAGGCTGGATTGGGAGTTTTACTGACTGTACAATATTTAATATTGTCTGTCAATTACTCTTTTTCCCACAGTCAGAACCTGGAAAAGAGAGTCACAGCGTCCCCCGTGGCAGCCTACAGCCTACAGCAATCCCCTAGCAGCCTGCATCCCACCTGACTCATATCTTACGAACCAGTACCTACATGCTTGCGATACAGGTACATCTACCTTCGTCCAATCTTCTAGGTACAAACAAGTGACCGAACCATTTAAGTGTCCTATCCGCATACATATATGTACATCTAAGTACACATATGTAGGTGGGACTACATAAAAATTTAGGCACTTGCACACACACCTCAATTTTGCATCATTATGTGCGTATGATCATTGGGTGCAACCTCCTGCATTAGTCTATATTCCACCCTTCCATCCCTACCTCCTGCTGTACCTACCTAGTACTTTTGTACAGTAGGTAGCCACCACCCATTGGTCGAGATTAGAATAAAGATAAAAGATCACCCTTGTCTTTAGCAGCAACGTTGACCAGCCACTGTCCAAATCTATTCACCTAAAAAAAAAGGCTTTGCGCTACGACAGACAACAAGCAAGCCCTTGGTCTCAAAAAAAAAAAAAAAAAGAGCTGCCCCGCCATTTTCTTATAGCTCCCCATATTTATTCCGAAATTTTTAGCCACCAGGAGGAGAGAAAATCAAACTATGTCAACCCAAGAAAGCTCTTATGCGCCAAAGTCGCCCGACCTTTCATCTTTCTATTCCGGCGCATCCTCTGACATTCCTCAGAACCCCAACACCCCAGGCGGTTATCCCTTTCAAGCCGGGTTTGGGGTCGGAGTTGGACCTACCTCTGCTCCCGGAACGTCTTTGAGATATAACAATCAGCCACAGCCCCACCACCATCAATACAGTACATATCAACAACAGCCTGCACCACCTGCACAAGCACAACCCACCAGTGCTCCTACATACAGTAATAACACCGCTTTCAACCCCTACCCTAACTCTCAAGGCGGTGGACGACAACCACAGCACCAGCAGCATAATCACCAACAACAGCAACAACAAAGTCCAGGACAATACTACTCTCCCCGACAACAAACACAAACACTACTTGCACAGACAAACACATCGTCGCCTTATTCTTTACAACAAACTCCGACTGCGACCGCCCCCGCTGCCGTTCCTTTTTACTCGTCCTTCTCCGAGTCTGCTGCACCTTACCACCAATTACAAGCTCAACCTTCTCAGCTACCAACTTCACAACCTAATTTACAATCAACTCCGCAATCGACCTCACAATCATCGGTTGCTCACGACCAATTTCAATCTCCAGATTCTCCGAGCACCATGCCGCCGCGAAAGATCGCCCCGGCGGCAAAACAAGCCGAGGTGGAGCCCTCGCCCGTTAGAACGAAGTTCCCCACAGCACGAATCAAACGCATAATGCAAGCAGACGAAGAAGTCGGCAAGGTCGCGCAGCAGACGCCTATTGCCGTAGGCAAAGCTCTGGAATTGTTTATGGTACAGTTAGTTCGCAAGAGCGCTGAAGTTGCGAAAGAGAAGAATTCTAAAAGAATTACGGCACAAATGCTCAAGCAGGCAATAGGCTCAGCTAATGAATGGGATTTCCTGGCTGAGATTGTTTCCAAGGTTGGCGAAGAGAAAGAAGGTGGCAAGAGTACCGGCCGAGTCAAGCCCGAAAGCGATAGTGACGAAGAGGTAGATGGGGGTGAGGTCAAGAAGAAGGGAAGGGGTGGACGTAAGAAGAAGGTACCGGCATAACGTTTTCTGGTACTTTCTTTGCATCACCTGTTTTTCTTTCTACGGATTATACGACAGCAATGAGGTCATGATGGATGATTTAGGCCGCTGGCGTTCACACCTGAAAGGCATATACCGGCGTTGGAGGTTTGGTGGCCCACCCTAAATAGTGATTGGGGAGGGAATGACTTTGGACGGAGGCATGCGAAAGCTTTTTTTTTTTTTTTTACAACGAGTTGTATCAATATTTAATCCCGGAAGGAATGCAAACGTTGCCCTGTCCCATTGAAACAAAGACTGGTCTTATTTCTCGTGATTGACATTCGTGATGCGATTTATGTTGTTTTTATTCCAGCAATCCATTCCCTTTTCATGTCTAGCTTTATAGAATTTTCAATGCGTATTGATTTGGCGTGCAATTGCAATTTCATCAATGAGATTATCTATGAAGAAGACTAGCCACGATTCTGTCTAGTGCATTGTCCATGCTGCTGTGTAATTAATTATATGAAGTCTCAATGATTCGATCGCGATTGCTATGTCAATATTTAATCGATTAGATTATTACATACGTGCGCCGTATCAGTAAGAAGTATGTAATAACTTAAATTCTTTCAGTGCAGACCGGTGTAATTATTAAGGTGGGAGAGCTTTCTCTCGGTAGATTCGGCAGCTCGTACCGCCAGATTGAAGGAGGTATATGTACCGGCGTTGCCTGTATTAGGACGTAGCTGAAGGCCAATCAAATGACACGACAGCCCTGTTCCCGTTAAGGTTGGTGCTAAGGAGGTGTTTTATAGCACGCTATGTCTATTATACCTTACCGTCTAATATTGTATCTGTACCTGCCAAGAAGGACAGAAACAGAAAGGGGACTTGAGGTTTATTATTTTTTTTTCCTTACTTGACGTCGAAATTGGCCCGATTCCACGTATCAATAATTAAAGTACCTACCGTACGGGTACGTTAGATGCGCGCGCCGACGCCAAACCCGCAAATCTTTGGCCGAATCAACCACATATGCATATACTCAGTACACCCATACACCCTGCTACTACGACCTTGTACTTGCACTTAGTCTTACACACCTACACCTACATAATACCTACCTATACATTTATACCTTCATACCTACATCTACACTTATATGGATGTAGGTCAATCTTCAACACCTTCACCGTCTATGCTTCAAAATTAGCTGCATTCGACAGCCATGACATCTCTTTTCCATTCGATCCAATCATTTGATGTCGACTATAGGTGAGGCATCGAGCCTCATGATTTCTTTTTCCATCCGTAAAGTCAGCTCGCTATGTCGTGGGATCTACTCCAACGTTTTATCGAGAGTGATGTCTTCAACCAAAACCCCTTTCTCTCTGTATCCTATCTATCGTAGGCAATCCCTCCCACTCTTCTCGTCATGAATAGGTATTTGACCCAATTTATACAGTCGGTATGCAGACCACGTCGGAATCCACTATGTTTTGTGCTCTAAGCTCCGCCAATTCCCCTACGAGGATATCGAATTCTTCTTACCCCAGCTGTGCCACCTTATAATAAGTGTCGACAATGATTCTATGGCATTGGAAGAGTTTTTGCTCGATCTCTGCGAAGAATCTGTTACCGCCGCCTTACTGGTTCGCATCCGCGCCAAATCTATTACATATAAGATCGAATTGCTGAATATAGTTCTAGACATTCTGGCTCTTTCAAACCTACCTTCACGATCTCGCACCGACACCGCAATCTCAAGCATTTAAGACCTGCCGAAGAGTTTATAACAAAGTACAACATATTGTGTTTGGGCTTTCAGACACTGCAAGACATGAAAAGATTAAAGAGAACATTTTACCCGTCACCGTACTTGCAAGTTTTGTGTTGGCCAGTGTCGGTCTTCCCATCGTACCGCAATGGGCCGGCCCCTTAGCTGTCGCGCAAGCGAGAAAATCGCATCCTTCCGGTCATGTCATATCCGAAACGGGCGAACCGACCCAATCGAATCAACAACCCAACCAAATGTCCAAGATAACTAGAAGCCAGACTGTTGCTGGGAGCTCGGCGAGGTCACGGCGGCCGCGTGAGTTAGCTCGAGTTGGAAGTCTCCCTGACTCTAGACAGGCTGTTTCATCACCGAAGAAGTCACCATATCCTACTACTCCCGTAACCGTTGCCAGTCCTGAGACCACCGGAGATACTCCACCCGAGTCGCGGAAACCTGGTTACATCGACGGTAAATTGTTGGAGGCTCGGCTAAGCTCGTCGTCTCTTCCGCTTCCCGAAGTAAGATCGCCGAGGACGGTAACACGACCGATAACTCCGATGTCTGCTGGTCTGCCACGTCCAACCGATACAATATCTCGAAGGCATTCTCATCATGTGAAAACGCTTGCAAGCTTAGCAGAGATGACTTTAGCTCAAAAAGGGAGATTACTCCGACAAAACTACTTCCATTGCCAGACAGCATTTCTGGCAGCGCTCGAAGATATATCGAACCGATTAGTCATAGTACCAAAGCCAGCTCGTCTTAGCGCTTTGCGAGCCGAGCTTGCATTGATTGCCAGGGACCTACCAGCTGAACTAGATATACCTATTATATGCCCACCTACACTTGTAGATGGTTCACCCGCGAAGAGCCGTCACCATCGTATCGTCAGACTCAATCCGGCAGAGGCCACTGTTCTGAACAGTGCTGAGAAAGTGCCATATTTGCTCATGGTTGAGATTCTTCGTGATGATTTCACTTTTGATCCGACTTCAGGGGACAACCAAAGATTACTTAGTAATCTTGTTGGTGAACAAGGCACCCGCAAACGTCTCTTCGATTTATCAGATGCGCAAAAGACAGATACTACTGAAAAGATACCTGAAACCGTTGTGGAAAAGATTGATAGTGTCTTCGAACCAACTTCGGGGGATCTAGGAACATCGCCGATGCTCAAACCATTCGATTATGAGGAGAATTTGAGTAAAAGAAATGGAAAACAGCCTGGTCATCGCAGAGGCACACCCAACGGCACAGGTAATGTGCCTTCGTCAATTGACTTAACGCCGTCGCGTGCTTCGGTGGCGTCAACATCTAGGTCTAGTAGTCCTGGTCCACTCCGAAGAATAGCACTACCGAATCAACGCAGCGTGTCCGGCGAGCAGCCCGATTTCTCAGCCCTAGCAACACATATGCGAACAGCATCACAAATGCTAGCCCAACTTGATGCGACGAGCGGCAAACGGCCACGCCAGGAAGTTGCAGCCATTCGATCAAAAATTATTGCAAGTATGCAGAGTCTAGAAGAGCAAAGCTTTGATCTTGATGACGGCCAAGGTCCAACGTTTGATTTGATCATGGCTAAAGCCGCTAGTGCTGCCAGCGCGACAGCGACGTCTTCAACTTCCGAAGGTGGGGCAGACTTAGATGAGGATCTTGACCCAACAAGTAACGTGAATGCTGGTGCGGCGAGGATGGAGAACGATGCAATGACAGGAGGAGTTCAAAGAAAGGGAGACCGCGACGACCCTAGTGCTGCAGTTTTTGGAGAGGCGTGGAATATGAAAAAAGAGCGAATACGAAAAACCTCACCCTATGGATGGATGAAAAACTGGGATTTGATTAGTGTCATCGTCAAAACCGGGGCGGATCTTCGACAAGAAGCATTTGCCTGCCAACTTATCCAAGTGTGTCATAAGATATGGGTTGATGCCGGAGTTCCTGTATGGGTGAAGCTCATGCGAATTTTGGTCACGGGAGAGTCTTCAGGTCTCATCGAAACAATCACGAATGGTGTTTCGCTACATTCGCTCAAACGAAGTCTTACTTTGGCATCGATTGATTCAGGAGTGAATCCTCGGCGTCGATTCGCAACATTAAAAGACCATTGGGTCAAAACTTTTGGCAAGCCGGACAGTGAGCCTTATAGGGCAGCTGTGGACGCCTTCAAACGATCCCTTGCGGCATACAGCATCATCTCGTATGTATTACAATTGAAGGACCGTCATAACGGGAATGTGCTCATCGACAACGAAGGGCATATTATCCACATTGATTTTGGATTTATGCTTTCAAACTCACCTGGGTCAGTTGGATTTGAAGCAGCTCCTTTCAAGTTGACGTGGGAGTATGTGGATGTGTTGGGTGGTGTAGATTCTCCGGATTTTGAAGATTTTAGATCGTTATGCAAACAGGCTTTCCAAGGTGAGTTGGACTCAAGCGAATTAAGGATCTTAAGTAACATTTCACTAACTCTACTCTAGCTCTACGGAGATCAGCAGACAACATTGTCGATCTGGTCAGCATGATGGGACGAGATTCAAAAATGCCTTGTTTCGCGGCTGGAGTAACACAGGCTACAGCAACGTTACGGCAACGCTTCCAATTACATTTAAGTGCCGACGCAGCCGAGAGTTTCGTAGAGACCGATCTCATAGCGAAGTCTCTTGGCAGTTACTATACACGACTGTATGTTCATCATCACTCGTTCTTGAGTTAACATTCTAACAAGACACAGTTATGATACATTCCAGTACCGCACACAGGGTATATATTAGGCGCTTAGACGTTGAGGCCTGTGTCAAGGCTTCAGGGAGTTGATAGCATCACGGCATTTGGGCGGCGTTGTAGGCGATATAGACTCAGGTTTGGATTAAATCTCCACCTAGGACACAAAGCTACTACTACTATATATTTGAGTGACCATATCTATCTCGGTCTAAGAGTAAGACTTACTTAGACTCGTAAATAAAGAAGAAAGGTTGTTGAAACTTATTTTTATTCCTTCGTGTTTGATCATTCGGATCACTTAGAAAAGGGGTAGATGAAGATAGATCCAACGTGCGATTCGAAGGCCCAGACTAGCGTGTATGTTCTCCCTCTACCAAACAACAATAGGAACATGTTCCACAATCAACCTAGCTTTTCTCCATGACTGTATCCCCCCAAACAGTAGTTTCCCACTCGCTACTACACATCCGTCATGAGATCATTCATACTTCAACTACGAAACTCAACCTAATGTACCTAGATTCCTAAGGGTAATTAACAAATGATCAACCCAGATTAACTTTTTTCCAAGCCCTGATTAATAAAATGTCATTCCACTAGTGGTTATTCGACTCTGTTATGCCTTCCTGTTGGTACTCTGTATTATACCCCTGGCGTAATATTTAAGAAGCTGTTCACTCCCAGATTTTCTCAATCTTCCACCTTCCATCATCACACCACTCTACTCCCAAAGACGATACAGCCTACCACGTAATTCACACCGCTCTCCTATTAGGTAGCGATGGCTCATCATATTGCCAAAAACTCTCTTCACGCCTCCCTGCCTGCATTTCTCCTGGCTAGGTGAAGCGCGTTCTATTCCGGCTCCGTTCTAATACCAAAGAGCAGCCCAATATGAATCGCCACCGGTACGCGACATCCATGAGAACGGACGGAGCTGGTGTTTCAACCCTCTGAATCACTTATACTATCTGCGAACGGAAAGTTTTATTCCACCGGCCCACGTAAAGAATCACGGCCGCTTGCGAGGTTGATTTACTTTCTGGCATCACGTCATTTCTTGTTACATCATGCCATGGCTAGACTTCACCGAGTCGATATTTAGCACACCCCATTCATCAAACAGGGAAGCGATTATCGCCTCTGGATTAATGCTCAATCTTCAACCGTCGAGTTTCTTTTTTGCGCATAACCGGCCCGGAAGACGAAGGGATCTGGCTCGCGTCAATTGTCAAGGGTGTCACTGGCGGAAACGATTACTTATTCACACAATATATTGGGGCAGAACCAAGAAATGTCACCGGATACGGGGGTCGGTGTTGCTCCCACATCGTGGGGGTCGTCAATGGTGCTGGAGAAATTTCGACTGGGGACTTTGATACGTAAAGAACAAGTCGAGTGATTGATCCCAGCTGACTTCACAAAGTCGCAAAGAATTTTTTCTCTTTTTTCAAACATTATGATAGATTAGGTACCAATCGAATTATGGCGGTGGCACTCTACGACAAGAATTCAAATAGCGTATACGCAAAATTTTCCGTAGTTAAGAGGGGGCGAAGTCAAGATATCTCATATTCGTATATACATAATCCGAAAGCTAGAAGAGCGTTCAATCACGATAATACATGGGTAGTTATAAGAAGGGGCTAACCTTTTTTATTATCTTTCATCCACTTACCCCTCTGAGAAGGTATGTCTACGACGTTACTTGATTACTGATCCCCACAGGAGTGTCCGCCTATAAAACGAACTGTGTTCCCTTTCCCTCATGATGTTACCAACTTCATGTCCCGAAAACATACGGATTTCACGTGGCCAATGGGTAAAAGCCCCAAACACCCTGATGGACACCTTGATGGACTGTGGGCATTATAGGTCCTATGTATACAGTTGTACCATCCGCATATAACCTAACTACGATCCTCTCCGATTAACCCCCTTTTCTCAGTCATCAGTGATATTCCCCGTCTACAGTATGGCTCCGCCCACGGCGAGGCGGGTGACCTCATCCATCATCATCATAAGCGACTCCTCTCCCGACCGACGCTATCTAGTCATTTCAAGGCCCCGGACTTCTTCGCAGTGAACGTAGCGATGAGGTCCATCAGCCCGGGCGCGAGGACATCGTACGTCTGGAGGCCAATTCCATGAAGTTTATCACGGACCTCACCGATCTTAGCCGGGTCGAAACCCTGCTCAATGATACTGCTGACGAAAGCCGCGAACTGCGGCTCCTGCCAGCCGGGCTCGGGGCTCAGCTCCGCGTGCACGAAGTCGAGACCCTTGAAGGCGTGGTCTACTTCAATGCGTCCGTATAGATGCACGCCGCAGCTTGTGCATGCGTGTCGTTGGATCGCGGCTTTGGGGTCAACGATTTGGAGCTTGTGCTCGTTGGCGGTCACCGAGAGGTTGTCGCGTGGTATCACGCCGACGATGCTGAAGAGCGCACCTTCGGGCTTCCAGCACTTGGAGCACCCGCAGGCGTGGTTGTGCGCTACGTTGGAGGCGAGGGTTACTTCGACGGGGTCGCTGGCGCATTTGCAGTATAGTTTACCGCCTGCGTGGTTGGGGTTGCCCTTGGTGAGGCCGTTGTCGAGGAGGGGGTGGAGGGAGACCATTGTTGCTTGTTCGTTCGGTTTTTTCGGGTGTAGGTTCGGAAATAACTAGGCTGCTATGTCTGTCTAGATGTATATGGATCTAAGAGGGGCAACTCTTGGATCGAATTATTCGAGGACTAGACACATCCTTATATGGAGGACATACCTACGTGGGCGAGGAAAACACGGGTTATCCATATCCTACCTTGGTATGGAGCGAGTTACAGCCTACTGCCTACGCCGCTTGAGCAATACTTCAGATTTCCGAGACGAGCCCGCGATACCCCAGGTGGAGGAAGAGGGGATACGGTAGATCATATTCATCTTTCGGAAACGTTCAGCTAGATCGATGGCGTGCTCTGTCATATCCGGGGCTCGGATACCCTTACATGCAGAAGGGAGCGAATTGATATAGCCTGAAGGTGCCGCGGCGTATGCCATAACTCGCCAACAACCATGTTTCACTAAGAGCGGCAGATGCTGTAGCCTCCACCCTGCGTTAGGAACGATCGGAGATAAGTCGGCATGACGACGATGAGGAGCGCTTCTTGGGGTCACCTCGGTCACCTTGCACTTCCCGCCCGGCAAATTTATAATTGGATATCATAAAATCTTGGCCTAGCTTGCGAAGCGAAACTCGATGCTTAGCCCATTATAGTTGGATATAGCGAGTTTAGTTGCATTGTGCAACGGTAAGCCTTGACGATTATACCGCGCTACGACTGTTAGAGATATACAAGGCATCTCGATGGGAGATGATAGATAATAACTCTTGCATATTCGCCGGAAACTCGGGTTTCTGCCGTTGGCTAATATCTGACTAAGATTTCTTCTCGTTCTCTGCTAAAGCGCGATTTAAGAGTAGTCCGTCTAGACACGCGCGGACCTCGACGATCTTGCCATCCTTCCATCGTGTCGACCAAGAGTATGTGTTGTTGTACAACATAACTGCAAAATCGTCAGAAAATCGCCGAGGGAAGAAAAAAAACAAAGAGAAGGAAAGGAGATAAAGAATTTACCATTTTTGCATTTTGCTTCTGCAGCGAGTTCTATTACAGCCCACTCCTCGATTTCCCCACCAATGACGCTCTTAACATGGAGTTTCATAACTCCGTCAAATACAGCACTAATCCGGGAGAGCGACTGTGACAGGAACATTTCCTTGTCCTTGTAGTGGCCCGATAGCGCATGTGTTCCCATTACGGTCCAGTCGACATCGTCGGCGACGTGAGCATAGAAGGCCGGTGCATCGCCCGCTGTCAAGTAGGCGAAAATCTCTCGGATTCGGGCCTTGGTGGGGAAGTGCGAAGTTGACATTTTACTTATTACTATTGTCTTTTCCTTTCTAATCTTTCGTCTTGTTGCATTTCGCATGCTGTGTATTTTGAAGAGCCAGCCATGGATTCTTAACCTCAAATAAGACGATTCTTCTAGTTGAGTGATGCCAGGGGACCATCGGAGATAGTTTGGTAAACGCCTTGGCGGCGTTTACCAAGCACCTAAGTCCAACAATACGCCTGAGATCTTCACTCAAATATACTATATGATGGGAGCATGTCGACCCTAACATACGTAAGTCATCGTGACCCGGCTAGGAGATATGAGGGCGTTCCCCGAAGACTAGAAAGTTATCATTAAGAACCAAGGGTAAAGGCGATATCAAGATCAATATGGATGAAATTGGGGTATTCTCGTTTCTGTGAATGTTGAAGTAGTGTATTAGAAAAGCTGCTATCATGGGGTAATTATCGCGACGAGGCTCTGGGGCTGTGCCTGTAAGCAAGTATTGAATCGAATAGGAACGCCGCTGCGGATCAGAAGATTCTTCCCCAACTCAATTTCGGTACAGTGTATTGTCGCAATCACATACTATGTCCTATGAGACTTTGGAAGGCCTCACTACCCGAGAGAAAATACGTAAAATATTAACTGATAACTGGCGGCTCGAAGGTGGTCGCGCAGACCTGCCTATTTCCTCACTTATCTCGAGGGTAAAATGGACGGAGCGGTTTATAACAACGGTTTCCATAAACAGTGCTACGGGCAGAACGAGGATGAAATGCTTGTCGGACAAAGAGCGCAGCGAGCTGCTTTCTAAAGAAGTAACAAATCTTTACGATGCGGCATTGGACGGCCAAGATCACGTCTTTAAGTTGGAAGAAATATTTGGTGATTTGATTGAATGCGAATTTAAGGAACAGTCTGATGAGCAGCAAGCAACCCTCGTTGGTATCGTCTGGTCGTTTCTGCAACGAATGCCCGCTTGCTGTCCGGAACTTCCCGAACGGCTTGATAATGTACCTTCGTGTTACTTCAGCAGCGACGTGAAATCATGGACTCATTTGAGGGTCGCATCCTTGGTACATACAAACTTGATCAGATTATTGCTCGATTATGCGCTCCAAATACTTCATGGAGGAGGTGGTGTCTGTGCAGGCTCATCAGATCTTCAAACCATCCTAAATGGAGTCGGTGAGCTAATCGATTTAATCTCACTTGGGGAATTTGCCGATTCATCACGTTCTAATCCTGCGGTCTGGTTTTGCGTACGGTCTTACCTCTGGAGTTTCTGGCAGCGTGCTAATACCTTTCAACACTTCGCATGGGTGACACGCAAACTGGGTACTTTGGATGGTGTACGTCAGTGGCGCATAGGGAATCTAGGATATGACTACGGATATAGCCGGCAATTTTCACCGTCGCCGGGTGTTTCGCTCCAGCAGCTATCCCGGAAGGTGTCACAAACCGATACAAAAGCGAAAAATGTCTGTAATTGGACATTAGAACTCCTTATAGGCCAACATATATGTTATGGCCTTGATTTTCGTCTGTTTCATGAGAGATATGCAGCAATACTCGGGCAGGAGCCTGGGCGTTGTCGTTCGAACTCATCAGAAGCCTGCGATGGCAAACACTTTCAAAATTGTCTCAGATTCTACGGAGCTAAGATTGAGAATCAGACAGCCCATGACGTCTCCTGTACTTATAACTCTGAATCCGAGCCACGGTTACCCTGGGATGAAGCGTCATATAGGTCGGTTTCTGGGGCTAGAGCCGTCCATATTGACGCCGAAACAGGTTCCACGATTAAATACTGTGCTGCTTCGGACAACACCTTAACTATTTCGCATGTGTGGAGCCACGGACAAGGTGGACGGCCTGAAGAAGGGATTAACCAATGTCTACATCGCCGGTATTGCGCCATCGCGAGGCGGTTGGATTGCGACTCATACTGGATTGACACGACATGCATCCCGGATGAACACAAGCTCCGCAAAGAAGCGATTTCTCATATCAACAGAACGTTCAGCTCTAGCAAGGCTGTACTAGTATGTGATAAAGATTTAATGAAAGTCGACATTCGCGATTTAACCTTACAATTGAAAGAGTCCATACTGGTGGCTGTGATTCTTTCAGATTGGAATACGCGGGCCTGGACCCTGTTGGAAGGCATCAGGGGACGCAGTGCTCTATATATTCTGTGTAAAGACAATTTGACCGTCAATCTGGCCGATCTATTGATGGATGTGGTCGACAAGGGCCGAATCGATATTGTTGTCTTTGTATGGCAAGTCTTTCACATGCTTCCTTCTAAACCATACAACAAATTACGTGTGCTGATGGAGGAACCTGACGATGAAATTGGAGATATGGGATCTTGGCTAAGTAACCGACCAGCCAGCCGCAGCGGGGACGACTTTGTTATTTGGAGTCTCCTTATTGACCCCGAAAAACCACCTTACTCCGATGCGGTCGAGTTCTGGAGGGCCCAAGTTGGCAGGCTTGTTCGCACTGGATACCTCGTATCGAGCACGAAGCGACTCAAGAAGAAGGGCTTGAGCTGGGCTCCCGAATCAGCATTAGTAACCTCTACGATACCTACCGATCCGACTAGCCTAGTGAGCCATCGAGCTAATAATGCCCGCAGATCCGAGTATGCTATGATTACTTAAAAGGGACTCTGGGGCTATTGGCTGAGTTATGAGTTCAAACCCAAGATGCAGTCTTTAAACGACGATAAAGCCCCCCTGGAGAAAGAACTTGACAAAATACGATCGCGATTTCTCCGCATCTATGAGCATGGGATTCTCCTACGGCCCTGCCCTTCGTGGTACAGGGAACTCACAACTTACTCTTTCGGAGAACGAAGTGAGGATCGTTCGGAGCGAGGGACGTTAGTTGCGGTTTGCGCGTCCAAAAAAGTATCGCGGCTTTCTCTCCAGGTAAGGGAGGGCGCGATTATACGAGAATCATATCGTTGGATTTGGCGGGGTGTCTATGAATGGCCTATTGACACACCTCTCCCGGAAACATCGGCGGAGGTACGTAGAAGCGAGTGGGTTTGTATTGCTTGAATCAACTCTTTTAGAGCCGTTGTCTGGTGAATGGCATTGATAAGGGATGTACCCCAAGAGAAGGGTAATGAATCTGAAGACTGATATTAAATTAGTGTCATCTGTTTATTAACCAGATGTAAGTTCATTCCGTTTAACTTCACGACCTTTTGCCATTTCCACTGCTTCTTGTTATTCGAGGCGCAAATCGCAAATAAAGATAGGTTCTCTTCACTGCCGCGATTTTGACCTGTATTATATCCCGTATACGGTACTCCAGTCCCGCCCATTTTTATGGGACAGAGGAGCGCAACATCTGAGTACTGTTGGAAAAGATCGTAAGCATCTTTAAGACGTGGATCACAATCTCTAACATCATGAGGCCGAAGATAATGCACCAACCAAGTTCCGTAGAGCCCATTTTCTGTGATGGTAGCAGTGAAGCTACCTTCGCCATTGTACACGAGAATCGATTGTCCTTCCTTTCCTCGGCCATATTCTGATTCTCGTGCATATGGACTTGATGGGGCCCAAGAGAAAAGGGGAATGTTGATTCTTGGTACATCCGACATCAAAAACCCCGTATTTATATCTTGCTCGACCATGTCGATCCAAAGGTCTTCTGCCTTGAAATATGTCTTTCTTTCGCTCATAAGTAATGACCAGATTACAATCTCGTCACCTTTCCTAGTAGCATGACGATGGCTTAGCATACTAGCTGCATCTTCGAGGCTTCGCTGTTGGATTTGACCCCACGTATCTTCATCGATAGACTTATGATTAATAGGGAGGAGATGTCGCGTTGAGAGGAAAAATAGAGCAAGGTCGAGGTATCCTTCGTAACACTGCTTCTCTAGACAGCTACGAACTGAGATTGTTCGATTATCAGAGCATAGGACATGTAGGTTTATGGATCCTTTAACAGCTTCCAACATCGTCCATGCCCGAACGTTCCAATCGCATAGCAGAAGCGCCACAAGTACGTTTTCGGCGGTTTCTCGACTTGGGTCTTTCTGATCTGCATCCGCCACTTTGATACTCATAAGGTCCTGGTCAATGATAATGGTTACTTTGCTAATTTGAAATATTTGGTTAATGAATAATATTGCTTCCCATCTCCGGGTATGGTCTTCGGGGATGCAGAGGGTATCAATCCAATATGAATCACATCCATGCTGTCTGGCTATTTTGGAGAAACGTCGGTGTAAACAAAAATTCATGCCAGTACTTGGCCGACCGCCGTGGCCATGACTCCAAACATGGCTAATGGCTAGAGTGGAATGTGATGCTTCGACGTACTCAGCCAAATTATGAGACGTGTTTATCCCTACTGCTCTTGGTTTCCCTTGTAAGCTGTTATAACTCGACTCGTCCCATTTGATTCTCGAGCATCCAGGACAGCCAGTATCATGTATAGATTGGTCGGGCTTGACTAGCCTTCGATCTGTGAAACGACCACAATCTAGCGGGTGCGCCCCGCTACACGGTTTGTCTCGTAGCGGTGAGCACCTGGGCTTCAGACCTTGGAACAAACGATTGAATGATGATACAAGGCTTGTGACCCCCAACCCATGTGATGCTTGGTCTGTTTTGAGCAATTGAAGTGCCCAATTGCACATATATGGTGCTGCTGGGGGCTGGTCTGTCTTTTCGGAATGGGGTGAAATATCGGCTAGAGTGGGAATGTCTTCTAAGAGGCGACGTCCCCCTTTCAAGGAAATCAGATGGTCAACCTCGATGTCGTACCCAAATCGAAGGTGACGACATATTATAGACCAGAGGAATAAGACAGTGGTACGATACCATGTACATCGGAGATACCACTCAATAACAACATTACCAGCATTAACGTCCGAACTTGAGGTAACGTGTAAATGAATGAGATCATAAAGATAGTCGAGTAATACCGCGAGCCTAAATGCTAAATCATCCCAGCCCGAGCGTAAGACTTGACTACTTGTTAACCCTATCAATACTAGAGCTATTCGTACTTCAATAATGTTGGGTTGGTGTGAGACAGACAAGGAAGTTGGCCTGGAAATATCTTCACTTGAAGAACCGGGACGGCAATAGAGGTCAATCCCCTCTATAGCAGAGAAGGCTTGGCTGAATTGAGCGGGCCAGGCTCCTAACCGAGATAGGAGGTTATGCGCTTTAGAATCAGCATCCGGAGGGAAGTGGGGATCATGAGAGTCAACCCAGATAAGTACGAGGCACGAAAGGACATCGTTTAATCGCTCAACGTGGCGGCATGGTTCCTTGATTGCGGACCTAAGCTGGTCTAACAAGCTGACTGAAAATTGCTCAATCTCCCCCATTTGAGAAGAAAGCTTCGGCATATATATCATGCCTTTATGATTATGGTGGTATCTGCGCTGTATATCACTTCGAGGATCGGATTTTAGAGCTCGAGCAAGCTCGGCGGTGATGAATTCAGGTACTCTCGGCTCGGCCGTATCAGGCTGGGATTGACTGGCCATTCTGCGAAGATTGTAGAATGCGAACACGATGTTAGTAGGAGTGGTAGACTTCATGCAACATGCTCTAGCTTGTTGAAAGTACTTGTTTCACATTCAATCCTGTAGGGCTGCGCACTCGTATCTTCGTCAACGAGTAATGGAGGGGATGTGATAGGTCATTTTAGGGTACAAGCGGGCTAGCCCGCCTCAAACTCGGGGATAATTTTGAATGGATGGAGTAAGCTATACAACGGGGAAATATGCGTATGAGTCATCACCTGAACGAGAAACTTTCCGTAAGAGGTGATACTGGGGATTCGTTATACCGCATTACCCGCGTGCCAAGGCAGCAGACCGAGAGGCCCTTGGGGTTGGTGGTATTGTTAGACATGGACGGGAGTATCACAACTAAGACAATACATACTTGTGTAAGTTCACTTATACAAATTTCTAGCTGGCTGGCCAGCCAACTGGTGTAGCTAAGAGGGGTAGGTACACATAAAAGAAATGCTGTCTGAGAAAAAGGAAAAGAGCATAACACGGAATCCACCCTTTCTACCTCGTGCATGCATAGCCCCATGCCTCGCCGTGCAATGAAACCCGCAAAGGAAATATATAGGGGATGATTGAAGCTCAAAGCGCTTTTATCTAACCCAAATCGTGCAATATTGAGATATACGTCTTAGTATACCTGTAAGAATAAGTTATATCTAGAGCCGTTGGGAATCATCGATAACGCGGGCTGCAAAATGTCATACAGTCGTAAATGTGAATGAAAGAGAGAAAGAAAACCAAGCCCGCAAACTTTCCAGGATCCAATGGCCCTGTAATCCTCAAATGGCTACCAAGCCCCTTAACTAGGAGTAGTTGCGGTATGTCTACGCACTCGTAACTCCTATAGTATAGCGCGTCAGGTAAGACCAGTAGTCTCAGCCATAAACCTCATCGTGACCCATAGAAACGGCATTTCGGCGCATCTTCTAGTCACACAACACCTAACGCTGTCCCTGTCCCTGTCCCTGCGGTGCCACACTATCAACCTCAACCTCAAACCGCGGGATGCCCCCGGCACTAAGCACATTAAACAATTTCGTCAAATCATCGCCACGGTACGCACTCATATCATACGTCTCAGTGGGGCTAAAATACGCACTCCTAACAATAGCGCGCAGGCCCCAACCCGCTCGGTGCGGGAACGGTTCCTTGCCGCCGGGGTGTTCGAAGGCAGCGGTATGCGTCCGCACGTATGAAACCGCCATCTCCTGCAGGACGCGGATACTCGCGCGACAGCTCTCCAGAATACGCTGCTCGCCGTGGCCCAGCCAGCGGATCGTCAGCCGCACGTCGTACAGACGTAAGTGTGGCGGCGGTGGCGGCGTCAGTTGATTGGAGCCTAGATTGGGGGCGCTGGCTTTGTAGTTTAACGGGGGGTAGGGACGCGTGCTGCCGGGGCTTGTACGCAGGGAAATGAGGGGGTTGGGTGTTGGATTCGTGGTGGTAGTTGTGGTGCTGGTGGCGGTCGGTGTAGAACTTGGAGCTATGTGATTTGTCGCGAAGGTCATTGGGTGCGGAGTGGGGCCTGGGGGACCGGCCTGCGGCTGCGGCTGCGACTGGCCCGCGGGTATAGGCAGGCTACACATGACAGCAGCAGGCGGCGGCGGCCCTGGGGGGCCATTCCAACTCGCCGGTGGTGCGGGCGGTCGGTACGAAGGGGTAGAACCGGATGGCGGTGGGCCTCCCATAGGAATTGTAAATTTAACACGAGGAAACTGCTGTTGTGGAAGGGATCGGATATGGGTTGGGATCTCATCGTCGGAATCATCGTCTTGGTCGATGGGTGGAAATCTCGAGGAAGAGGGACCCCAACTCTGCCTATTCACGGCACCAGCAGCAGAAGAGCAGGAAACAATATGCGACGGCGGTGGCTTGCTACGACGCTTGCTGATATTGTTACCTTTTTCGTTGCCTGCCGTAGTCTCACGACAGCCAAGGTGGGGGTCAGCGGACGAAGCTGGCGTTATGCCCGCCTCGTCATCCGAGCTACCCCAGCAAGCGGTCGAAGTCGCGGAATGTCCGGAAACGATGGATGCCACATCTTCATCTTCTACATCTTCATCGTCTTCTTCGTCCTTCTCGTCATCATCTTCGTCAATTTTGGCCTTTTTAAGATCTGGAGGATAGGAGAATCCATTGCTAGTAATATAATGGTGGACCGCTTCGCACGATTTAGTGTGTAGTGATTCGATAGCTTTCAAGGGTGTGTGCCAGGAGTCCGAAGCGAGGAGTACATCGCGGGAGTCCTCATTGGCTCGAATCGCATACGCCTTAAATTCCCCTACGGCATCTTTGACGGTGATAACCGAGACAATGTCGTACTTAGCCACAAAGAACTCGCAATTGTCTGCATAATAAAGTTAGTAGAGAGGCTAACGGAGCCTCGCGTGACTTGTAGAACACTTGCCTATGATCTGGCCTCTATAGTCGAAGGTAACGGAGTAAGGTGCCATGCTGTGCTCTAACTGACGAGAGGAGGCTCTAAGAAACTGGTCGTAGGTGCGTATGAGCATTGATCAAGATCTAAAACGATAATCTTTGCTCTCATGGACCAGATTCAACATATTAGACGGCAGGTATTATATACATATACCTGTAGTGCGGGAGGTGATCTCCTACGGGATGGTCCTGCACGTAACCATGCTTTTCGGGAGACTGGGATTAGTTTTATGCAACATAAACACAGAGTGAGGCGGAATAACTATCAACAACCAATCTTGGCGGTAAGGGAACACATTTCTCAGCCCAAAGCAGGGTTCGTGACACGAAAATTAGCTGAGGTATGGACTACATACCCGACCGCCTCCGAAAAGTAGTAAATCCCCATGAGACAAAGGGTATTGTTGATACGTCAATGGCTGCACTGGTTGACCAACGGTCGTATTTTAAGGGGGTACACAATATACATGTTGTTGCCTTTGAAGCAGGTTTCGGCGCTGGCGAGTAGTCCTGGCCCATGAGGGAAGAGGGTAACACAAGGCACACCTTTGGCCTGTTTTCGGTAGTTACGGGTACCGGCCCGAGGTCATACTAAGGAGGTACATGCATTGTATCGCAAACGCCGGTCGTTGATCAACAAGAAAGGAACCTGAAAAATTGGGCACAATTTTGCCACGATAGGCCGTCTGGGCATACCCAAAGGCGAACGATTCTCGTTGCCCCGGGCCACAACTTTGTGGAATGATGCCGGAGACAAGATGTCTAGAACCCTCCGGGCCGGACGCCTGGGTTGTATCGACCATAATAAGAAAAATACCACCGGACTGGTTTGCGAAGGGTTGAGGGCCAATTAAATCGCAGGGCGAGCAAGTGATGGTTGGGTGGTCCGGATTGTTGGGATTTGCAACGTCCTCTTTTTTACAAACACGGCTATTGAGAATTAGCCATTGCAACGCACTCAGCTCATATTTAATGAAACCATCGGAAGACCTGAATAAAGAAAATTTTTCAAGGAGGAAGGGATCCCCAGATTATTATATAGTGTGCGACCGACCGAGTGGTGTATGTTAAAAAGGCCAGAATTTAGCCAGTCTCATATCTCAATTGCTGCCGATTTCGTCCATATGGTAGGCTTATTTCTCCTAGGCAGAACGGGAGGGCTGGCCAGACCACCTTCGATCTCGGTCCTCAGCTGTCCAATGCCTATCTTGGAAAGTCGAATTGTTTAGGCTGCGTATTGCAAGGCTGCAGGTGGACTGATACTCTGGCCCCTTACTATTGGGCACGACCTGCCGAGAGTCGCCTCCTGTGGTGGAACAATGCAATGGAAGGATCGGCGGTGAAGTAATTGCTTCTCCTTTACCTGACCCCAATTGGGCATCTGGCGATACTGCTTTGAGACGTCACAGTGAGTAACGGTAAGATTCGCCAAGGGGGCGCCACGACAACGACACAAATGCTGACTGTACCCTGGTTTGTTAAACCGGCCACAAACAACCGGAAACCAATCGCCCTGTTTCTAAACTGGATGCATATTAGACAGTAGTATCACATTTTTTTTACATTCCTTGATGGGATACATCCTTCGACTAGGAGTATCCTAGCGCTGCCACGCCTGCCTGTCGTACTTCTACCTACCCAACAACTGATAATCGCTCGAGTCGCGCTTTGACTGCATCTACCAAAGCCGTCTCACGCTCGATAAGTCCCTTGACTTGATTTATCTTAACCTTTCGGAGTTCCGATGGTATCCGCAAGTCAGCCGCCGGGGTGGTCACGCCCTCTTCTCCTTCACCAGTCGTTGCACCTAGTTTCTCCGCCTCCTCTACAAGTTCATCCCTTAGTCGTTGGACCTCCTCAAACCTTCTCCTAGCCTGCTTGATTCGTGTTGGCGCCTCTGTTGGCGTCGTCGATCCGAACAAACTTATATCAAGAGATTGAACTTCGTTAACCCAAGCCTTCTCCTTATCGCTCAATTCGCGACTGGTCGCCTTGCTGACAACCTTTCGCATCTTCTCCAATCGACGGTTGAGAGCCTCTCCCCTCTCTTTTGCGCTTTGCAGCCGCCTCTCTATCGCGGCATTACTTGACTCTGGTTCGCCATCGTCCAGGTCTTCCCCTGTAATAGCCTCAACCCTACCCTTAACTTCATTCGCTTTAGTGACTTGCTGTCTAAGTTCAGTTTGCAGCTGAACGCATCGTCGGAATACCTCGGAGGCCGCGATACCGAGCCTATGTGTTTCCATACTAACCATCTTATGCGCCTTGGTAAAGAGTTGTAATGTGACCGGCGAAAGCCGAACTTCCTGATTAACTATAGTTTTGTGATGGCTTGTACGGATTTGGTCAAGCAGGGCTGGTAATTGCGAGCTTTCATCGAAAATGTGTGATAGCTGGAAAACAGGGCGGGGCTCGTAAAAGTCTAAGGGTTGGACTTCCGCATCCTTGTCAAAGGAGGGCGAGTCAGACCGGATTGGGGCGAAGTCGTCATCTGGCGTGTCAAATATCAAGGCGATTGGATCAAATGGAGTTGCAGATAACAAGAAATAGCCAAGGTCAGGGTCGCGAATCGCAAGTGCGGCAGCTAGTGGAAGCTGGCCTTCACCCTGGGCTGTATCTGTGTAAAGTCGCTCCCTAGTCGAGCTTTGCGCGTTAACTAGCAAATCAATTCTAAATTCAGATCCAGCTTGCGAATCGCCCTGGAGCTCACTTTCCAGGCGAAAGACCCATGGTGATAAGGATATGTGCGTGATGCTGGAGGGATGGGTGATGTAGAAAGAATATCTTGAAGTGACGTCAGAACTAAACATCGGCCATCCATCTTCTGTGACCTCTAGATCAGTCAATATGTCCATGCTTTGGAATGTTAGTAAAGATGGGGATTCGGTCAAGCGGCCCATAGCCTTGGATTTGTTCCGGGGAGGAAGCCATTGGGCTTGTACACCGTCTAGGTCAAGGCACACTCGTAGCTGACCACTCGACGAAAGTAAGCAGACAATGGAAAGAGATAGGCCCTCCCCTTCAACATCCTCCATCTCGAGCTCCTCATCTTCACCCATCATCAACTCGTCGGTATCAAGTTTCTGACCAATTGCGAAAATGTCCGTTAGCTCAGTGTCTAGATCGTCTTCGCTCTCTGGGCTCAATTCTAGGTCAAAAGGTCCTTGTAAGCGAGGAACTACGCCTGGCCTTGTAGGGCGCGTAAATATCTCCGTGGGCGGTTCTCCTGGGGGGCCCTCAATAACTCGCGGTTCTTGATTGTCAAGGTCTGACATCCAATCCAGTTGCTGTTGCGCCAATAATTTCGCTTGTTCGGAGACATTTGGATCGTCTTCGGCTGCCGCTAGGTTCCCGACTATTGAGATCGAGAGCGATGGGATTAGAGTTGGCGGTGGCGCCCACTGCGTAGGCAGTAAGGGGCATAATGCGTAAACGTCACCTTCGCGCATCGCGATCCAGAGCGTCATCGGCGACCAACCACCAGAACCTCTACCAGCGAAACACGCCGACGCTACATCCATCTCGAACGAGTCGGGGGAGAACCCCTTATTTGTCACATCCGGCGAAGCAGCAAAGTTCTGGTCTAGAGAGGTACCGTCCGCAAGCTTCTGCAAATCAATAGTAAGGGAGGGTGTGTCGAAAGACCATCGATCCTTCTGGGAAAGCTCCCAGACTCTGACGACAGCATCCTTTGTTACCGTAACTAACGCGGAGCCATTAACCCCCAAAGGATGCCATATAGCAGACGCGATCGGCGAACGATCCATAACATGAGTTGTTGGGCCTAAGGTCCATGATTTCGGTTTGATGGCATCAAGACTCGGCGCTGTGAGGTGGGAAGAATCGGGCAAGAGAAGGATACGAATGGTGTGAGTCGTTACAACTGCCATGAAGTTCGCATACGGCGATATGATGAGCTGTTGGATATCGCTACCAACGGAGGTTTTAATAGTCTAACAGGGTTAGTGGCCCGGCAACAACAGGCATGACGAAAAGCAACCTACTCGGAAACCCTCTGCGCAACCAGTCTCTATCGACTCTCTTAATAGTTCCTCTTCGGAATCCTCACGCTTAATCCGGATATCACCTCGAGCCTTTGCTTGCTTTTCCTCCCATCGCTCCTTTACATAGACGAGGTCTGCCCATCTTATTTCTTTTCCAACCGCAATAAATACTTCGGTACCACGGCGAGCGATCGTTCGTCGCGGTCCATCCCTGGAGGAGACTTTAGAGGTAAAGGTTGAAGTAGTTGGGGTTTCGTTTGTGTTGGGTACAAAGAGATCGTGGCCGGGCGAGGGCGCCAACAACCAGGCGGGGGTATAGCTCTTTATCTTAGGCATTTTTCTAAGGTTCGGTGGGTTTCGGTAAGATTGGTAAGGTATTTCTGTCGCGTCATCAGCAGAATTGCATTTCTGCCTGAGACGTAGGAAGAAACGGCACGGCGTAGGTCGGTGTGCTGATTTGCGATGTTGTTTTGGTTAGACTGGGAATTATTATATTGGCGAAGGCGGAAGATCTTGGATGTATTGAGCTTAAACTAGACAAATTAGTAGATCATCCCTTTGCCCTACCAGAGTGATTGAGGTAGGCTCCGAAGCTAGAGCAATACAGAATTATGCATCAATGATGTATGTAAAGCGGCCTAAGGTCGAAAGACGTAAAATGTGAGTTGGCAAGGTTGTTTTGTGAGGAATTTTGGCGCCGATGAATAAAAAACGTTGCTTTATTTAGGTAGGCACTAGGTACCGAGCTACCTATAGCTAAGAGGAATTCAGGCGCGAGTCGACACGGCAATTTAGGTACATGTACGCGTGCATGGGGAAGCTTTAGCTTTAAAATCTGCACATCTAACCAATCAAGGGCGCTAAAATAAATAAAGATGGGACTTAGCTTCAGCCTTCCTCAATCGAATTGACATCAGTGGGTACTTTCTGAATTCATCGCAGTTCATCTAAGCCTTCTTTTGTTCGATATCATTATTCTGTGCCTGGTCATACCTTATAGCATAATATTAAGGTCTCACTCACAAAGAAGGGAGTTTTACTTCAGGATGCCTCCGCCAACTCGATCAACGGTTGACAGACTGGATCGTCCCAGCGCGTATTATAACAGTCGAGTAAGCTCTCATTCAACACGATATCATTCCCTATTAATTTCATATGAACTAACATGCATCAACAAAAGCAAAACAAACGCCGACGGCCTGATCATGGCCGAGATGGTGATGCTGAGAGTGTCGACGTCAAACCGGAAGAGGCACCTGAGGACCCTTTGAAGAACGCCACTACCCTCTACGTGGGAAACTTGTAAGTTCATTATTACATTGTCTGTAATTCAAAAGCGCAGGTGCAATGTTGACACTCTTAAGGTCTTTCTACACGACGGAAGAGCAAGTCTATGAGCTGTTCTCCAAGTGCGGTGAGATTAAGCGATTGGTGATGGGACTAGACAGATTCAACAAGACCCCCTGCGGTTTCTGTTTCGTAGAGTACTACACCCACCAGGATGCTCTTGACTGCATGAAGTACATAGGCGGCACCAAACTCGACGAACGTATCATCCGTACGGATCTGGATCCAGGTTTTGAGGAAGGACGCCAGTACGGCCGAGGCAAGTCTGGTGGTCAGGTGCGAGATGAGTACCGTGACGATTTTGACGAGGGCAGAGGTGGTTTGGGCAGAGCAATTCAGGTAGACCGGGAACGTGATAATCAACGAAATCGAGAACGAGATGTTCATACAGAGGAAGATTACGGACGCCTGCGATAAATCTTGTACTAATAGGCTAGTTCCTTGATACCCTTTCTAGACGAAACTAGCTTTTATGAATACGGATGATTACGGATAATTCATTAGAATTTATGATGAAGATCGTCAATTGCTCGTTTTTTATTGTTTCATTCCGCGTATATGCAGAGAAAATGGCCCTTTTGCTTCTCTAATCTAAGTACAATAATGTACAATCGACCGAATTCGATGTGTAGTGCGATATCGTCGTATCGTGATGGGACTGTGGGCATTTCCCACTTGTTTGCCCTTCTACGGATATAAGAGATTGTAGCCATGGGCACATCGTTGTTTTTATCTCGAAAATACTCCGTAAATGCTTAATATCCAGGCGGGTTGAGTCTTTGAGACACTCTGGTCCACTTCGGTAGTTCTAAATTCTCGCAGTCAGTATCACTACCCAGTAGCCTATTTTAATGGCAATAGTAAAAATGGACATACTATGAATGCCCTTTCTATATCTCTTCTCTTTCCTGTCGAATATGGTGTATTTATCTTTTGGCAGCATCTCGGCCTCAGTAGGCATCGTCTCCTTCCATACCTCAAGAGCCTTCAGTGTCTCACCCTTCTTCGCCAGCGCATTATTTACAGTCGCTATAACCGAATCGATGCCTCGGAGTCGTCTTCGTTGTCGAGCTTTTTGGAATTTAGATAGTCGCCATGGAGTTTTCCTAAAGACATTGTACAATTAGCAAGGCAATCATAGCAGGCTTGACATGTAGTAGAGCTAAAGAGTTGTCAATGTCCGGCAGTTAAACTACGTACCATAATAGACCGCTGAAAAGCGAGTTCGTCGCTCTGAAGGCGCCGAACATTGTGTGTGATGCTATGCTCAACAATTCAAAATCCTCAATCGGAATTCGTTAAGATCGCGCTTGGAAAAGTTCGGCGAGCGGAATCGAAAGCACGGACCATCTATGATTCGCTGGATACCCCACGGATACAGGTACTTAGATACTTAGTAATATCCACTCCGTCCCGCCAATCAATTATTTGAAGTATCAATGTACCTAACGAAGCTCCATACAAATCAAAGACTCACAAGCTTCAAATCCACCGAACAAGCGTCGTCACGGTCGCAAATGGTAGACAGATAACCGCCCTCGCCCAACATGTCCTACTATTTTGCCATCGTTGGCACGCAGGACAACCCACTCTTCGAGCATGAATTCGGAACGTCTAAACAGGGCGGCGACGGACAATCGCGGTTCAGCGAGCAAGCCCGACATATGAACCAGTTCATTGCGCATAGCAGTCTCGATATCGTGGAAGAAGTCCAGTGGGGGAGCGGTCAGATGTAAGCAATCCCTACATCAAATACAGTTCAGGCCAGTTTCAATATAGCAAATCGGGGGATATCGAATATTACAACGAGAGAATACTATGCGACATAACTCTGAACCGAAGCTAATTATGATTGATCAAATGATAAAAGGTACCTAAAGTGCGTCGACAAGTTCTTCAACAACTACGTATCCTGCTTCATAACAGGCGGCAACGTCAAATTCTTACTCCTACACCAGCCAACGATGCCCGTCTCGACGACATCCACCCGATCCTCTACTTCCATCGGCGCCAACCCTACGAGTCCGCAGACCGAAGAAGCTATCAAGAACTTTATGCTCGAAGTCTATGAGAATTGGGTTAAGACTATTATGAGCCCTTTCTACAGAGTCAATATGGAAGTGCGAAGTCCGGTGTTTAGGCAAAGAGTAGCTGCGGTGGGGAGGAAATACCTATAGCGTAAGATTTAGCAAGGTTTTAACAGGCCTACAGTGGCGTTTGGAGTTAAGTCAGGCGGCAAGCCAAAAACTTAGGTGCCTTTACAATGCATGCCAGGCACTTATTTCAGAAAGGCATAATGTTTACGCATAAATTAAGTCACGATAGAATCAAATAGAACCGAAAAGTTTGTTTACAGCAAAGCGCAATGCAATGCCAGTACATTCAGTATGCCGTAGCATATCATAGGCAAGGCTATCTGTCCGTGGACGCCCACCATGTCTCAAAAGTCATCGCGTGGACCATGTTTACCGTAACGTGAAAAATTAACCACCAACGCCGAATGTCAGAATGTGTGTATCATGCCAATCCCCAGTGTCACAACTCCTTCTCCCTAGTGTTCCCTTTGCGAAAAACGCTTCCTATCTAGGTACACCCATGCGATTGAGGGTAAAACCGGGGGAACACAACCAAGGAGCAAACCGGAAAACGGTAAAAGCGACGACACCGCTTAACCACCGAAACCGTAAAGGGTACGGCCCTGTCGCTTGAGGGCATAGACGACGTCGAGGGATGTGACGGTCTTGCGCTTGGCGTGCTCGGTGTATGTGACAGCATCACGGATGACACCCTCAAGGAAGGACTTTAGGACACCTCGGGTCTCTTCGTAGATCACTGCATAAGTTGTTAGCAACTGAATGAATTGATACTTTGGAATTATTGGTACTTACTGGCTGAGATACGCTTGACACCACCACGACGAGCGAGACGTCGGATGGCGGGCTTAGTGATACCCTGGATGTTGTCACGAAGAATCTTACGGTGGCGCTTGGCACCGCCCTTTCCGAGACCCTTTCCTCCCTTGCCGCCTATGAAGATAAAATGTCAGTACAATTGACGTTGGCGAATGACAATAAAATGCAAATGGAATGGAAGGTATCGCGTTGTGGTGGGTCCCAATGAGGACGCGTCTTAATTGATGATGCCACCACATACACCCACCAACCACTAGTAGTACAGGTGCATCGCAATTTGGCGACGCGATAGTAAGACGAGGATAAATAAAAATAGAATGCAACTTACGTCCAGTCATCTTGAAGGATGCTTAGTAGTGTTTAGATGTTGTTTAAATGATGAAATGTTGTGGATGTGGTTGTTATTGATGACAACTTTGGTAGAAAGTAATTCGTTGTTGATGATGGATAAATCAGGAAAATAGAAGAAGAAAGTTGAGAAGTGGGTGAGAGGAGGTAGCCTTTTATGTGGAATAGGGAGGGGTGTTACTGATTTGAATTGCAAGAAAGTACTAGTCCACTTTAGGGGTGCATCAGCTCGGGCGCGACCGATTAAAAAATAAAAATATTAAAAAGGCGGTTTGTCACTGTCTGATTTCTCTTAATTATTTGGGGCCTGAAACGGGTTCATTTTCGCACTGCTTTGGTGCTTAGGTTGTTAGTTTCCCTTTTGGGCGAATTCCACTGATTTTACAAGACCCCCTTGTAATGGTCCGTGCTTTTGCTCCGGCTGCCGATTGTTAAGGCGCAGATCCATGGATCCCGCTACGGGGAATTCACGTGATTTAATTAATCCTTGAATTACAGATGTTTGTCTTAGCCTTTGATTGGTCGCATTACCACCCTTTTCACAGTACTAGGTACCTTATGCATCGAGACCCTACATATTTACACATCTTAGAGGTATACAGATATTGGAATTTAATATCTAATATTCGACTTTTAATCATTACTAGTATGAACATACAGTGTATTTAACAGTCACGAATGAGGCACGTATTTGATATTGCAATATCAGCCTCCCTTACGCGCGCAAGCAAGCGTGGGGTAAGCCTAGATTATTCTGCTCGTGAGCTTCGTATCGTAGAGCAGCCTCCGGCGTTCATTCAACTGGCCGAGACGCTCACCACCAGAACGAACTATTATACACTTTTATCGCCATGCAAGCCCTTTACCTATACACAAGACCCCTTGATTCCCTGGTTTCCTGACGATCGTGAACTTGATAAGCCACTCGAATTTCCCTAAACGCCGATGCATATGCCTTGCCGGACCTTCGTTATGCCAAACACCGACAGAGCCAAGACGTACGAGGTCGTATCGTACCGAATGTAGACTCCCCCCTAAAAAGGGATCAACGCGTGCCTCGGGGAAAACATAAAGTCCAGCCACATCCCCACCCCTACCATTGAAAACATGACGATAAAAGCAACCCTTCCAGTAAAACGCAAAGGTTCTATCGTGTCATACGTCATGCCATCATAGAATCGTCAAAGCTGTCATCATCTTCAAGGCTCTCGATAGCTTCTTTGATTTGTTGGCTCGCCTGGGCAGTCTAGTGTTAGTACAAGGGTTCTGGGGATTGAAGGGCTCGACTAACCTTCGGGTCCAGATTTAGTGCAATTGTGAAATGTCTGACGGAGGAACCCTTGTCGTTCAAACCCTTGTACAGCTTTCCGAGAAGGAAATGTACTGTCGCTTCATCTGGAGCGAGTGTCTTCAGAATCTCGAGTTCCCTCTGAGCTTCATCATACTGGTTCAGTGCTAGAAGAGCTCTAGCCTTTTTGTATCGAGTCTGTGCGGCTTGGGGGGCAAGTTCTGTTGCTTTCGAGAAGAACTGCAAGGCCTTGACGATTTGTCGTTGCTTTTCAAGGACATTGCCAATGCAACAGATTAAGACTGCATTCGTAGGGTTGATGGCGGATGCAGAATGGAAATGTATGTAAGCTTTGTCGTAGCTACCAAGTTTTTCATATACTCTACCGATACCATAGTACGCGTTGTAATGTCGGCGGTCGGCTGATACTGCCTGACGATATGCTGTAAGGGCCTTCTCATACTCTTCGTTCGAAACGTATTCGTGACCCTGTAGAGTAAATGCATAAGCAAACCTTGGGTTTAATTGAGTGGCTCGCTTGAAGCATCGTAATGCTTGCTCATGGTCTCGGGCAAGCGACCAAGCATTCCCAAGCGCACACCAAGCTTGGGGAGAATGCCACGACAGCTCGACGAGTTCGTGAGCCAGGAATGAAAGATCTGTTTCTCTTTTGAGGAACCATAAGATTGTGGAATATACTTCCATATCCTCGAGACGAGTGGGAGCAAGGATACGCAATCTCCTATAGTACTTCTCCGCCTCTGCGTATGACGCCTGCTCATAATATGCTCGTCCCATCTGTGACAGCATCCACGGTGTATCCTGGTGTGCTCGTGGCAGTGCCGTATAAAACGCCAGAGCATCGGTGCAACGATACTGCGATAGAGCGAGGTATCCGGAACCGAATTTCTTCAATAATTCCAGAAGATACTTCAAAGTTTCTTCGACCTTAACGGATTCCGGCTCCACGGGTTTCATAATTGGCGCCGGGTACGTTTCCCTAATTCGTGGGGCTTCGGCATGATCTACATCCATACCATTCTCCTCTAGTGGCTTCCTGTTGCCACTAACAGCTCGGCCCACGTTAGAACCACTCGAGTTTGGCCGCACAATTCTAGAAATCGGGGGTCTAGCCTTTTTCAGTTCCCTCGTAGCGCCCAGCGTTGACATTCCAGCATTGGTTTTCACACCAGTGCCCTTGACCATGTTTAATCTTGCACTTCTTCTCTGTGGTGCTCCGGGTTCTTCAGATTGTTGTCGGGGCTGCACAGGCTGGCCAGATACGGTCCTCTTCCTCTCTATTCCAGATACAGTTGAGGCAGACGGCCTAAGAAGGGTAGGGTTAGATTCCGATAAAAGATCATCTTGTGATTTCTCCTGTAGTTTCTGAGTCCTTCTAGTACCAGCTCGATATCCCATCTTCGAGGGCATATCCGCAAGACCAGATTCGATAGGATGAGCATTTCTCGGTTTTCTAGTCGGTGCCTGGGGGGGCTCGGGCGGATAATTGATCCGGGGGATATTCGAATCAACGTGGTTGGACGTTGGTGTCTCCATGGTATCACTCCCAGATTCGGCAGTCATCACCATCCTAGAACGAGCCGCATTGATTCTAGATACAAAGTCATTCTCGCCGGAAAGGAAATTACTACCGAGGGTCTCATTTCCAGCCATTGGCTTATTCGATTCAAATGGGTCCCCCATTGGATCGAAAACTGTAGTGCGAGCTGATGGCTTCTTAGGCTGAGGTTCCAAGTAATTAGATGTACTACTGCTGTCCTTCTGTTCGAGTAAAACCCCACTTGATTGGTCGGCATTCAGACTGTCTAGCAATGTGTCATTTGGTTTGAAAATGTTCGTCGTCCTAACATTAACACCCATGTCGCATAAAGCAGTGAATGCATCCCACATAAATGGATTTCCCTTCAAGGCCTCTTCAAAGTGAAGGATTGCCTTTCTCTTGTCATCATAAGCACGATATAGCTTCCCAAGTAAGCAAGCGGCACTCGCTGTGTCCGGATGTTGTGCTCGACTTGTTGCGTTGTGCTTCCCTAGGCTAGGCTTTCGGGACCATGCACCTCTGGATTTTTCCAGTGCTACAATGCCGTCCTTATACCGTCCTAGTGCAAGACAGCACTGGGCGAAAATATACGAACAGGAAACATTACTACCACGAGATCCAACGGCCTTGCTAATCTCATATGCCGATTTATAATCGCCGAGTTGGAAATGGCAGAGTGCGAGGAGATACGGCGACTCGGTTGATCGAGGGTCGATAGCTACTAATTTTTCGGCGAAAAAGAGAGCATTATCATAGGATATGTTATCGAGGTGGTAATGAACAATCTGCCTTAGCTGGGCCGCAACGGCCGAATTTGTAGGCGCCATGTTGAGATGTCGGGTGGAATGTTGGGTAGTAAATGCGTGGTGGTGATAGTCGGCGATATTCGCAAATGGCCATATGGTGTTCGACTCGTGGTAACGGCGCAAGTTTGAATTATCGAGTGCGAATAATTGTCGGTAGTCGAATCAAGAAGCAGTAAACTGAGTTGGTAGTCGAGTTACGAATCAGCAATTCAGCTAACGTGCTTCCAAAGTTAAGAATAGCCGCCTCGAGAACGATTAGTATTATAGTGGGTTTGAGTCGAAATGTTAGAAGTCTAAATGATTGTTTTCGAGGGACCGAAACTGTCTGTCGGGTCGAAGAAGCGGAAATATGTGTTGATTTGGTCTTGAGTGCTTAGAACAAGCATCGCCGTTCAAAGACTCAGACCTAAGGCAGAGAGAAGAGAGAGAAAGACGAGGTAGAATATCTCATCAACAATCCGCCGAAGGATAGATGGATGAATGTTAGAAGGCAACAAAGCGACTATCTTGCCTGACAGGCTACCCAGCTCCCAGCCCAGACAGCCGCGTGCCTTGGAAATACCATTTAACGACGGCGTAGAAAGAAAGAAAAAAAAGAGGATTTAGAGTATCGTAGTGGGATGGATGAGGGTTGAGGCAGGCAGGTAACCTTTTTTTTCGCCTTGTCGCAGTCCAAGCTTCCCTCGCGACTTGGGGGATGTTATGGTGGATAGAAGTTGCTAGGGGACTTGATTGGCTACATGTAACCAGAGTGAGCCTGCCAGAGCAACAGCACGGCGCTAATGAAAAGTCGTAAACAGCCCGCCCGCTTAAGTCCTAGAGGCCCCACCCACCTGCGCACCTGCCACCTCATTCAATTGCTCAGGTGCCCTTATCCACACCATTTCTAGCATTTCCAGCCTCGTTTTATACGCCACACTATTTTCTTTTCCACCTGCGTTTCGTCACCAAATCAAGGCGCCTACATTCTCCCTCTTACAGCTTAATTGACGACACAACAAGGCACGCCTCAACCCGATAAAAAGACGTCACAATGGCACAAAAAGCACGCAAGGATCGAGCAAAAGCCAATGCGGTCGCTCTAACTAATCTTCACATGGGCACACTCATTATTAATGTGCTGTTCGTACTCTTTCACTTTTTATTCAGGAAACGGTCGATATTAGTTTACGTCATCTTGTCGATTCCCAGTTTCGTTTGCGAGTATGTCTTAGAATCATCAGGCCGACCTAAATACGATCCATCAACAAAGTCGCTTCAGAATGCTGGTGAAGATCTATCTGCGCCAGGTCTCACCGAGTATATGTTTGATGTTATTTGGGTTACTTGGGCATCTGTGGTCTTTGCCATACTCTTTGGAAACTGGGGATGGCTCCTCTGGGCCGTTGTACCTGCTTATGGGGCTTACAAAGGGTACGGTCTTCTTGGTGCAGCTCGTGGGATGGCGGGTATGCAAGGACAGCAGCCAGATGCTGCTGTGCCAGCGGCGGGTAACAGGAGACAGAGACGAGCGGCCTGAGTATAGCAACAATACATGTCGGCCAAATCTATATGAATAGGGAAGAGCAAATCCTCATGTCTATGTGTGTGTATACTTGCACCCGCCTACACATGGGTCGCCTAGTTCGGTAGTCTATGGCACTCGAGCTCGTTTGTCCACTCATCCAAGATACTCTTCTCAACATCCCTAACTATGACATGAATGTCTGCGATATTTGGGTCAGCAATACACCTTCATAGGGTCCTGATTGTTGATTTCAAGGGACGACTGATGTATCGGGATGGAAGAAGAAATTATGGGTTTCATGAGTGAATGGCACGATACTTACGTTCAAGGGCCCTGACACTTTGCAATGCAACCCAATTCTTAAACCATAAGACTTTCTCATCCCCACCAGGACCTAGCCTATCAATGAAAAATCTCTGTATGAAATCCGCAACGGCGCAGCGACTTTCAGGTGTCATGTCCCCGGTTTCTGAGTCCGTTTCAATCGTTGTTCTTGACCAGACAACTATGTGGGTCAGGTTTGGTGTAAACCCATAGGGCCAGTCATTGATCAAGACTCTATAATCAGATGGGTTGTCGAATGGAATAGTTGATGCCGGTTTGAAAGGAGGGGAACCCCAAGTCTTCGGGAGCCGGTGCCTCATGAGATAATTTGTCATGGATCCATATACCGCCTTGGTCTCGGCAGTCCACTTCATATACCGCCGCAAATCAGAAGGCTTTCGTTTTAAAACAGAAAGATTATTCTCGCCTAATGGCGTATGAGCTATCATGAGAAGACCAGTATATAACAAATAAATACCTACCTATGATCTTTTTCATCTCTTCCCAGTCATGATATTGGTATTCCTCATCAGTCAACGATAATACCCACTTATCCACTTCTGTCAAAGGGAATGGCGCATCTTCAGGTGCAGTTTTTATCGGAATGTCGCTCATCTTTTTTTAGACTCCTATAATATAATCTCAAAATACGAATCGGTGTATAAATTGAAGATTTTGCAGAAACGCTCGCCTACGTAAAATATATCTAGTTGCATGGAGTCAAAAAAGCAATGGGAATGAGTTGTAAAGCCACTATACTCGATTGCCGCCTGCAGTGTTAAGACACTTGTTCCTATTGAACAATCCCGGGTGCCTTAGCCCCTGATTCATCCACTAGATTCACAGTGGTTCAGGTGCCGAAGTACCTGGCTAGCTCACTAAAAAATTAAGTTAGGTAAGCATCCCGAACCGCCGGCTCACTCCGCCCACCAACATTCAACCAATGGTGCCACTTTTTCCCAATTCCCCGACCTAGGAGATTAAAAGTAAAACCAGGGTACGTACAAACAGACCCGGGTTCTTTTTTTTTTTTTTTTTTTTCTTTTCCACACCCGCCCCCGACTACGATTCCCTTACGAAGCTGTCCGCCTTGCCGGTTCTACCTATTGTTTAGGTGCGCTTCGTAGGGCAGGTCATCGTTCAGCTGCTAAACAGAAACGAGGCCGTTTTTCACTCAACAAAATAGCGCAGTCTCGCTAGGATTCGCACCTCAAATTTGAAGTCAGCAATCCCACTACAAAATGTCGGTACCCTTGTCTTCGAGGGCATACATCGATGGGATATACATCCCAGCCGGTTTGCTCGTGCTTGGAACATTTATCGTCAAGAGAGAATGGACACCAATTGCGACGCTTGTTGCGATTGCCCTAGGGATTCTTAAATACTTCCGTTCGCGTATGTCCACATGTATCGTCCTGGGTGAGATTCATCTAATTGTACTTTGTAGTACCCAAGAAGATCTTGAAGCCAGATGTCTTCCAAGAATTCGAGCTCAAGGAGAAGACAATCATCTCTCACAATGTAGCCATGTTCGTCTCTTCCCCAAGTAACTTGTTTCGCACCTCGTTAACGTTTCTACAGCTACCGATTCTCGTTGCCCTCTCCGACGTCGATCCTCGGTCTTCCTATCGGTCAGCACATTTCCATTGGTGCCGCTATCGCGCAGCCTGATGGCTCTACTAAAGAAATTGTACGATCCTACACCCCCATCTCCGGCGACCACCAACCTGGCTACTTCGACCTCCTCATTAAGTCATACCCTACTGGTAACATCTCTAAGCACATGGCATCGCTTGTTGTTGGTCAGACAATCCGTGTAAAGGGACCCAAGGGAGCATTCATTTACACTCCTAACATGGTCCGTCACTTTGGAATGGTCGCTGGTGGTACTGGTATTACCCCCATGCTCCAGGTTGTCAGAGCTATTATCCGAGGACGACCCACTGGCGACAAGACCCAGGTCGATCTCATCTTCGCGAACGTCTCCGAGCAAGATATTCTACTGAAGGAGGACCTCGATGCGCTAGCTAAGGAGGATTCCGGTTTCAGGGTGCACTATGTTCTTGACAAGCCTCCTGAGGGATGGACCGGAGGAGTCGGTTATGTCACGGCTGATATGGTTACCGTAAGTTTCCCATCTTAGCTATCCCCAAAACCTGTGAGCTAACTTGAGATAAGAAATGGCTTCCCAAGCCTGCTGAGGACGTCAAGATATTGCTTTGTGGTCCACCTCCGATGGTTGGTGGCCTAAAGAAGGCTACCGAGAGCCTTGGCTTCAAGAAGGCTCGTCCCGTTAGCAAGCTAGAAGACCAAGTATTTGCTTTCTAGAGTCCGCGCCACGAATCGCGCCCTCGGGAGAAACTAGGGGCTTTTAACAAGCTTCGCAGTCAAATTGCCTTTCCCAGCACGTGTGGAGATATTGATCATTCCGTATCGGGAACCTATGATGCTGGTTGGGATATATAGGTATGTTACTGAAGCTTTGCTCATATATAAGCGAGGAGTTGTTTGAAATAAGCAGTATACGCTTAAATCACAAGGTGCCATATTGACATCATATAATAATTCACTGCCCAAGTCCATTAATGAATAGCTTCACGAATAAACGAGTATATCTACCTGTACCAATCGGAAGTGAGGGTTTTGTCGAATATGACATTCCGCTTAGCGTTTAGACACCATGGAATAACCATCCACTTTGCGTCCTATTCCATCGATGCTTTAGAATAACGTCGGTATATGAAACCATCTAGAATGCCAAGCCCACGATCTTCTGCTAGAGCCATGTCCTTGGTTAGCCATATTTGGTTAAATACTAGCATCTAATTCGATAAATGTCATGTATATTGATATAGAAGATAATCATTACTACTAAGAGTCAAAACATCATTCGTAGAATGGCTATGTCATATCATTTAAAATTGGGGCTCCAATATAGGATCGTTAACGATAAAATGGGTTAAGACAATTACGCCAACGTCCCAAGACATCACAGTGGCGCCACCAAATCCGCGTGATAGAATGCCATCCTCTTCCTTTGTTTTGATAAATGCTTCGATGGAATCATGAGAATGCCCCAGCCGCTTTCGCAATTGCGAAATGCGATAAACGGCTACAGTGAGTACTGATAGATAAGAATAGAATACCAAGCAAAATTACATGCCAACCAGAAGAACCGGATCATTGGCCAGAGAGAGTGGATTTTCGATTCGGTGATCATAGACCTTGAATATTGTCTCCACCACTCATTATGGATAGATTATCTGGGATAGCTCTTCGCTGGTGCTTTCCCAGACCAACCGACTATTAATAGAGCTAAACGTTGAAGAATCATGACGAAAATCAGCGGTCAAGACAAGAAGTCCGAGACAGCCAGCAAGCACGGATTCAACCAAAGGTCACCGGACCTCCAGAGACGCTCGTTATTAATGGACCTACCTGCTGCTTAAATTATGTGCAGCTGGTCGTGCAGTCGACATATAAGTAGGCCAAGTTCGCCCTAAACCCATATTGTTGCCCTGCAGGAGCTTAGAATATCGTTGCCTGCCTTTCTTCACTAATGATTGGATCGCGATTTTCCTATCTCGCTGGATGTGCTTTGCCGATCCCGGGAAAGCTGCCGGTGCTTGACAAGGACATGATGATAGTTTATTATAATCAAATTACTTACGACGCTAATTTTTGACTATATCGCACATCAGTCTGTTGAAACCGGAAAATGGGACTTACATCGTTCATCGTGCAATCAGAGAAGCTCACTGACTCGAGTGTATAGGTAATAGATAAGTAGGTAAGCTTCAATGCGACGATTGTGGTTTCACGTGCGATCGATTTAAATAGATAGAGGTCTCTGTGATGTTCTAATAAGGAAACTATTTCGTATCCATGTGTGCCGGCATCTTATCAATATGGTCGATCTTAAGATCAATAGAAATGTTGAAATCATTTCGATTGGTGTTTGCCTGTACTTTTGTACCTAATCCGGGAGCCGGAGCAGCATTCAGTGCGACACAATCGAAGGTACCTGGGTATCTGGGTACTTACATGTATCTCTGTGGGGTTCGGATGGGATGTTCGTAGACGTAGCCCACATTAAAGGCATGCACGTGTACCTAATGATATTGTATTTCGATGAGGCCTGCTGTAAGTAATAGGCTTGGAATGCTACACGAGTTCATCTGGACAAGTCTTGACTCATAGACCTACATGACCCTGATAACTACCAGCCTTAGAAGGGATTGATATTTCCGACGGAGCATTTATGTATGTGGGCAATTTCTCCAAGGCTCTTATGTATTGCATCCGTCAGGTACTCCCGTCTTTTAAGTGATATGAGGGGTATCCATGAATATACTTCCCAAGATTGTACATGTAGATACCTACATATGTACGGACATCTATACCCCAGGTACCCTAGTAAACCTAATGATGTTATCATCATCACCAGACTTCCCATTCTAAACTAAGGCGTACCTTTGTGTTATCCGCAGGCAAGCACGAGGGAGGTATGCACCGAATCTTCCAGGCCTGGGCAACTGGGTTCTATTAGATCAAAATTAGCAGTCTCGCCAGATTTTTAACAAACTTGACCAGGCCTTCCCAGGTCGTCGGAGACCAATCCTACCACTCCTCTACCTCTCTTGGCTCCCACACCTACCATTTTCTCCACACCATTCTTTTTTATTTTTTTACCACTTCCCTTGACTTCCCTCTAGTAAACCATTAATTTTATTAGGTAGTCATATAATCCTTTTTTCGATCCCAACCCTAGAACTTCTTCAATTGAACCAGTGCGGCGGCTCCGGCCTTCTCGTCTAAGCAGCAAGGCTTATTAAACTTTTAACAGGGACGACAACAACAACCTTTTGGGCTAAGCTGCGGAGCTACTGGTGTGTAGCCAATTGTATATACACAGACAAGAATATACAGCAAAATACCTTGACACAAACGATTTGCTACGTGGATAAGTTCGACCGCAATTCGCAGAGAGAAAAATAGCTTGCAAGATAAGAAGAGAGCTCCACTTCAATCGCACAAAGGCGAAAGCGAGGCAAAATTTCAGCAAGTTCTCGCTACTTCGGGACTTATTAAAAAAATAAAAATAAAAATAATAAGAGGAGGCAAGGGGAAAGAAAATCTCAACTCTTATCTTGCTTGCTTTGCTTTGCTTTACTTTTGCTGTATGTTGGCCACCACCAACAATGCATGTTCTTTGTTCTTTGATCGTTTTCGATTGATCATTTTGTGGTGTGCGAGTGCGCCGCCGCCCTCGGCATAATGGATGACACGGCGAGTTTGGTATCGGATCTTCTGCAGAAGCTCACCGAGCTTGATAACAAGGTCAACGAATACCGCAACGATATGGGCCAAGAGTTCCGACGGTATTCGCAGCAGCGATTACAAGATGTACCAGGCGACGTCTCTGCTAAGGTCGAGAGGTTGATCGCAGAGCAATTTCAGAATTATCCGGCCTTAAGTCCTGCTCTTGATCATGTCCTCGACTCACCGTTTCAGTTTCAATCGCAACCACAGTCGCAAATCGATATACATACCGTTGGTCCGGAGGTTGAAAAAGCGTGGACTGCTAGGGACTCACCGCCGCCTCTTTCCCCTCAATCACCCGCCAGTCCCTCAGATGACGGTGCCAGTAGTCCACATGAACGAGAACGCGAGTTCCATGGTCTGTTCACACCGAGCTATCTCCCCTTACTTGATGCCGTGCCGCGACGCACCCCGACACCACCCACCTTACCAATCCAAATACCTGAAGTCAAAGAGCCTAATAGCGATGAAAACACTTCTCCTACTACTCTAACCAACGTCATTTTAGGGCGGCCTGACCCCGTCCGACGTCACACTGAAGACACGATCTCTTCGGTCACATCTGACGATAGTGCGGCACGGTTACGAAGAAGCGCACTCCGCCGCTCATCCAGTTCCTCTATTAAAACCCAGAGTCCTAGGCGGGTGCGCTTTGACGTGGAAGGTGAAGAAGTTCTTCCCACGTCATCACCACCAATCTCACCGCGAGCGCCCGAGTTTCCGCCGTCCCCATTAGGCAACCCCACTAATCTATTAGATGAGTCATACAATGCGATTCTTGTTAACGATGATACCGATCTGCTAGGCAGCTCTCCGCCGATGCCCAAAAAGATTACCTCGACCGATCGTCTGAAGGCTATGGCGAGGAGTTCCACCGAGGATACCTCAAAATGGGAGGTTGTTGGTAACTTGGAGGCCACCGATGATGACGAGGAAGACGAATTAGTCATTGCTGGGTTAAATGAGCGAAGAGGCTATGACACATCTCAGACTGTTGTGGATACTATAGGCACCGAGAGTACGGCACACCGTATAAATGACGCGCGCCTCCCGACCCAGCTTGGGGCTCCATTGGCAGCTGTGAAAGAGACGGAGGAAGAGGAAGTTAATAAAGAGACTGGTGATGTTGATGATGTTCTCATGATGCCACCATTAAGCTCTTTCAAAAACAAAAAGCGGTTTTCTCCACCGCTTGAAACGACTTCTGAATCAACATTAGAAGGTCGCGATTCGCAACAGCCGACGGAACAACGTAATGAGGCAAAAGAGCCATCCAAACCTAATAATGATTCAACACTTGACGAAGAAGACATGTTCGAGTTTGATGACAACCAAGATACCCCATCTAATAATAGGACCGAAGAGGCAAAATCCATCAAGAAATATATCGAAGAGGAGGAAGAGGACGATGAAGCGGATGCGACGCCCATAGCTGAAAACCCGACATTATTTTCCACGTCTGCCAGCATCCCTGTCGCTAAACCCGTTGATCCGGCACCGGCTCCTTCATCACCTCCTCATGTAGCTGCATCCGCGGGGTCATATCGCGGAAAATCATTTTCGATCGGTATCGTTCGCGACCCAGAATTGCATAAGAAGGCCGAAGAGATGGGTGATTTTTACACTTTTGTCGGCAGTGTCGATGGAAGAAGCGGGGTCGACGAATCGAGTAGCTATAGACCCGAGTTGACTTACTTCAACGGTACACCGAGAAGTCTTAGCGAGCGTCTAATACAGGAAGACTTGGAGGAAGCCCGTCGAAACACGCAGGCAAAGGACGACGATTAAGCTCTCGCAGCGAATAAACTCCAAGATATGGAATCCAAATATGTCCTAGGAATTTGCAAATGCAAGTAAACCCGCCGGAAATTCGGTCCCTAATCACCCTTAATTGTTGTAATGTCTAATTACATCTTCGTCCCATACATTGGGTTGAAACCGGGGTTCCAAGGAAGTAAATCTGCGTCCATATCAGCTTTTAAAGGAGACATTGCAGCTCGTTTCGATCTAAGTCATGACACGATAAAACTGTCATAACGCATTCGCACATGCATGTGTGAGGTATTTCTTTTCGGCGGCTTGCTCCATTTTCCGTGTATAGATGTATACGAATTGTAAGAGGCAAGTTAGTTCAGGCGGCGGTTTGCATTTAGGCCGGGTCATGTTGCAGGTTATATTCCTCATTCTGCATAGGGACATTTGGGGCAGGTTAAGCTCCAGGAGTTGTTGGTTCCGGGAGGTCTTTTGCATTACATCCGAGATACCTCGATAGGCGTGGCGATGGCTGGCTGCGAGGATCTGGGCTTCATACGTACCGAGGCTGGCAAAGCCTTGTGTGTCGGATATGGGCATCGGATGGTAGAATCCAGCAATATAATGGCAGAATACATAGTGTTGCCGATAGCGCTCAGAAGCATTCGGTACACAAGAGAAGTTACAGTCCCTCGAAAGGACCGATTGCTAGCTAGAATACGAATAATTCCGGTCGACTGGAAACCATTTGTATATTTGTATACCTGTGATGCCAATTTCTTTTCGGAAGTGAGACATCGTACCTAAGTACACATCACCTCAATTTGCCTATAGGAGCTGGAGGTTACGTCAGCGTAATAAGCAAAATTGTGACAGAGATAGGTGCGTGTATTGCTTAATGTTGAAAGACACCTACAACATTGTGGATCCCTCAGTTAAGGACATCCCGCGATGTCAGCTATGTAGGTACCGTAGTATAAGTTTGTCTTATTCTTGGCAAAGAGATCGCCCACTTAATGTTTAATAGGCTCCATAGCAACTACAACTTAGACTGCTTAGGTTGCTTAGAAAGACGATTAGTTCATCTTTTTCTGGATTTGATCGAGTATTCTAAACAGTAGTGCGGTTTTAAAAGGATATGACAACCTATGGCACCTACCTAATACACATTAGTGAACAAGGCACCGTCACTGCCTTCTAGAAGCAATCACACGCGAGGTTACACGTAGCCTACCTCAAGTGCGAGGTACATCACGTAACTACTAAAGTTAATGGGAAATTAAGGTATAATTTTGGTACGCCCAGGAAGGTACCAAGCAACGATTGGACCAATAGGACTTGGAGAAATGAGACTCCGAATCTGCTCACCGCGGGCAATGACGCTAAACCGGATTCTACTACCGAGGGGGGGCGTATCTTGACATTTTGGGAAGTGCCCCATCCTTCAGGTCATGTTCAGCCAACAACCAGTGTCGCGAGGCGTCCCTCTTCCCGCTCGCAGCGCAGTTTGAGAGCTATCGAATGGTTGAGTTTCGGCAGACGAGCCCTTGGTGCCTGAGAGTTCTCGAGTGAGAGAGAGAAGACCACTGTTCCATTCTAACTTGTTTCCCAGTCTACTACTCTACTACGTACAACTTTCCTGCTCAAGTGATTTGATCTGGTTCCTGGTTCCTTTTCTTTCCCGTTCCATCCAAAACTTCCCAAGCCCAGAGTTCCAGATCCATTGCGCACAAATCTCACACTCGTTTTCACCCGCCATGCGGTGCGACAAAGCAATGTGAAGACGACAGAGCCTACGATATATCACTTCTTCCTAGCAATTACCTAACTACCCTTATACTTCCTCTCTATCTCCCCGTCGCTCCTCTCTTTCCTCCTCTTTTCCTTGCCCCCCTCCGCCCCTCCGCCCCCCCGTTATCCCATCCCAATTGCGGTTGGTTGATCCGAACAAGCGTATGTGATCATGGGGGACAATAGTCAGCCCTTCGTAACGATAAGTGAATGGCAGCCCACAGATGGGCATAGTTTCAGCAGTGGGGATTCCGCCGTACGTCGAAACAAGAGAATAGCCAGGCCTCAAGCGCGCTCTCATCTAATCTCGTCTTCTTCCCAGTATGGCTCCAGCATTGACGATGAGAGGACACCGTCAGCGACGCACGATATTAGTCGTGTAAGCTACCATGTCAAGAATCTACCCGACTTTGCCAAGACTCTCGAAGATGTGCGTTTCTAACTTCTTAATTGTTTGCTCCCACGTGCGCTACTTTAGAAACTGACAACGACTATTCATATTATATAGTCCGCTACGAGAGCTTTCCCTAATCGGGGAGGCTCCCAGAGATACAAGAAAGTCCATGCCCTCCTCCTCCACTGGGGATGCGATGACCTGTTTGTTCAAAAGGAGCTTGATGATCTAGAAATTTGCTTTCGAGAAGATTACAGCTTCGAAACAGAAACGTTCTCGATACCCTCCGACAATGCGCATTTAGAATTGATGCTTAAAGTTGGTGCTATGATAAAAGAGCACGAGTCAAATGATACGTTGTTCATTGTTTATTATGGCGGCCATGCAAGAATAGACGAGTCAAGGCAAAGTACATGGTGTGGGTGAGTTGCTAGGCCGTTGATGTTGCCCTCTTCACATGACGTGCTGATAATCAAACCAGAACCCGAAATTCAGATTCACCCTGGCTACAGTAAGTCTATACCGTGATATAATAATCATATGTGTTACATAGTTACAATGGCATTAACTTTCATGCAGATGGTCTGCGATACAGACCTTACTAGAAAGGTCTCTCTCGGACGTTTTGATATTATTAGATTGTTGCGCTGGAGCTGCTAGTGCTACTTTTCCTAATGGCAACAGCATAACAGAAACAATATCGGCATCTAGCTGGGATGCCATCGCCCCTGATCCAGGCAGATATTCTTTCACCAACACCCTGATCGAAGTGCTCCAAGAATGGAGACGAAGAGTCTTCTCGGCTGCGATGTTACACGCCGAGGTTCTAGCTCGCCTTAAGCACCCAAGACCTGAGATGGTGCCTGGACGTAGCGAGCGCTTCGAAGCGCGTGCTACGCCGGTACATTTCATGATGACCGCCAACCACAAAGCGCCGAGTATCGAAATAACCCGTATTGTACCTGCTGACGCAAGACCACCTTCACCTCCTCAGGAGCCTGGTTTTGAGGTCAACCCTATCAACGGTCGATCAAGTGGCCCCCAGGATATCGTTGGGTCCCAACCAAACGAAGACGTGCCTCACGTGATGATTAGTTTGGCGTTGGAGGAGGATCAACGCCTCAACATAAACGACTGGGAACACTGGCTTTCAAACATACCTGCATTAGCTAAGTATGTTAAAGTCCAAGGAGTATTTAAGAGTCATTCAACACTATTACTTTTATCAATGCCGGTAATGGTCTGGGACCTGCTACCGGAGGATCATGCATGCAACTTCATAGCGTTTATTCGGTCAAACAACCTGGCTGCTCGCCCCCGGAACGAACCAGGGACAATAGAGGAAGAGGTGATGGTGGGCGGTGACATAGATGCGGACTTAAGGTCTATCTATTCGGGCACCACAGCGTACACCGGGCCGCTTGAGTCTGCTGGAGGTGCCAGATTATCTATGATGTCTGCCTTTTCGAATGGTAAGGCGCCTATGGAACCGGCTTACAGGGGGTTTGAAAGACCGAGATTCGAGTCAAATAGGCGAAGCTATCGCTCAATAAATAGATCGTCTATGGATCAGCAAGGGCCTAGCAGAGGCGTCCCAGGATCTTCTTATGGCCCACCAGCAAGACAACGCACCGCACCTGCCGGTTTCCTCCACAAGAGTATGTCTTACGGCAATATAGCTCAACAGCTAGCCATCAATCAACCTCGAGGCCCAAGGAGACCGTCCTTAGCAAGCCAACCCGAGCTTCTACCACATGTCCAGGCACGACTAGAAGAATACTTCCAGAGCAATCGCTCGCCGACAGTTGCTGTCAAAGAGTTCTTAGCATCGACCCTCGATGCGGAAACTGCAGATATTGATGTGAGTGTTATTTATCGAAGTGCTTAATAGAATCCACACTAACATCATTTAGCTCTGGTTCCAACATCGTCGAGAGCAACAGGAGGTGGAGAATAGGTTACAGAGTCTGAAGATAGACGATCATAACCATGACCCTCCCACGGATGGTACCCAGATGATCCTTCCCGGCCATCTCAACAAGTTGTTGGAAATCTTCCCAGCGGGCCAAGTTGTGGTGATTGATCTACGGTCGCCACCTGAATATGAGAATTCCCACATTCATGGCGCTATCAACTTCAGGGCTCCCGCCTCATTCGTGTCCCGAGCAACAATGGAGATGATCGAAAAGGCGCTCCCAGATGAGACGAGCTGTAGTTCATTCGACAAATGGTATACCAGCAAGTGTGTGGTCTTCTACGATAAGGTAGTCGAGTACACATGGGAGGCGCCCGTAGCAGACGCATTGTTCCAGAAGTTTAAGGGTAAAGGCTGGACTGGGCAATGTTTCGTGCTCAAAGGTCACTACCGCGAGTTCTCATCTTCATTCGACAAATATATTGTCGGTGCAAATACGACAGACAGCGCGAAGGAGTACCTTGCTAGTCTCCAGGATGTATCATGGGAAGTAACGGTAAGATAACACGAACCATTTTTCGCTTAAATATTATACTAATTATATACTAGAAGGACGATCATCAACGATACGATGATTGGCTCAAACTCCTTGATAGTGAGGATAGAGTGCGCTCCACAGGCCTTGTCCCAGCGGTGAAGGCAGAACGCCTTGACGTTACGGTTAAGCACCAAAGAGAAATTGAAATCGAATTCGAGAAGTTCCAGCCAGAGCTTTTCAAAGAAGCCCTAGACCGCAGGCCTGACGGAAACTGGAACGTCAAGGGCCCTATGGTAGCTCATTTAGAGCGTGGCATTTCTAAGATGCAAGAAGCCGGGAAAGGTCTTGGATCTAGTAGATCCATTGCTCCGATCCCGGAATACAAACGGGCCGTAGACAAGCTTTCTATGTCCGATTATGACCTACTTGAATCCGAAGATGAGCACCAAAGTCACGATTCGACGCCACATAAAAAGGAGCCCAGCCTCACGCCTAGGTCAATATCTGACGACACTCTCCCCGAGAAGAAACGTGGGGGGCGTGGCTTTCTAGGCAAGATAATGCAGACCGGCCGCCCAAAAACTCCGCGATGAGACATAATTGGGAGGCACAGGCGTCGCCCATGCTTATAGATATTTATGACTACGACTTTTACATTTCACGTTTAAGAGAGGGGATTTGTTTATTCCCCCAACGACTTCTATTACTATTATTCAGGTTATATTACGGGATGGAAATGGGAATTAGCACGAGATATCCTTAGCGTTCTAGCTACTGTGATTTACTGTGTTGCATATCTGGCAGGGGGCAGGCGGATAAACGGGGTTAAGGAGCGAGGCCATCATTTATACTCGCGGGTTGGTGTATCTTCGATTTTATGTTTCGGATTTACATTATATATTAAACATCAAGGGGTATGAGACGCTGTTGTCTCTGGGTTAGAGTAGAATACTCCGCGCGCTTTTCACCTACGGCTTTCGCGGTGCTATGCTGCGCTTGCTTGGTAGGCGATGGATTGGCGGATGGATAGATGATAGATGTTAATGACACGTGTCTATCGGGAGGTTAGATCATATCAAAATCCAAGTGCGGTTCTATGACTTAGTCCCCATACTATTCGTGTTGTAAACGAAATACTTATCTACCTATATAGGTTCTTGTGTTCCTTGGTGCTTATTGTTCCCCGTTACTACTTGATATTGGTTAACCGAAGAGATGTCTACGATTGTCTTGAGTATCACTATGTTTACCTAGGTATTCGTAGCTATCAGAATCTCGTTGCCATCCCTAACCCAAGACACTTCATATGCCAGGTTGGAGGAGTCGGTATAGTTACAACTACCGCACGAGAGTGATGTTAGGTTTCCCTAGAGTTCCCTACGACCGCTAGAGGCCCATAGATATTAGAATAATGCGGCAAGACAGTGACAAAATTGTGATGAGGCGACCGTGCGATAAGTCTAATCCAATCCATTCACTCGTACCTCAACAAATTAAGCGTCATCCTGTGTAATGCGTCTACTGAAGCAATAGGGTAGGGCTCATTCGTGTAGAGCATACTCAGAGCTTTACGTTATAATACCTATAGGTCTTACCCGTGGATCGAAAGGCCTATTTTTGGCACAGTTTCGCCCGTATCTTTTTAGGTATATGAATTTATGATGTTCTACTACGAGGGTGGCTCTGTTCAGATAGGCAGGCTTGTATAAAGTCGAGTTCACCGCTATTTTCGGATTGAGCTCGAGCCGACATCTGTTCATACGTTTATGAATTAATGATCTGATGACCCCACAGCGATATAAGTGATGATATGACATCGATGTATTGGACTTGGGGAGTATCGTATTCGTAAATGTCTATAATGGCGTGACCTAGGAGGTGTCGACTTATACCAATTAGATGCTACATGTCCAATAGGTGAAGCCTGACGTGCAGCAGTTGCATCGTGTAATATCGACGCCCGATGTGAGTGCTAGTTTAATTACTTAGATATACTCTACATCTAGATGCATCTTACAGTTTATATCTCGATTTCTATATCATTATGACGTGTATTATAAGGCTGTGATACCTCGCTCTGCATGTCAACTCCGCCTCACCCAGACGTTCCAGATACGAAGAGATCTCGGTCTGACAACACTAAGAGTATCCACGAGTAACCGGTAGCAATTAGATAGTATCCAATACTTTGAGGTAGGCGAAATATCTATAGCACGGCCTACAGAACCTCGAGTTATCTAACTTAGTTTTATTTGAGCATTATGTTACCTACCTAGGTATATTTACACTCTCATTCATCTGCATAATAAAGTTCCACGCCCTCGGTATCTCTAGTAGTACCTATATAGGTACCTACCACGTAACTACGATATCAATATGTTGGATTCATATTTGCTTGGCTCAGCGGTGAAGACGTCCATGGCGGGATGAAGTTGAATGTGGTCTGATACATGGCCATAGAATAATCGCCCTTGCAGCCTCACTTCTCGGTATTGCACTTAGTGGCAGTAATAGTAAAGAATGCAAAGCCTTCCGAGGGATAATTACCCGTATGCATATTTTATAATCACATTAGGGATAGATATCGTCGTAATTCTATTCCTAGCTAGGTAGGTGCTACATATAGAATAAGGCCGCGGAGATGAAAGAATCTTGATTGATACCATCATCCCTTGACGAGATTAGAAAAGTCAGGGATAATATAAAATTGTCAAAGCTGGCCTGGAGATGTCGTGAGAGCGGTCACCGACAAAGCCACGTACGTAACTACTAGGCTCATAATGAGTTCATAATAGTAGAGATCATCCCATTTGTGCTGACGGTAAATCTCAATTTGCAGAGCACCATGAAGTTGTCGTATACAAAGCCTGATATCGCACCTCTAGGACTTTCACTGCTCCCTCCCCACGGATTTCCAAGGCTAGTCCGTGTCGTGCCACACACCCTCCCCGAGGAGAGGGAGTATAGGTAATTAATCGCGGCCGATAGTGGTTGCTTTCTTGGGTAGGGTGAAGCGATATCTCAAGCCCCAACCTGTCAAGCCAATCCATTGACACCTGAATAAGCCTTAGGTCATCGACCCCAAATATGCGAGCACTCTATTCAACTCGTGGCATCTTGCCATCGTGCACGAAGGGTTGGAATTGGAATGCTGAGACGTTCCAGCCACGTTCGTGCCAATTGTAAGAGGTTATCCGAAGGTGTGTGAAAACGAGGGTGAGTTGCAGAGATAAAAGGATGCTTTGGGTGGTAAGGCAGTTTAATGGTGCGCTATAAACACCACATTAAACCGCCTCGTTTTTTACTTATCTTGGTGGTCATCTTAGACGTCAATTTTAAGCAGATCGTACCTATACGAGTTGGCGTCGTAAGACTTGTTCTCTGTCTTGATTCGCTGGGTGCGTCTCGGTGCATCTATCCAAAAATTGCCTTTTAGACGTTGTAAACGGCGATATGCCAATTACCAACCATTACTAAAGTGAATCCTAGGAAAACGTAGACCTAATTTACGATAGCAGTGCAATCTTTGCCGTGGTTGTAGTAGCCTTTGGGCAGTGAACTGGGCTTATACCGACTCTAGCCCTTGCTTCTATGGCTCCTTGACATAGACCCCAAATCCACTCACAAACATGACGATGTAGTGACGAATAAATACATGCCCGCCAGTCACACGCGCACACTACTACGTACTGAGACACGCATACCCACATCCACACCCACACCTCCGAACACGTTCTAGGGTCTAGCCTCTCACGTCAGGCCTCAGCTCTTGGTCCCGAAGTAACGGTATGGGCCTCGCCTTCTCCGTTCCCGCGGGGTATCAAAGACCCTAGAAAGGCGCCGACTCCGTCACGAGTGGTGGTTGTGAGGTGGTAGATGGTTGATCTGAGATGCTCGAATACCTGGTCTGGAGCTCATTGTTACCCAGAAAGTCTCATCGAGATGTCAACCTGGGGTAACAACCAAGGGGACCGCTGGCATCGTTCCATCACGTCTCTCCCTCTTGGCCCTCGCTGATTCTTCCTGAACGGAACAAGCCGCGCGAGATACCTAAACTCCCTCATCAGTCGATAAACGGCAGAGATGGGTTTGGGCACTCGCAAGCTTCGCTCCGTTGGGCGATTGAATGGATGGCTGGTAGTCCTTGAATCTTAACACATACAACGGTGCTGCATATTCTGGGCGGCTGTACCCCGTTTCAACCTGGTCTTTTCTTATTGATTAATTTTGCACGCAATTCCTTCCGTTGCCGTGGCGGGCGGCAAAGGCTATCTTCCGGCCTGAGCTTTGGTGCCTTAGTAGGCTGAGACGTCGTTTCAACGGGTGAGCTCCGCGGTACCAAAGATCTAGGTTTGCAAATATCTAATCGTGAATGAATGGATCAAAGGCCTCCGCAAGTCGTCATTCCGGCGTGTCTTCCTGCTCCGTTAATAGGCTCTACCGGTGACTGCATATTCGCTTAGAGGAACCGAAATTGGCTGTGGCGGTCTCATGTCCTTCGTCTGAAAAAAAGGCCTTGTACCCAGTGAAAAACAGATTCTTCTTCTCACACCGACGGCGGCAGTTGGGAAGGGTTCTCTGGCCCGAACTAGTAGCCGGTGAGCTAGCTACCTAGTCCTGCGACAGCCCTACGGACAGCTTTCCCGAATAGGGTAAGGGAAGGCGCCGTTACAGGACGACGCGCGGCGTACATATATGCGCTCGACAAGTCACCTGTCACTTAAACCCAAGCTTACCTACCTATCTCGGTAGGCTATGCTGTCGATTACATAGTAAGAGGGATGAAATTTTTTTTCTAACCCACCCCTTTTTCCCGTTTTGCATGCGGGATAACATTTCACTGTAAGACCCTTAGGGGTAAGCTGCTCGCCTATTGTACCACGATGTCCTGTGAGCCTCACTCGCTTAATTAGACGCGACCTGTTCATCCATTCGTCGGGTTTCCTTTTTCTATTTCTGCCTAGCACGCAACGCAACCCCGTACGTTTAAACAGCGAACGCAGACTAGTTCGCATGTAAACCTCGGAAGTTGGAAAAGGGCCTAGCACTCTACCGACTAGGGGGATTGGGGAGGACGGCCCGCGAATGATTGATTTGGTGGGCCTTGCCAACACTAGAAAACAGGGGAGCCCGAACCAGAAATGGCGAGTTCCCGGGCTGGTTCAGGCACCCCGTCATTTTGGAATGACATGCCTGTTTTTCTGCCCTTGGTCCACACGTGTCGGAAATGGATCTCAAAATATCATACCTACTGAAGAGATTTCTATCTGTCCTTTGTAGATACTATAATAAAAAGGATCCAAGGCATATTAGTAGGCAGGTAAGTACCTAGGTACTATAGGCGAGTAACTAGCCCGTAATGTATTCCGGTATTAAGGGTAAGACTATGACAAACGTGGAGTATCTTGTTAGCTTTCAAAAAAATATATCGTGAGTGGGACCTCGGACTCAGCACCTTGCAGGCTGGCGAGAAAACCCTCACCCTCGCGAATTGGATAAGATAGATAGTTACATATACTGTATAACGCGATGTACATATGGTTAAGTAGTATTGATCTGGTCGCAACAGGGGAGGGCGTGCGTTGGTCCTTGGGGGCTGTTTCTCGAAAGCAACAAGGGGTTTGGCGCGGGGCTAGGGTTCGTTAATAATCTTGTTAATAATAAGCGAGGACAAGGAGGCAGGCTTGACAGTTGACAGGACAAGGGCGTGTTGATGAAATTTGACAGGGAAGATGATCCTGAGATACGATTCGGTCGTCAGATACACTATGCAGATATGTGACAGCCCAGGGGTCTCCTGCAAATGCCATCCCATAATTCCCATTTCCCGTCCCAAGAATGAAGTTGACAGGCGCTCGGGCCCACGTTAGAAGATTTTCTCGAGAGATTTTGTTTTATGTTGTATGTAGGTCTGCAAATACATACGTACATATAAATTACATATTTGCCTGCATACATGTGCAGTTTTTATGTACATGCAAATATAATAAGCAAGCAATATGTATGTGGCTTCTGTAGATAGTTTACTTTGGGTGATAAGAATCGCCTTGCCGTCGGCTTTGCTTCTTGATTCGGAATTGGCGGGCGTACAGTAAGTAGTACATCGGATAATCTTTGGCGAGATAGTTTTGCCGGTTTTTGTTGATCGTCATCTTCAGGTGGGCTCTCAGGGGATCTCCAGTGC